TAAGCAGGGCCAGGGCCTGTTAGTACTCGGAGGGAGACCTCTGGGAACACCAGTGCCAATAAGGTGGGGGGGGGAGGGGGGGGGAGGGGGGGGAGGAAGTGTATCAACAGTGGGCGCGTAAGTGCCGAAACTGCTGTTATGTCCTTAAGGCAACCCACTTCCACCAAATAGAAATGAGTCCTAGAGTTGTTGAATGGTTGTGGTGTGGAGGGCTGATGGCAACAGGACGTTGCCTGTGCCTCCTCAGTGCGCCCCAACGGGCACATGCACAGTAAGTTATTATCACCACCCCGTTGGAGTGAAAGAATACTGCTGTGGACACCTGCAATGTACAGTGAAGCAACTTTGATGTCTGAAAGGAGCTATTAAAAGTGATGCTTTTTTTGTTATATTATGAAAAATCAGGCCTAATCAACATAAATGTGGGATCATAACCACGCTTTATAACGGCCTCTCATCTAAACCAAGCGATGGGTCTATCAAGGAGAGAACAGCTCCTCCCCCGACCTACACCAACCTCTGCTGCTGTGACCTAAAAGTGCTAGTTGCAATTATATAACTACTTTTAAGCTACTTGAGAATTATAGTTTTTTTTGTACTTATGGTTGTTTCTGCTGAGGGTACCTCGCATTTATCCAAAAGTAACAAAAACTATCTATCCATCTATTACCGACAACTTACTTTCAAGATCAGATCGATTCTTGTATTTAGCATTTGCAGTAAAACCACATTGTCATTTAAGCCCATATTTTCAGTGACCGTGTTGGATCCAGTATGAAGACTCTCTGCTGCTGTGAAACCTCAGACAGGTGCTGCACAGACAGTTTCTGCTCCCGCTGTGTGAACTGAGGAGCATGGCAGAGCCCAGGACTTGTTGGAGCTCTCTGATGGAGCTCTCTAAGGCAGGCTCTTGTGAGCCGAGCCTCCCTGGTTACATCGCGCAGCAGCAGCGCCCGCGGTTGCATACCCCTGACAGCGGTCTTTCACTGCGCATCAAAAGCCGCCTTTGTGTAGATGACAGAGGGGGCAAGGCTTTCGCACCCCTCTTAGATTATTCTCCATGTCTCGGCTTAGAATGGCCTTGACTGCTCTGCTTTCTGTTCTCTGAGCCTTCTCCACCGCAGAGTCTGGAGATCTGAGTCGGTCCACATTACAGCTTTTGTCATATAACAAGTTGGATTAATTGAGGAGGGTCATGAACAGTGGGTGATCTAGGACACTCCACATTCAACAACATTTATGGACATTGTCATCTGCCCCTACTGACCAATGGCTCTATCTTAAAGTGATTGTCTGGAATTTGTCAGAAAAAAAGAGTCAGGTACCGGATTTGAAAAACACCCAAGCCTCCCTCCCCCTTCCTTTCTGATTGGTCCTATGTCCTACGTGTCCGTAACTATTTAAACGTTAATCCTGAGAACACATTATACATATACATTATTAATACACCATGCCGCAGTTTTCAGAAGTATTATGTATACTCCGTTTTCATGACTACTATAATGTTATTTAATGTCATGAAAAAAGCGATCAGCTGTAACACGGAAGTGACTAATTAACGTTGATTGAACATTTAAAGGAAATCTGCAGAGGATCTGATATGGATATGGTTCAGTATATAAATGATTATGGATATATGGTTCAGTATAAAAATGATTATGGATATGGGGTCAGTATATAAATGATTTATGGATATGGGTTCAGTATATAAATGTTTATGGATCTAGTTCAGTATATACATGATTATGGATAAAGGATCAGTATATAACAATGATTATGGATATAGGTTCAGTATATAAATGATTATGGATATAGTTCAGTATATAAATGATTATGGATGCGGGCTTTTGTTCACCACTAAAGGCACAAAAGTGTGACAAAAGGCCAAAAATTGATTTTAATATTCAGAAGATATTATGATTTTTCGAGTTTCCAAACACCTTCCTCTGTCCATAGACGTTTTCTTCTGGAACAATAAACTGTTTTTATAATTAGACAAGTTTCCTATAGCGGGGCCGACCCTAGTTATATTTTATGTAACGGACGTGATGATTTGAACAATGAGCTTTGTGGTAGTTGATAGGTATTTTCAGATGTCCACATTGATTCAGAGATTCTATTTTTTTACACAAAGTAAATGCAAGTGGATTACTTCATATTGTCACCAATATATGTGAAAACAGACCAGAATTTTTTTCTTCTTCAGTTTCATGTTTAAGAAAAGAGGACCGTCCTCATCACGTCCTTATACATTTTTTCAGGGTCATTTTAATTAATTAAATATTTTTTATTTTTTTTCCAACGATCCTTGTTATAATCAGTGATTTACTTATGTTGTGTTAGCCTGTAAATATTGTGGGATTCATCCTCTGCTTTTCAGAACGAGGACATTTATTTTCTATTGTAACTGGCGTCACAGTAGAATGGTCCAATCAGAGCTTCATTTGGTCGTTTAAATGTTCTAAACATTTATTATGTCAATCTTTCCTTTTGATTTTTTCACAACTATGTCTCCAATGTGTCTGGGTTTGAAAATCTTTTTTCCAATCTTCGAAACTAATTTTATATTTTTAAGTTATAACCTTTAAAGTCCAGATACTGTTACTTACAGGAACACACTCATATAGGATCAGTATATAAACTATTATGATATAGGTTTCATATATAAATGATTATGGAATATGGTCAGTATATAAATGGGTAACTCAGCCGCGGGATGTTCATGAATTTCTTGGTTCAGTTTTCATGTAGTCCAGAGCCTATAAAGGCTTGATTTCGGAGGCTACGTGAACTAGTAGGATAACAAAACACTGAGCAATGCGCACTAACGAGCACAGCGCCGATGATTGCCAGCCCTTGGCATCACCTTGGTTGGTTAACGTGGAACGGCATCATGGATGCTGAGCAATAGTGAAGAGAAGGAATGCGGGACTTAACCTGTAATTTATAATTCAGAAAATGAGTTGTTTTGATCCATATTTATGGCCATAGTCAATTACATACAATTCATTAAAATGTGTAATCATTTTGAGTTCGCAGACTATCAGAATAACATTCACACTAAGATTAAGAGACACATCTGTTGTTCACCCTGTGGTGCGTCTCAGGTTCATGGTTTCCATTGGGCCGTTAATAGCGGAGCGCATGCCCATCCCTCGGACATCACAGATCCCACGTCTTTGAACCGAGAACTCAACCCCTCCTTCAAAAACCACAACCACAACCATCTGTCCCAACTGTCCTCTCATGTAGAACACGAGGTTTATTCCTTCAGTATCACTCAAGAAGGATACACCAGATATTGATTGCACAAACAACTTGAAAGCAGGATTTTGTGAGGTCTACAACAACTGCACATCCGACAGAGCGTCAGTCAATAACAGTCAAACTTCCCAAACTTGTGGCTCAGATTGGAAGAGGAGACTGCTTCATTCAAAACAGACACTATAAAATCTTTTATGTACAATGAGAAGCAGGGGCCCAGGTTTTTGGAGACTTTGTGGGTGCCATGGTGACTATTGCCAGAGCAACAATTCCATTGTTACTATTGTCACATGACAACCATTATGATGGCATTGGCGATGGCAATCACTTTGGCAACCCATCCGACTAGGCAGCTAGGAAACCACTTCCATAAAAGGGCCATGGTGACAATTGCCATAGAAACCATCTTCATAAGAACACCATAGCAGCCGTTGCAATGGAAATTGCTACGCGACTACCCAGGCAACCATCACAATGCAACTGTAATAAAAACAAACTTCCATAAAAGAAATTTGCAAAGTCATTTCCATTGAAACAAGATCCCACCATAATTGACTGCCATAGCAACCATCAGCATGGTTACAGTGGTTTATGTGCTATACCCCGCAAAATCATCGCACCCTCAATTACATATCTTGTAATATGTCCATTTGAACAAAAAAATATCAGAGTTCCAGGGAAAATTCTTCTCAGGATCCGCGCCTGGAAATATGCTTATAATTGCCCAAACATAAACTGTGGCAGTAAAAGGTAGGGGGATTGCTGCCTCCTCTCAGACTCAGACGCGCCAGAATCAACCAGGAAATCGTTAGTTTTAGTGCAGTTGCACGCCTGGGAAGATCTTTGCAGATCAAATCATGGCTTTATCCTGGACACGTCAGCGGCAAAAGGAAGTTTAGATCAATCTCTTCAGTCGCAGTTTCTATCGTCATGTTTCTGTGACACTGATCAGGGTGGCGACGGATTGATTGGATTAGATTTGACAGTGCAATCTGTGCTGTTAGAGAACTGTTTTACCACATTAAAGATTCCATGTATATCATTGGATGGTGTGTATAATTTTTATATTATTATATTTATAAGTAATAAAAAATACACACACACATAGATACATGACTTTAATGTAAACAGTTCCCTAACAGCACAGATGCACTGTCAAATCTAATCCACTCAATCCGTCGCACCCTGATCAGTGTCCACAATACATGAAACGATAGAACTGCACTGAAGAGATTGATCAAACTCCTCTTTGGCCGCTGACTTGTCGTATAAAGCCATGATTTGATCTGCAAAGACTTCTGCCGAGGCGTGCAATGCACTAAAACTACGATTTCCTGGTTGTTTTCTAGGCTCGTCCTGAGTCTGAGGAGCAGCAATCCCTCACCTTTTACTGCACAGTGAATGTGGGCAAGTATAACAAATTTCCAGGCCCGGAACCTCGAGAAAATTTTCCTTGGACCTCTGATTTTTTTTGTTCAACTGGACATAATTACAAGTATATTAATTGAGGCGTGCGAAGATTTTGCGGGGGTATAGCACATAAACCACTGTAACCATGCTGATGGTTTGCTATGGCAACATCTGGTGGATCTTGTTTCGAATGGAAATGACCTGTGCCAAATTCTTTTATGGAAGTTTTGTTTTTATACAGTTGCCATAGGAATGGTTGCCAGGTATCGCCGAAAGCAATTTCCATAGCAACGTCTGACTATGGCTGTTCTATGAAGAGGTTTGCTATGGCAATTGTCACCCCCCCCCGGGGGGGGGGGGGGTGGGGGGGGGGGTGGGGGGGTCGGGGGGGGGGGGGGGGGTGGGGGGCCCCCCTCCCCCCCCGGGGGGGGGGCACACAACTTTCGGGGGGGGGGGGGAGGGGGGGTCCCCCCATGGTCCCTTTTGGAAGTGGGTTTCCAGCTGCCATAGTGATGGTGCCAAAGTGATTGCCATAGCTTTGCCCATCATAATGGTTGTCATGTGAACAATATCACAATGCATTAGTTCCAGGCAAAGTCCACCATGGCGTCAGGCAGGGAGGGGCCGTGACAATAGTTCATTTGTTAGGTTCCCCAGTTTGAAGTTAGTCCTATTGAAAAAATCAATCAATTCTTCTTCAGAACCAATAAGCAACACTTTAGGGGAGCTCCATGCCTTCCATCAAGTTCATGACAAGATACCATTACAGCTGAATATCCCTTTTCTTTTTGTTTGACTTTTGTTGTGAGTTTGAAATCCGTCCTTTTTCATCACCTTCAAGAAACCTGTAATTTGTGTCAACAATGTCCTCAGCTGCCTACGTCCAGCTGCCACAATTTATTTGAAAAATACTTGGTGCTTGAGAGCCTATAGTTTCTGTCAAGTATTGGCATTCTTTGTCAGGTTTTCCATCCCACGCTCAGACGGAAAGTCCTGCACTTATTTCATTATTCTGTCAAAGTGTGGGCAGATTCAACACAGAAGAGTTCAGTGTTGGATTTGAGTTTATGTCACAAGCACTAACCGTGAAACTTGCGGTCAAGATCAAAGATATGTTATTTAGCATTGTCATGTCATGGTATAAATTCACTTAATGACCAATTCTCATTTAAATTCATTCTATTGCTTTACAATCGGTACAATGTGAGAAAATGTGTTTCCAATAGACAGCATGACTCACTCACACTAAATCACTCTGGCAGATTGAGCTGAAGACAGCTCGGGGATTTACTGTGCTTTTGGATATGAACAGCTGATAAAAGTAAAGCCGATTTCATATCAAAATAATTGAATTCCTGTGAATATTTTTTGTACAACTTTATTTTCTAGCTGAGGAGATCTGTCGTAGCGAGTGGAGTGAAACAAGCCACAGCAGATTATCGCATCAGCAAAAGGTACTATGTGAATATATGTGGGTTTTTAGATTTTAGACAAAAACAAAACAGAAAGCAAGCATTCCAATGTGTTTCTTTAAACTGCAAATGGCCCATAAATTGATTTGATTTGCTCTAGTGCTACATATGCATTCTTGTGTCCAGTGCTTGGCTGAAGGACTCTTCCCATGCTGTGATTGAGAAATTGGATCTACGGATCTCTATGGTAACAGGCCTAAATGTGAACCATCCTTTTGGTGAATACCTTCAAGTTGTCAACTACGGGATTGGTGGACATTATGAACCCCATTTTGACCACGCTACAGTAAGATTTTGTTCCTTCTTCTTCAGGATCGATTACTGTATTTCTTATTTGTGCTACTTCCTACAGGCTCCAACTAGTCCTGTGTACAAGCTAAATACTGGAAATCGAGTAGCAACATTCATGATATATGTAAGTAAAGGCTTATGTAAGAGAATCCTGAAGAGAAAAGCAAGTTGTTTTTAAATTGACACGTTTTTTATTGATTTAAGCTGGGGTACTTTCTTTGTTGGGGGTTTCATGAATACCTGTTGTTTGAATCAACAGAAAGACGCTTGTTTCAGTAAAATGTTGATAACAAATCAGTCCACAACATGCAACCTGCTGTCTTTATCTTATTAGACATGTTATATCTTTTGGGGGCACAGGTAAATTTGAATTAAACTGATGGTATTGCAATCAAAATGATGGCTCTGGTAGTTCTAGTAGTGTCATACCCCTGGGAGTCTTAATGTTAAGGTTTTTTCCCGTTACCAATACAAACTCATATTCAAGTTCACAATCACAGTGACATTTTTAAGGAAAAGTGAAGATCATTTCTATTTCTTGGTATTTAAAAGCAAACAGTGCATGCATCAGCTTGAGCATACACCACAGTAGCAGCAGAAGACAAGTTTTGAGGAATGTATTTTTCCACAGCTCAGCTCTGTCGAGGCAGGTGGGTCCACTGCGTTCATCTATGCCAACTTCAGTCTCCCGGTAGTAGAGGTAAACAATCTGTCTACTTCAATAATGATACAGCAATCACTTTGCAAGCTTTGTCTTCATTTGTCAAAGTTTATCTAGAAAATCTTGCTTTACTACGAATACATTTGGAGCTTCCATAATCTGTGCAGTCAGCAGCTATGTTAAAAGGGCAGGTTAAAAATTAGATTCAGTGCAATGTTTTGACTGGCCATCTCTGGAGATAAATTTCAACTATATGAATGTGTCACAGAAAGCTGCCGTCTTTTGGTGGAATCTGCACAGAAACGGTGAAGGAAATGTAGACACTCTTCATGCAGGCTGTCCAGTTCTCGTTGGGGACAAATGGGGTAAGAATGTATTGTTGTTTGTGTTTGCAATTGGCAATAACACGTTAAGATAAAATCCGTTTCATATAGTCTAATAGGCCTATATATGGGGAACTTTTCAACATCTGTGTAGTATTAGGTGACTTCATCTTGGAAACTCAATCTCAGCTCCTGCTTGGCGCGTATATCAGTCTGCCCTACTCTCCCTCAAGACGTGTGTGGTGTGTGTCATTTAAACTAACAAAGGCATTAGTCATTACGGCGCAGCAAAAGGGGATATGTTTTCATTTTTTATAAAAGTTACAATGTTGCACTTGTTTCACTTACAGTAAATGTTTTTGATTTCAGTGGCAAACAAGTGGATTCATGAATATGGTCAAGAGTTTATCCATCGCTGCACTTTGAATCGTGATGAGTGAGAGAAGGTAGAACCAGAGGCACAATCACAAACCCCTCGGGGGTGGACTGTGGAAAGTGGCAGGCTGCATGTGAATCAGCCTCAAGCCCTATATGGCTTATAAGAGCCGGGAGCAAGCAGACCGCAGAGGACATGGATGGAGTAAAACTGAGCTGTGTTTTCAGTATGAGTTGAAAATCAATCCCCAGGGGCAACATTCTCTCAAACTGCTGAGAGGCCTCTGCTCCTCATACAGCACTGATTCGGGCTCACTGTAGAAGACTGTTTGGAGTTTGGAGAGAAAGTTGCAATTCAAGGAATACTGGCATAGGAAGTAGTCTTGTCAGTCATAACATATATATTTAGTTGAAGAAAGCTGGGGTGAACTACTTTATTGCTTTGTTATTCAATTTAGAATGAGAAATACCTGTTTTGAATTTTTTTAATATGAATGTCTTTAACTGGTCCATCTGAATGGCCAATGACTAATGTTTTTATTATATGTTTTTAGTTCAATTCTATTTTCAAGTCTCAAGAAAGGAACCACAAATAAATCCCTAAATAAAATTATTATGGTTATTATTATTTTTTAAACACAACCAGCTTTATAGCTTTTCTATTAGGCCTTTGAAAGCCAGTGTACAACTTTGCAAAAGAAGGTACACCCATCATTGTGTAAACATGGGTATATAAATTGACATTAGGCATTAGTTGTAAACTGTTTAGTGACAGTGGCCAATGAGTGAAAAACATAGAACTATCAGTAGAAAATACTTTGTAAGGACTTGTAAGGATATCCCTAACTACCAGGATACTAATATAACCATGATAGCCTATCGTATCAATGGAATGAGATGCCTTGACTACAGAGATGTTAGATCCTGATAGTATTTTCATTCTTGGGGTATGGCCTTTACTTTCTAGCATAGTTGCACTGACGGACTCCCTCTTGTGGTTAAATATTATACATACTTTTTTTTTAATGTATTTTTTTATCACAACTTTTGTGTAAAAAATCGTCGTGCCCGAAGGCTTTGTCGGCTGGGTTCATCAATATTCAAAACATAATGTCAAAGATATGCCTTTCATCAAAGTCCCATCGTTTTTTTTTTTTAAAGGACAACTCACCCTCAAATCCACTTTTTTTGCTGATAAACGATATAAATGAGTGTCCAATAGTGTTGTCTACATATCCTGGTCATAATTTTGTCACTTTGGTGCAAATTAGTTGAAAGTTAAACTTTCTACCTAAAACCGTCTGTGAGGCGCCATCTGCTGGCGACCTGTATTACTACATTTGAATTTTGAATCTGGCGCCAACACTGGCGCGGCAGTAAGACCTGACGTCTGAAGCAAGACCTGACGTCAGCAGCCTAAACGGCCCAGTCTTGTTCACGCCCCCTTTAGTCCTCCAGGCTACGCCCATTTAGAGGAAGATTTGAACCATGGATGTATTATATTAACTGGATAGGGTATTACTAGCTTGTAGCTGAATAACTCACGTGCTCAGGGGATTTTCGCGGTACTGCAGACTGAACCAGACTAAATTCACGTGGGCTACCCAGAAATTTTCCCCATAGAACTCAATGCATATTAAAACAGCTCGACCTCAGCTGACAGAGAACCTACAGCTTTAATAAAGATCGGATTTTGTGGGGATTTTAGTGTCCCTTGTCATCCTGAACTTTTTTTCTTCTTAAATCCACACTTTAGTGCCACAAACTCTGCTCCTCTGGCTCTCGCTCTAACTCCCGCTCTGATGAACTGCTCTGATTGGTCAGAGCGCAGCCAAGCCCCTCTGTGCACGTGCGTGAGACCCGGTGTGAGACCCACACACGCGTGTTTGGCGCAACGCATTATGGGAGATCATCCACTGCGCAGAACCGGGAGGACCAGACGATGCCCGCCTGTATACTGATGTATACAGGCGAGTTTCCCATAGATCTTTGCGAGTTTCAGGCAACGTCCGCTAATCTTTCAGCCCCCATGCTGTCACAAAGCCCTGTCACTCCCGGATTTGTCCCGGAAACCGGATTCGTCCGGAAGTTCAGTTTGCTCATGTCAAAAAGTTTAATATGTCCTTAAGTGGTGACTGGTTAAGTTTAGGCGTCTGATTAAGATGGTTAAGTTTAGGGTTAAGGCTGGGTTGGGGTTATTTTATGGGAATGGCTGGTTAAGTTTAGGCATGAATAGGTAGTTTTTTATATTTACTTCCGCTTCCGTCCAGATTCCGTGACGTAATCTACTGCTGCCTGTGCTCATTGGATCAAACTGAACTTCCGGACGAATCCGGTTTCCGGGACGAATACGGGAGTGACAAGCAGTGTTGCCAACTTAGCGACTTTGTCGCTAGATTTAGCGACTTTTCAGACCCCTATAGCGACTTTTTTTCAAAAAAGCGACTAGCGACAAATCTAGCAACTTTTTCTGGTGTTATTGGCGACTTATCTGGTGTTTTGGCGACTTATCTGGTGTTTTGGAGACTCGTGAAGCACGTATTGTTCTGCTGTCCTCAACGTGAGCCCCTCCCCCGTCCCAAAGCACTTACAGGCGGCCAGTCTCACAGTAGCCTTGCGCAGCAGTCCCAGCTACAGTCTATGGGCGGAGCAGAGAGAGAGAGAGGAGACTCAAAAGCACAGGAAGTTTTCAGGCTGCTGCAGACTGAACTTCAGCTCCACCACCACCACACATCCAAAGCTCCCCGGCCACTCCTACCACCGCCACCCCCCACTACCCCCCACTCCATCCGCGGCAGCTCTGTCCGTGACTCTGTTTTCTCTCAGTAGTGGGTCACATTAAATCATTTGTTATGCCAAACTATGAAAAAAAAAAAAAACTTACAAAAATAAACCTAAGTAACTCTGCCAGAGTGTGTCTTTTGGGTCACTTTGCCGGTCCCAAGCCCGGATAAAGGAGGAGGGTTGGTTGTAGAGCTAGCAATTTCACCCTACATAACAATCTTTTGATTACATTTGCTGTTATAACATTTAACAATACAGGACAAAACTGATGTGTGTAATGTGGATCTAGACAAAGCATTAAAATCATTAAATGTTGTTAATGTTGAAATTATTTTTGTACATTTGTAGTTCTAAACATATTTAGGGTGTTTTTACTCACTTTTGTCTCTCCCACGACCTTATTCCTCTCTCCTACAGCGTCCGTTACAGTTATTTGCAAATGGCAAATTATGCAAATTAGGCGATGACGTCATTTAGCGACTTCTAGCGACTTTTGGGACAGCCAATAGCTACTTTCCTTACTGAGGAGTTGGCAACACTGGTGACAAGTGCCACTGAGCACAACCATTCATTTGAATGGGGCGCCATCTTGGATCGCCGGGGCTTGATTTGAACAGGAAATGTGAGTGACGCAAGCTCCGAGGAGCGGGGGCATGGATCTATTATAATAACTGGATAGGGTATTACTAGCTTGTAGCTGAATAACTCACGTGCTCAGGGGATTCTCGTGGTACTGCAGACTGAACCAGACTAAATTCACGTGGCCTACCCAGAAATTTTCCCCATAGGACTCAATGCATATTAAAACAGCTCAACCTCATCTGACAGAGAACCTACAGCTTTAATAAAGGTCGGATTTTGTGGGGATTTTAGTGTCCCTTGTCATCCTGAACTTTTTTTCTTCTTAAATCCTTCGCTTTTGTTTAATCCACACTTTAGTGCCACAAACTCTGCTCCTCTGGCTCTCGCTCTAACTCCCGCTCTGATGAACTGCTCTGATTGGTCAGAGCGCAGCCGAGCCCCTCTGTGCACGTGCGTGAGACCCGGTGTGAGACCCACACACGCGTGTTTGGCGCAACGCATTATGGGATATCATCCACTGCGCAGAACCGGGAGGACCAGACGATGCCCAAATACAGGCGAGTTTCCCATGGATCTTTGCGAGTTTCAGGCAATTTCCGCTAATCTTTTCAGCACCCATGCCGTCACAAAGCGCCACTGAGCACAACCATTCTCTCATGCTGAAACTGTTGTTAATGTTGTCCTAATGTTAGCCAAATATCACATCCACTGTAGTAAGTGGTGAGGGAATAAACCCTCTTTTCCCTGTTTCATCAACGAATTCAAAGTATATTATCGCTCTTTAAAATTACTTAAGAAATATAAATCTGACAGAACGACCTCCTATTTGATTTCCATGTATCTTTTGTTTTAACTATTCTATTGCTCATTGTATTCTATTGTATAATGTAAATTGTAAGTGAAGGTTATTTATTTATTCGAGTGCCTTTGCCCCCTAGCTTGGTTATTCTAGTCCTCTACTTGTGTTTGTTTATGTATATGTTCCATTGTTCTTAATAAAGTAATAATAAATAAATAAAAATTCATTTGAATAGGGCGCCATCTTGGATTGCCGGGGCTTGAGCGGGGGTGAGAACCACTTTAAAGAGTCCAGAGTAGGACAGTCCCACAGTCTTCGAATTTTGTTTAGTAGTTTTGTAGCAAATAGGATGGAAGATCGGTCCAGTGCACGACTTGTTGGGTGCTCTATGCCCACATGCAGGGCTGGACTGGCCATCGGGCGTACCGGGCAATGCCAGAAGGGCCGATGCCCATATTTGGGCCGGTCTGTTTGCCTCATACAAAAAAGATGTTTGTGAAAAGTGTAAATCCGTTGAGAACTGTCCGCGGGGCACCTGCTGTATGTACTCGAACGGGATTCCACCACCTCAGCGGCCGCAGTGTTCCGGCATCCAGCGGCTCTGAGCTGGACGCAGGAACCGCTCACCGGGAGCCGCTCACAACACAACACGGTGAGCGCGTAGCCGCAACGTGGCCATATACCCAAGACCATAAACGTGCACAGGACCATGCGTGTCTTTGCGTAATTTGTGCACCCAATAAATACACCGCTGCAGGAAACAGTCCGCGTCTCCCCTCTCCTCTCGAAGTGCGACTAAATTAAAGCTCGGGGGCCTAAATTTTCCATTGCATTAAAAGTTCATGTTTGAGCCCAAAAGTAAAATGTTGTGACAAAATTAAACAGATTTAGAGCCAGCCAATGGCTGACATTATGCATTTCCGACTTTTTTGACCAATTCTCATCCCTGTAACAAACAACAGTGTTGTCTGCGTCCACCTCCCTCACTCTGAGACATGTTTATTACTCTCTTGTAATGTAGACTATTGCACTTTATTTTTTTGTTGAAACTGTAGACATCCTGATCCTCTACAGTATGCTTCCACATACTGTATAAACCAGGGGTCGGCAACCTTTAGTGCTCCTCCAGTGGCTCCTGGAGCCTTTTCAAAAATGTCTGAAAATGGAGTGGGAGGGCTATATTTTATTCCTAGTTTGAATGTGGTTTCTGTAGGAGAAAAAACATTCCTAACGTATTTCAATGCTGTAAAAATGTGTATAAGTAATATTCAATTTCAACATTTCTGTCAACGTAGTGCGTCATATCCTGTGGCGCGGCCCCGCGGCAGACGGCCGCTGCTGTAAACAAACCGGCGTGTGCGCACGGATCCCAAAGATAAAAAGAGAACGAGTCGATAATAAGACTGGACTAAGAACAAGACTGAACATTTGCTTTCAGTCAATGAGGAAGGACTGCTTCATGTTTGCGATGTAATAGGAAGTTTTGTTGCAACACGAGGAACAATGAAGCACTAAATACCGTTCACAGGGATTACGTGAAGGATTCTTTCATACAAAATCCGGAGCACCTTTTTCAGACTTCAAAAACCTCCGCAAAGGCTGTGAAAGAAAAGGCCATTAAGGACATTCAGCTCCAGCAAACTTCAGCCTGTGACGTAATCGATATGAGTGGACAGTGCAGGTGTGTGACCTTTGAGCCAAAAAGCAGATTTATTTACTGTATTTCTACAGTTGCATGAAGGCAAAAAAATGGAAGTCAAAGTTAAAGCAGAGTCATCACGTGGTGCGTCATTCTCTCCAGGACACGCTGCAGTGAAAACACACATTTGACAATCATGAATGCTAATCATGTATTTGTAGCCTTTACTTGGTCATTTAGATAATAGGCTAATGTAGCTAATGTAGCTGGGCTTGTTCCACACTAAAGGGCACAAAAGTGTGACAAAAGGCCAAAAATTAGATTTTAATAATCAGAAGATATTTTATGTTTTTCATGTTTCCAAACACCTCCTCTGTTCATTAGAAGTTGCTAGAACATAACTGTTTTATACATTAGACAAGTTTCCTATAGCGGCCCTGTTTTATTTATTTTATCTAACGGACGTGATGATTTGACGGAATGAGCTTTGCGGAAGTTTGATAGGTATTTTCAGATGTCCACATTTGATTCAGAGATTCTATTTTTTTACACAGAGTAGAAACAAAGTGATACTTTCATTTAGTCAACCAATTAAATGTGAAACCAGACAAGATTTGTTTCTTTCTCAAGTTAAAATTTTAGAGAAAAGAGGACGGAAACCATCACGTCCGTTATACATTTTTCAAGGGTCATTTAATTAATTATTTTTTATTTTTTAACGATTCCTTTTCATATCAAGTGATTTCCTGATGTTGTGTTAACCATGTAAATATTATGGGATTTCATCTGCCGCTTTTTCAGACTGAGGACATTTTATTTTCTATGTAACTGGCGTCACAGTAGAATGGTCAAAAAAGAGGCTGATTTTGTCGTTTAAAATGTCACCAAAAATATATTTGACAATCTTTCCTTTTGATTTTTTCCACACTATCTCTTTGATGTGTCTGTGTTTGAAATCTTTTTTCCAATCTATGATAGTAATTTTAGTTTTTAAGTTATAACCTTTTAAAGTCGAGATACTTCAATTGACACTTAACTGTGAACACACTCAGCTACATTGTATAACCTTCATATAAGCTTTATACAAGGCTGTTATTTTTTTGCGGCTCCAGACAGATGTTTTTAGTATTTTTTGTCAAATATGGCTCTTTGAACCTTTTGAGTTGCCGATCCCTGGTATAAACAAACTGTAAAAAACGTGACAAAAACATGCCTGGGCCGGTAAGAAGGAAAAAATGCCCGGGCCGTTTTTTTGTCCCAGTCCAGCCCTGCCCACATGGATCAATGTTTTATTCTGTGTTTGGATATGGGTTCTTTTGATGTTTGGACACTGGGATTTATTTTTAATAATATATAATAATATAGTATATAATACAATTTTAAGAGAAATGTTATTAGTAAGTTTTATTTTTGTCTAGTTATACATATTACAGTATGTGATTTGGTGCATGTCCTACATCTTGGACTGATGTGTTTTTAATGTTGTATTGTATGAAAATAATGTCTAAAACAAAAAAAGTTCTAGATGTGTACTAAATAGAACTTGTGTATATTTCATAGATATATTTTGTTTAGCCTATGATTTTGTCAATGTGATATCTAGGACTTCATTTCCCATGATGCTTCAGTGAGCCGCGGCAGTGGAGGCGGGACCACGCGCCTTGTTGCTTGGAAACACTTTGCGCGCTGACAGTGGTGTAATATGAAGGAAGCATGGAGTTTATCTGTTGTTTTCGTGATTACTTCTTTTCCGTAACGTGATACAACAATGTTCACAAAGTGTTTATCTGCTGCTACGTTTCGCTCATTTTTCCTGAGCTGAAACATGAAGAGCAGGAAGCCAAGGCTTGGCAAAGCTGGGACCAGCAAGAGGAAAGGTAATCTGTTGTTAGCATTAGCCACTTAGCTGTTATGCAAAGAAGTTGTAACTAGCTAACTAGCTAGTTAACTTAAGTGGTATTAACTCAACCGTATTTGCTTTTAATGAACTAAAATACCTTAAAGATGTATTCCATTATTTATTAAATTAGGTGTTTATTATTCAAGTGGCTTTTCGGATTGAAACTTTAGGGGTAACTGGTTAGCTAGCTACAAACTACTTTGTAGTTTTACTCTTAACTTGTAAAATATTATTATAAATAACATTTGCAGTTTGTCTTGCCAGTGTTTTCTCTGCATGTAGAACGTAATATTAAATTTATTTGCATCGATTTATCGGATAATTTAACTACAGAATTGTAGAAGTTACAGAAGTTGACGGAACTAATTCTAGCACTGGTTTTACGCATACATGTTTCTGTCTGTTGCCAACACTGCCCTGAAGTTTGATTTTAATATATAGTTAAAATAATTAATAAGCAGTTGGTGTAAAACCAAATATTTGGTGAATAGTTGGTTAAGTAAATATTGTTAATCAATATATTATTCTATAGAATACACATTCTAAAATAAGCTATAGCTGTTGCTCTAATCATGTACATTGTTTATCATTTGTACGTGTTTACATTATCTCCGACATGGTTAAACGCCTGTAAAAAATGTTTACAGTTTCCAGCGACATTTCTCCGTCAACCAGTCTCCCACCGTTGGTGGAGGGCCAGCTCAGATGCTTCCTGCGTGTGACAGTGAGCCGGGTGTTATGGACAGTTCACAATCCTCCTGCAAACACATTTGTCAGGCTGCGCTGGTGGGGCGAGACCTCCAATGGGACCCACTTTTTTCCCAGAGATGGATCACAAGCTGAACAGAAAACACTGAAGACAACGACACGATTCCCCATCCGCTGTGGACCAAAACAGTTCACGTCATACCTATCAGGTTTAGCTCCAGGTTTAAGGTTGTATGGTTATGCTTTTTATATGTTATCTAATTGTATTATCTACAAGCAGATATGGGTTGCATTGTGCTTGAAGTGCTCACAAAATCTGACCATTTACCAATTGCACGAGCTCAAGTGGCTGGCATCCCTCGTCTTTCTCTATCGCACTCTATTAGTGGATTCTACACTCTGGTTTCTCCCACATCTGAGAAAATGGGGGAGTTGCAGGTTTGTTGTTGTTTTATACAATTTGAATGTATATGATTGATATGTGTTTTTAAACTATTCACTTTAGGTTTCACTTTGCTTGGAGCCTTTGACTGAAGCTTATGACAGCAGCAGTTCATGTCCTCCCACAGACATCAGCATTGATAAAGCACCACAGGAAATAAATTCTTCTGAACCCAAGGACTCTGCTGGCAGTGGAAAGGAGTCTGCTGAAAAGACTAGTGACAACACACCAAGGTATTCAGTAGTTTTTCTCAGTGTTCATTAACTAACTACAACATATTTATGTAGCTTTGTAATACTTTTAGGGGGAAAGATCATCTATATTTCCAAAGAAATGAGCAAAACAAGGCATTAATTGAAAACCAGATTCTTGACACACGCCATAGTTTAGAAAAGCCTTGTGACTCTGATCCAACTGACGACTTACTCTCAGGTAAGGAAATGATTTTATCGAAATGTAGAGGAGCACTACTTGATGAATCTCTTAACAGTTATTTTAGAGCGTGGAAACAAGCTGCGCAATGCTATGGTTGTGTCAGCGGTTAAAAATGACATCAATTCAGATCCAACCATCCCTCTATATCGGGACAATACCCAGTTGTACACCAAGTTAGTAATCTAATTGATTCATTCATCAGTTTTTGCTTGCTCTATTTTCATTTTATGTGTAATATTTGACAGACCTCCCTCTCCCCCTCCTGGAACTTTACTTCAAAATATACTGCTTGAAAATACAAACTTGGAGCCCCTTTCTGGTTCAACTGTTGTTTGTGATCATGGCTTAGACGCCTCTATTGACATAGACCAAAAGGCTGTGGAGCTCCTTCTTGGCAGGTAACTTACTACTTGCAATATAACTTAGGGTTCACTACTTTCTTGTACGTATTATGAACATTAAAAGCTTTACTATGACATTTAATTTCACAGTACATCTCCTTTACCTCTTTGGGGAGACTTATCAGCTTTGTCCGACCCAAGCAGTTTGTATGGAGACAGTGATCTAAATGACCCTCAGTATGATCAGAGCTTGTTGGAAAATCTCTTCTACAAATCCCCTGCAAGTATTTTGTATTAATAACAGAAGATTTTGTGATTGATTCATTATTTTTTTATTTATTCGTATTATTTTTTTATATTTTCCTCAGGCCATTGATGAGAAAACTGTTATTACAGAGTTTGGGGAAGAAGCACAACAACAAAAGTCCTGCACAATCCAGAAAACAAATGGAGTGTAAGATTTTAACAATATTATGGCAACAGTAAAACACAAAAACCATCTAGTTATGTAATAAATTGTCACCTTTAGGGAAGATGCTGTTCCTCCCAGTTTCTCTGAGGATGAGCTGCGCAGGTTGAGTTTAGTCCAACTTCTGAGAGTCTGTGTAGATTCTCTGGCTGTTTCCTCTGAGAACTCGTCCACTGCATCAAGACACATCAGCAAAGGCAAACCTCCACGCCCCTTGGCTTCTAAGAAATGGTAATGTTATATTTATATATATATTGGTACTGTTTATTATTATTGTTGTTAATATTCTCGCTAACTTGGTCTTTATTTTTTTCACCCAGTACCTATTTTGTTGAGTATGTTTTTCCACGAATCTCTGTCGATCTTCAAAAAAATGCGGATGAAGTTACTCGAGCTGTTTCCAGTAAGATTACTGGAGAAGGTAATAACATTTTGAATCATTAGAACAAGAAACATATTTCAAAATGGTTTTGTAAAGTGATTATCTGCATGATGTGGTTTCAGTTGTGAAGTTCAGTCAGCGCTCTTTGTTTCCTGTTCACTTCAGTGCCGCTGCTGTTAGACATTGGTGGGAAAAGGATCTTACATTTAGAATATTATTGAGAAAAAGTGACCAAAAGAAGGTAGTGTATGCACTAGCAGCTCTGGTTTGGCCATACATTTGTATTTTGTTTTTAAGATGCTGTTTGGTTTCTTCAGCCTATTTTAGTTGGAAAGGCAGTTCATCCACTTCGCAATTTGCTGCTAAGCAAGTCATTGTCTCAGTGTCTTCTGCTGCCTGTGAGTGTGGAAGAAGATGGAGAAATTAAGGACATGGGGCCGCTAAAGGTATGGTCCATTTTGTTTTCTGGTTATTGCCATTTGAAAATGTGTTTGTTTTTGTAGGTGACTCTTGAGCTTGTCACAGGGAAAAAAGATTCAAAAATTCCTATAAAGCCATTGGTAAAAAGAGATCCATGGGACACAAGCACAACTCCAGTGACAGAACCTGTTGGACATATTGTTTCTGTAAAGGGTCCATTTGTGGATGATTCCGAGAGCCCTCAAAGAACCATAGAAGAACCTCCATGTCAGAACAGTTGTCACTCTTTTCCATCTTCAAACAGAGATCGGTACGCGGAGGAGCCCCCTCGTGTTCTGTTGCACACTTTGCTCATGGTGCCAGATGGAAAAGACTTTCAGTGTTCTCCATTGCATTCTCCAAATGTCTACCTGATTTGTAAACTTTTCTGGTGTGATGAGACTGTGCGATCCCATGTTGCTTGGGGACAGGCAAATCCTACATTTCATTTTGTGCAGGTATGAATTCACCAAAATCATATAATTTGTCATGGTCATTTTTCATCTTGTTTTTTTTTCAGGTGACTCCAGTTGCTTTTACAGCTAAACTGCTGGAGCGCATGAAGAACAATGTAATGGTGATTGAAGTTTGGCAAAAGATTGGAAATCCAAAGGAGGATCACCTTCTAGGCCTTGTGAAACTACCTCTTCACCAGTTCTATATGTCATTCAGGTAACTTTTAACTACTAAATGTTTATGTTCATCTTCGGCTTTTTTAATCTTTTGTCTCATTTCAGGGACGAGAAGATTGCTTATCTACTACTTCAAGCACAATACCCAGTATTAGGAGTGGACTGCTACATGCCGGTTATAGATGTTTTCTCTGGCATTTGTAAAGGAAATCTGAGAGTTATTTTAGCTATGGGTCGATCAGAACAGATTTCTGCCCTTCAGTCAGCAAGAGGTGAAGAACATCATGCTCCTGCGGTGCGACCAGTCCACCTGTTGGATCATCAGCCACAATTAAAGCGGCATAAGGTAATGTTCTAAATATTCACACATTTCGTAATATATACTTATTATGTCTTTGAGGTATTTGATTAGATGTGCTTTAATTGTGTTGTAGGTGACCAGAGGCCCTAATGAAATAATGAAAGAGCATGTGTTTGTGATGAAAGTGGAGAAAGTCATTGGGTTGACTCCTTTGCAGTCCACAGTGTGGGGAGAAGCGGACTGCTACATTCAGTACACTTTCCCTTTCCAGGAAGGCGATCTCACTGATCATACAGACCTCATAGAAAGCAGTAAGAAGGGTGCTTCAACCTTTAGTCAAACTAAGTCGATTGTGTAATTGTGATATTTTTGTTGTAGCCATCAACTTGAAGCCCTTTCGCACCACCACAACCCTCTGTGTCCCTGACCCTATATTTGGCCACACTGAGAGACATGTGCTTTTGGCCCCTGAAGGGGTCCCCATCCAGAAGGTCCTGCTCAGCTCTCTGTCCTGCCAGGGCTTGAGTGATGGGGGCGGTGTGCTGTTTGAAGTGTGGTGCCGGTTTGTGATTTGTTTCTATAGCTCTGATTGGCTACCTTACAGGATATGGTTAGGATATTAATATACATATGTCTGCAGATATTACTATCCAAATGTGCGAGATCAGCTTGTAGCTAAAGGAACTCTTCCACTGTCCAAGCTGTGTGCCATGGTGACCATGCAGACGCTGCACAATGAAGCACAAATGTTCTCACTGCCACTGATACCATGGACTGACCAAGATCACCGTCCTCAACCCTCGGGTAAGTGTTACCAAATTATCATAGCATAGTGGAGAATCGCATTCTTGACTGGTGTAGGAAATAATAACTGAGTCACTGTAACTAGGTTTGTTGGACGTCTGTGTTCAATACAAACACCGTCCTGTGAGGCCAGAGGGACGGATGGGAAGAGGAGCTGCATCGCGGGTTGTGACACTTGTGATACAAATCCATAGAGCGTCTGGACTGAAAGCTGCTTCCAGGTACTCCATTATCTCTTTTGCTTTCATGTCAGTTGACCATTTATTTAGAGAAGGGATTTGAGTGTCCTGATCTTTGCAGAGCCATGGAACAGACAAATGAGCGTTTCAGCTACTACACCTCTGTGGGTCTGAACAGCTACATCACAGCTCAGCTCTCGTTCTTGCCTGAGCGTGAAACAAGGTGCACTCGTATAGTGGCACGGAGCTTCAGTCCAGAGTTTGACCACTACATGGAGATGTCTTGTGACCTGTTTCTTCAAAGAAGCACTGGAGAGTCATTTAGTCTCGCAGAGCAGCTGGAGCAGGCCTCTGCCATTTTCACAGTGTGGAACAGAGAGAGTCGAAAAGGTTCAAAGGAAATACAATAAAACAACATGAAACACATCAGATCTTTGGATTTCTAATTTGTATTTGTTTCACATTCAAAGGAGTTGAAGCGTCCCAACCAAAAGATGTGCAGTTAGGCACAGTCAAAGTCCCACTTGCTGATCTCATCTATAAAAGAACTGGTAAGTACTGTTGTAGATTTCGTTTTAGGTTGTCCTCATTTGACCTGTTTTGCTGGTTCCATGTCATTCAAGTGATTTCTCATCCTTTTTAGGCATTTCAGGCTGGTTTGGAGTGCATGTGTTAAAGCAGACTTCTTCTGGGGAGCAGCAGGTTTCGGTCGGAGGTGCTGAAATTTCCATTAGCTTCGCTCATCACTCAGACAGAGAAAGGGTCCTCAAAGCTGCGCAGGGCCTGGGCTGGGAAATTGCCCATCACCTCAGTGTCGGAGAGGAGGAGGATGAGTTCTGGGAGGATAACCGTAGTCAAATCTCACTGACGTTTTCTGTGCCTCGTGCCTGGATACCTGTGCACTGTCTGCTCCTACCGGGCCTGGCGGAAATGCAGCGCTCAACCTACTGCTACTTCAGATACAAGTTTTATGACCGTGAAGCCTTTTGTTCTCACATGAAGCATCCAGATGTTGAGGACAGCATGGCCACAGTCGGTTTTGAAGGAAGTCACACAGTCGAGCTCAAAAAGACTCAACCCTTACTTTGGTATCTGCGCGAAGAAATGTTGGAGATTCAAATGTGGGTGGCATTTAATAAAGACAACACTCAAAGGCCCTGTGATACGGACCGACTGGTTGGCTCGGCTTTTCTGGATCTGTCTGCACTTGCTAAAATGTCCCAACAAAAACGCACACTTAGTGGTAAATATTTTACATGGTAGTTACATTATTTGTACTTATTTGAATGTAATGTTTTCTCATAACTATTTGGATTTCACAGGAGTTTATCCAATGTTCAGACGATCTGCAGCTGATCTACAAGGATCCGCTCTCAGGGTCCACGTTACACTGACATCAGGTCCAGGCCCAGGCCCTAGCATGGCAGCTCAAACAGAGATTGATGAAGAAGAACTTTTATCTGATGAAATAGATGATGCAACACTCCAGTTAATACACAGACCATGTCTCAATACAGCTTCTAAAAGCACAGACATCACAGCTGGGCAGAGCACAGAGATGGACAATAATGACTCTTTTCCCGCGATTGTTACAGTGGATAAAGCCATGCACCTAAATCTGAAAGGTTAGTCATTGAGTGAAGTTACTTCATTCTAAACCTGTGCCTTTTCTGGATGTGGAGCTCATCCAACAAAATCTACTTATTCTCTCATTAAACTTGTGCTGCAGGTAGTGACAAAAACAGCTGGATTTTATGAAGAAATTGGAAATGCAAATGTGATACTCCTGTGACGCTCATTCTGCTTTCTGATTAGATAAACAGCTTGATAACCTAAATATCAAATATTACATGAACAATGTGGCTATTGTGTCCATTTGTTTTGCAATTAAAACAACCATTGTATATGGGAACATGTCTATACCTCATCTCTGGGGACACAAATATGCCTTTTTCATTAATCTATGTTTTTCTATTCTGTCTTATTACACTAACCCTAATTTTGTTTTCAAGGTTGTCCTCTCTCAAATCACGGTGACGGAAGCCCGTGCTGCTGCGTGTCTTATGTCACGGCAGACTCCGCTGAACACGTCTCTACAGCTGTCGTTTCCAGCAGCGACAGCCCAGTGTGGGACCACCAGCATGAGTGCAGGTACAGCATTAATACTGGATACACTACCAGAAATCAAATTAGTATATTAATATATTTCTCTCTTGGTAATAATCAATTCTACGTATATAGTTTTGAAAGAAGAGGCTTGAGAAAGAATTTGGGACTTGTTACTGAATAATGTATAATAGAAAATGTGATAAGTTGGAACATCTTTTGATACAAGAGAACAACATAATAAAAGACATGTTTTATTGAAAATTCAACGCAATATATTAGTTGTACTTTTTTCTTTGTACAAGCATTGACATTGTATATGCTGCTATACCATAAAACATTCACAGAATTTATAATGTGTCAAATTCGTCATTTTCTGTGTATTAATTAAATTTCACTTGCAGACTGTCAAAGGAGTTACTTGTAGACCCCCAGCAATCTCTTGTCTTCAAAGTGTGGCACAAAGGAGGTAAAATAATAGTTTTGGTCAAAAATGACTGTTCAGAGTGAGTACCTACAGTGAGTGCTTTTGTGATGTTCAGAGATGGACAGAGTGATGGGCTTTGCTGCTGTGGACCTGACGCCTCTGCTCTGCGGTCTGCCCTCTGTTTGCGGCTGGTACAACATTACAGACTTCAGCGGTCAATGTCACGGTCAGCTCAAAGTCTCTGTCACACCACGCAAACCAATCCACGGCCTCGGAATAGAAAGAAAGACTCAGCGTGAAGAAACGGCTACAAACTCATCTGTAAGTCTTTCAAATGTGCTTTCTTTGAGCCTTTAACCATGTTGCAATATTGTTCCCTCCTCAAAAACAGACCTCGTTTGAAGATTCATCCACTCTAATCCTCTAGCACAGGGATTAAAGAGTTCCGTCTAGGTGACGGATTTCCGTCAAATGAAATTGGTCTGGAAAAAAAAAAAAAAAAAGTATATATAATGATAATAATACACACAATGAAATGATTGATTATAAAAATAATATATACATATACGTGTGAATCTGTTATATATATCGATGTATAATAATAATTTGAATATAATTGTATTTATACAATTAAGTAATATAATGACGAGTGGGCCTTGAACGTGACGTGGCCACATGAGCGCTCCGCAAATGAATCAAGGCAATGGGACGTAGCTGAGCTCACGCGCAAATGAAGACGCGATGAAGTTAGCATTGGTAACACGGAGGTGAAAGTTTCTGGAAACTGCACGGAGCTTTTGAAAAGGAGAAGAGGAGGAAAATTGAATCTCGAACGGAGCGATAACAGCAGCAGATCCGCGGACTGGTAAGCTGGGCGCGTAATAGACGAAAGGTAATTAACGTTTACCAAACGCAATGCTATTTTACTTAACGGAATGTACAAAACGGACTTTGCTGCAACTGGGAATGGGGACAAACATGTCTTGGTGAGCTTTTGATATTGTCTTGTTTGCGATCTTCTTGCAAAACTCAGCGTGATGTAAAAGAGCCAATCAATGAGTCATGGTGCGAAAAGATGAGAGTGGCCGGTGCTTGTGCGTACTTTGCCATAAAAAATTGCATATATGGGAGCAGGGCTGGACTGGCCATCGGGCATACCGGGCAATGCCAGAAGGGCCGATACCCATATTTGGGCCGGTCTGTTTGCCTCATACAAAAAAGATGTTTGTGAAAAGTGTAAATCCGTTGAGAACTGTTCGAGGGGGCGCGCGTGTCCGCGGGGCACCTGCTGTATGTACTCGAACGGGATTCCACCACCTCAGCGGCCGCAGTGTTCCCGCATCCAGCGGCTCTGAGCTGGACGCAGGAACCGCTCACCGGGAGCCGCTCACAACACAACACGGTGAGCGCGTAGCCGCAACGTGACCATATACCCAAGACCATAAACGCGCACAGGACCATGCGTGTCTTTGCGTAATTTGTGCACCCAAGAAATACACCGCTGCAGGAAACAGTCCGCGTCTCCCCTCTCCTCTCGAAGTGCGACTAAATTAAAGCTCGGGGGCCTAAATTTTCCATTGCATTAAAAGTTCATGTTTGAGCCCAAAAGTAAAATGTTGTGACAAAATTAAACAGATTTAGAGCCAGCCAATGGCTGACATTATGCATTTCCGACTTTTTTGACCAATTCTCATCCCTGTAACAAACAACAGTGTTGTCTGCGTCCACCTCCCTCACTCTGAGACATGTTTATTACTCTCTTGTAATGTAGACTATTGCACTTTATTTTTTTGTTGAAACTGTAGACATCCTGATCCTCTACAGTATGCTTCCACATACTGTATAAACCAGGGGTCGGCAACCTTTAGTGCTCCTCCAGTGGCTCCTGGAGCCTTTTCAAAAATGTCTGAAAATGGAGTGGGAGGGCTATATTTTATTCCTAGTTTGAATGTGGTTTCTGTAGGAGGAAAAACATTCCTAACGTATTTCAATGCTGTAAAAATGTGTATAAGTAATATTCAATTTCAACATTTCTGTCAACGTAGTGCGTCATATCCTGTGGCGCGGCCCCGCGGCAGACGGCCGCTGCTGTAAACAAACCGGCGTGTGCGCACGGATCCCAAAGATAAAAAGAGAACGAGTCGATAATAAGACTGGACTAAGAACAAGACTGAACATTTGCTTTCAGTCAATGAGGAAGGACTGCTTCATGTTTGCGATGTAATAGGAAGTTTTGTTGCAACACGAGGAACAATGAAGCACTAAATACCGTTCACAGGGATTACGTGAAGGATTCTTTCATACAAAATCCGGAGCACCTTTTTCAGACTTCAAAAACCTCCGCAAAGGCTGTGAAAGAAAAGGCCATTAAGGACATTCAGCTCCAGCAAACTTCAGCCTGTGACGTAATCGATATGAGTGGACAGTGCAGGTGTGTGACCTTTGAGCCAAAAAGCAGATTTATTTACTGTATTTCTACAGTTGCATGAAGGCAAAAAAATGGAAGTCAAAGTTAAAGCAGAGTCATCACGTGGTGCGTCATTCTCTCCAGGACACGCTGCAGTGAAAACACACATTTGACAATCATGAATGCTAATCATGTATTTGTAGCCTTTACTTGGTCATTTAGATAATAGGCTAATGTAGCTAATGTAGCTGGGCTTGTTCACACTAAAGGGCACAAAAGTGTGACAAAAGGCCAAAAATTAGATTTTAATAATCAGAAGATATTTTATGTTTTTCATGTTTCCAAACACCTCCTCTGTTCATTAGAAGTTGCTAGAACATAACTGTTTTATACATTAGACAAGTTTCCTATAGCGGCCCTGTTTTATTTATTTTATCTAACGGACGTGATGATTTGACGGAATGAGCTTTGCGGAAGTTTGATAGGTATTTTCAGATGTCCACATTTGATTCAGAGATTCTATTTTTTTACACAGAGTAGAAACAAAGTGATACTTTCATTTAGTCAACCAATTAAATGTGAAACCGGACAAGATTTGTTTCTTTCTCAAGTTAAAATTTTAGAGAAAAGAGGACGGAAACCATCACGTCCGTTATACATTTTTCAAGGGTCATTTAATTAATTATTTTTTAACGATTCCTTTTCATATCAAGTGATTTCCTGATGTTGTGTTAACCATGTAAATATTATGGGATTTCATCTGCCGCTTTTTCAGACTGAGGACATTTTATTTTCTATGTAACTGGCGTCACAGTAGAATGGTCAAAAAAGAGGCTGATTTTGTCGTTTAAAATGTCACCAAAAATATATTTGACAATCTTTCCTTTCTCTTTGATGTGTCTGTGTTTGAAATCTTTTTTCCAATCTATGATAGTAATTTTAGTTTTTAAGTTATAACCTTTTAAAGTCGAGATACTTCAATTGACACTTAACTGTGAACACACTCAGCTACATTGTATAACCTTCATATAAGCTTTATACAAGGCTGTTATTTTTTTGCGGCTCCAGACAGATGTTTTTAGTATTTTTTGTCAAATATGGCTCTTTGAACCTTTTGAGTTGCCGATCCCTGGTATAAACAAACTGTAAAAAACGTGACAAAAACATGCCTGGGCCGGTAAGAATGAAAAAATGCCCGGGCCGTTTTTTTGTCCCAGTCCAGCCCTGTATGGGAGTAATGAGAAAAAAGTTTTGATTCGCCACCAGCTCAAAACTGCGCACAAGGCAGCTGTTTGTGCACTTTCCCACACTTCATCTTTACCTGGTGCATCAGCAACAACTGACACTAGGCTTGCTATGGCAGACCGTGTCTGTGGCTTTATCGCAGAAAATAACGTTCAGAATATCACTACCGCTGGTAGATTTATTTAAATCATTTGCAGTTGATCGAAGTGCACTGTGCACTCAAACTTGATAGGGAAACCTTTTTCTTAAATATTGACGTGTCCACAAACAAATGTGGACAGAATTTTATCGTCCTTTTGCGATATTTTAAAGAAGACAGAGCCAAAGTGTTGACGCTCCATATCGCCTCAAGTAAAGCTACTCTCACTAATATTCTGTCAAAAAGTTGACTCGTTGCTTGATCCGCTTATATTTCATATCAAAATACACTGTATATCTTTGAAGAATTCATTTGAGCTGTATTCAATATACAATCTATTATACAATAATATATTGTAATTAAAAGTATAACTTGGTCCTGCATATTACTGTGATTTACATGTGATAAATTTCCATGCAAAAATTTTCAGTCAAATCTTTTTTTTTTGCTTTAACCCCTGCTCTAGCACAAACATATAACTTTGTTACTAAAAGATCCTGTGTCAACCCCGTCGCTACTAGTTTAATGTAATTGTGCCACTATGACATCTGCTTTTTAACCCAAGTAGTTCCCATAAATTAGGTTTGACAATTTCTCTTGACAATTTCTCTGGTGAAATTACGTTCTTTTACAAGCACATTTATGTGTCTGCAGTTGGTAATTTTCAAAGTTGACATAAATAGAAATAAAACTCCTTCTAGTGACATAGGGTGTTTTTTTTCCCCTTTATGCCTGTTTCACCATGTATTATTTCACATAATAAAACGTAATGCGATAATTTACTATATTTAATTTATAACTCACAATAATGCACACTTTCTTTTTTAAAACAGTAAATACAACTGGAATACAAAGTTTGATATGGTATACATATTTTATTTTTATTTTTTTACAGGCTTTAATTCAAGCAATCAGCTATCAGACAACAGCCACATACAGCAGTTTCCCTTCACACATCAGCCGCTATCCGGAGCAGAAAATCTCCTCTCCGAACCACACAGAAAAACTGTTCTCTGAAAGGTGAAACATCCACATTTACAGTCGTTACGTTCTGCTTCACCGACAATATTACTACATTTAAATCCAACTTTTTAGATTGAGTGTGAGCGACAGACACGTTGAACACATGGAAAAAGTGCGGCTGTATCACCAGAGCCTCCAGGAGCAGGTCGCCGCTCCCTTTGCCAGTGATGTGGGAGACGGGAATCCCTCCAGCTCCTTTCTGTTTTCAACTCTAAGGTAGCTGCTGTTATAAACTGTTGCTTCTAATCATTTAAACATTATTGACTTTATTTGTTGTGTATCTCAGGAAAAAACTGGGCGAGCTCGACAATATTCAAAGGTATTTTAGTTGTAAGCTTTCTACTCCGACTTTCCCAACAAGTGATGAAGATGTGAACCATAAACCAGAGGCACCAGAAGCCTCAGAGACGGACACTCAGCAGCTGCTCCTCAGGTCCAGTACTTTAGTCGGACAAGTCAACTCTATCATTAGTGGTAAGCTGCTCTTTCTTTTTCTACATCTGCCAAGTTTTCACTTCCAAAGAATAATTACTAGCAATGCTTTATTATGTTTTTTATGCCAATATTCTGAAATGTCAACATTTTAAACCAAAAAAAGTCATATTAATAAATCGATATCTACTAAAACACATAATTTGAGGCGCACCAATTATAATGAATACTATTGTTTTTTGATGAAGAACACCAAAACTCAATTAACCCAGTTAATTCCCAACGTAACAAAAACCTGCATACCATAATTGGGAAAAAATAGAATTGAGTTAGTTTCATTGAATTCAAAATCAGAACAGCAGCTCTGTGGACGTTACCAACAATTGATTAGAGAATCAAACTATTTTAACACAAAGAAATGCAATAATAAATCACACAACAGTCTTCCATAGGGTACAGGGTACATACAGTACATGTTGAGGTAATTCATGATGTGACCTGTTTGTGCAATAGGACTCCAAGGACAGCATTTGGAGACCATACCCTTCGATCCTCAGAGCAACAGAGATTCTCCCGTCGAAGACCCTCCTCCTCAGAATCACCACGTGACGGTAGAATCTTCCCACAATGAAATTTTAACTGAAGAACAGCGTGACTCTGTCCTCGGACATGACATTCAAAATGATGCGCCCGTTTTATCAGAGGAGGAGCAAAGACCTGAAGAGGAACTGGAAACAGGACGTGAAATGGACCAAGATGATGATGATGATGATGAAGATTATGAGGAGACTGTTGTCAAACCCAGACATCTGAACGAACTGACGTCTTTAACAGATAAGACCAGCCCTTGGACCAGCATTCTATCAGACCCCGATGTAGCTTCTCTTGAAAGTATTGATACTGAAATTAGTCACAGTGATAAAGCAAAAGTGCACAAAGTGAACTTAAATACTGGCTCTGATTGCGAGGAGGGCAGTGGAAGTGATGGCATTTCAGAAATTTCAGAGTTGGACGTCGATGAAGAAAGTCCCAGGACGTGTGAAAACCAAGCATTGACGATAAAGGACAGCAGCGAGCCGGACGATGAGCCGGACGATGAGCCAGACGATGAGCCAGACGATGAGCCAGACGGGGCTAAGTCGACTGAAATCAGCCATCCCACCCAGACAGAGCAGAGCAAGGACACACAACCAGAACCGTATCCTTTTAAACTATGTCATTTGTTTAACCAGACAGTTGTATAAGCTCTTCACAATGAAAAATTTAAAAATCTGACCAATGCTCCCCTAAAAATAGAAATGCATTCCATACATTCAAAATACTGCTCCAAATACTATTAGATTATATTTTATTGTCCAAACGCAAGTAAAGCATCTTTGAATTACTGAAAGCTCTAGACGTCTGTTATATTTCAGATTATGTTGTTGTGTGGTGACGTGAAGGAAGGACCCAAGAAGCAGGAATGCAAAAAAATAATGCTTTTAATTAAGGAAATAAATACATCTCCAGGGGAAAAAAATAAAAAACTCAAAATCCAAAGGTAACTCAAGAACAAGCAAAACCGACGCACAAAGGCAGACACTGACAATGAACCAGAAACAAACGTGGAAGAGCACAGGGTACATAAAGACACATGAAACGCATGAGAACTGGGCAGACAATCAATGAGGCAACAAGACAGGAAGTAAAACTAAAAAAAAAAACACAGAACTAAAGTCAAAATAAATACAAAACCCATACCATGTGCTGGTTCTTTAAGTGGTGGGGTGCAGGATGCTCAGCTGGAGAGGGCGCCAGATAGTTTTAAGATACCATTTTTTTTTTTTTTTTTAAGCCTTTCACTGTGATTCACCAATTTGACACCAAACAGGTTATGTCTGGGTTTGAGAACCTGATGCCTAATAATAATAATAATAATAATAATAATAATAATAATAATAATAATAATAATAATAATAATAATAATAATAATAATAATAATAATGTATTGAAACTAACAAGTGCTGCGCCCTACATTGCTGCGATCATGTGACTATTTCTTAACAAGCTTCTAAGACTTGATATTCCAGAGATGCCAAACTTCTTTCTCCCTCCTCACCAGATGGAGGCTTCTATGAAAGCCATACGTTTGGCTCCATCATTTGCACAATCTCCTGTCGATTTTGTGAGTAAATGTATTGTCAATAATTATTTATTCACTGCTTGTGCATCACCATAATGCTTTGTGGGCCGAGGGGGTCACATGCCATCACTCTAAAACTGTCATATAAGAGCCTTATATTTCTTCTTGTAAAATATGGACCAATTTTGTTTAAGTCTGAAATAAAGATTGATAATCATATTAACAACATATAAATTAAACAAAGCTTAAAACATCTGTATCTGTGCAATTTGTTGATATTGAAAAGTCAAATAAGGAAGAAGTTTGCATAATCCTTGTGTTCCATCTATTTAGAGGGTTAATTTTTATCGTCTGTACATTTTCTTGGCAATAGGGAGAGGAATATATTCTATATGTTTGAATAAGTCACTTTAATGGCTAAAAATCCCTTTATTTCTTAGTCTTAGTAAAAAAAAGGAAGGTCCTTTGGGATTATTAGACTGTATTGTGTTGTGTCAATAGCAAATAGCAGTTTCAATATTAATTTATTGCAGTACATCAAGGTTTATTTGTTTTTGTTATGAAGTAATCAATCACAGTTGAAGCTCTCCTTCAATGCAGAATGGAAATACCAGTTAAACGAGAACTATTGTTTGGATTAATGTTATTTCTTTGCCTTCACAGAGATCAATTGTTGCACCTGCAAAAGGCCCCAGGACACGCCCCAATTTATCTCCTTCATCTTTGAGGAGAGAGACGGACAGAATATCCAGAATATTTGCAGCTCATTTTGACAAGGCCCATAATGACTGAGTCGTTCATGTTTATACCATCTGTGAAAATCATGTAAATATAATGCCAGTAATTTTTATTTATGAATAAATAATTTTATGACTGATTTACTGCTCATTATTACCCTGTGGTTCTGCTTATTTGAAGCACGTTTCTTAGAATACTGCACATATATTTAGTTGGTCTTTAGGAGTGGGGCGTCCTTTTGTAACTGGAGCACCCAGAGGAATTCCTGTGTTTGACTGGAGCAGCGTTTGGGGTGGTACAGTTTCTCCTAAAGAGGCGTGACGCATCAGAGGCAGTGTGTTTGTCACCATACTCTGGTGTTTGCACTGTGCTACATCCGCCTCAGTATAAGTGGAATGACATTGACTGTTTTGTTCATGGAGAATTTATCAGCGAAAATACATTTTTATTCTTTTTCAAATGGTTTTGTTACCTGCAACATTACAGTCTCTTCAAGGGTAACCAAGAAGCTTTGACATGAGCTTTTGGACCTCATCTGTTTGTCTGAGTCTGAACAATTTAAACTTCTACCTCTGAGGATGGCAGCACCTGAAGTGGCCCCAACTGTGGCTGTCAAATTCTTCTCAGCCGGAACAGCTGCATGTGTGGCTGATTTGGTCACGTTTCCTCTGGACACCGCAAAAGTCCGACTTCAGGTGAGAATTATTCCTTTATTTTAAAATTATACTTCATTTGTATACAATATGTTTTTCCTCCTAGATTCAAGGGGAATCCTCAGATGTAAGAAAGAGGTACAGAGGTGTGTTTGGCACCATCTTCACCATGTGGAAGACTGAGGGCCCCCGGAGTCTGTACAGTGGGTTGGTGGCAGGACTCCACAGACAGATGACTTTTGCTTCAGTGCGCATTGGCCTCTATGACTCAATGAAGCAGTTCTACTCCAGAGGATCAGGAGGTATCTGCTCTAACATGTTTCACTGGTACATCACTAGAAGGGCTCCATATGGTTGGGACATGTGTTGTTTTTCCACAAACCCTGTGTCGGTCAAAGGTCAGACGTTTTCAAGGAACATGTAATGCTGAAGGCACATACCTGATAAATCTGATTAAGATCAGCTGTTGGTATGTAAAAGATAAATTGTGTTCTACTAAGATAAAACCATCATGTTGTGTTCTGATTTGTTTATAAAATGTATATATGATCGTATTCAACATCTGGCATTGCTTAAAGTCTCTGTTTTCTGTTCTGTAAAAGTACATGTTCCTGATTGTGCAGATGTTGGGATCGGCACTCGAATCCTGGCCGGCTCCACCACAGGAGCCATGGCTGTGGCCTTCGCTCAGCCCACTGACGTGGTGAAGGTGCGCTTCCAGGCGCAGATGAGGCTGCCTGAGAGTGGAGCGGTGAAGAGATATGACAGCACCATCAGCGCCTACAGGACTATTGCCAGAAATGAGGGCATCAGGGGCCTTTGGAAAGGTCAGCATTATTTATAAGAAATTGGCACATGTTTTTTTAGAATGTATTTTTCATTTTTTCATACAGGTTGTGTCCCAAACATAACTCGAAACGCCATTGTGAATTGCTCGGAGCTTGTTACATATGACATTATCAAGGGACTCATTTTGAAGCACAAGATTATGACAGGTATTTAAAAGGAGCCCCTGTGGTTTGTTCTAAATACAGTATACTAACGACAAAATACTTTGTCAGACAACCTGCCGTGCCACTTCACAGCAGCTTTTGCAGCAGGATTTTGCACAACCATCGTGGCCTCACCGGTGGATGTGGTGAAGACACGCTACATGAACTCTGTGCCGGGCCAGTACAGTGGAGCCATTAACTGTACCTTCACCATGTTGGTGAAGGAAGGGCCCACAGCCTTCTACAAAGGGTATGAGCTACTTTGAGTTTAACATATGTAGCAAAAAAAACAACCTAACTCCTGTTGTATCTTCCAGGTTTGTGCCTTCGTTTCTTCGACTGGGATCCTGGAATATAGTGATGTTTGTAAGCTACGAGCAAATAAAGAGAGGGGTCAGCCGAGCCAAGGATTACTGGAACTCTCCTGGATGATATTTCCTTTGAGCTTGAGTTCTGTGCCGGCTGTGTGACTTGTGTAGGCATGTTGTTCCTGGTACAATTTGTTTCCCGTACAAATTGTTTTAGTGGCATATTATAAGTGTTGGGTGTAGCTTCAAACAGGTTATATCGTCCATATAACCTGCTGTGATTACATCTCTTTCTCAGTACTTAGGAAGCATAATAAGCATTACTTAAAACATGCTTGGAATTTAGATAAGTTATTATCAGTGTACTCATTAGTTACATTCAGTAAATAAGCAAACTGTCTCACACAGCATGAGCAACAAATAAACTCGACACAGCGGTAACATGGATCATTTTGAATGTGGAAAAACTAGATTGATTGCACTCAGGGAAGTGCATATCGGGTCAACCATAGACATATATAGAATAGACCTCGCATTGGTTGCTCGGGCACGAGAAATACGGCCGCCATCTTGGACCGGTCATCCTACAGCGCGATGCCTGAACACTGTGCGGCGTATGGCTGTCAAAATAGGTGGACTATTCAAAACAGGGCTCGTGGGATTACTTTTCACAAGTAAGATTTAACATTATTATTGGTTGTACTAGTTTGTTAATGGAATATTACTGAATTGTATTTATGTCACCAACTAAATCAGATACAGAACATCTATTGAATAGCAAACAAGCTAACTTACAGCAGCTTTGGTTCATTATCAAAATGCGAGTTTTGTTGAAGAGATGTTCTATATTTGAAGGAGGAAAATGGGAAGAAGTAATTAGGAATAATAGGAATTATGGTAATATATATATATATTTTTGTTGTTTTATTCATTTATTTGCATTTTGAAGGTTTCCCAGGTGGGAAAAAGTGGGAAGTGGCTATGAGGAGGGAAGGATTCACTGCAAGTGATTCATCCGTGCTTTGCAGTGAGCATTTTAAGCAGGAAGATTTGGACAGGACAGGTCAGATTATCCGACTCAGAGATGGTGTTGTTCCATCCATCTTCAGCTTCCCGGTTCATCTCCAAAGAGTAGGTTTATCACCATAAGGCTTTTGTCTCTTCAAATTGTTTTGTATTCAGTCCCACACAAGTGTCATACCAGTAAGTATGCAAACATGATGCTCATTTATTTAATTTTTTTTCAATGTTCAGTTGCAACTGTTTTTTGTTGGAATTGTCTTGTATTCAGTGTGTTTCAGGTCCCACATGCTTCTAAATGGTATGTATTACACCACATCAAGTTTTTGCAGGTGTCAGAAGGATGGTATGTACGTTATTATTATGTTCTCTTGCTTCAATGTCTTTCAATCTGCCGTTTTGTTTCTATTTTAATTATCCTATATTCAGTGTGTCTCAGGTATAGATGTTTCTAAATGGTATGTATTACACAAAATGCATGTAGGTGTCAAAATGGTATGTATTGCATGTGTTCTTGTTCACAAGTTTTCCCAGTTCAAGAATTGGTTATTACACATTACTGATGGATATGATGGAAAAATCACTTTACTGCTTTGAATGAACATGAATGTTTTGCCATGATCAGCAGAATCATTTTTTTTTCTTTAGCAGATATTTGTCTGTCATTGGCTTTGTCATTAACATTGACACGTTGATGGTGATGATTCCTGAACTGCTCCAAATTCAGCGGTATGTCCTCACCTACAGGTTCAGCCAGGATCACTTGGAGCTCCTTTTTAATTCAATTAGAGCGTCAGGTAGGGTTGATGTTCTTATAATTACAATAATTCGGAAAAATTACTTGAAGAATATCTTTGTGTGTTATATCTTGTGTGTATTTTGTGCCTGTTTTACATACAAGGTGGCTGGAATAACAATCCGTCTGCTCGCCAGTTCCAGGCAATCTTCCGCCATCTGATGGTCCGGTGTGGTGTCTCTCCTAGTGAGACAGGCAATGTGGCAGCCCAAGATGACACTGTGTCCTTGTCTGCATTAGAGATGTCGTCTGCTGAAACTGCTGAAGAGCACCCATCTCCATTTGCCAACATTTCAGCTGTTGTGTGTGACCATAGCTATCTTCCCACTCGGTTTGGAGGTCTGGTGGAAAATTCTCTGGTCTACATAGCAGGATTTGTAGTCCGGCAGATTCTGCGCAAGCTGTCCTGTGATGTTCATTCATTTCATTTTTCATTTATTTATTTATTTCAGGCAGAGGGCAACATAGAATATACAGCAGAAAACAAAACAAAAAACAATCCACTTCCACCTGAAAGGGAGTGGGAAGAAGAAAACTTATTTAATCCCACCCCCAGTTCCCCACTCAGAGCTCAACAGACTCAACTTCACTGTCACTATATATATATATATAATATATATATATATAATTACATACATGTGTGTGTATGTTTCAGTATTTCACTTGTTGAATAAATGTCCCTAACATTTTGTGAGTAGTGTATACAACATTGTGTATTATGCAAAATTCCTGTCATACATCACATATATCATATATCAAAATATTCTATTACTGTTAAACCCACTATGAATATTAACATACGCCAAACCATGTGTCCTGTGTTATATCTATATCTAAATATTATATCTATATCTAAATGTTAAATCTATATCTAAATGTTAAATCTATATCTAAATGTTAAATCTAAATGTGTCGCCAAGTGTAAAGCTAAATATATAGAAACCACGCCCACTGCAGTGGCTTCAAATCCAGTGGGCCCGCCTTCCGTGCCGTGTGGTGAGAACCCTACAGGATTACACAGGAATCTCACGGGACTCCACGTGGCTTAGTTTACAGTGAATACACTCTGGCTCCAGCAAATAAGCAAGAATCTTCACAAAAATGCTAATTTTGTGCCGTGGCCAAGGACGATGGCGCCGGAGACCCAACATGCCTTGAGCCGTGACGTCGGTCTACGTGTATTCCTATGTTCAAAACACGCGGTACCGCCCCCACTCACCACACGGCACGGAAGGCGGGCAGTGGGCGTGGTTTCTATATATTTAGCTTTACACTTGGCGACACATTTAGATTTAACATTTAGATTTAACATTTAGATTTAACATTTAGATTTAACATTTAGATTTAACATTTAGATTTAACATTTAGATTTAACATTTAGATATAGATATAACATTTAGATATAGATATAATATTTAGATATAACATTTAACATTTAGATATAGATATAATATTTAGATATAGATATAACATTTAGATATAGATATAACATTTAGATATAGATTTAACATTTAGATTTAACATTTAGATTTAACATTTAGATTTAACATTTAGATATAGATATAATATTTAAATATAACATTTAACATTTAGATATAGATATAATATTTAGATATAGATATGTCTTAAATGTGAGGAAAATGTGCTAAATGTGAGGAAAGTGAGCTAAATGTAGAAAAATGTTCAGTTTAAAAAATTTTAACAGAATTTTTACAAACGGCACCCCATACATGTGTGTGGTTTACAGTAAAAAAAAAGTGTGAAAATCAGTGAAGTATTCAGCGAGTTATGATTGATTAAATGCGCTGACTCGTCACTGCGCCTGCTAAACAGATTACTCTGAGAGGAGCGGGCGACCGGTCCAAGATGGCGGCGCTACGGCTCGTCGGCGCCAATGGACAGTAGCGGTAGATGCGGCGTCTATTCTATATATGTCTATGGGGTCAACATCATCCTGTTTTTCCTGCTCTTATCTACACCATATTTCTGCACAATCCGTCCAGTTTTTTCTCACAATTTTGCATACAGACACACACGAAACTACTGATTAGTTAAGTTTTTTTTCATAGTAACTTACCCAACATTGCATAATAGATTACTCTTCTAAACACAGCCCTTTTTCACAAACTGGCAAAAGGTTCATTTGCTTCTCAACGTCTCCTCAGCGCTTACGTTGTTGATGTGATTTTGTACATTTGAAGAAACAAAATCTGCATCCAAATCAATGACAGATACTTCCTGATCCTTTACATTAACCCTTTATGAAACCTTTTTTTTGGTGAAAAATGTATAATGCCACCAAAAAAAGACCAGAAATAAGGTTTTTAGACTGTTGGCCAGTTTAATAAAAGACATATTGGCTGATATTTAAAAAGAAGCAAAGGCATATTTTGTTTGTGATTGGACCATCTTTACTTTATTCAAAATGAACCCAACATAGCACTTATTCCCTTTAAGGGAACCCCAATAGTTTAAATGTTTTTGTGTTGTACAGATACTTTATGTAAATTATTTGTAACATGAATTAAATTTAGGTCATGACCTCGTATAAATGTTTACCCTCAGGTGCAATGCTGCAGCCATAAATCATACAGACCAATGGCTGCTCCAAAAACAAATTAATAAATCTGTTTCTAAAGACATGAGCTGGAGGGTGTTTGAATTGCTGCATTCTAGTGCTGACTCTTGAAGGATCCGGTAATTTGAATTGATATTCTCAAACGGCATATATCTAACTCCATGAATATCCATACGACATAAGAACCCATAACGCCGTGGCAGTTTTTGTCCGCTAGAGGGAGCCGTAGTGCGTCGTCAGCATTCATCTTACACATATGATTAAACATTATTAAACAAAACGAAAGTATGTAAAGTAAGAGGCCTCAATGATATAAATTATAGTTTATAAAGGCCAAACACTAAACGTATGTGTATTAGGTTACTTTTGCCATTATCGTGGACATACTACATAAGATTGTTATTGACAGCTCTATGGCACAATCCATGTTTTTAATATGAAGTAGACACGTGGAATAAGTGAAGCACTTTGTACTTTGGTGAATAGTTTATCCAATAATGTACACGTGTTGATGTCAGCCAGACAGACCACCTTGTTCTTTGTTTACAGGACTGAGCTCGTTACTGCTTCAGCTAAATGTGGCTCTGGTTAATCCTCAGGTGGCTCAGCAGCAGTGAAAGTCCTGCGGGGACATCCACAGCGCAGACCCGGACCCGCCTGGACCAGACACCATGAAGAGCCTCCCTAGACACCCACCAGTAAGTAAAATAAAGAAAGCATTGTATTTATCTTTTTTATATGGGGAATGGTTTGGAGCTTCCATTGACTGGTGATCAATATGGGGACCACCCTAGTATAGACCTACTGCTATTGGTCAAAATACTGATATGACCCATTCTGATTCAGACAACTTTATTTGAAATGAATTTGAGCAGTGTCAGGGTATGAAATAATAGCACAGTATAAAACACAGGAAATTGACATAAACGATAACATCAACATTGATCAACATTATAAGTTATTACAACTCATGCAACATTGCCTTTAATTTATATTACTACTATTGACAGCTGAAAATATCTTGTTGTGAGGTCTGGTTGTAGTTACATAATAGGCTTGTAGACTCACAAGTTCAAGAGACTAACTATGCTTAGTAGTAGATGTCGTTTAGGGTCTAAGTGTGTGTACTATTTATTCATTTGGTTTGTTTTTGTTCAAGATGTACTGTTTTGGGGTCTGATTTTGATGGACGATACATTACTTTAGAAAATGCTTGGGATAATCGATCATAATAAATGATGGCAAAATAATTACTGAATCTATTTCATTTAAATACAAGTAAGTAATGTGTAGTCCTGATGAAGTTTCTACTATTAAAACCTCACACAATGAAAATGGCAGCAATCTCTGCTTCAGCAAAGGAAATGTCCAAATGATAGATATTGAAGCACAAAATGCTTAGTTTTTTCCATAATCTATTGATCAATAAGTTTATATAGTATGTGTATGTAAGTATGTATGACAGGCCTCGCTCTGCTTATAAGCTAATGCAGAGCTTCCTGGAGTTCCCTTTTTACAACGCACTTACAATAATACCAAATAGTCACATATGGACTTGTATACATGTTTTATTCCCTTTTTCATGCTTTGTTAGAGTGTGAGTAATCCTTCAATTCAATTCAATTCAATGTATTTAAGTTCAAATACATGAAATGCAAGGTTTAAAAACACATTTGTCAATAAGGGGCGGATGACCAACGTCCATAAATGGTGAGAAAATCCATAAATGTTGTGTGTCCTTGATCATCACCACTGCTTTTACACCCTCCTGCCTCCTTGTGTGCAGTGCTTTGTTGCTGCCCGTGCCTCGGCCCCCTTCTCCCCATCTCAGTGGTGATAGACCCCCTCCAGTGAGGCTGACCATGAGGGCCGACACAGACCCCGAGTGTGGGACAGAGATGGACTCTGAGAACCCGGAGAACCCCACGGAGCTGGAGGACCTGGTCGCAGCCATAAACATCACCGCCAACCGCCTGAGCCCCCCCAACGGCTTCAGGACACAGCGGCCTCACAGGAAGATGTCCCTGCAGGAGCGCCGTCTCGCCCGCCAGCCCACCATTGAAACCAAGCGAGTGTCCATCACCGACGGAGAGGTATGAGGCCAGAAATACACCACACTTGAACTTACATTACTTACTTTTATAACATTGTACCTCACTCTTTGTAGGATTGCGTTCAGCTCAACCAATACAAGCTGCAAAATGAAATCGGAAAGGTGATTATTCAGCAAACTGTGGATTTGTTTGGGGTTGTGGAAAAACAAAAAAGTTATTTCATAGTGTAATATCAAGTAATAAAGGCAAGTTTATTTCTATAGCACAGTTCATACACAAAGTGCTTAATACAAAAAAATAGAGACTTCAAAAATTATCAAAAAATAATCACAGTACATTATAAAAAAGGGTGAGTTCAGTTGTATGCACAGCTAAACTAGATCTTTTTTCAACCTTATAAATAGTACTCCTTGTGATTCCAGCCACAATTATACTTTTTATTAGCCTTTAAGATTCTGCTCATAATGAATCTATCCCTATACTATTCTTCCATCAGCCTAAAATAGACACTAGTGATGCCAAGTTATATAAGGAATGATGTTTTGCCCCAAATACTTTAAAGTAGTTGGTTAAAGTCATAATATGTTTTTATAATGTTTTACCAGGGTTCATATGGAGTCGTGAAACTGGCATATAATGAAGACGCAGAAGAATATTATGCAAGTTTCCCCCCTAATATTTTAACTATAGTATTATTTTGTCTTTTAAGTGGTTTTATTTGTCTTATTATTGTTCCTCTGTGTGTAGGCCATGAAAGTTGTTTCTAAGAAGAGGCTAATGAAGCAGTGTGGATTCATACGTGAGTTTTGTGCCTTTGACAAAGCTTTTATTTTTTTTTATTTGTTATTTTTTCATTTTGTTGACCTTTTTTAACCAAGAAATAAATGTGGTGGTTTTGGTTTGTATTTGAATGAGCTTCCTCTCAGGGCGGAGGCCGTCTCAAGGCTCACAGCTGGATCCCTATCCTCAGGCCTTGCTGCCGCTGGACAAAGTCTACAAGGAGATCGCCATCCTGAAGAAACTGAACCATCACAACGTGGTCAAACTGGTGGAGGTCAGAGATTCAAATATAAAACTGCTCATGTGTGAAATGCTGTGAGGCTGAGGATCCCACGCTCTGGTTTTAGGTGCTGGATGATCCCAGTGAGGATGGACTTCACATGGGTAAGACGCCTTCTGGTTCATTCACATTCTCATTCATAAAATATACATTTGTTCAATGCGGCATGGCAATAACACACATGTTTTTATTATGTTTTAAAGCCTTCGAACTTATGAAAAAAGGGTAAGTTTTATGCATACACAAGTTCACATTAAATGAATAGGTGGTATTCATGTTACAAGTCAATGGGAAAGAAACCATTTTTGAAAGACCTTTTGAAAAAGAAAATGTCCAAAGATTTTTCCCACATCATTAGCAAGAGCTCTGGTGTGTACTGGGGTAGTCTTGTGTTGCACAGTTTTTCCAATGTGGATTTACTGCGAATGGACAATCTTAAATCTTGAATCTTTTTAAACAATGTCACTACTACACATCTTTTTTGTCAGTAGACCATATTTACTGACAGTAAGAAGATGTGGAACTTTTTGACAGTTGACCAAGACTAGACGTATGATTTTAGCCAGACACTGTTTACAGGAATATTTGTTCAGCTGTCCTCCACCACTGTTAAACTACAGGTTATTGGAAATTGGACAAGAACACAAACTAATGTATGATAATATGTTAGAATGCTAATTGACCCAATTCTAATATTGTCCCTAAGAGCTGTGATGGAGGTGCCCACAGACACCCCCCTCACTGAGGAGCGCAGTCGCTTTTACTTCAGAGACGTGGTCCTGGGACTGGAATACTGTACGTATAATATTCATCATATTCAGTAGTAGTGGTAGTAGTAATAGTAGCAGTAGTATTAGTAATGGTGATGATGGTAGTAGTAGTAGTAATGGCGATGGTGGTGATGGTAGTAGTAGTAGTAGTAGTAATGCTGTTAGTATAAGTAGTAGTACTAGTAATGGTGTTGGTAGTAGTAATAGTAGTAATGGTGGTAGTAGAAGTAATAGTAGTAGTAGTAGTAGCAATGCTGGCGGTGGTAGTAGAAGTAGTAGTAATGGTTGTGGTAGTAGTTTTAGTAGTAGTAGTAGTAGTAGAGCTGGTAATAGTAGCAGCAATAGCAGCAGTACCAGTAGTAGCAGTAGTAGCAGTAGTAGTTTTACTACTACTAGTAGTAGTGTTACTTACTTACTAGCAGCAGCAGCAGTACCAGCAGTAACAGTGGTAGTAGTAATAGTACTACTATTACCATGTGCACTTGTATATTGTAAATAGTAACTGTAACTCTATTTTAAATTTAAATGTATTCCTTAGAAGTGTTTTTTATTCTTTATTTTTTATTATCTCTCTCTGGCTGTTGCACTGAGCCAAAGCAATTTCCAAGTCTGTGACTTCCTGTTACTAACGTGGCAATAAAAATTATTCTGATTCTGATTCTGATTCTGATTCTGGTAGAAGTAGTATTTGTACTGTACCTTGTTATCAGCAGAGATTTGTGTCGTGTCCACAGTGCACTACCACAAGATCATCCACAGAGACATAAAGCCGACGAACCTCCTGCTGGGGGACGACGGTCACGTGAAGATTGCAGACTTTGGCGTCAGTCGAGAGTTCAAGGGCACAGACGCTCTGCTGTCGGGCACCGCTGGGACCCCCGCCTTCATGGCCCCCGAGACCATGACCGAACTCGAGCAGTACTTCAGCGGAAAAGTGAGAAGGCTTACTACAATCTTAAAAAAAAAAACTGCTTATGAACTCATGATGTTATGCTCTGTTGCTCAGGCTTTAGATCTATGGGCGATGGGAGTCACACTTTACTGTTTTGTGTTTGGAAAGGTAAGGTAAAGATATTCTACTTTAAAAACACTAAGTTCTCAACATTCAAACTTGACTTCTCCTCTGTTTCAGTGTCCTTTTTATGATGAAAACATTATAGCACTGCACAAAAAGATCAAGAAGGACCCTTTGGTTTTTCCAGAAACGTACGTCAACATGTGTTTGCTTAATTTTCTCTTCTTCTCTCTCTCCTCTATTTTGAAACTCACTAGACAAAATCTTCTTCCTTTACAGACCCACTATTAGTAACAGTTTAAAGGACCTCATTGAGAAGTTGTTGGATAAAAACCCTGAAACAAGAATTACACTCCCAGAAGTGAAGGTAAAAATAGTGAATAATCCTTTTTTTATAGGAGCTGTTTGTCCTGTTGGTTCACCAGTGCTTTGCAGGTGCACCCATGGGTGACTGAGAACGGCACAGACCCACTCCCCCTGGAGGAGGAGCACTGTACTGCACTGGAGCTCACTGAGGAGGAGGTGAAGAACAGCATCAAGCTCATCCCGCGCCTGTCCACTGTGGTGAGTCAGACCTGTGCACATGACTGAACACAATATAACAATATAATTCAACACGATTTACCAGAGGGCCGGACTTTTCACAGAGACAAGCCTCTCGGCAAATCAGGCCACAACATGCCACCACTTATAGCTCAGTTTGGTGTCACACAGAACATCTCACACACTCAATCTGTTTAATTACCATTTCAGAAAGCCTTTGCTATGTTTTTGACGAGAATGAAAATAGCTTAAATAACATGGCTCAGTCATAGCTCTACTGAACTAGCAATACATTAAGACTAGTTGTTTCACTAGATCCAAACCTTTAAGGCTCGGATCCCTGAATACGTGTGACACCAACTCGTAACCCCCACACTGAATATTTGTGTGTATATTTTTCTTCATGGTAATAATGTGAAGCGTCAAAAGGTTGTGCTATGTCATCCATCTACTATCACTTCAAATAATGTTTGTATCAACCCCCAACCCCCACTTTGGGAACCACGGCACTAGACTATACCCAACCAGACTTAATGATGAATATCTAATACGAGTTCTGTGCAGTATTAACCAAGCAAAAATAAGGATTACCCAAGAAACTAACAACTATAAATTAGGACTAGACCAGCAAAGAAGATAACATACTGTATATCTTAAAAGGGAGTGGATGAGAGAGGTGAGTGTGTCTGAGTTGAGTAGTGTTTGAGATCAAAAACACAGGCTCACAGTGTCATCCAGCCAACTTCAACTCTACCTCATTGTAAGATCACTTTATTTGTATATGCTGACTTTTGGTTTATGGGACTAATGTAGCTGGGGTTGAGATGGTACATATTTGTCATTCAGCAGACCTCAGATCTGTCGTAGCTAATTTAAAATCTTGGAATCTAGTCAAAACTACTCTATTCGGGTGTCGGCTCCTGGATTAACTTAAGTGGCCATCTAACTAAAGTGTTTGGTCACCCTGGCTGCTTTACATAATCAAATTAATATCAAGTCCTTCTGCCATAAGTGTAGCGGTAATTCAAGGACAGAGAACAGACAAAGAATTGTGTAACGTTCCATTGACATTGCGTTGACGTCCAGTAAGAGTCACAATAAGTCTTTAACAACACACATATATTAGTTCCTCTTTGATCTTGTCACACTGTCCATTCCTTCACACTGTGCTGTTTCCTGGCTGCAGATCCTGGTGAAGTCCATGCTGAGGAAGCGATCTTTCAGTAATCCTTTTGAGTGTCAGGCCAGGCGCGCGCATAGGTCCATGTCTGCCCCCGGAGGTCTGCTTACGTAAGTGCCCTCGTCTGCAAATCCTGCCTCTTCTGCTCTGTCGAACTCTCAGCCTCTCGACAAACACAGCAGCTTCTACGTGGCCATACTAACGTCAATAGTCGGGTTGCACCATTAGCTTGTTGCAATTTTTCTTTTGAGAAATGTATGTTTGGAGAAATGTGTACTTATTGTAAGCTATTCAACATTTATAGCACTGAATAGATTATTATGAGAAACTACATAGACACACACACACACACACACACACACACACACACACACACACACGGGTCCAGGACAGCAAAGTTATCAAACTAACTGAAACTAAACTTTAAGGTGTATTGGAGGATTTTCCCAAATTTTAGGAAAGAACCGCCCTCTCCACTTTCTGAACAGAACTCTCTGGTCTTATTTGACAAGCACATATCACCGGAATGATTGACAAGTGGGCAGATCAATAGTCTTGATGATCCACCCGGAAGTAGAAAATCCTCCTATAGAGCTTCAACAATCTGTACAGAAATAATCTTAATTTTTTAGGGCGCTTTTTCAACACAGGGCAACACAAAGCATCACACATCATATAGGACAAACACCAAAAATACCATTAAAAACACAATTAAAAACAAAAAAATCACAAGGGATTAAAACAATAAATAACAAAAGTGCATTAAAAAAGTAGAAATAAAATCCTTCAAAAGATGATTTGATATTGTCTATTAATTTTATTCTATTGATTTAATATATTTTCATTATTAATATTTAGTTCTAATAATAATAATAATAATAGTGGTTATTATTATCATTATTTTTATGAGCCACCATGCACAGAATTTATCACTTTAACTATTGTAAAAAGTAAGTAAGTAAGTAAGTAATCTTTATTTATATACCGCCTTTCATAGACCAGAGTCACAAAGCGGTTTACAGAGATGGGAGCGGGGTCGCCGAACAGGAGGCGCAAAAAGGATTGGATCATGGTTTTTTGATCCGTGAACATTGATCAGCTCATATTGCTTTCTTTTGATGGCTCAATTAAGCCGTGTTCAGGCAGATCCAGGCATTAGTCGTCCCCTGATCAGCGGAATGGGGCTCTAAAAGCTGCAGTAATGGCTTTAGTACTTGTGTTTTCCATTAACAAGCTGGTGATGTTTGCAAGGAGCCACTGCTGTAGATAATTACACATCTAAACAGATATGAGCTGCTGCTACTACGCCTCCTCCACACGGCACAGAGTGAGATCATCGCCGCCGCTGCTACAGACACAATGAGACAGTGAGGAGAGAATAATGGGCAACTTTCATTTGCCTGTTGCTTATCATACTTTCATTCTCTTCTGCTTTAATCGTTGCCAAGTCATGAAGGCCGCAGTCCAAGCCGAGATGTCCATATTTCCCTTTTGCGTTACAATTATGCAGAAATATTATACCGGAAATTGAAATGTATTGGCTCATACACTGTAGTTCGGACATTATTGTAACTTAAAACTTAAAACAAAAATAGACTTAATAAACATACAGGATGAGGGTCAGTAATATCACAATGAAATATTCTGGCAAAATTGTGCCGCCCTACCTATTATTGTCATAATCCATTTCCTTATCCAATACAATCTCTATGTTTTTCTAAAAGATTATACCATTGTTAACACCGACAGTAGATTCATTGCTTTTGGTGACCGTGCTCCCTATTATGATTATTTTTGTACATTTTGACCATTTTTTCTTGGTAATAATTTGTAGTGTCACAAAGTTTACTATCACTTCAAATTATTTTAATTATTATTCAAACTGTTCAAACTGTTTGATTCTTTGATCTCCCTAAACCTCTGTGTGACTGTTGTTGTGCTTTTAGGGCAATACAAAAATAAGTTGAATTGGAGACAACATCACAAAATCTGTTTGTTATGTTCCACTACTGTGTCTACTGTAAGTGATTTTCCATTTGGATAAATACAGTTTGTGTACATTAATCCTATGTACACATCCATTTAAAAAGTCTCAGAGTGATTTAGTTGTTATTATTTTAGTCTATAATGAACATACATTTAAGACATTCCTCTCCTGGTATGTCTAAATGTCTAAATATTGAATAAGCATCACAAAACATTCAACAGTTTTGTGAAGTCCTCCACAATAACTACTGTTGTGATTTAGGGCTGTACACAAATGAATGGAATTGAATTAACATGATTGAGTTGCCTTGTGTATGAATTGTGCTATACAAAAAAACGTGCCTTGCCTTAACATCTAGCCTCATTCTTGCAGTGACTTGGCCAAACTGGGCTCCTCTCTTCACATCCACTCTTCATTGAGGTAAATATTTATTATGTATATTTTATTTTTTGTTCCTTGAAATATTGTTTTTATTTGTTTATTGTTAACCAGGAATTAGGATTAAGAACCTGTTTTTCAAGGGTGTCCTGGACAAGAGGCAGCAAAGATACACAGATACACAAATACACAAGATACACATACAATAATGGTTACAGCAGAGCATTCTTACTGGGGCCACACAGATGATGTTTGGTTTTTAAGGGGATTGATTGAAAAGTGTTGCTCAGTGCAGGATGTGACTTCCCCCCTCTCCCTGCTCTGTAATCTCACTTAGTGCTTTCAGCGCCTGATGGAGTCTCTGTCCCACAGGAAAGTGAGCCGCGAGGGCAGCCGCGAGGGAGAGCTGGAGGACTTGTACGAAGACGAAGCGTTGGCAGAAAGTGCTGAGTAAGGGGCTTCAGTGAGTTTGCATCAGCAGAACAAATTCACATTTTATAGGCCGTGTAACGATTGGGGATGCTGTCTAAAGGTTACAGTGATGTCAAACTTACCGACAATTATTAACCATTGTAATTATTCATATTTTTATGCTGTGTGTAAGTATGTGTCCAAATTTATTTTTACATTTTCCTACCCACTGAAAGAACAAATAAAGTTATCTTTCGCTTCCAAGTGACTGGTTTATGTAGCTGTAGAATCCACTAGATGGCATCATGGGTTTTCTCTTAGTTTTCTCTTTATTATTGTGTTTATAGAATGAGCTTCTTATTACCATTGAGACTTTAATATAACCTGGGATTTCAATCATTTCCAGTCTTTGCGTTTAGTCTTTGAATGTTCCCAAACCTTCCAGAAGAGGGCAGCGCTCTCATGACATGGATCAATCACACGTGAGCATTAACATGTGGAACACTCTTCTGTGTTTGACAGATGTGTCTGCAGTTGATATGTTCAACATTTGTCAGTTTCTCTGATGATGCATTCAGCTCCACATCTGAACTCAGCCTCAGCCTGAGTGCTTTGGTTTATAAAACTGTGGTGTCGCTCTCACAATAAGAGCATGATGCTGCAGAATGTGAGCTGCTGCTGCCAGTCACGCTGCCGCCTATGTGTGTCTTTTACTCCATTACTCTACTATCTGTGTTTGTTTAAACATTTATATGTATATTTTTTAAAGGTTTTGTTGAGACTAACTTGGTTTCAATTGAGGTTCCATGAGAAATGAAGATGCATCAGTTGCATTATCCCATTGGCCACAGCCTGAATTTAATCAGTTCTTCGTCTAGTCTAGTTGGACTTGTCTGAGGTGGTTGATTTTGGTATTTTATAACATTTGTATGTCTGTTTGAATGACAAAACAATGGGAGTGTTTGTGTTCCTGCAGTCTGTGTTTTATGCCTTTGCAGTTTTGTGAGGAGAGAATCTGAGGAAGATTTCTGTGGAAACTGTTGCCATGCAACAGCATACAGAGGAGTAACTTCACTGCTCATTTCTGAGCTGCCGCTGAGCACGGCTTCATAATGGACTACACTCACTATTATCACCTTTCACTAGGATCACTGTTCCAATCACAACTACACTCACTATTATCACCTTTCCAGTTCTCATGGTCCCACAGACACAGCCCTGGAGAACATGGCCCATTGCATATGTCCCTCTCCTCTCACGGTACACGGGTCAGAACCACTGTTCTACGGCCTACAAAGTAAAAGATGTTGTGGATGAGCTGTGATCCGCTTGGTTCAGACTCTCAGAGCTGGATGCAGAAGCCTCTCAGGGCCTCACCTCCTGCAGAGCACATTTCTTTCTCTCTGCTGGAGCTCACACACTCACTTCTTCTCAGGGGAATTCCCGCCCCACACCCAGCACTTCACCTGCTCACACCAGGCGGCCGCACATGCTGAGGGTGATGTTGCTATGTTTCTGCAAAATAGCAACTATCACTGTTAAAAACTATATTTGTTGTTTAAACATGGACAAGTATCACATTGTAGGTGGGTCTAGACTTCAATCCCATGCTCCTAAAATAGATTTTACACTTTAGAGACAAAGTCAATACTCAGCCAGACTTTCTCTTGTCACGCTGTGATGTGGTGAAATCTGGTGACATTTCCTGTAGGAGACAGTGGCTGCACAGATCAGGGGCTGGTGACTGGAGTTAGATTCCCTCAGGCTTTGTCCATTGTTAACAGGAGCAGCACAAAGGAGAAATGAGTCAATGCCTTTGTAAACACTTCTCCTGTTATTAAAATAACAAGCTTTGTCCTTAATGTGACTTATTTTTGAAAACACCCTTTTTGTACAGAGATGAGCACAAAAAAGTAACAAAGAAACAACAGCAGCATATTATAGCAAAGCTCATTTCATCAGACAATGTAAATGAGATGTTTTGGGACAAGCTCTCCCTGAAATAGTCCTTTAAAACCTTTTAGTGGAATACTGTGTCACGGTTTGATAAATAATACAAGTATAAATGTTGTGGTAAATAATTAATTTGGCAGCACTCATGCATAACCACGGCCTTTGTGCAGAGAAGAGCCTCTATGTCCTGATATGATGCTGATACACGTCCTGATGTTTGCAGCCATTTACTAGTTGTTTGGTCTTAAATCAGACTTCAGGATGGAAGACGAACTCTCAGCGTCCGCACTCGGGCCTCTGTAGTGGAGAGGCTGTCACATCGATGTCTCTGGTCTATTCACGAGCTGCAGGGAGCACTATTTTTAGATTTGTAGATCGGTCCCCTCGTTCTTCTCTCCATCTCTCTTCATCTTCTGTTTTCTCTCTCTAATAGCTGGATATTTCTGGAACTGTGCGGATAATGTTTCTTTGAATTGTTGAAGTGTGGATTGCATCGTGACACATCAGAAACTTTGAGATCATATTTTCATCTTTTTCAGAAAGTGTCCGGTTGAAATGACGCAAGCAGATTATACCTCGAATCCATTTTGTTGTTTTTAAAAGCAAAGTTTTAGAATGTTGATTAAAAAAAAAAAAAAAAACAACACTAGTAGCACGAATAGATTTATATTTGCTACTCAGGAGTTAGTGGAAGTTCAAAGGACTTGTGAGCTCCTAACTCTCCTAACTCTCATACCACTTACAATCTGTGCATTTGACACATTAGCGAATTAATGAAATGCAAAAGGATTTTATGTACTGTATACATATGCAAGCTTCTCACACACACACACACACACTATGTATAAACATGTTTACAGTCAGAAAAATGCGTTTATGTGGAGGAGGTGTAGCAGCAGTTTGTGTGTACATTGTGTATATTACATCTTGCCACTGCACATATGTCTTTATGTGTTTTACTGTTTTACTATAGAAGCTAGAATCAAATTTACCTTTAGGTTTTTTATCCAGTACTCGGGCGCCACAGGGCTGAGTAGTTAGCACTTTCACTTCTCCCCATATTTGGGTTGGTTTTCTCCAGGTGCTCCGGTTTCCCTTACCACTAAATACATGTACAATAGCTCCCCTCTTTCTGGGCTAGGACTCTCAAATCTCAGATTAATCTCTTATTATATATCATTAATAATCAATTGTATTACCTTTTTGGTCAACCCGCCTCTGGACAATGTGATGTAATACATCTTCCCAATATTGCTTTATATAAACTGTTCACAATGACTTCTTATAGTAAAGGCAGATATCAGAGGAGATACTGGAGGACTTGCTTTATCAGACCCATTCCTGATGCCCCTGAGGTTAAGCACAAAAACCCAGTGAGGGGGAAATGGTGCCTCTGGTGCAACGTTTTAACAAAGGAAATCAATGAGCTCAAACAAAGAGGGACACATCTGATGACCTTTGGAAAAAAGTCCTGACCCCAGGTTTTTTTCACGAAAGAAAACTGGAGTGTGAAAGGTAGAAGAGCTAAATACACTGCAGTTTTCACCAGTCTGATAAATATTTCCATTTAAACAGAGAATGGTACAGGCCGTTGAGCTACACAAGCATCACTCAAGACAGTGCTCTGATTGTGTGAGACACGAGTCTCCTCTGATGCACAGTCTAATTTGACCCAGTGGTTAAAGGTGACATCACTCTTTTAGGTGACATCAGTCATGTCATCTCAAGTGTTAGAGAAAAAAGATGTGAGAAAAATGTGAAACATGTACCCTTTGGATTTCCCAGTATTCCTGATACATGACCTCTGCGTCCTCCATGGACGCTTGCATCATTCAGTCCTGTTTGGGGGATCTTTGTTTCAACATATATGTATTCGTGCATATCAAGGCCAATGTTCATGTGAGGTAGATACAGAAGCCTGAGCATCACTCGTCCCACTCTACGCTGACTTACTCTCTGCTCTAGAGCTAATATGATGCAGACATGTCCTGTGTGCTTTACGCTTTCATTTCTACAAGATGCAATAGGTGTCTGCTTAACAGTGCAGCAGCTCCAGTGAGTTCCTTATTATAGCCTTAGCAACAGCAGCAGGATTGGTGGGCGAGGAGAGAGAGCAGGGCTGTGATTGGCTGGTGACCAAGAGCGTTCAAAGCGCAGAATTTCATCTCATGAAAGGTTGAGTGCAGCAGGCTGCAGAGCTGCAGTGATGGTGGGCGGTGGATCCAACTGCTTCAGCAGTGCAGGTACTACACTGTGGGCCGCACACAAAAACACCTATTTGTAGGTTTCATAGTGGAAAGAGAGTAAGACAAAAGCAGACCTGCTGTGGCTCAGGCTCAGAGAAGGATGTGCCCTTATGGCCATACACTGTCTTTTGAAGTAACGCCCTCTATCTATTGCCTAATTTAGTTAATGATTTGTAAAGCACTCATTGTTTGGATGCAGGGTTCAGTGGTGTGTGTTTTCTCTGAAGATAAAGACCACAGGCTGAGATACATATGCTTCACTTCCACCACATGCATAATATAAAGACTGCCCAGTTTACATGAGTGTTAAGTGCTGTGCAGTGATGTCATGGGCTGTTGAGTGGTATGAGTACTATAGAAAAGAGAAAATTAAGAATACAGATAAACAAATAGTTTTAATGGACAACAGATGGGAACCAAAGAATACATTTAAAACCTCAGCTGGTTTCCTTATTCAAATATAGGTCTAATCTGCTGATGCCAGGTCATTTTTTAGTTTCTATGTCAAAGCAGGGATAAAATCAAAAATAATAACAACATAAAAACATAAGTGAAAATAGAAATTCCCTTTAAAACAAAAAGTAATTCAAAGCTCTTTGTGTGGCACTGGGTGGACGTGTGGCTTTGGGCAGGAGTCACCTACAAACCTCTCGATGCTCCCAAAGAGAACATCAAAGCTCATGCGGGGCCGTAACGGAGAAATGTGCCTAAAACACAGTCGCCTATGCGTGAGCAGCTTCCCAGAATTAAGCAAAACATATCCCTAGGATTTGCCTGGCATCAACTTTATACCAAGTTTAAAAATAAGAGGAGGCAGCTGGGACATTGTGTGAGCTCATGCAGACTGACTCATGGTGGTGGCATAGTTGGCATTCGTGAACAAGGCTGTGTGAGCGACCTTAAGGCTTGTAGTTTGATGTCCAAGTCACTACATCTAAGTGAGAACCACCTTTTCTACGTAGTATAAAACCAAGTCCTCCACCTGCCGTTTGCTTGAGTAAAATATGACGTATAGATTTAGCAGCATTTAAATCATTTCAGCAGCTTTGCACGTGCTCCTCGCTCTCGTTGGTCAGTCTTTCTGTTTCTGTGCATCGTTGAATAGTATATAGACATTGAAAGATTTAGACAATAAGACATTTTTTCTCCTGCATACATGCAAGCAAACTTAAATACTGGCATAAAACTTTTTTTTTTTGGTAAAGGTTGACTTGCAAATGAGGCCTATTAAGATCATACACAAAGAGAAAGCACATAAACAAGGTGAGGCGTGTGTAGAGGCGCTCATGTTATGAATGGCAATATCAATAACACTAGACCACCACGGACATGGCATGTTCATAATTTGATCTTTATATTTTTTTATTATCATAGCTATTACTTTGATTCTGGTGCAACTGCTACATAATGACTCACATTCAAGATATTTTGTCACTCAGGAACAGCTAAAAGTAAAACAAAGGAAGAGAATTATACTGTTAGAAATAAAATAAAGTGGTCCAAGTTGGATTCAAAAGAGAAACCTTGAGGCTGGAAACGCCGCCATTATTCCAAGTGGATAATAGCATGACAAAAAAAGAACTTAAAACTGTTTAAAGTAAATTAAAGCATACCTTTAATGTGCCAAACACCAGCAGCTTAAGGTTAAGTGATGACTGGTGGATTTTAACTTCCTCTATTCTTTCAACAAATTATTACACATATCGCATGTCACTATAGCAACTTTTTACGATCACCATTTTGTTATAGCAAATCAAAACCATAGCAAAATAAATTATAAATAAACATTAGACAAAGAGCCTGTTTTTCAATCATATAAATACTTAACACCCACAGTATAAGTTAATAAAGTCAAGCTACTGTATATAAATACATCACCAGCATGCACAATATTGAATATTATTGTCATCATCGTACACTGAAGAAACAGTATAGTAGGCAAGTGCATTTAATAAAACAAACACAGAAGTAAACCACAAACTCTGATGCTGCTTTTTTTTACTTTTTTTTGTCTTTTTGTTGTTACGTCTCTGCCTTTTGAAATCTTCACGTCCAACATGGTTCCAGTGACAATTGATGACTATTCTGTGAGAAATACACTTCCGACAGAAAAGGGGATATTTGTTTTGTCTTACTAATTACTAATATAATTGAAAACTATTTTAAGTTAATAATGATCTAAATATTATTTGTGGGTGATTATGTTATGCCTCACAGGAGTGAAACAAATGGCTTTCATAGGGGCCCATTACGACTACTGGAACCAATGCAAACTATTTTGTGAGCCATTCCCATTCAAGCATTTTCTCTCAAGTGACTCAAATGCATCTCTATCGCGCAAAAACCTAAAGCAGCGAATCTTGAAAGATCAAGATCAGTTCTATGCCAGTGTGAGGCTGCCATTTCAATCCAACAACAACCACTTCACCGACTGATTGACTGACAATTCAGTGGTTTGGCAAATGTCAAAGAGAAAATCAAGAAGACGGAGGCCCTTTTCAACGGTATATATTTCTATATATATTTAAACTAAGATTTAACCTCCTCTCTCTCACCTTTCTTTTGATTCTTTTCTTTTAACCCATGGAAAAATAAAGAACTGCGTCAGCGGTAGTATCATCGGCAAAAGCGGCTGCCAAAGTCCACCGGCCTTTCAACATGTTTTCGAAGTGTGTCTTCTGTTTAATTGTTGCCCTCCCCGCCCTCGTCGTCCTGCTGGTCACTTGTCCACAGTGTTAGGTTGTCTCGCAGCAGCTGCATGATCAGAGTGGAGTCTTTGTACGAGTCCTCGTTTAGGGTGTCCAGCTCGGCGATGGCGTCGTCGAAGGCGGTCTTGGCCAGATGGCAGGCCTGCTCCGGCGCGTTCTGGATCTCGTAGTAAAAGACGGAGTAGTTGAGTGCCAGGCCCAGGCGGATGGGGTGAGTGGGCTGCATGTGCTCTTTGCTGATCTCGTGGGCCTCGTTGTAGGCCTTCTCCGAGGACTCCACCACCGTGGCCCTCTTCTCTCCGGTGGCCACCTCAGCCAGGTACCGGTAGTAGTCGCCCTTCATCTTCAGGTAAAACACTTTGCTCTCGTGCTGCGTCTCGCTGCAGTTCTTGATCAGGAAGTTGTCCAGGAGGTTGAGGACGTCCTGACACACAGTCTCCAGCTCTTTCTCGATCTTCTCTCTGTAGGCGCGCACCATCTCGATCTTCTTCTCGTTGCCGTCGGTGGATGTTTTCTGCTCGATGCTGGAGATGACCCTCCAGGACGAGCGGCGTGCGCCCACCACGTTCTTATAGGCCACAGACAGAAGGTTCCTCTCCTCGTTGGACAGCGCCTCGTTCAGCTCTGTGACCTACAAACAAGAGAAGGACATTTAACCAAAGACTGGAGAAGGACTGATCCAGACCTAATCGAGACCTGGCCGAGACCTGACCAAGACTTGACATCAATGACAGAGTTGGCTTGAATGCAAAAGCCGATTAGAGCTAACTCAAACAGGCTGGAGCCAGATTTGGGGATGAGTTCTACAAAAGCTGACATTTTGAAGACAGAATGCTCCTGATTGGTCAGTTGTTAGTGGTTATATCTGGAGTGTGACATAAACGCTTCCAGAGTAAGAGAAGTTTACTTTTCAAGTAAGTCCAAGACAAATTTCCTACGGGACATAATGAAATAATCTTGAATCTTGAGAGCGAGTATGAGCAAAACTTCCCCCATTAGCCCTTCCCTATTAGGCTTCATTGAGCTAGTGAGTTAGCATTGTCCATCTATACAGTCTATGGTTTTAACACAAGCAAAAGCTCTTTACACAAGAGGAAGTAACTAAGCTTTCACTGGGGATGAGACTAGTGCCACTAGATTGTGTGGAGGATCTGGTGAGATTTATTTGAAAGAGTTACACACTTTGAGAAACAACAGTCTCTGCTGCTGTGACCTGTTCTGCTCCACCCAGAGGCTACTCCACCTCTGCTGCTGTGACCTGTTCTGCTCCACCCAGAGGCTACTCCACCTCTGCTGCTGTGACCCGTTCTGCTCCACCCAGAGGCTACTCCACCTCTGCTGCTGTGGCCTGTCCTGCTCCACCCAGAGGCTACTCCACCTCTGCTGCTGTGACCTGTTCTGCTCCACCCAAAGGCTACTCCGCATCTACTGCTGTGACATGTCCTGCTCCACCCAGAGGCTACTCCACCTCTGCTGCTGTGACCTAAAGGGCTGTTGCTGATTATTACTATTATTATGTTTTTAGAATGATCAATTTTATTTTTGCTGCTACTGGAAACCTGAATTTCTCCTACGAGGGATCAATAAAGTATCTATCTATCTACAATGAAAGCAAAAATATGAAGAAAAGCAAGGCATAAATTGTGAGAGCCTGATTGTGACAAATGTCTTTGAATCTGTGTTCAATGTCTGAACTCTGCTCCAACATAAATTACAAAAAAAATCTGTTCTCGTGTACCCAATCTCGCCTCTCATCTGGTCCCACCCGCCGTTTTCTCACATTTGCAAACCCATCAGCAAATGGGAAATGAGCAATATTTGACATGGAGCAGGTCCTTGTTTCCATGGTAATTCATAAATTTGGCCATATCCGAGCTTCGGCTGCCACGTGCAATGGGAATATGAGGTAAAAACTATATTTAAGATGAGCAGCCGTGGGGGGGCGGGGGCGACGGGGGTGGCCTGGGATGGCTAAAATGTTCCCACGAGCACTTGGGGCCAGCTGCCTTGTAAATGAAAACCCATCAGGCTCCACGTGGGCCGCTGACCTTCTCTACAGCGCCCACTGACCTTTTTACCCATAAGCCACTGTAGCTGCTCATCACGGCACACGTACAGCACCCGACACACATCTGCGTTCACATGTGTGGCTGCTCAGGCTACATACACTTAACTCTGGCTTCTTTATGACGCTAAAGTTAGAGATTTTAGTTTATTGTTAGTATAAAGTTATCAGTGCCGAGTGCGCCTCATTCCTTCTGCTCTGTAACTTGACGATGCGCCGCTCAAATTGTGAATAAAGGATCCAATCTAATCCAATCAATTTCATTTATTTATATAGCACATTTTATACAAGTTTCCTGCACCGAGATAAAAGTAACATATTTGAATATATACAGGTTTGCCAGCTCTATATGTTTAAAAATTATAGAATGAGTAAAATATTATGTACAAAGTAAAAAACAATAAAAATGTAATAAAAGAAAAAAAGAAAAATTAGTTAACAATAAAAAGGGAATAAAATACCAGTTATCCAATTTAAAAATAACAGTAAAGGGATCTTGTAATCTTAACCAATCAGGGTGTGTGACTGCATTTTAACTGTATTATATTTATTAATTCTTTGCTCACTCTAAAGCTGCTGTGTGAAACTTTGCCTTGTAGCGATGTCCGGTCTGAACAATACATTTATTTGATTAGTCTGCATTGTTTTCTGTGTAGTACTTTGTCTGAACGGGTGAGAGAGGGTTTGGCAGTGGAAAACATGCTTCTGCTTCATCCAACCCAAGTATTTGTGTTCAGAAATGTGAAATTATGTTCTGTAGGTTTGAAATAAAATCAAACTAATGTGTAATATCCCTGCCCTGGCAAACAAATAAATACTTTTTAATTATTATTATTTTGTAGATAAATCTGTGCAGCAGTGAAAAATATGATTTTTTAAAGCATTTCTGTATGAATTTGTATCATTTTAACTGCATTTTTAATACAGTATGTTTTTGTATTCCATTATGAGTTTGGCTTGTGAAGCGTTTTGGGGGTAACACCTAGATCCATGGGTTACACTGTATGACTTGTGCTTTATGAATAAATTAGAATAATACATTTTATTAAAAAAATATAAACAAAATCAAACTAAACGGAAAGGCACTATGGATTTTTCATTCTTAAAACAGAAATGTGTTTGGTCATTGGTGTTTTGACATTGGTTACCAGGGCAGTGGAGCACACAAACATGGCGGACAATAATCAGCGTCACTGGATAGATAAAGGAGGCGACCAAACCCAAAGGACTATGGACCTCTGACTGATTGAATCACCCACAAACATTGATCAGACGGAAAAGATGAAAAGAATAGAAACCAGAGATAGCCGTAAATGAACATTAAAGAGTTTATAACGCCTGATAATGCAGGCTCGGATGATTTCGTTTTCCTGCACATTTGAATAAAGACTTGTTCATATGAGTGAGAATGATGCAAAGTTGGAGAGAGGGATTTCCCTGCTATTACAGAGTGACGGTCCACACCCTGCAGAAACACACTGACAAAGCAGATTGGTAAATGAAAAAAAAAAAAAGATGCCATCCTTGCACTGGCATCACTCCAATCCTCTGCAGCCAAAAACTCCTGGATATCAAATAGCCCCTAAAAATGACACCGACATGTTCCCAATTTGACACATAAAACCATTTAATCTGCTGTCTATGTGAGCTCACGGTCCATTATGACGCTCTCATTTCGGCCATAACTTGGTATGACACAGCGTTTCCCTCTCCTGCACCCATTAGAACTCAAGCCAAGGGTGAATCGAGTTCTCAGATTTTCCTTAGATGCCTCAGGGAGGGACAGAGGCAGACAAAAACCTCCCCACACTGACCAATAAGGACTGAGGGAGCTCTTCCTTGCAAGGCCACCCATGCCAACCCCCACCCCCCATATCTCAGACTTTAAACCAAGTTACTGAGGTAAATGAGTGATAATTAACCGGCTGCAGGGAGAGGCAAAGATAAAGCAAAGATTATGGGAAGGGAGCAAGCTGCAAATGTTTCTCTGCAATATGACAAAGAATATTCTAGAGATGGTGCTGCTCCCTCCTGCGTTAGTTTGAGGGAAACACTAGTGTGTGTGTGTGTGTGTGTATGAAGACGAGGAGTATTAACATCACGGATTCTACACACGTTCACGGGCCTAATTTGGTGAAATGATAGTGTAATTTCAGATGTTGAAAAGAAAATGACAAAGAGAAAGAAAGGAGAAAGAGGAGGCGGAGGAGGAGAGTGGATGAGAGGCTTGTTCCACATGGTTCACGACAGCAGCAGTATCAGCAGTATCAGCAGGAACTGTAGTCAGCTTTTAGAGATGGTCCATTATGAAGGAAGGGGAGGTGGGCTCGTAAAGGAGAGTGGGAGAAGTGGGATAACCGCAAGGGAGGTTATTAAAGGCGACAAGAGAGACGTCCAGTGAGGGCCCCCTGTATTCACGCTGTAATGTGGCTCCATTGAACAACTGTATAAGGCACCGCCCAAAGCCCAATTTGGGAATATACACATCAGAAGTGGGTGACAATGTATTACAATGAATGTATTTTATAGATCATTTATCATATAGATACACAGTGACAGAATGGTAACGTGTGATCACTGCTTATTGAATCACATAGTTTTAAAAGTGGCGTCTCATTCACAGGGACTTCTCATTCATCCATGTCACACTGACCTAATGAATCTTAATTTTCTAATGGACTTACCGATTTCATAGCAGCCGCCATGTCATCATAACGCTCAGCCTGCTCCGCCAGCCTGGCTTTCTGAACCAGCTGCTCGCGATCAACCATGTCTGCGTCGATGGTCGGTTGCTTGGCCGAGATCGCTCTGTCCGGGTTTTGAGGAGTGTAATGGTCGTTATTTGAATCGCAATGCAGTGAAATCCTAGGCGCACCTCCTCACGCTGCAGCTGTTCCTTGCTGTCTGTCTGTGCGAAGCCAACACGGGACACCCTCTCCTCTCCTCCTCACCCCCTCCTCCCGATCTCCCTCCTCCTCTACGCCTGCGTCATCCTCAGTGCGGGGGGAGGCGGTGGGAATGATGTAACAGCCCGTACATATGCGCCAGTGGGCCACGCGCTCACGAGAGCATGAGAGAACAGAGGGATTGTGGGAGCTGGAGTTATTTCAGCAAAGGTGGCAGAAGTACGCGTGTTTAGTTTAGCCCTGAGTGAAAAGTATAGATTGTAGAACTTGATTAAATTAAAAGTATTGACATAACCTCCCTTAGTTAACTAAAAGTGAGATACCTTACACCTCTCAAAACACACACTCAGACAGGCAACACTGTCCATTTTGATTTTTTTCCTTTGAACTGTGTACCTTTTGCAAAGCGATCTTGAGTAAAGGAGTGGGATTAAATAAATGTTTACTTCTTCCCACTCCCTTTCGTACATGAAACAAGACAACGTATTGTTATTATTATTATTATATTTCCGTATACTTCTATGTTCAATTGAAAATTATTACTATTTATTTTGGTGCTTTTGTTGTGTACTTATATATACAATTTGTCTGAGTATCTTGTTTTGGTAAAGTCTTGTAACTTGGCATGTACGAAATTAAAATAAATGAAAAAAAAAATGAAATGAAAAATACCCAGAAAGGCATCATATAGATAATATAGGATAAGATATAAATGTATCTTTTTGCTATTATTATTATTGATATTGTTGTTTGTCCTAACAGAAAAAAATCCTATAAAAGTACAATATTGTGAACAAATAGAGCATAAACGTCTTCATCATATTAGCAAACTTGTGAGAAAGCTCTGATTCACTATTCATATTTGACTCTTTATCTGAGAGCTGAAGTGACAGTGTGGTGTCTAAAAAAGATGATAGAGATTGTAGCAATGAGTAATGTGATGTTTAATCCCTGTGTTAAGGACATAATCTTTGCTTCGTTTGCAATTATATTGTGGCTTCGGGGCCACAAGTCACCGCTGAGGCTTGTTGGATAGGACCGGCCCTGGTTATAGTCTTACTTTCAGATAATTATGTATATTATATTTATTATAATACAATCTGAAGTATGGATCTTTTTACTGCAGATCTGTTCATGAGCCAAGCGGCAGAGCTCGGAAATGTTCTCTGGTCCCAGGAGTGAAATGTGAGCGCGTAACTTTAGGACTAAAAGGTTCTGAGCAAAGATCATCTCTGGAGATAGAACAAAGTGTGCGTTAGTTCTGTGTCAATCACACAACTCACATTATCTGTGACCATATGAATAAAAAGGTACCATTTTATATTCTAGACAACAGTGCCCTCTTCTGGTCACATGAGGGAGTGAGTGCTGAAATTAAAAAAGGGACTAAATAAAGGAACTAAAATTAAGATCAACTGCATTAATGTACCAAATACACAACTTAACTATAAGGTTTTAGATTATAAAACTATTATTGTGACAGTTTATAATTTTTCAAGACCTATGACACAGGACTTAAATTCTGAGTTTTCATGACTTTGTAAGACCGTGTATGGGGATGAGAAAAAGTATATCTTTCAACATTTTATTAAGGTGGGACAGAACTTATGTTTAAAGGTTTATGTGGATGTACAGGTGTATATGATTTAAGGGGGATATGCCAATTATGAGGCAGTTTATGAGGAAATACAGTATTAAGGGAAATCAAGGCTTGTACGTCTCAAAAAATGTGAATGTGAAAAAAACAAACATAATTCATGCAAAAGGCCCAACCATATTTTAGTTCTTTGATTACTGTTACTGCTGCGAGATATGCCTATTTTTTTCCTAGCCATTTTACTTTACTTACAATATGTAAGTGAGCGTATGATCTTAATCTGTTGAGTATAGATCATGTTGATCCTACCCCCAATATATTGAACGGTATTTGACCCAAAAAGTATATATTAGTGGGCAGTGGAATAGAAATTAGTAAAAACATAATTGACTTTTTTTACATGCAGCACAACTTTTTCCTTAGATGTTAGAATAATAGTAGTAGTAGAAATATCAGTAGTAGTAGTAGTAGTAGTAGTAGTAGTAGTAGTAGTAGTAGTAGTAGTAGTAGTAGTAGTAGTAGTAGTAGTAGTAGTAGTAGTAGTAGTAGTAGTAGTAGTAGTAGTAGTAGTAGTAGTAGTAGTAGTAGTAGTAGTAGTAGTAGTAGTAGTAGTAGTAGTAGTAGTAGTAGTAGTAGTAGTAGTAGTAGTAGTAGTAGTAGTAGTAGTAGTAGTAGTGCACTGCTGGAAGGGTCAAAAGAAGCAATCGTAACCAAAGAGGGAGCAGGAAAAAAACACATAGTGCTCCATTAGTGTGGGACACAGAGAGTTCAGAAACAATAAAAAACTATGACATTGTGGAAGAATTCAAATATTTGGGTCAAATTATAAAAGGTGATGGTGACCACCAAAGAGAAATAAAGCAGAAGATCGCAGACTCTGGTAGAAGAGCAGCAGAACTTACAATGATCTGGAGCTCCTCAGAGTACAAACTAGACACAAAAGTGTCTCTGTACCAGTCCTTGGTGCTGAGCGTCCTGCTGTATGGATCAGAGACATGGGTCATAAAGAAGGACAGTAAGCTGAGGCTTGAAGCATTTCAAAACCGAATGCTGAAAAGGATAACTGGTATTCACACCAGCGCTCACATTACATCTGAAGAGCTGAGACTAAAATGCAAATGCTCTAAAATCCTGAGTATTATTGCAAAAAGAAGAATGAAATTCTGGCAAAGAATACGAACAATGGAAGACTCAAGAATACAAAAAATCATTCTTGACTGGAAGCCAAAAGGGAAAAAACAAGAAGGTGGACAAAGGAAACAATGGATAAGACAAATCGAAGAAGATGCAAAAGCCCAAAATATGTCACAAATCGACCTGGTAGATCTGACGAAGGAAAACTGGACCACATTTCTTGAAGCACTGTAGGCACATCCCTAAGCCCATTCAAAGGAGCTCAGTGAGTTTTTTTTAGCAGGTGAGGCCACTTTTAAAGAGGCCAAGTCCTGCAGTACCCGGGCCTCCCCCCGGGTCGCTCCCCTCCCCCTGGGTCACCTCCCCAGGAGCTCGCACCTGTAAGTCCACCTGCACAGGGAAGCGAGGCGGGATTCTCTGGCAATAAGACCAGGGTCAACCGTGAGGCATAGCTTTTTTTCTCACTCGATAACTCCGGGCTAGGATTTAGTAGTAGTAGTAGTAGATTGTCGTAGTAGTAGTAGATTGTCGTAGTAGTAGTAGATTGTCGTAGTAGTAGTAGTAGTAGATTGTCGTAGTAGTAGTAGTAGTAGATTGTCGTAGTAGTAGTAGTAGTAGATTGTCGTAGTAGTAGTAGTAGTAGATTGTCGTAGTAGTAGTAGTAGTAGATTGTCGTAGTAGTAGTAGATTGTCGTAGTAGTAGTAGTAGTAGTAGATTGTCGTAGTAGTAGTAGTAGTAGATTGTCGTAGTAGTAGTAGTAGTAGATTGTCGTAGTAGTAGTAGTAGTAGTAGTAGTAGTAGATTGTCGTAGTAGTAGTAGTAGTAGATTGTCGTAGTAGTAGTAGTAGTAGTAGTAGTAGTAGTAGTAGTAGTAGATTGTCGTAGTAGTAGTAGATTGTCGTGTAGTAGTAGTAGATTGTCGTAGTAGTAGTAGATTGTCGTAGTAGTAGTAGATTGTCGTAGTAGTAGTAGATTGTCGTAGTAGTAGTAGATTGTCGTAGTAGTAGTAGATTGTCGTAGTAGTAGTAGATTGTCGTAGTAGTAGTAGATTGTCGTAGTAGTAGTAGATTGTCGTAGTAGTAGTAGATTGTCGTAGTAGTAGTAGATTGTCGTAGTAGTAGTAGATTGTCGTAGTAGTAGTAGATTGTCGTAGTAGTAGTAGATTGTCGTAGTAGTAGTAGATTGTCGTAGTAGTAGTAGATTGTCGTAGTAGTAGTAGATTGTCGTAGTAGTAGTAGATTGTCGTAGTAGTAGTAGATTGTCGTAGTAGTAGTAGATTGTCGTAGTAGTAGTAGATTGTCGTAGTAGTAGTAGATTGTCGTAGTAGTAGTAGATTGTCGTAGTAGTAGTAGATTGTCGTAGTAGTAGTAGATTGTCGTAGTAGATTGTCGTTAGTAGTAGTAGTAGTAGATTGTCGTAGTAGTAGTAGTAGTAGATTGTCGTAGTAGTAGTAGTAGTAGATTGTCGTAGTAGTAGTAGTAGTAGATTGTCGTAGTAGTAGTAGTAGTAGTAGATTGTCGTAGTAGTAGTAGTAGTAGTAGATTGTCGTAGTAGTAGTAGTAGTAGTAGTAGATTGTCGTAGTAGTAGTAGTAGATTGTCGTAGTAGTAGTAGTAGTAGATTGTCGTAGTAGTAGTAGTAGTAGATTGTCGTAGTAGTAGTAGTAGTAGATTGTCGTAGTAGTAGTAGTAGATTGTCGTAGTAGTAGTAGTAGTAGATTGTCGTAGTAGTAGTAGTAGTAGTAGTAGATTGTCGTAGTAGTAGTAGTAGTAGTAGTAGTAGTAGTAGTAGTAGTAGTAGTAGTAGTAGTAGTAGTAGTAGTAGTAGTAGTAGTAGTAGTAGTAGTAGTAGTAGTAGTAGTAGTAGTAGTAGTAGTAGATTGTAGTAGTAGTAGTAGATTTGTAGTAGTAGTAGTAGATTGTAGTAGTAGTAGTAGTAGATTGTAGTAGTAGTAGTAGTAGTAGATCCAACTAAAAAGATAAAAGCCACAAAAGCACATTAGTCGACGACCATTCATTTATTTGCAACAATGTTTATTTATCTCTTCCAGTTTCGGATGTGAAAAGAGGCAATCATTTTCTTTAATTAAATATCTTTTTTTTAATAAAGTAAAGCAAAAAAGTATTTACAGATTTGTCATTTTCTTTTAAACTGTGTGATCAATGACTTGGGATGGGTTGTAAGCACCTTCTGCGCTGAGAGGACATAAATATAAAGCGTTTTCAGGGGCACATAACATCAGCATTTGAAAAAACAAAACAATATTGCGTATGTACAGACTCCTTTTGAATGCATCTCCGCTCGTCAGAAGCAGAAAAGGCCTTAGGATTTGTACGTTCATTTTCTCTTTTTTGTCCTTTTTTGATAATTTGCTTTTTATATATTCTATTAAGTCACATCTGTTTAAAAAAATCCATTGTTTCGGTTCACGCACGCGAGCGGGGAGAGGGGGTAAGTGTCCAGGTCCAGGATGTTTTTCTGCGTACAGAAGGGTAAGACAAGATGCATTTGAGGGGTGGGTTTTTCAGTACACGTGGTACCAGCAGCAAAATGGCAAATAGTTTCAACATCGCCGCGAAGCAAAAAAGTCTTTAGTGAAATCCTCAGGACGCCGCAACCGTTCCGTGCCCGAAATGTGGTTGGGCAGCAGCAGCGAGTCGCGGCCATTTCTCTTTATAGTTTTCAATTTTTTTTATTAAAAAACACGCACTCCACTCATCCAACGCCACAGAAACGAGCTCGAAGCATGTGACAGACCAGTCCTGATCACATGATACGGTGGAGGAAGTCATCAAAAATATATCGAAGCAACAGTCTCTTAAATGCCTTGGATAGTGTTGCCGCGATGAAGAGGAGCCATTTTGAAATCGATAAGAATGAAAAAACGTCACCCTGGCCTCTTCTCCGAACGCGCGGAACGCTTACTCTGCGTTCTCGCGTTGCTATCTCTAATAAATCTGTGTTTAAGATTTCAAAAAAAGACATTCGATTTTTGCGCAGAACAAGAAAACACAAAGTAAAAGAAAACAAAAAATAATAATAACATGATCGAACGTGCGATCCATAATACAATCTCTCCCAGTTGAAGAATTTTTTTCTTGCTTTTTTCTGTTTAAGCAGAAGGATTTTATTCCGATTCAGACGCGCGGACTGAATCGTTTCCCACAGTCCTCTCTGGTGGCGTTCAGTTGTTGTCGGACTCGTCTTCGGCCTCTCGCAGCCACGTGAAGAAGGCAGTGACGGACTTGAGGGCGACCCCTTTGCCCTGCTGCTCCGAGGGGTCTTTGCTCGACTCCCACTTGTAGAACGCCTCCTCTTTGATCACGTCCTCGTCGTACAGTGTGTCGAAGAACATCCGCAGCAGATCTGAAAACAACATGCAGTCAACACCCGCCGACTGTACACACTTTCTACTGCAGAAGAAACTCAGCTTTTACTCAAACACAGACTGAGATAAAAGGACATTTGACTGAACCAGTCTTTTGGATATTTAATTACAGTACCTATTTTTTTAGATAACTTTAAACTTTGCAAAAAAAAAACTGTTTTGTTCTATCACTTTATATAAATGCATTTTGGGCCTCAGTCACTTTTCCATCTGAAATAGCCGATTTAAAACCCGGTTTATCAGCAGCTTGACCCATTGGCCAAAAACCTGGCCAATCAGCGCGCAGCTCAAAGGGTCAAATAGTACTGCACATTTGAGCAGTTTTATTGATTCTCACCAATACTGCAGATAAACACGGCTTTTAAGTTTTGATGTTGTCGCCTCTGTGAATGTGTCAACTAATATTGATGTGTACATAAAATGTCGATCCTGGGACCTCTTCTGTTCAATCTCTACATGCTGCCGTTAGGTCAGTTAATACGCAGAAACAAAGTTTCCTATCATAACTATGCAGACGACACTCAGATCTATGTCTCACTGACTGCAGGAGAACATGGACCAGTGAACTCACTCCCTCACTGTATCCAACAGATCAGTGAGTGGATGCAAAACAACTTCCTTCAGCTAAACGCAGACAAAACTGAAATGATTGTCTTTGGTCCCCAGAAACAAAGAGAGAGCGTCATCTGTCACCTACAGTCTCTCTCCCTAAAACCTTCAAACAAGGTCAGAAATCTAGGGGTAATACTGGACTCAGACTTAAATTTTAATAGCCACATCAAATCAGTAACATCAGCAGCTTTTTACCATCTAAAAAACATTGCCAGGATCAAAAACATAGTGTCTAAAGCAGACTTGGAGATTCTTATCCATGCATTTGTCTCTAGGTTAGACTACTGCAATGGCTTCTACTTCCGCCTCCGTCGAGCATAGTCGTGTCTTTAGACCGCTCCTGCTTCTGACTGCTTGCTCTCTCTTGTTTTTGTCTTTTCCTGGAGTTTTGCCACAGACAACTCTAACAAGAATTATTTATATCATTAACTGGTCCCTCAACGCAATTGACACTATTTTTTCAACACGTAAGGGAGGACCTCTGTGCCCAGACGGGACTGCACCTGCGGGGTATACTCTTGACAGCTGGTACAAGTTTCAGCCCCTCTGTCTGTCAGTCCTGTCTATAGAAGATTTGGAAGACGTATATATCTTTGGAATTTTGGTGGTGGGGATCCTCCTTTTCGGGTTTGGAGCGTTCCTTTTCTACCGTAAATTTAGAGGCATGGCAGCTCATAAAATTCACGACCTGCTGTCCAACAAAATTGATGGGATGTACAAGGAGTTGAGCCGCGTCGTGGTTGAGAGTGCCGTGTCTGGACAAAGGAGAGTTGTGCTAGTGGAACAGTTGATAAAAGACCTCGCAACACGTTCACTCGAAGGACATAAGACACTAGAGATGAGGCTGAATGACATTGTTTGCCAGGCTTGAACTCTCTGACCCGGCATGGATTTGCCCCTGTGTACGGAGGTCTGAGGGCGCCGCAATTCGGTTTAATTGGATTTAATAGAATATCTTCCTGCTTTTGACTGCTACATTGCATATAATATTGTCCCTCTCAAGGCAATGTGTTTTCCTCCATTGCTGTGTCTCCTCTCCACTCTTATATATCTCACATTCCTCTGGCAAGGGCGAAGATAACATGAACTTCTCCAATCTACAACAAACCTCACACCTACAGCTACCCAGCTTTGGACTGAATCTGATGGCCTGCTCACAGGTCTCTCCAAACAGGCTGTAAAACAGCTGCAGTACATTCAAAATGCAGCAGCTCGAGTCCTGACTAGAACCAGGAAGTACAACCACATTAGTCCGGTCCTCAGGTCTCTGCACTGGCTTCCTGTGGCTCAGAGAATAGACTTTAAAACAGCTCTGCTTGTGTACAAGTCTCTCCATGGCCTCGCACCAAAATATATTAGTGACATGTTAGTCCCATATGAACCAGCCCGGACTCTGAGGAGCACAGGGACTGGACTCCTGTTAGTGCCCAGAGTCAGAACTAAACATGGGGAGGCTGCTTTTCAGATTCATGCTGCTAAAATCTGGAACAATCTTCCTGAAGCCTCCTCTCTGACAATGTTTAAAACCAGGTTAAAAACAGTTCTGTTTAGCTGTGCATAACTGAGGGATTGTATATTTTATATTTTTATCTTTCTTTTTAATGTACTGGGATTATTTATGATTTTAATGCCTTCTTATTTTTGTTCAGCACTTTGTGTTGCCTTGTGTATTAATTGTGCTATACAAATAAACTTGCCTTGCCTTGCCCTGAATGCCTGACGAAAGTATTCCCCTTCTATACAGAGACTTGGCTTCCCACAAATTTATCTCTACATTTTTTTATTTAATTTCTCTTTTAAAGAGATATACTATCTCTTTTGAAGAGTCCTTTTGTCTATTTCACATCAAAACACTTCTCTGGCGCCTAAAAGATGGATCCACATACATCAGACAGTCATTGTATAGATTAATAAAACCTAAAATAAACTGCCACACACAGTCAGATAGTGAAAACATAAATCTGTATGTATATAATGAATATGAAAGTGAAGATGGAGGCTCCACTCACTCGCCGGCTGCTCCATCTGCACCATGAGCGCCTGCAGAGCGTACAGCGCCTGCAGCTCCTTCTGCTCGTCCTTCAGAAACTTGAGCAGCAGTTTGGCTCGCTGTTTGATCACGTCTGCATTCACTTTGTACGGGTTCTCACCTAGAAACATCAAACGTGAGTCCACACAGAGACACTGGATGAGGCTGATCTACAAAACAAACATTGACTTCAGAGTTTTTTAATCATATGATATTTGTTTGTCTCAATCACCAACTCAGGGACTCATGTTCTTGTAATAGTTTTGTCTCTGCATTAAAGACTATTGCTGTGCAGGCACAGGGAGAACATGCAAACACACAGAAAGGCCCTGCACCACCTGAGTGTCGACCATGAGACCAGAATTTTTTGGGAATAAATAATACTGAATGGAAATGTAAAAGTTTAATTTTTCTTTTAGAATTTAGAAATGAGACAATTCAGCCACTGACACCTAAATAGATAATAATTTTGACATAATTGTCATTATATTTGTTCTAATTTACAGTTTTATTTCATTCTTAACAATGTGAAATAATGTCTTAAGTAGAGAATATATAGTAAAACAAAACAGTATGGAGGGTTAAAAAAAAAAAGAAGCTCTTTTGCCTGCAACTCCCTTTGCTACCACCAGAGGGAGAAGTTGAAATTGTTTATTTTTTCCTGATCTGAAAACTGGCTGCAAACACAGCTGTGGGATTATTAAAAATGAACTCATGGGTAATATTTCTGTTTCAAGTGAGTGATGTCATAGTAGCATAATGACATCATACTATTACAGGAGTCTGTGCAAATGTTTCTGATATTACCATGAATGGATTTACAGCGCCAGTTCAGTTAAATTAGTCTGATGTAACATGACTATAAACTTGTAGAGAAAATAAGACGTCTAGAGGAAGAATATGAATGTTGTGTTTAGACTTACAGATGATGGCTGATTGACAGATGCAGGTCATGAGCGCTCTCACAAACATGTTAGAGGACGTCTGCTTCTCGTCCAGATTTGCCTGTGTCATGAAGTCGTGTTAAACTCAATGAACACCAAGGCTAATGCTAATTCTAACACTAAGTGTTAACGCCTCAGTCATCGGCACAGACCTCGATCCAGTCAAGTATCCGCTGGTCGTCGGCCTGGTCCTGGATCAGTCGCTCCAGATGCTGAGTCAGCTCAGACGAAGTCATTTCAGACTTTTCACTTTTCTCAGATTCTTCTCCGAGAGTGAATTCTACATTCTGTGAACAGATACAACGCAGAGAATGTGTTTCCGCTCTCAAATCAACATTCAAGAAACCTCTATGTGTGACTATGGACGTAGGAATAAACAGTAAATAATAAACAGTCAGCACAGTGCGGGCTCGGGCCATAGAAAAGTGTTTCCTTTGGTTTCCTTTGTGGACTGTTTGTTTAAAGCTCAGTTTTTTTGTCATTTTTTATATCATGGAAGTATATCCATTACATGATTTAATCTATCATAAGTTTGGATATTGTTTTCTGGTGGATTTAACCAAAATATGCTTAAGATTGAACAGAACTGGACTAACGCTCAGGAAGAATTTTTTTTAAATATTTACAAATAGCATTTTAATTTTATTATTCAATCAAATAATGAAATCAACATTGTCATTATATTTTAATACAAGAGCAATCATAGATTCACCAACATAGTCCAAAATGTCCTAATATTTCAGAGCAACACAAATATAAAAATGCATATTTAATCAAAACAATGATTTATCATCACTTTTTACCTTTTCTGTCACAAACTTATTGACGTCTTCATCTTCAGGTAGGTAGTCTTTCCATATGAGACCGGCTTCTCTCCACATGGCACCGGCCTTTTTATGGCTCTGGAAAAACACAGCAAGCAAATGAAAATGTTTAAAAATTCTCTTGTTGAATGAATGAATTGAAAACAAGGATCCAGTCGTGTTTGGACCACTCACCATTCCTTTGCAGAGGAGAGTGAGGATCTGGACCAGCAACACTCCAGCTTTCTCCAGAGGGATCAGGGGTTTGGCAACTTCCCTGCAGACACATGGTTGAATAGTTAAAATCATAATACTGGAATAAAAAGGAAAAATGAAAAGTAAAAGAAAGCCATGTAGCGAAGCCAGAAGTGTCCAGTGAAGCTAGTTATCATCATGCCCATATAACTAAATAAATAATATATAGATAAATATTCTATATAAACATAACTGCCTTATCTCCTCGACATGCAGAGGTTTGTTTGAGTTTATAGTAAAAAGAAACTGCTTACAAAGACAAGAAATAATCTAAAAAAAACAAAAAAGGACATTTTTTATTTCCTCATTTTCAAGCATAAGGAAAATTGCTTTTTTTTTGCTAGTTCCCACTTCATTTGGCAAGTCTTTACAAATACAAAAAATATTCTTAAAGTCAAAAAACTGCATAAAATACTCAACTATGACGTATTTCTTCACTTGTGTTTTGTTATTTGTTGCAATGTATTGTTATTACTGAAAACTTCTGGTTGTGTTTTAAAAAATGTAGCACTAACAGGTTTTTGGATTTATGCACACTTATTTTAAAAACATAACGTAAATCTCAATGTTAATAAGGAAAGTGTAATGTGTAAATGGTGCTTTTGGGCTTTGGTGGAAAGCTTCTTCGCAGATGTGTGGGTGGTACCTGAACAGCTCTCCCATGGGGATGCCTCCCTCATGCAGCATGGGGGTGATGAGCTCCGCCAGGTAAAGCCAGATGTGGGGGATGTCGATGGCCATGTCCTCAGCCACCTCCAGGATCTCCTGAAGCCTGCCGTCCAAACAGCGAAGATAGTGACGTTATAAATCCAGGGCTTTTATAGACACTTCCAACGTATTTACAATTTTAAAACTCCCGTAAATGTACGGTTCATCAGAACAATTAGATTTGATAATATCTAATTGAAAATGAGAACAAGGATCCATCAAAACAAAGTACATATAGTGTTAATAAATGTTGTCCGTAAATATCATTGAGAATCTTTGAAGGTGTCCTGAATCACTTAGCTAAATCTTCTAGAGATATTCTAAGTCTCTTGTGCCTTTTGAAACAAGCAGTTTGTGGCAATCAAGGTCAGACTGTGGCATAACTGCACAAATATGATATACACATACTTTGGCGACGTGGGCGAAACCTGCAAACAATTAGAAGTGGGAAAAATGACAAATTCAGCAGTTTAATGCAGCTCTAATCCCAAAACAGTCATGTCGTCCACAATTAAAAACATGTAAATGCTATAAAATACATGAGTAGAGGTGAATTTGTGATGGTCTGAGAATGGTTCAGTTCCTGGTGACCAAATTAGGACAAGGGGATAGTAGGGACTAGTTGGATGAATTATGTACTGACCCTTTGAAATACTGCGGTTTTGGGAGGGTGCCGTTCTTGACCAGCTGTTGCATCAGCAGGCCTAAGTGCTCGCGGGCGATCGGGCTCCGCTCCAACGTCGACTCCAAACCGTTTCGAACAAAAACGTACAAGAGCTGAGGGCTGTTCATCTCCTGCACACACTGTAGGGCTTCCTTTGTGGCCAAGCATCAGACACAGAAGCATTAGAGGCGGTCGACATGTGGTTAGATTCTCATCATCGCAGAGATACACACCTTCATATCATTAATATGTAGGTACTCCTCAATGATGGCTGTGGACTTCTTTTCAAGTTCCTCTTCTGATAAGGCAGGTTTGGTGGGAGGCTGAGGGAGAGGAGGCGTGGCTCTCTCCTTTTGTACTGTGACACAAAATCAATACTTTCAATAGGTCGATTAATGAATGTGATCGCTTAAATTCTTTCATTCCACAATGATCGTTTCAATTACAAGAAAACGTAACATTTCTATGTGAAAAAATAGAAGATATGGAGCAAAAGAGCTCAACTGTTTGTTATTTACTTTGATATTCAATTTGAAACCAGATCAAAATCTCCATTCAACAGTTTTTTTTGCATTGAATAAGTTCTGTGAGTGCAGTTTGGGTCGGATACATAACAATATCTACAGATTTCTTCACACTGTTTGTCTAATCGATCGTCAGGGCTTTTGTTTAGTTGCCTGATAAATTCTTTGGTCGACTACAGCTCCAGAAGCAAGATTTGTGCAGTGTAGGAATGTAAATCAGGGCTCTTTTAAGTCGATAATCATTTATTGTTCTGTGAAATGTCAACCCTGTCATTTGCACTTTGGTTAAGACCAGTAGCTCACCATTGTCTTTGCTGCGGGCCCTCTCCCTGCTGCCTCGATCGTCGGTCATGCTGGCCACTCGCCGCACCGCCTCGATGGACGCGCGGTGCTCCCGCTCTCGACTGCGCTCTTCGGTCTCTCGGCTGAAGCTTCTCTTCGTCACCTGCAGCCGGTTCCTGTCGCGGTCGTCCCGTCGGTCGTCGCGCCTGTCGAAGCGGTCTCCTCCGCGGTCCGACCGCTCGTACCGGTCTCCGCGCTCTCTGCTCGAGCTGTTTCTGATCAGTGACAAGAGACAGAAAGATTGTCAGGTTTTATGTAAAGTCTACTTTTCACAAATGTTGAACTGTTACAACCGTTTTCCCCAAAACTATTTTTAGAGTGATTCAGACATGTTCATGCCCTCCTCAGAACACCGTCTCCACGACACGACCACTGTTTGTATTTACTTTGTTTTCATTTCTGAAGCAGTGATGCGTCTGGGGCATTTTTGCTTGAACAAAATCCTTTATCTGCTAACTTGATTCACGGTCTGAATGGTCCTTTGACGTCACATAAAGGAGCAGTGCGCAAAGAAATACTGAATGATAAACGATAATATTTATTTTTTTATTTTTCTGTCATTCAAAAATGTACGATATGGGGTTTAAACAAAAAGGCATTTTAACAATATGTCCACGGCAATAACCTCTGAACTCTAGGATATAAGGAGTCAATTGTCTAACATAACATTTAGTATTAGCTCTGTTAACATTGTACCCGCTCTTGCCATTCAGTTTGATGAGTTTATGCTTTTACCTGTTGGGAACCCTTCTGTCGGCGTCTGAGGCTGCGGCGGCGGAAGACTGCTGCAGAGCTGAGAATCGGTTTAGAGTTGCCGGTCTGCTGCCTGCGTCTGGGCCTAATATACAGAAATACAATGACTCCTATGTCCTCATACAATTCAAAACTGAAAAGGAGTTCATCTTTAATGACACGTACCAGCGTCTGCGGGTTTCGTGGTCGTGCCACCGCTGCTGCCTTTGCCCCAGCTGCCCCACGTGCCTTTACCTCCAGGGGCGAGCAGCTGATTGTTAAAGTCAAGTACAGGAGTCTAGAATGAAAAAAAGATCAAAGTCTTACAGTTAAACTTATTAAACAGCTTATAAACAAAACAAAATGGAAGTGTTAATTAACTGTGAGCAATACATTAGCCTACTACAGATAGTATTATGTAAATTCAGCACTGTGACATAAGAGTGGGTCAAGTGAGTAATGTGACAACAGTTTGTTACATGTATACAACTAAGCCTGTGACAGTAATTATTAAATCGACTTATTGTTCAGTAACTGATGGAAAAAGCAATAATGTTTGCTTTCTTCTTTGTAAAACAATCAAGTTTTCCCATAGAGGATGGATTATGAATTAAAATATGACTTAATTCTGCTGTTTATGGCCTTCTAATGAAATAGACCAATCCAAAAATGGCTTTCCTTGGATAATCTGTGCTTGTGTCAATAGCATAACTTAATTTCAATATTACAGTTTATCTTGAACATCTATTAAAATTGGTTATTGTGACAGGCCTACATACAGCCAACCAGTGTTTCCTTCTAGTATCAACATTTTAACTAAACCAGTGGTCGTACGGCTCAATTAGGTACCTTAGTGATCTTGCTGAGGCGTGAGGTGTCGATGGGCCTGTTCTTGGAGATGGGCACCGTGTTCCAGCCCTCGTCCTGTTGTGGGGCTCCACGTCCCGGGGTGTGGTGTCCGCCTCGGCCCCCCTGTCCTCTCTCCATCCTGCCCCCGGAGCCTCCAGAGTCCTTCTTGGAGATCAGCGCTTGTTGGGCCTTCATATGTTCCCGGTGCTCCTCCATCTCTGCCTCTTTGTGGATCTGGTCGATAGTTTTGGGGCCCTGGTCTCCACGCCTCGGAACCCAGTTGTTCTGATGTTTGCAAAATTAGGGGAAAGAAGGAACATAAAAAAAATAGAAATAAATCAATGTAGATCATTTACTCAAGTAAATAAAATAGAATAAATGACATCTTACATAAACATATGCTTTTATCTGACAAATATTTATAGTTCCTGACACAGGTTGGATTATGCTCTAAAACGGTTCTTGTATCAACATTTTTATGAGAATCTAAATACAGAGTGATACTGCCCAAAAACAGCTGGAGGAGTGGCCAGTGTTTGAAGTGATCAAAAGAACTTGAACGTGAATATGAGAATGGGAAGAACAATTTGGATTGCTGATAAAGGATTGAAATATAATAACGTGGTTCTGGAGCATTCATAAGATTAAACATTCATACAGCGCCTATAATAAAAGAAAGGGCTCCTCACGTGTTGTCTTTTTAGTTTCTGATATAAACTCAAAACATAATTTCCAACTTGCAAAGGTGACCAAAAGGTGATAATTACAGATCTTTCAACAACAGTAGCTGTCGTTTACATATTTTTTCTACAACAAGAGGCTCGTGACTGAAGCATTTTTTGCTCAGAAACCACAGAAGCAGGTTCTGTGAGTGTGGGTGGGGTGGGCAGCCGCATATTGGAGACTGGAGAATTCTTTCACAAAAGTGTTGATACTTACTAGTGCTGTCCAAAATATCGCGTTATTAACGCGTTAACGCAAATCAATATTAACGGCGTAGTTTTTTTTATCGCGCGATTAATTTTTTTTTTTCTTTTACTTTTTATTGCAGACAAACACATATACAGAAAAAAAAAATAGAAACAAAGAAAAGGACTAGTTCAGATACATTGTAGACAGAGATTACAAACAATATGTAGTTGGAGACACAGGGGGCCAAAGAAGAAACCCAGAAGGGCACATAGGAGAAGTGTTGTGCGTGAACGAGTTCAAAAGAACGCGTTCATTGAACACGCTCATTTTTTCGTGAACATTGAACTGAACGCAACACATTTTTAAAAAAATAACTTGAACGTGAATTAGTTCATTTTATGTGTCATGAACGGCAGACATCACTATGAACGTTGGAATCTGTTTTCTCTTTTGAAACGCAACGAGAGAAAGTACCTCCCTCCTGTATTCTCGCACTTTTTCCGCCAAAATCTAAAAATTCCTACGGTTTCCACCGTCTGTGAACGCACCCCGACTCCGTGTTGCGGTGCGGCGCTGTGCTTTTCACATGTGCCCGAGTCATGATGAAAACACAGGGTGCGCTGGCATTACTGTCTGTAGTTTATGAGCAGAGATGGAGCAACTCCGTTTGGCTCCCATTGAAAACCATGTAAATCTTGTCTGTTTTGTAGTCAAAAGGCTCTCCTCCTGTGGGTGTACAGGAGATATATATATATATATATATATATATATATATAGCTCGTAGTGTGAAAAAAATATGTATTTATCTCACGAAAAAAGTAAAATGAACTGAACTTTGAACTAGTTCAGAATTAAAAATGTGAACTTTGAACGTGTTCTGTTCACTTTGAGCATGTATGAACTGAACTTGAACTAGTTCAGAAAAGCTGTGAACTGGCACAACACTAGGAGGGGGGGGGGACATGAAGTGGGAGATGGGGGGGAGGGGTTAATAAAAAGGCAATACAAGCAAACAGTATACAGTCATAGATATACCGAAAGTAAACAGAGAAACAGCATAGAGTATTTACATGAACAAATTTACAAAATATTTACAGATTGTTTATCATCATCATAATGACACCATGATGTTTCTATACAGTCTATGGTCTATACCCACACATACACACACACACCCACACACACACACACACCCACACAAATGTGTGACTAATTTGCGATTAATCGCGATTAAATATTTTAATCGTTGGACAGCACTAATACTTACCCATCGCAGGTCCAGTACGTCTTGTAACATGAAACGAATCCTGGAGCTAGTCTTTCTCTCTTTGATGATCTTCTCCATTTGATTAAAATACTGATCCATACGAGGCTGTGGGGAGGAACAAGAGGTTAACACTTGAAGTAGTAGGGCACAATATAATAACTACAGGAAAGATATATGAAGATAAACAATAAAGAGCCTTTTGTTATGCAGTTTAACCCATTGAGGCCGGGAACGCATTCCCGCGTTTCTCCCTTTCAAGCCGGGAGCGCTGTTGCGCACTTCTACCTTTAAGGCCGGGAAAGCGGACACGTCTTTTTTTCTTTTTTGACCTATTCTCTTCATTGATCAATTCTCTGAACCAATGAAATGTATCAAGATATACCTGTGATGAGAATTATCTGCGGATTTGTGGATTTCTCGCTGAAAATTTCATTTGGGTGAAATGCGTGACCGCGGGCAGTTGTTTGCGTTACGTACTCGAACTGGAGTAACATCCTCCGCTCTCAGCGAACGCGCAGCCACAGGGGTCATGTACCGAGCGCGGCCCATAGACGCGCGATCAGGACCGAGGGAGAGACGGGCAAGACCCGCATGTGCAGCAAGCTCCCTCCCACGTCTGTCCCCCGTCTCTCCCTCATGTCTCTCCCTCATGTCTCACCCCATGTCTGTCCCCCGTCTCTCCCTCATGTCTCACCCCCATGTCTCTCCCCCGTCTCTCCCTCATGTCTCACCCCCATGTCTCTCCCCCGTCTCTCCCCCGTCTCTCCCTCATGTCTCACCCCCATGTCTCTCCCCGTCTCCTGACAAAGCGCAGACTCACTGAAAAATAAAGCTCAGCTACCTACATTTTTGCTTGCATTGATAATGCATGTTTTTTGGGCAAAAAATAAAATGTTGTGACCAAATCAAACAGAACAAACCAAAACGGTCATGTTTTGTTTATTGTGCTTACTTTAGAAAGAGCCTTGTGAGTCATTATTTGACTTTTTGGGCTGAGAGTGGATTTTTATATTTTTTTCTACATAGTTAGTGCCACTTTATTGCCAAACTCTTTTTGACTTATTGCATTGATAAACATGTGTTAGTCACACATTGTTTTTGGTTGTTTTATTGCCTTTCCTGTGTGGAAGTTGTATATTCTTCTACTGAAGTTTTATAATAATACACTGCATTCTTATTGAAAGCCACAAGTGTCAGCTCTCAAATTAATTTGAAATTATGTTTCTATCTGCTACAGAGGCCGAGATACCAATCATTTAGTAGACATTGAATTTCAGGAAAACTTCAGGTTTTGGAGGGTGGTTCTGAAGTCGGCCTCAGGTTTTGCAGGTCTGTTTTACCAGGCGATGAAGGCCTTAATGGGTTAACCGCCTGATGTCAAGTCTTCTGCCAAAAGATGTAAGAACCCAGTTGTTTGGCACAAGTCCAAACCAGATGACAAACTTCTGTACGGACGTCATCTCCTGTGTCATCTGCAGCGTGATTTGTTCATTTATCTCAAATATTTGAACTCTAACTACATACATAATATTGTTTCATAGAGTTTCAAACGCGTCCTCAAAATAAAATACAAATAAAACATTTTGATCAACAAAATCTATTCATCCATTGCATAGACATTTACTTTTGATCAGACGAGCAACCACAAATGATAGGTTAACTCCAAAGTATATAAATATCTTTATAATTGAATCAAAAATTAAGATTGAAACAAAAACAATTTACATGAACAAGACAAAATTGGTAATTTCTGTTGGAGTTTTAGATGTATAGGAAGAACTAGTATGAATCCTTGTGGCGCCATAAAAAGTCCTGAGTCGAGTCACTAGTGTGATTATATGTGGAGTCAGTCTGAGAGAAGTGGGGATAAGTAGCTTGCCAAACTGAATGCATCTTCTAACATCTATATCTTGTATCCTATCCTTATCATTTCTATCCCTCACCTTAGCCTTCTCAAAGTCCAGGTCTTTGCCGATGGTCGACAGCAGGCGGCACAGGCACTCCAGAGACTCCTCGTCGTGGTTCTTGAGCAGCTTGACAATGCAGTCGTGCATGATGACCTCCGTCAGCATCTTCAGCTTGAACAGTTCTCCGATGAACTTGATATTTCCCAGAGAACGTCGCCGTGCTTTGTCTTTAGCATCTTCTAGCTCCTCCGTCAGCCGCTGCTTCTCCTCGTCCTGCCCAAGAAACAAAACATTAAGTTAATGTATTTTAAACTGTGAAATACGGAATTGTAACTTTATTTTACGTTAGCTTATACTATTGTCGGTTTCAAATGCTGCGTACTGTAGCCTCTTGAACTGTGATTGTTTTTAACCATTTCATTTTGCACCTTCACTTTGCAAATGTCTCAAAACATTTGAGATACAGTGGGGGAAAAAAGTATTTAGTCAGCCACCGATTGTGCAAGTTCTCCCACTTAAAATAATGACAGAAGTCTGTAATTTTCATCATGGGTACACTTCAACTGTGAGAGACAGAAGGTGAAAAGAAAATCCAGGAATTCACATTGTAGGATTTTTAAAGAATTTATTTGTAAATTATGGTGGAAAATAAGTATTTGGTCACTTCAAACAAGGAAGATCTCTGGCTGTAACTGACCTGTAACTTCTTCTTTAAGAAGCTCTTCTGTCCTCCACTCGTTACCTGTATTAATGGTACTCGTTACCTGTATTATTGGCACCTGTTTGAACTCGTTATCTGTATAAAAGACACCTGTCCACAGCCTCAAACAGTCAGACTCCAAACTCCACTATGGCCAAGACCAAAGAGCTGTCGAAGGACACCAGGAAAAGAATTGTAGACCTGTACCAGACTGGGAAGAGTGAATCTACAATAGGCAAGCAGCTTGGTGTGAACAAATCAACTGTGGGAAAAATTATCAGAAAATGGAAGACATACAAGACCACTGATAATCTCCCTCGATCTGGGGCTCCACGCAAGAGCTCATCCCGTGGGGTCAAAATGATCATGAGAACGGTGATCAAAAATCCCAGAACCACACGGGGGGACCTGGTGAATGACCTGCAGAGAGCTGGGACCAAAGTAACAAAGGTTACCATCAGTAACACACTACGACGACAGGGAATCATATCCTGCAGTGCCAGACGTGTCCCCCTGCTGAAGCCAGTGCATGTCCAGGCCCATCTGAAGTTTGCCAGAGAGCACACGGATGATAGAGCAGAGGATTGGGAGAATGTCATGTGGTCAGATGAAACCAAAGTAGAACTGTTTGGTATAAACTCAACTCGTCGTGTTTGGAGGAAGAATAATCCTGAGTTGCATCCCAAGAACACCAGACCTACTGTGAAGTATGGGGGTGGAAACGTCATGCTTTGGGGCTGTTTTTCTGTTAAGGGGACAGGACGACTGATCCGTGTTAAGTAAAGAATGAATGGGGCCATGTATCGTGAGATTTTGAGCCAAAACCTCCTTCCATCAGTGAGAGCTTCGAAGAAGAAATGTGGCTGGGTCTTCCAGCATGACAATGATCCCAAACACACCGCCCGGGCAACGAAGGAGTGGCTCTGTAAGAAGCATTTGAAAGTCCTGGAGTGGCCTAGCCAGTCTCCAGACCTCAACCCCATTGAAAATCTGTGGAGAGAGTTGAAAGTCCGTGTTGCACGGCGACAGCCCCAAAACATCAGTGCTCTCGAGAAGATCTGCATGGAGGAATGGGCCAAAATACCAGCTACTGTGTGTGCAAACCTGGTAAAGACCTATAGTAATCGTTTGACCTCTGTTATTGCCAAAAAAGGTTATATTACAAAGTATTTAGTTGAATTTTTGTTATTGACCAAATACTTATTTTCCACCATAATTTACAAATACATTCTTACACTGACATTTTCAACTCCTCTCTGCAGTCCTGCCATGTCCCGCCTGCTTCAAATCCTCCATCATTGTCCCCGTCCCGAAGAAGCCCAGGATCACAGGACTCAATGACTACAGACCTGTAGCACTTACGTCTGTCGTCATGAAGTCATTTGAACGCCTGGTTCTCTCCCATCTCAAGTCCCTCACCTCCCCCCTCCTGGACCCCCTGCAGTTCGCCTACAGAGCCAACAGATCTGTAGACAACGCCATCAACCTGGCCCTCCACCACATCCTACATCACCTGGACTCCCCGGGGACCTACGCCAAGGTCCTGTTCGTGGACTTCAGCTCTGCCTTCAACACAATCCTGCCATCCCTGCTCCAGGACAAGCTCTCCCAGCTCAACGTGCCCGATTCCACCTGCAGGTGGATCACTGACTTCCTGACAGATAGGAAGCAGCGAGTGCATCTGGGGAAGAATGTCTCGGACTCTCGGATTATAAATACAGGAGCCCCACAGGGCTGTGTTCTTTCTCCCCTGCTCTTCTCCCTGTACACCAACCACTGCACCTCCAGCCACGACTCTGTGAAGCTGATCAAGTTCGCGGACGACACCACCATCATTGGACTCATCTCCAACAACGATGAGTCCGCCTACAGGAGGGAGGTGGACCGGCTGGTGTCCTGGTGCAGTGGTAACAACCTGGAGCTGAACGCCCAGAAGACAGTGGAGATGATTGTGGACTTCAGGAAGAGCACTGTCCCCCCGCCCCCACCCTCCGTGATGGACTCCCCCATCACCTCTGTGGAGTCCTTCCGTTTCCTCGGCACCACCATCACCCAGTACCTCAAGTGGGAGCCGACCATCAGCTCCCTCATCAAGAAGGCCCAGCAGAGGATGTACTTCCTGCGGCAGCTCAGGAAAGCCAAGCTGCCTGCACAGATGTTGGTGCAGTTCTACACGGCCATCATCGAGTCCATCCTCACCTCCTCCATCACCGTGTGGTTCGCTGGAGCCACAGTCAGGGACAAACAGAGACTATAGCGCATTGTGCGCTCTGCAGAGGAAGTGATCGGCCGCAGCCTTCCATCGCTGCAGGACCTGTACGTCGCCCGAGCTCGAGGCCGGGCTGGTCGTATCACAGCCGACCCCTCTCACCCTGCACATGGACTATTCCAACCACTCCCCTCAGGCAGGAGGCTGCGGTCCATCAGGACTAGAACCTCCCGCCACAAGAACAGTTTCTTCCCCTCTGCTGTTGGACTCTTGAACACTTCTTAACCTGTCCCCCCGCCCTTTATAAAGTCACTTTACTGCCCATCATACGTCACTTTACTTCACTGTACTGCTGTCACCTTACATTGTGTGCACCATGTGCACTTGTATATTGTAAATAGTAACTGTAACTCTATTTTAAATTTAAATTTATTCTTTAGAAATGTTTTTTATTCTTATTTTTATTATCTCTTTTTGACTGTTGCACTGAGCCAAAGCAATTTCCAAGTCTGTGACTTCTTGTTACTTACGTGGCAATAAAAATGATTCTGATTCTGATAAATCCTACAATGTGAATTCCTGGATTTTTTTTTCACATTCTGTCTCTCACAGTTGAAGTGTACCTATGATGAAAATTACAGACCTCTGTCATTATTTTAAGTGGGAGAATGATATTGGAATGTAACTTAAAGAGCGACTAAACAACAAATCAACTTTTTTTAACTCATAAACTGCATAAGTATGTTTATTGTAGTGCTGTCTACATATCCTGGTCATTTTTTTGACATTTTAGTTCAAATTAGATAAAATATCACTTTTGAGCCAAAAAACGCTGTGTGGTGCCCTCTCAACCTTTTTGGTGGTACTACATTTGAATTTGGTTCTGGCCTCTCCATTGACTCTGAAGTTCTCTATGACATCAGTTGTTTTGTGTGCCGTCAGTCTGTCAGAGCCAGTGATGTGAACCCATCCAACTCTCACACACGCCCCAGCTGCAGTTTGGAGTATTCTGGCGCCATCTAGTGGATTAAAATTAAATTACATGAGTCATTCTGAGATTATTGAGTGTGATTAGGTTCAGGTGTGTAGCTTTACAATTATCTTAGTGTGTAAACAAGGGTGGAATGAGACTTTCTGGTCTGTAAACTATTGCTTTAAGCAGCAATGACAACTGTCTGTTTTTTTTAGTGAGACAAGTGAGCTGTCAATCACAGCCCAGACCACGCCCAACTCTAAGCCCCCCTTCTTGTCCCTTAGTCCTCCAGGCAACGCCCTTTTTAGAGAAAATTTTCAAATCTTCATGTGGGCGGGGTAAGGCTGGGCACAGGTGTTTAGTCGCTCTTTAAGTTATCATTTTGGTAAATCATATGTGGCTATGTGCTAAATGCTCTGTATTGTAATTCACTTTAGCTTCAGGAAGACACCGGGAGGTCTGGGGAGCTCATATGCTAAGTGTCTTTTGTTGTGTTGGTTTCTTCCTTTTCCATCTGCATACGAAGGTGTGTCTTGCTCTACCAAAAGGGGCTTGCCATCTGTGAATCTTCAGACTTGTCCTGAGAGAGGCTGGGGTCTGTGCCTTGCCTCTGTCAAGACATTCTCCTTGTACAATGTAACAAGTAAAAGATTAACTTTGTCTCTTTGTTGTGTGTGAGATTTCATCAGGTTCAACTGTAGCTGAAACAGCATTAACAGAGAACTTGCACAATCGGTGTCTGACTAAATACTTTTTTGCCCCACTGTACATGGAGACTTAACAAATGGCATCCCCAAAGTTTTGTTAATGATGTTCAAATTTGAGACACAAGAAAAACATAAAAAAAATGACAATGTTGTTTATTTCATGACGTTTTGGACATTAGAACTTTCATTAGATTATTCGCTTATATACCATTAACAAACCATTAACCATACCATACCATTAACAAAATTGTTCTTCTGGATTTTCTTAAAAGGAGCGATTTACTTTTAAGGCCAATTTATTAATAAGCAGTAGTAGCTAGTAGTAATACTCCTGTGTTGCCGATACTTACATTACCGGCCGCATCCAGCTCTTTCTGCTTCTTCTCAAAGATTTCGTCGTCGTCTTTGTCTTTCTCAAACTCTTTCTGGCAGCGGTTCAGCAGCAGCTTTCGGAAATTCACAGTGGCTCCGGGCTGATCGGTGGCCTGGACTTTGAGCTGAAGGAGCAGCGGGAGAGAGTTACTCAAACAGATTGCGTTGGAAAATACGATTGTTCAGTTCAAGTCAAAACGGCTCTTTAGTTCCTTTTTCCATCACAAGAATCAGGGCCCAGACACATCGCTGGAGCGTGGCAGGATTTGACCAAACCACAGAGACCAGACCAGCCAGAAAACATGCCCTTACAGCGCATACATTCAGTGGAAATTTTTAAACAAGTCTGGAGTGCTTGTATATTTTGCAATGAGAACAGTTTACAAAGTGTCTTTGAAAATTAAAAAACATGATTAAAAAATGTTTAACACACAGAACGTTCTCTTTAAAGTCTGAATAAAATAACGGGAATCTATCTAAATATTTTTAGCACACAGCTAATTATGAAATTCTGTAAAGCACTTCTATGTGTTTGTTAGGAGTTTTACAATAATATACCTGAAATCTTTTCTGTTTTTTTTTCTCAAAGTGAATATTAACTGTCAGAGTTGTCATAGACAATATCAAGTAACATTGTTGTAAAGTCAAGTCAATATCAAATTAAAAGCAGAATAACATTTCTTTCTAGGGATATGCAGGTAATATCAAATGCAATATAAAAAAGCCTTGTGTTTCAAGCGTCTGTGAGCTCTTGTGTGTGACTTACCCCCATGAGACAGCGGCACATGTTTGCGTAGGCCACAGAGAAGTCTGGCTCGGAGATGGCCTTCTCAAACGTGAGGTCGATAACTCCCTTCAGCCTCTCCTCCGTATCGATGGTCAGCTCCGTCACCTGCTTCATGAGCTGCTGGAACTTCTGCGGCGTGAGTTTGTTGAGGATGCTGCGCACGCGTTTGAACAGCTCCTGTGTCTTCTGCTGGTCGGGGTCGTCGGACTCGGCCTCCTCCACTCGGCGCGCGGGCTTCTTGGCTGAGGGTTTCCAGGCTTTCTCGGCTTTGTTCAGCTGGATGTCGTCGTTCAGGGACATGCTGGTAATGATCTTACGCGGCTCTTTGCGCTGCATCTGCTGAGATCGCCGTGGACCACCGATGCCCATGCCCATCCCTGGAGGCTGGAGGAAAACAGGAGACGTGTACAGTTAGCACCGCAACTATTGGCGGGTTAAGACTTGGAGACTCAACATAGGGCTGGGCGATATGGCAAAAAAAAAAAAATCTCCGATTTTTTCACACCAAATCCGATTTTCGATTTTAATCGATTTATTTTTTTCTATTTAAAAACAAACTACAACTGACAAAGAAATAGATTTTCCTTTATGCAGTTTAATCTAAATCCCCATGGAGCATAAGTGTAACAGGAATTAAGCCTTAAAACATGCTTGTAAACGAGATGGCTCTGCCATTGTAAACAGTGAAAATGTAGCTTAACAGTTTTATAATAACTTCACTTACAATGACACTATGCACCTTCAAAATAACTTAAATCACACAAACAAGGCCCATCGCAAATATATCAATCCTATTAAACACATGCATTATTTACATGAAATATCACATTTTTAAAACTGATTACTCAAAATAGAAATGTTGTAACAGACAGTCTTTTCCAAAAGCCTCCTCGGGTTTTCATGCTTGTTCTTTCAACTGTGCCTGAGTAACTGTGCTGTAGTACAACGCTCGGTCCAGCTGGTGGCGCTAATACTAACTTCAGTGACTCCCGCATTGTGCGAGCTTCCTGTTTACATTCGGATGCTGTAGCTAACAGCTACTGTAGCAGCAGAGTATTAGTGGGGGGGATAAAGCAACCCGGGGGAATAACAGGAAGGAGCAGGTTATGATAACCAGAATGAGACTGGGTCATTGTGGGCTTGCTCAAAGCCTGTATCGGATCGGAAAGCACAGAGATGGCCTGTGTGAAGAGTGCAGTGAGCAAGAGACAGTGAAACATGTTCTCTTACAATGTAGGAAATATGTGGACCAAAGAAGACTGCTGTTTTCTCGTGCTCTTCACCTGGGACTTGAGCGTGTGAATCTGAGGTCATTGCTTGCTCCCCATGTGCAGCAGCAAGAAGTTTTTCGTGCGCTTGTGGAATTTATTTTTAGTACCGGACTGTACCAGAGAATTTGAATGGACCTAGGGTGCAATAATTGGATCCACCAGTGAAAGGCAGCAATGCGCCGACTGGCGCACAGTCTGCCGGAAATCCACAAGAAGAAGAAGAAGAAGAAGAGCTACTGTAGCAGCTACTGTAGCTAACAGCTACTGTAGCAGCTACTGTAGCTAACAGACAGCGGGGAACACGTTGTTTGTATCAGAGCAATGAGAGCAATGTGTGAGACGTGTCTTTCCCCAAAGTGCAGCGGCTCAGTGGGACACGAGTGTGTGCGCGCCACGGACACGGGAGTGCGCTTTGGAATAACGAGCGTGAGAGAGTGTGAAAGATGTGGCGTACGAACATGGCGTACAAACATAGCGACCGGAGCCTGCGTGCGTGTGTGTGTGTGTTTTGGCGATTAAATAAAGTCTGATTCTTGAACGTTTGAAGTGTTATTGCAACAGCACCAATTGTGAGAGCGAGCATCAGGCCAGAGGGAGACTGTTAGCATTAGGTTAGCTTCAAAATGACTGCTCAACACCATAGACCCGCGGTTAGCGCGTTAGCGCTGTAGTTCTGCGCTGGAGAAAATAAAAATCGAATTTTTAAAAAAAGAAATCGCCCTAAACGTAAAACTCAAATTAATGATTAAAATCGATTAATCGCCCAGCCCTAACTCAACATAATTCTATTTTATTTGTAAACATTCTCTCTCTTCATAGGGGCCTTTGCTCATCAACATTTCTAAATACCGGAACTAAATATTTTTATTCAGCTGAAAATACTCCATTTTGAGCTGAAATTTGTAAATATAATTGGCAATATATTGACATATGGCAAAACTGTTATATGTATGCATGTGTATACTAGATGTACAGTAGACAAAAAAAAAAATTCTTCTGCTCAAAGGAATAAATACAATTAAAAAAATAAAATTATTATTTGTCTAGTCGAATAATCAAAATTAAAACAGACTTTCTGCTGCTAAAAATGTTGAAGACAGAGCACTATTTTGAATTAATTAAAATATACATCAAGTTAACACACTCATTTGACTTCAATTCAATTGCCTTTAAGAAGAGAATAAACTTAATTTGTGTCTTGAGAGATGAATCTATGTTTGAATGAGTGGCAGCTTAAGTATCATAGAAGCTGATTAGTCAGAGACACTGTCAGAGGAATAATCACCATATAATGATTGGATCAAAATAGCATATGTGAGTAAAATGGAATAGAGTGATTAAGAAGCTCACTGGTCCTCTGCCGCCTCCCATCCCCGGCCGGCCGAGGTTGGCGAATGAAGGCGTGAAGTCGGGGCCACAGTTCATTCCGGGTAAACGGCTGGGGTCGAGCTGTCGCAGGGGGGTCTTGTTTGCCTAAGAGGAGACAAATAATGAATACATGAAACCCTTTTTAGTGTAAATAATACTTCCGTTTCATGACATTCAATAATGAATGAGGAAAGTAATATAAGAAATGTGGTCTACTTATACTGTACAGAGTAGGTTAAAAATGTCTGTTGTTTGTACCTTATCCAGGACGACGTCGCTGATCGCAGGCAGACCTGTAGGTTTGTTCATACTGGCGGAGCTGAACTGGAAACCCAACAGGAACTCTCTGTCGTATTTCTTCTTCTCTTCTGGGTTTATTGGCTTCCAGTTTTCTGAATAAAAACCCCATTAATATCTAAATATAGTGCATTAGCTAAAAAACAAAAAAAAATTCCCTTTGAAGGATACACAAAATGTACAGGGCTCCGTGTTTGGGCAGTGAAACGGGTTGAAGAAGTTTTAAATTAGAGAAAATGTATTGCTATTCCTTGTTTGCAATAAAATGTATGTTTTACTACAGACACAGATACATTTAATTGGGTTTATAAAAAACACTAACAATCTAAATTTAACACTCATTACTGTCGTCTAAAGTTAAAGGGGGGAGGGGTGGTCATAGCTATGTTGCAAAATTCTTCATCTTTGACTATTTTCAAAATGCCAACATTAAACATAAAAAAACAGCAAACTTATTCTATCAGAACTATATAAAAAACACAAGAAATAACACCTTGATTAAACTTCATTTAGACAGAATTAAGGTTTGTTAAGGCCTTAAAAGAAAGATAATCCACCGCCTCTTATCAGGAGCTGCAGTACACAGACTCCACAGAGTGATGCTGTGATAACAGACCCACCCTCTTTGTACTGATACTTCTTGTCAGTGCTGCTGGCTTTCATGGTATCTGGCTGAATGTTCTCCGAGTCCAGCTTGTCCTCTTTGTCCTCTTTGTCTTCCCAGGTGAGGTCTGCCTCCTCTGGGGCTGGAGGCGCTGCGGGGGTCTCGGGCTCTGAGGCTGCGACTGGCTCTGGTTCAGGTTTGACCACCACCTGCTCCTGGGACAGAACAGAGAGGACACGTAAAGAGGCTGCACCTGATATATTTCTATGGAGTTGAGACAGACTTGTTCAGTGTTTATTGTCGGAGAAACAGGAAGTGTAATGCTAGCCAGTGAAATGGCTAACTCAGGTGAAGTCTTGCAATCCTTAGAGTCTAAAAAGTACTCATAAACTTATCAAAATTAATAATTAGGGTGTGAGGAATGGTGTGAGAAAAGTATCACAAAAGAAAATGACAATACAATTGGTTCATTTTAAATAATTATAGTAAGAAAGATAAAAAGAATATCATCCAAATACCTCTTTGAAGGCATCCAGGAGATCACCCACTGCATCCTTTTTGTTCAGTTCCTTCATTTTCCTCTTTTTCTTTGGCACAGACACAGCAGCTGATAAAAACAAATACACATAATAAGCTATCACAACAAAAAACACACACATAATACTCAACTCGTGCCCTTAATAAGGATTCTTAAAGGTTTCTACAAACAAATGTTGCAATAATCTTGAATAGCTGAAAGTAAGACTCAACCGGGTCTTCTTTCCCCACTGATTCTGCCAAGCCCGTTCCCTTGGCTGTGGTTTCGTAAGGGGGGGTAAAAAATTGGCTACTTGAAGTGATGCTACCTACCCAAATAAGACTGAATGCAACTGTTTACTGATGTAAAAACAGAGTAAATATTCCACACTTTTATTCTCAAATGTCGACTAGTTTTCCTATGAGAAATGATATCTACCAGAAGGGCTTGAGCAAAGGGTGATACTGTATTGTCTGGAGCAGAGCGCACCGACCTTGCATAGCAGTTTCCACGGGGGCGGGAGTGGCTATGGGGGGTGTTGGGGTGCCCGCTTGTTCCTCAGACATGGGGGTGGGAGGCACTGCTTCTGGGATGCTCTCAGGCTCAGATTCCTTCTCCTCCTTCACCGCAGCTTCGACTTCAGGGGCGTCGGCCTTTTCCTCGGCCTCTTCAGACTCGATTTGAGGAAGCGCTTCTTGGTTTTCTACTTTGACTTCTGGGACGACCGATTCCACCAGGGGCTCTGGGACGGGTTCAGGGTCCTTTTCCACTGGTGGGACAGGGGAAGCTTGTGCAATGGGCACTTGAACGATATTGACAGTTGTAGGTAGGCTATCCTCAGCTGGTTGAACTGCGTCTGGTTCTGTGATAGGGCTATCGTCGCATTCGGCTGTGCTTGCGGACGGTGCTTCGGGGTCCTGGGGCGAGGGCAGGGGCAGACCGTTTGGTAGACGCAGCTCCTCTGGTTGTGCAATGGGTGACTCGAGTGGAGCTTCCAGATGATTTTGTGGCATTGCTACGATAAGCCTTTCTGTCTCAGTAACTCCATTTGTCGAAGGAACCGATTCTTCAGATGCAGTGTCCATCTCTTCGTCCTCGTCTTCGGATTCGGACGTTTTGTGTTCGTCGAGCGCAGCTGCAGAGGGGACGGGGTCGGGCAGCGGTGCGGGGTACGCAGGAATTTCAGGCGCTGATTGAACAGGGGGGCTGGGTCCTTTGAGAGCAGGTGGAGGAGCGTCCATCACGTCTGAAATGGGAGCTGGAGGAGAGGCGTTTGAGCTGAAGGATGCAGTGTCTGTGTCAGAGGGAGTAGTGTTCAGTTCAGAGAAGTCCGAGGACGTGGGACTGGGTTTAGAGAGCTCAGGAGTTTTCGATGGAGGTGGAGGCGAAGGTTTCCCACGATCATCTGCCAGGGACAGAGTCAAGACAATTATAGTTCAGTGATTGCATTACTATTGAAGAAAAGTATTTTGCCAAACAAGAACACACAGATTTGTTAGTTCATATCAAAGCACTGAAATAAATGTAATAATGTGATGCATTAAAGAATGTCTATGCCCCAGTCCAACAGAGTTGCTCCTTTTTGGGTTAAAAAAGGGTCTCTATGTGCTCTAGGCTATCCATTGGGAGTCAGAACATGTGGTGTTAGTACAATAGCCATCTTAGCATTTAGCATTACTGTTATGATAAAACTCATCTTAAACTTAAACAAATCTCTGAAGTGAAATAATTGGCAATATTGTAACTTGATACAGTTTCATCAATGCATCTGTAACTTTATCAGAATTATTATCACACAATTTAAGTAGGTGCCATGTAGACCTAAAGCACATTAAACAACACAGCTGAAACTCACCTGGTCTGAATAATGGCGGTGCAGAAGCAGCTGGGATACTCTCACCGTTGGCCTGTCCCAATGCTGAACCTTCTGATCCAGATACGGCTGACTGTAAAGAGATGCGGTATTAGGGTTTTTAGCGTTTCCATGAATATTTCAAAAACTATCATATGTCTACCGCATTATTACTAGTTTGCTAATCTAAAGTCAGTATTTTGCCCCTGATCTGTGTTATTTACCCTGAACCCTCAAAACACGCAGAACAGTGGCCAATACAACACATGTTGGTACCAAACTTAACTTACTTGTGGCGGTGTTGGAGTAGAGCCACTTCTCCCACCGGCCATAATCTCCTCTGTGATGTCACGGCCGCCTTGGTTCGGGTCCCTTATTATAATCTGTGAAGGAATGAACAGAAAGAGTTAAAATGGACAACCGAGAAAATACATTTGACAAAGTTGTTGATGACACATTCCTCTGGATCCGCATTGTCATTGCCTTGAATTGAGTGAAAGAGATATTTCTCAACAATGATTCAAACAGCAGTGACCACCAGGCGAATTCCTCTTGTGCATTAGCCTCTTTTGCTTGTGCTTGTAGGCCTAACTGCAAGTAAAGCAGTAATCCAAGTTAACTCACAAAATATGTCCGTTATTTTCAAGAACAATATCCCCATCAATTTTAGTTGCAGAAGACATTTACTGAATATCTTTAGGTTATGGTATTGAAAAACTGACTAACCAAGTCTGACCAACTAGTCTCACCAATTATCTTATGACTGTCAATAACAGTGAGATGATTAGTCAAATAATGCAGTTGTATAATGCAGGAATAATAAAAAAAAGTACTTCTTTTTTTTCAAACTTAGAATAATGATAGGTCAAGTTGCAGTCCTGTTTGTTAACACTAAAATATCACATAGCCACTACTGGGAAAAGAAAGAAATGGAAAAACTTCATAAAGGAGTGTCTCTGTGTCCACTGCAAACACGCGTTTTCTATTCTCTGCTTTTCTCTCACTCATACTCGAAATGCTTAGCCAAGTAGTCAGCGCATGTTACTAAACTGGTATGAACTAGAATCCTCTGCAGCAGAAAACTAAACACTTTGCAACATGGCCTCCTCCTTCCTTTCCTTTCTCAGTATGGTGAAACGTTGCACGCAAAACACTTAACTGACCCTTACCTGCCAAAGAGTCCGTCAAAAACTCCATGCAGCTGGAATTAGCAATCACAACAGGCCTTTTGGACTCTAATACCTGGACTTTGGACTTTGCTGAGCTCAAGACCAGACAAAAACATGGCTGGTTTAGTTTGGAAACTTTAACTAAGGGTAAAATACGAGTCCAGTTAAGTCACCGGACATAGCAGACAGCGCCACACGATCCAACTACCAACTACCCTGACTGTCCACTCCCTACTTTCTGCTCAGAGGGAGAGAGGGGGAAAAAAAGCATAAAGCGACTGGCCTTGTAAAGCTGTGGTATTGGAATGCGCACCCCCGCCCTCATAGTGCTTGTGGGCTTGTATGTGAAGGAGGGGCATGGGATGGGAAGATCAGAAAAAGTTATTATGCAGAAAACGCAAAGGGAACTCCCAATTTTTTCTTCAGAAACTCCTATTTCTCTCAGTGCTACTGCTGTCACATTACACAGAAAGGCCCAAGTCACTCCCACACAAGTGAAGAGCGTAAGCTGGAATAGCTAGAGGAGGACTAGTGGTTTGATAGCACTTCCGCTTTGCAGTGGGAGGGGACCCATGGCCACGTGGAGCTGAGCTATGTGCTGACACGTCCTTCACCCCCCCTCCCCTAACAGTTTTTTCCTCCAGGATTTATGCCGTTTAGAGGTAGGGAGCATGAGAGGAGCAAAAAGGGTATAATGTTTGCACTATGGAGCAATAACCATGACTTAAGATCCTGCACAAGGCCTGAGATTAACTATTACAGTGTCAAGGTGGCTGAATATGGATAGATAGCTTAAAATAAATAGCTTGAATAACTATGCGGAATCTGGAAGTATCATCTTATGTCCTGAATGCAGGCCAAAGGATTAAAATTGCAATGCAGTACAGTGGAGCAGTGAGATACAAAGACATTGTGTTGTTGGGAAGACAAAGCAGCAGACCAAGAGAAAACTTCTCTAAATCATTGAATGTAATTGGTATGACTATAACTTTGATACGTGAACATTTTCTCAAATAGCACAACAACATACTTTTACTCCACCAGAGAAAACCCAAGGCAATGTGGCTTACAAATGCAGTGGTTGCAAGTGTCTTCCAAAAGTTTGTTCTTTAGCAGTGGTTCGCTGCCAGAAAAAACTAGTTCAACATTCAAGTGGAATACTGAACAAATACTACTTTAATAAAAAAAAAAGGTTTCCAATGATCCACGGATAATTTAGTTGCATTTATTGAACTTGCGTGGGTTGTGTGACAGACGTCTGTTCGCGTTGGGGTCAGGGCCCATGGGAAGAGTTCGAAGTCCTCCCCAGACGACCACAGGCACTGATAAGCAGCAATATGTAGGTCTACATGTGAGCTACAAGTGAACACACACGAAATACAGAACCCACGTGATATCCAATAAACTAGGGCACATGATGATTATTATTATGATTACAAAAGCACAATATGAAGAAGCACTGGGGGCTGGGCGACACAAATGATAAATCCAAATTTACCATGTTCTTCCTTCAAAGTCATGACACAACTGCTGACATATCGCGCTGATATTTTTTGTGTCTGAAATATTGGCTATGGCTTTAACTTCTTCCCATCCAGCCATTATGCTACTATAACATGGTTTAATAGATCAAAGCCAATTCTCTCATGAAAAACAACAAAAGCATTTATTTTACTCAAAGTAACGGTACTCGGTTTCTTCAGCTTAGGTCCAGTTCTGTTTCTACGCAAAATAACGAAACACATTTTGTTCCGAAAAAAAGATCATTCAATAAAATAAATGCTTAAAATACCTCCATCATTTAAAAAAATATATTTCACAAAAATAACTACAGATGCATTGGATGAGTTATAAACCAACCTTCCAAAAAATAACACTGGGCATCATGGTGTTTATATTTCACTCCAGTTCTTTAAAATAAACTTACCACCATCAATATACAGAAAGGGAATATGTGATAAGATCTAAAAATGTCAGTGAAATAGGATTTCAAGGTGAAATAATGCCCTCTACACACAGCTGCATATTCTCTTTCTGCAGGCCGTAAATCACTTTACATCTCTACAGCCTTCTCCCTCGAATGATAATGCTCTTGGGTCATGGGGACATTCCAATTCAAGCCAGCAGCATAAGTCTGGTTATACTGTAATGTAACTGTAATGTACTTCAAGATAAGACAATGAAACTCCCACACACACTTTGACTACGTGCCAGTGACGGTAAGAAACAAGAACAACGCAACAGTTCAGAGAGCAAAAGAAATCTAGAATCAATAGCATGTGGCAGTGGAGCTTAAGAGCGTGTTAATGTCACGTTCACTCCAGAGATCTACAGCACACAACATGCAATTAAGACAACTTGAAAACATGTTTGCAGATTTAGCTAGAACAACTTACCTCAAACAAATACAAGTAAGAGATAGTTACTCTGGAATATGAACTCTTATATCATATCACAGCTGTAACCATGTGAGGGTCCCTTATCACGGCCATCTAACACATGTAAAAGACAGTACATACCAGTAGTCTGAGATGGATCTTTACTCAGATACTGTTGTTGTTGCATTCAATATAAATTGTTTAATCCTATAATAAAGGCTACACAGTCTCTAATGTAGATAAGGCTGAAACAATGCATTTGCAACAGAACATTTTCTAAAAAGACTGTATTAAAAGTCTTTTAGAAGAACATTCTAGATGCCTGAAAAGTTCTCAACATGGGACATTCCCTCTTGACATTATAGCCAAAGGAACAACATTTCTATGTAAACAACCGGAGGAGGCCCCTCTCCAGAAGTCAGGTTTGTGGAGAAGCAAGTCCACTTCCAGTAAGGACAAATGTTTTTTTTGTGCCATAAAATCTGAAAGTGGATAACCATTATCATATTCTTATTTTTTTAAGCTATTAAATATCATTGGGGCTGTTAGTATTTGGTTGAACGGCTGATTATTTGAATCTTCTTTTTGGCTCATGAGCAGAGGTGAAAAAAAGCATGTATAAAATGACTGGAGAGAGTTATGTCATGCCGGGCTGTGTCAAGCTGGAATTTTCTCATGAAATAACCAACAACAAGCACCAGAGATAAAGACTAAATAACACTGATAAAAAAAGATCCTTGAAAACATTTAAAATGTTTATCTCTTTCTGTCTCTATAGAATAAAATAAAGACAACTGAAAAGAATAACTAAGAAATGACTTGAAAACTAAAAAAGAAAGAAAATACACAATGTGCCTTTTATTAAAGCCGAGTTATCTAATAATCAAATCAATAAACATGGCACTCTAAAATAAATTCATCAAACAAGTTCCGAGCTTTCTATCTCTAGTTTTCACATACATGTATCTTTGGCCTCTGCCACATCTTTAGATCAGATTTGGAAGTCAGGAAAGTAAAAACGAGAGGACCAATTAGCTCTCAGATCAAATAGTCAAATAGTGACGGTGAACAAGTAAGATGAAGAAAGTATGTGACGATCAGAGTTCACAACATTTTACATTACAAAACTCTTTTTGATTAACAAATAACTTATGAAGTGTTATGTAACAAAAAAGTTGGAGATCTTAGCCAGTTGCTATGGTGAAATCCATCGAGTTTAACCCTCACAACCTAAACCTCAACAGGAAATTATTGATCAGAGAAGCAGCAGCAACACGAGTCCACTGTCTGCAGGTCAAATCACAGGCAACTCCTAGATTAATTCTAATGACTTTTTAAAACCAGTGAGAATTAAAAACACCCATGATACCTTTAATTGTGCATTTGGAGAAATATTGAATGCTTGTGTTACCTGTTTGCGTTCTCTCTTGGTGGTTATGTGCTGGGGAGGCTGGGGGGGAGGCTGCTGCTGAGGTCCTGGGTTGATGAGAACCGGAGCAGGCTGCACCGAGGGCAGTGGTGAATAGTAAGCCGGGGCTGGAGCTGTGGACATGACACACACACAACATCAACATCAATGCATGAAAACCACCAAAAAAGTCATTTCGATTAAGTAATTATTAGCACCAGATTAATTTCAACCCAAAGCCCTTTGTTAGACCTTGCGCATCAAATTTGATAATGTCTTTAAAATCCCAACTGGACAGTGGAACGGTCAGTAGCCCTTTCATGAATAAAGAAAAATATCGAAGGACCTGTGCTGGGATTTACCAAATTGGGCTTGTTTTAAGATTGCGGCAGAACCATTCACAGGATAAACAGGAAAGATGGGCTCAAGAGAATTGGTCTGTACCAGACTATGGTCAATTTCCACCGGTAGCGTAAAGTTCTTATCATTCAATAGGGCTTCATAATAATTGTGTGTACATTTTTATTCCACGAGTAAAAGTGGTCAAATTGAGTAGTAAAATTCAAAGCTTCCAGGACAGACTAAGTGGACAAGAAGCAGTACACGCATGTTTCACTCTACATACCACTCCATGAAGGCTTAATGAACTTAACATTTTTGTCATTTTTGGAGTCTTAATTAGCCCCAGTTCAATTTGCTCTGAAACAAGTTGGTGAAAATGTTTCGAGCAAGCATCTTACAAACAGCATATTTGTATGTCCGGTTTTCTTCTTAGTAACTTGCGGCCAACCTCTGCAAAGGTTTTCATTGATTACTTAACATTTATTGTCTCACATTAAAAAGCAGTGTGACAGCGACCTGGGACTGCTGGGGTCACAATGAGCAAATAAAGACCAGATAGAAGCAGCTTGACATAGTTTGAGTCACACATTCCAAAATGCAGTCTAGGATTCACTCAGGGCTGCTTCACATCAATGCCGAAACAATTCTCAACCTCCCACAAAAGACTATACACAAAGGCGTTATATTTACACAGATAATCAAGTTGACATAACAATTTTTGTACGGCGTAAACTGGAGATTTCCTTTCCTTAAAGAGCTTGCATACCTGAAGCTGTGAGTGTTGCCCTTTCCTCTACTCACACCCAATAACCAAACATAACAAGCCGCATTTAAGTTGCATTCCGAAGAAATCTTTCCCTTTTTTTTTGCTTTTTGCCCCGGCTTCACAATAGCCACAGGTAGGCGTTGCGTGCAATGACCCAGCAGTCTGTACAAACTGTATTCCCTCGGGCACTGTAGAGATATTTTTCAGGCGATATTCTCAAACTAGAGAAAAGAAAAGATTTAAAGACAATGCAAGTGAGAAAGCGGCCATTAATGCGGACATATCCTGATGGACTTTTACTAGTTACAACAAAATTCACAAATATCATTCAGACAGATTCAAGCTAAAAATATACTCTTTTTTTCCTTTTTCTGTGACGGCCGAGCTGTTTTTTCCTTCCCGGTGAGGTCTGCTTCACCCCCCCTCTGCACAGATTCTAACTCACATTACTGAGTCTGCATTGTTGACCAGGAGCAGCGCAGCCTAAATATAGTCAAAAACCCACCGCAGCGACTGTGTGCCAGAGCAAAAGGGTGGGAACGCAAAAGGAGAGAGAAGAGGAGAACTAACGCGAACCCCAAAAACAGTCAGACAAGACTTTATTGTATCTGTGAAAGGTTTGTAGAGGAAAGTTCAAAGAGGACTCAAAAAGAGCAAACTTTGGATGCGTTTGAAGATAATATTAGACCATCAACCTACCCTCATTGTCCTCCTGCTCTGGCTCCTGGGAAGCTCGGTTTCCCATGTTGAGAAGTAAAACTAAAATGAGTGTGTGAGAGGGGGTAGTGTGGGACCCCCTCTCCAAACGCTCAGCTCTACAGGTGCTCAGAGCAGAATGAAGTCTTTTAACGTGGAGTCCTGCCTCTTCCAGCGTGAGTGCTCAGCTCCACCCCCTGACCTTCTGAATCCTCCCTCGCCTTTCACTTTTTCTCCCAGAATGCAGCCAAGAGCAGGTATCATTTACTTGTGCAGTTTAGCATGATAAAACAAAGCGATTTGTAAGCGATCCTACCTCTTTTCAAACTGTGTTAAGTTGATTAATGTGAAAATATATGATCAAATAAATTATTTAGGATTAACATACATTCACCACACAACCGTGAACTTCTGCACTTTCCATATAAGATGGAAGAGTTTTTCTTTGCCAATGCAGGAGGGTCTAACATAAGGACAGCGGTGATGATCCAGGACACTCAACATTCAACAACATTTACGGGCATTGGTATTGATCCAAATGGGGCAGATGACCAATGAGTTTTCTATCCTTGCATTTCCTGTGTTTGAACTGTTTGAGTCACTGATTTGTGTTGGTGAATCCAATCCTAATGGTTGTGTAAAATCCACCGAGATTGAATTGAATGTTTGCATTCCATTGTCATTCAGCCATCAGCAACAGTTTACAATACTAATATAAACAGCTGCATAAAAATAACAATAGAAAAAATTGAATGTTATTGCATGGTCTTTGTGTTTTGTGTTTGGGTTTTGTCCGTACTAAGTTGGAATGCCCATCTACAGAATATAAAGTTTAGCAGCTAATTTGCCACTCGTATTTTTAAAGTTTAGATATGGTAGTGTATGGGGAGAGACAGGATTTAATTTCAGGATCTCATCACATTATGGGAGTAATCAATTGACGCAGGAAGAAAGACAACTTTCTAATAATGATTTCATAGCAGCTTTACTACACCACTGCAGATCTATCTTAATGATAGTTAACATTGTCTGAAATGAGACCAAACTAAGAGCTGATATAATACAGGATTAAAACTAAAGTAGTGGTACTTTGAGAGCCAGATAACAGGCATAAGGCTGTGAACCCCTGATTATTATCGTGACAATCGTGTAGAAAATTTTCAGGCAATCTCTTCATAAAAGTTAGACCGTGAATATAACCATTTACAGCTCAGATTAAATATGTGATTACAAAGCCGTGGTATGACTCCAGGTGGCTCACATTTCCTCCCCACTTCCCTTGTGGACGGGCGATAGGAGCCACGGCTGCTGCACAAAGGGAGGGGTGCTCTGTTTGTAGAGGGTCAGCGGCGGCAGATGACTCAGGAGTGGGCGTCTTAAAAATACTCCGTCACTGAAGTCTGAGCAAATATTGGGGCACGTGGGGGCGTGTGTTGTATCTGGCTTCTAAGGAAAAAGGCTATTTGGGCCAACAAAGCTCAACCACTGAAAGGGTAGAGAAATAGGCGAGGAGCACAGGCTAGTTTCTTCACTGAATGCGGCCAAAACGTATGTGGCATGAAACTTGTCCATTAGTGGGTCAATCCGTGGAGTAACTACATTAATCAAGCTATATAGTACAACAGGGTAATAAAGATCTACTAATGCATAACTTGTCTTTGTTTATAGCAACTAATCTTTCATGAGTTTAAATTTAAATAACGCTTAATCATATTCTGTTTATAATTTAAAAAAAACGTATTTATAAACGTATTCCGTTAAAAAAAAAAATATCTGGAAAACAATCCTATCTGTACCTTGAATGGCATTAGTAGTCGTATATTGAGGACACAGTATCAGATAGTTTGGGTTCTGAAAGTACAAGCTGTGCTCACTGACACATTGCAAACCTGTAAATAAGAAACTTTGACATAATAAAAAAGGTTTTTTGGAAAGGCAAGGTTTGGAACATATATGCGTACTTAGCCTACAAATAGTATCTGCTTCATATACGGCCCCAGAGGCAGGTGATGATGGACGACTGAATGCGGAGAATGCATTTCCCTACAAGGTCCCTACTCTGGTCCAAAGTATGTTTACATCACAGAAGTGTAAACAAGCCTCAAAACATTACCAAGACAAACGTATTTTTAGAAACTATGCTGAAATTAACTATGTCCCATTGTCATATGATCCTTAAGTTTAGGTCACGTGGCCTTGTTGTCATCGCGCGACTAACTTTGGTATGGGACAGTGTTGTTGAAATTTAATAATATGCCTATTCAACTTCAACACATTTAACAACATATATAAATATAATATTTATCATACTAGACAAAAACAAAGGAATTTTGATACTAAAAAGTTACTGGATTGGTAATGTTTTATGCTCAACATACAGATAAGCACATATTGCTTGGTTTGATCACTAAATGTTCTAAACCAAACCCTTTTTGAATCGGAAATAAATTAACTCAAGGCAGTGATTTAAAATACTGGTCCATCCTTATGATATTGACACTAGAGCTCAAACAATTAATCTAATAACTCGAATAATTCAAATAATAAAAATGATTAGCAATTAATTTTTGCTGCATTGATCCTTTGTATACGGTAGTTTATTTGCAGAATTTTGCCTCGTTTGCGCCATAGATTTTGCTCACGTTTTGCACTTTTTGTGTTAAGCAACGTGCTTACGTCACAGATCTCACCAGTCTGCAGGCATCGCTAGTGTTTGTAAAACATTTTCGCGGACAATGCATTGATCTATTATTATATCAATGGAGGACGACAGAGAAGGCACTAGCAAAGACAGGAGAGCTAATAAGAAGCGTCTAAAGTGTGGGAGCACTTCACACTGAACACTAAGAAAACCAGAAAAGTTACAGAACTGTAGGAATGAGGAGCACACAGTACAAGAGATGTGAACAATAACAATATACAAAAATTAAATACAAATTCTAACTTTTAATAGAAAAAACAAGTATAAAATGGGGGCACTTAACCCCACTTTACCCAAAAAACCCCCGCTGAAAGATCAAGGCTATGCTCACACTTACAGAGCAGCCATTCTCCTGTGGACTCACCACCTGCAGAGGATCAGTGAGGGGCTGGTGTTATGTGACTTGGGTGCGGCTCTGAGTGCCACCCCCCCCAACCCAGAAATGGATTAAGGGGTAGAAAATGGATGGATGGATGGATGGAAGTATAAAATGCTGTAGTGTAGTATTGTATAGTGCAGGGGTGGCCAACCAGTCAGAGACAAAGAGCCAATTTTTTTACTGTGTTACAGCAAAGAGCCACATCATACAAATGTGCACTACATAAACATCACCCCAACCCTTACACACGCACGCGCACGTACGCACACGAGCAGACACGCGCACACACATGCAATCTGTCTGAGCAGAGAGAGGTGTGCTCTGCTCAGACAGATTTATTGTAAATGTCATCAACATGATAATGACAGAAATTGACTCGTACAGTACTAAATGGCTGGACTCGACTCTCCCCGGTTTCCGGGCGCTTCCACCGCTCGCTTCAACCGCTCCCCGGTACTTTGTATTAATGGTTTGGCCCTGGTTCTAACCGGGCGAGTCGATACCAGAACAATTCACGTCAGCGAACATCAATTATGATTTCGAAATGAATGCTTTCAATCTCTAACCAAGAAAAAAAAATCAAGTTTCAACCCAGTGTTCAGCAGAAACACAACTGTCTTTAGTAAAAGATATAGATTTGACACATAACACCAACACCACTTTAGCTGATTTAGAACCACAGACACATGCTCAGTATAAGACCAGATACTTTTGTATTTGATTGAAGACAGACACTCACCAGGCAGAGTTGGCTAATCTCCTGGTGTAATGCTAGCTGTTGTTAGCTGGTTTTAGCATGTTAGCCGGTGTTAGCCGATGTCCGTAAATGTAATCCATTTGGTCAAACCACCTCCAGACTTTTCGGGTCTGCCTCTACTTCTGCTGCTGCGATCTTTCATTTCACGGTTGTCACTTTTAAGCTTTTTAACTTTTCTCTGCATTGTCATGTTTGTGGGAATCATTCTGCTCCGTCCTTAGTGCTAGCTCCACAAACACCTTCTGGTTTCTGGTGGAACCAGCGAGATCACGCTGGTGTCCTCTCCTCAAACTGAGGAAGGTGTTGCCCTCATCCAGCGACCAAGGAGCTGTTTTCCGTACGGACGTCATGGTTCGAGGCAACGTGTTGTTTGTTATGATATTTGCTACAGCTGAGGTAGCAGCAGCAGAGTGATTGACAGCGCATCTGACCAACCAGAATTGACGTTCGCCGACGTCAGATTGTTTTGGTGGCCTGGCTAGTGGAGTGAAGTCGGCCTTTACTATGGGTCAGAACTACATATGGAATGAAAGGCAGCGCCACCACCGAGGCGTTTTTGACGCTTGTCGAGTGAAAGCCCGAGAGCCGCACGGAACCAGCCAAAGAGCCGCATGCGGCTCACGAGCCGCGGGTTGGCCACCCCTGGTATAGTGTCATATATAGTCAGACAAATGTGGTTCTATATTGCATATTATTATTATTGCAGAGATGCACGACATGTGAGGTCAGCAGTGTTTGTTTTCTAATATAGGACCTAATGAATCTGGAAAGGGTGTGTGATTGACATTTAACGCCTGCTTTTCCGTCTTTCAGTAAACCATCACAGCATGTTTAGGACCACTTCCTGCTCCCAGCACAAGCAGCTGTTCTGACAGATAGCATTATAAATATGCTACTCATGTGCCTCATCTGATTCTGTTCAATCTGGAAGGACTCGAAAATCAACCGTGTCAATTCATTTCATAATATGAATACGATAAACTGAATACAATTTTAAAACAGATGTCATCATTAAATGCATTTCATTTGATATTGTATATTTCTAATTAGGCAAAAATGTTTTGGTTTTTTTCTCGATTAATCGATCGGTGTATTTAAAAGAATAACCGATTACCAAAATATTCGGTAGCTGCAGCTCTAATTGACACCACAGGATTAAACGGCTAAAGCAGGCTTCAGTGCAATTGTGATCTACAACTAAATAAATTATATCCAGCAAAATATAAAATTAGATATGCAGTTTGATAAAAGATGTATGTGTCTATGTATAAAATATGTAGCCGTCCATATAACAGAATCCACATGAATTCTAATAATTCGGTGAGCAGCGTCTATAATGAATGGCATTATGTTCTGCATTTGAAATCATAAATTGCCAAAACATTTTCTTGACATGAAAAGATCACACGGTTGTCCAAAACTTGGATCAATGGGGGTGGTTTCAGCAGGTCTGGGTTGAGGCCTGGAGTCCTGCTGTCACACGCTGCAGTTCAAACAAAGACGCCGCATAGCTCAAATGCCAAACACTGGGTTCAGCAGGTTTGATTTCAGGGGTATTTACCATCAGCGCACTAACACACAGTCTCCTCTAGAGGGCGAGGCAGCATCTTGTAAAGCAACATGTGGACAACAGTGAACAAGGCAGAGCTAAGACCACTGTAACAAGACAGTACCACACCACAATAAAAAACCCGACTGATAACAAGTCATATGATCATTTTTCCAAGTCCAGTTAATTTTTGATTTTGAAATGGGATACCAAACTAACACCACCTGAGATCGGCCTTTTTTGCAACTATCTTGCATTGTTATATAACCAAGTTTGATCTCAAAAGTACATTCTCACAATATTCGGGCCAAGAGAGAATAATTATTTACCAGAGTCATAACAAACTGAGGATAAACTTCATTAGATGGCCCTTGTCCCACATTCACTATAACATGCTCTCCTTACAGCACACATTCACAATCTCTAGTGTGGCCAAACTAAAAGACAGATAAAAATAAGTCTAAAAATTAAGACAAAAGTGGGCTTCGATTACCATATGTAAAATATGTGCACTTGGAGTGGCTGGACTTACCATAACTGTTATATTCTGCTGGACTGGTGCCTGGGTAGAAGCCTGGTGTTCCCGCTGGTCCAGGTGGGACTGTAGGGATGTACCCAGTTGGCCGATACTAACACAAAACAGGGAATATAGGTATAATTCACATTAACACTATTTTAATAATACTTTTATGACTCAAACAAGTTTATTTGGATAATAAAGAGGAGGTGTGAGCGATATGCCATTTGGTCGATAAGGAACCATCAACTAAAGACTTAAGACGAGTAATAGTGTATTAAGAGTAAAGAGTAAACTCGTGACACTCAAGTGACTCACATGAAGTTGATTTGAGATCAGTCGGGGGCTGGATCTAATGGCTCGTGTCCAACATTAATGAAACTGAGCTGTTTGTTCAGCTGGAATTTGTATAAAATATTTTGATAATAAACAAGTTACTAAACTGCATTTCCAGGAAACATCTTTGCATTACAGAATGGGTCAGTTCAGGCATTGTTTGTAATAATTGTTTTACTTTCCAAAATTGCTTTCAACCTTTATGAAGTGATACATTAATACAAAAGGGATATACATACAATTGCTCAAAAAAGGTAAAACAAGTTTATTTTGGGCCGTTTACTGTAATTAAAATAGTAATCTGAGCTTTGATATAGTTAAAGAAAAACAATACTCCATCAGCCTGACTGTAATGTGCAGGTGGATGTGATTGATTACTATAATTTGAGAACGAAATCTGTCTGTTTCAAACAAATTATTATAAAATATTGAGCCCTAAAATATATGAATGGATACAGCATTGGATATTGACAGCGAAATCAATGTAATAATTGTTATATTATATATGTTATAAGTGTAGCATTATGACAAAACATACTGGAATTGCTTGTTTCAACCCTAACCACATATTGTCATTTCCACTTATCCATTTTACCTGTGTTTGCATGAAGTAATGTCCTTGTGGCGAGCTGGGGAAGGGCCCCGGGATCAGCATCATCTGTGAGCCCGGCTGATACACATGTGTGGGGGGGACGGGCCGCGGACCACTGCTGGGCGGGACACCACGGGGCCCGCTGCTGGGAAGGCTAGTCCGGTTTGTGTAGTAGGTCTGAGGAAAAGGAGGGATGATGAGGAAGAGGAGCATGAGAGGGGAGCAGTAGGTGATGGAAAGGGAACAGCACGCGGAGCAGTGGGAGTGACGGAAAGCAGCCAAGAAGAAGACAAACAAGAACAAGAGAACACATTAGGTTTAATAGTATGCTTTATTTCAACTAGAGTCAAAATATCAAAAACAGAATGGTGAAAGATAACTATAAATGAATATGGTCTTTTTATCTCAGGATTCCCTTTTTTGATCAATATTCTGATTTGTTTCAAAAAGCTTCTGCAATGTCAAAGGATATATAGGTAGAACTCAGAAAATTCGAATATTGTTCAAAACCATTTTTTTCTGTAAATCAAAATGTGAAAACGTTACATGCAAAGTGACATGTCATGATTTTGTTTTAATTTAGAGGATTATGTCTTACAACGTAATAAAAAATAAAAAAGGTGATATATTTAACTTTGTATGTAATGATATCTTTTATTAGTTTCACTCTAAGTTGAATTACAGAAGTAAATGGACTTTTGAACAACATTCAAAATTTCACCTGTAATTCATCCAGCATTTTGTTTCTCCAAATTTCATTTTCAAGATCTGGTCTGGTTGTCGATAATAAAAAATAATTACAGGAACAGGACAACATTTGACACCTAATAATTTCTTCATACATTTAAACTACTATCAGAAGAACTTGTTGAAACATTTTGGCCACATAAGTTTTCATTTTAATAAAAATAGCTATTAGCTATGAAAGTTCGCACTCGGATCTTGTCCGCTTTAAAACTCCTTTACATACTAACAGGAAAGAGTCCTGTTAGTCACTGGTTGACTTTTTGGGTTGAAAGCAGATTTTGAAAAAGTGAAATGTTTTCTTCCTAATGAGGCCCTGGCATAAAATAATTGAGAGACATTGAAAAAAAATGTTCTTGACTTGACATAGAAAACAAAGAAAAACAAGATACAAATAAAGAACAATCCTCAGTACCAATGAACAACAGTTGTGTACTGTACAGACGATTGATTTGGTTGGTTTTCTATGCTCCAGTAAAGTTACACCATTTAATTGGTCTCAGCTTGTGAGCCTTATCGTGCCGGCTTCAAACTCATCACGTCACTGGCTCATAGTATTAAGCCATGAATCAATGGCGTGTCTCCAGCTGGAAACATATTGGTGCTGCCCACTGCCAGAGAAGATAAAGCAGCTAATACTGGTTCATTCAGAGCTCCTCATTGGCATTCAGCATCAGCATTCAGGAGAAATTACACCAAGCCAACAGGCAAAAACACAAAGAGGTCATGGACTTTGGACACAGTTGACAAATAAGGAAGAAAGAAGAGGAATGATCGCATGAAGGATGATAAAACGAGTTACCTGTAGCGATCTGAAGTTTCCCTTTAGAGCAGCACAAGAACATAAATCACACACAGACACATCAAACAGAAGCAGTAGGAGGAAGAGGAGGGCAGGGGTGAAGGAGAGACAAGAGCAGCAGAGTTAGAGCAAAGCAGCAACTTTACAACAAGCCACATGCACAAAGCAAGACGCTACAGTGGATTCTAGACCAATGTAATTCATTGAAATCTATTGTATCTAAACTATCCCATGCATCCTGAGGAAGGAAAGATGCTTAAATGTGTTTTTAAAATCATATAAGCCATGTTCAAATAAAGGCTTTTGTTTTTTTGTTTTTATTCTCAATTTAATCTATTATTTAGCTAATATTTAACATTTCTAAAGTATACAAACAATATTGTTCGGTAAGATGCTTTTGGGTTAAGTGGGACAATTTCTTCATGGGTCAAAGCTGCGGCAACTGAAGAGTTCTTTTGCTTCGTTACTCGGTACTCCACACCAGAGGCCAAAAATATATGCATGTGAAAATTAGTGAGAGTGAGAGTGAAGAGCTGGGTATTATACATTTAGTTTTTGTGGTTCAATTAAATGCAATCAAATGTTATTTTTGTACAGCCCTTAATCACAACAGCCGTCGTCTTGGAGGACAATACAAAGTTGTTGATTTGTCAACAACAGATGAGACAATCAAGCAGCTAGGTAAAGTTGGATACTCTAGCTTTACCTGTGTCAGGAGTTCTAACTCTCCATATCATTAAACTAAAATAACAGGTTTTGGGTGAAAATAAAATGAAGAGGGGGCTTGAATTAATTGGATAGAGTTTGGTTTATGGGCATTGTCAACAATGCAAGTTTACGTCAACAACTAAAAATAAAGGAGTGGTCAGAGGAATATTCAAAAGGTTGTAATTGCATTATAATAGAAACAATTAACCAGACAAACTGTTATTTTGTTTACAATTAGCATTTGCTTTGAGCCGAAAGTGTTTTATACTACCACTTAACAGTTTCTAACAGTATTGTATGCACTGTACTGTATATAACCAGCACAAAACCAGGAAAGGAGGAAACATGCACTGCTTTTTCACAAACCGGTTTGATACATTATTCACATTCAGTTTTGGGCCTTTTATTTTCACATGCCAAAGTGAAACTGCCTAAGCATATTGAATCAAAATGTATCTCAAAACGTCCATACTTAAAACAGATAGATTCATTTACCATACAAAACAAACTCCAAGCAGGTCACACAATGCTGCTTTGATAAGAAATTCTTCACACAAAAATATTCAAAAAGGGGGGCACTCTCACTTTAATTGTTCATAGAGAGACAGTTGAGCCCAAGAAAGCAAATATTTATCATCAATAAAGCCTTTTTGACATACATAAGTGGGACTGGCCACTGTATACAGTCAATGGTAATTGGTCCTGTCAAAACAAGTTGCATTTTGTGGGCCACTAATTATGTATTCAGATTATTACTTGCAAATTGAATTCTTACAATGTTTGAACTTTCTGTGAATATAAATTTCACTCATCAGCCTGGTGTGAGCCAGGCTAGATAGTATTATTGCTGTATTTACATTGTAAACGTGACCTCCAGAGCCCACCTCCCTCAAACATTAGGCAGACCGTTTGTGGTTAGTACCTGTTGGTGTAAAGGCCGGGGCCCAGGGGTGAACTAGAGGAGAGAGGCACATGGGACAGAGGTTAAAGACGACAAAGAGGTGCATGCTTCCAGCTCAGAACCAAAAGATGTGGAAGAAGACAAAAGAAACCCCTGATTAGAGGTCACGTGTGACATAGTAGTAACCATTACATTTACTTTTCCAAACATTTGAGGTTTTAAAGCAGAAGTTAACCAAGAAACAGTTAGACACAGTGACCAAGAAACAGACCATTCAACCATTCAAATGAATTCAAGGCCAGTTTCTCCAATATGCATGTTTATGCCTATAATATTCCACTAAAATTAACCTTATCTATAGGTAGGGGTTGACCAAATAATTGCTCAAACACTACACAAAGCATATAGAATAATATCTTGAAATGAGATATTTTCAGAACCGCTGTTCTATACAAAGTAAATATACAACATGATCAATTTCTAGTATATGTTAATGCTATTCCATTGTGAAAATGGGTGTTTTGAAACTTTTGATGTGAAAACTCACAAACGGTTGCATCCAGCTGCTCATGTGTTGCCAGAAAGTCGCCTAACTACTGAATCCCCAACAGGAGCAGCTGGGACAGACATGCACCACTACACAGACCTAAATAACCACAGCACCTTTCTTCTGATGGAGGATGTGTTTGAATCAGGTTTGGGGTTAAAGTTGCCTGATGCTTATTTAGCGGCAAATATATTCCTTACTTTCCTGCCAAATTCTTTGCATTGTAGATTTTTGGCACAATGAGTTTGTAAGAAAAATGTTCAAAAAGGCAAAAGGGGTAAAAAAAATGTCAACCATGCTTTTCTCCCAATAAATTGGAAATTGTTATGGGCTGATATTATTGCTACTCTGTTAAAGGGCCCATATCACGGTTTTTGACTTTTCTCTGCTTTAAACATGATTACAATGCTATTTGGCCTTCATACACAAGCCCACAGTAGTTTATTCATTGATTCTGTCAATCTTTTGTAAGAGAGCAATCTGTCTCCTTCCCCAGCGTGAGGCACAGAAACGCTCGGGTCCACTTCAGTGACAAAAACCACACTGATGACCCGCATGACGCGCATGACCCCGTTTGCTTTGTATTTAAAATAGTTGTTAAATACTTTTGTCAAAACGGGGTAAACAATACACAATTAGTATGCTGTTTTTTGTCAAAAATAATAAAAAAATTAAAAAATTAAAAGCCGGCGGAAGGTGATTGACGGATCAAAACAGCGAATCAGAGCGCACAGGCTCCGGCTCCCAAGTCCAGCGTCTGTGGTCTGGTCTCGCGGACACCACATAGAGCTGCTGTTTTTATGCTTTTGTCAGCAACTAAAAGTGTTAGGATCACGTCAACTTGAATGAAGTGTGTTATGGGTGTAAATATGTGACACACTATTTGGCCCTAAGAGGAAGAAAGCGGCTCGACTTTTTCATCTGTTCATCTCATGGATCTATTATAATACCGGTTCATCTGCGACACTTCACTGAGACTGTTCCAGAACTACAGGGACAATGGAACTGGACTTACTCAAAAGCTGATCTGGAAACACGTTATTCCCACGGTAAAAGACGTAACTCGGACCCCCTCGATCTGTAAGTAGTGACGCTAACTCGCCGTATACTTCTGTAAACTAAATAACTAGGGTCTGATTGTGCATCGAGGACATAGGGCTCGATGTGACGGATTGTCATTGTTGGAAAAAGTTTATTCTTATGTATGAAATTACTAAGTACAGGTGATAAACGTCAAAAGCGTGATGCTACGTCACCGTGCGGGCGGGGGGAGGCGGGCTCACGGACAGAGGAGCAGACTCTTCTCTGGATCAGCTCGTTTGAGTCGAGGTGACGTCACCTCTATACAAGAGATGGCTCTAATCTCACAAGCTTTGATTGTTGTGTGGTGTATCATACACATTAATATCACACATGTGCATAGGATTGAGTGTGAAACATGAAGAAAAGCGTGATATAGGACCTTTAATATCTGTGAATTTAGCAGCTGCTTAAATGTAACAAGGCTAATTGCTAATGGGGCTAACAGCTAACAAGTTGAAAGAGGCACATTAACATGTATAAGTCTAAAAAACAACTCAGGACCTCGAGGCCTTCTGCACTGGAGCTTAATTTGGAGCAGATTTGTCTATTCACATTGAATAATTGAAATCTGACTAAATTGTTGCAGTTTACGAGAGGCATGCATTAGTGCAAATTACATTAGGGACTCCATATCAACATTAAGCGGATTGCCCCATAGAACTGCCCTGCCCTTTATATTCGTTCTGCTCTGCTCCCAGACAAAAGCCTGCAGGAACACGCTAGTGTGAGAGGTGGCAATTTTTTCCCTTTTTGAAAATTGGCATGAACAAAAACATCTATTATAAATAAAGAAAACATTGATTTATAAGTCTAGCAACGACTTGTAGGCTTTGGAACAATAAAAAGACTGCCGAATGCAAATGTTCTCATTTTGACCCCATGCACTGACAAAAACTCTATATTCTCTCCAAATCTATATGGGGCAGAAATCAGACCTATTGATTATCATTTGCCTGATGTACAGACATAATTTAAAATACACAAAAAGGAGCCATTTAAACTCGCTTTTTACATTAGAACACAGTGGAAAATAATTCAAGACATACAGATGTCCACACAAAGTCAAAAACAAACACCAAGGCCCAGTTTACACGGAGAAACTGCAGCAGTAAAACGCTATAGTTGGATGTCGGTTGCTTCCCCGCATTCATACGAAGACTGTGTTCCAGGGGGGTGAAAACGTAATGGTGCTTTCAGACCGCCAACGCTGAAACGCTGAAGCCCTGCTCACCAGACGCGCATTCTCTAGTTTTCAAACGCAGAGGTCTTCACACCGAGATGTCCTGACGCGCACCGGAACAGAGGAAGTGAGTATACTGCTGGGGGGTGCGGGAGAAGAGGTGCAACGGTTCATCACTGATCCGTGATCCGTTCGGTACAGACGTGATACGCGGTTTAATTTATAAAAAAAAGTTGTGCGCTCCCACTATGTTGTTCAGTCCACACACAGCGCGGTCATTGCGAGCGGAGGAACAGAGAAGCCTGCGTCATTTAAATCCCCAGTATGAGAGCATTTTGGCTTCACTGTCAACTAGGGGTGGGCGATATGGCCTAAAATTCATATTGCGGTATAATTTGGGACACAGACGGTAGACGGTGTATATTGCGGTATAATTTGGTGTGAATTTCAATATAGGTCTAGCAGGTTCTTGCATAAAATAGTCAAGATTGTTACTTATTTATATATTAGAATCTAATATATATATTTTTTTAGTTATTCAGTGAGACGAATAAAGAAACAAATGTTGTAACATACATTATTTATGAATGTTACAGTAAATACCGTTCACTGTAAAAGCAATTTTTAAAAAGAAAAACATGTGCATTCATTTGGAATATAAAAAACTCACAAATGTTGAAATCAAAGTCTGTAGGAGTTAGACATGGTCATTATTTATAGTGTCTGAGAGTTTTGTGCAGGTACATGACTTCAGTAAAAGCTATTGTTCGTTTACAAAGCTGGTCTTGCCATTTGTTGACGCTCCCTAAGCGCTTTTCTCTGCGCTTGCAGTGAACTGGATGATTCAATGGATTTATGTTCATTAAAACAGCGCATTGGATTTGAACAATTGATGTAAATGATCATTTTGGCACAATAAATTTTGTTTAACAAAGTAGCTTTCGTGAGATATTGACCGCGGAGGTCCGAATCCGACGCAAACTTCTGCTGTGATGCTGTGGACACGGCACACGCATGGATCTATTTTGGCTCACACTGGCGCTTCGAGCCTACGCCCCTTTGATACTGATTGGCCAAAAGGTAGACGCTTAAACTGTGTGTGTATTTACCTCTGCTGGGGCCGCTGTGACAACAATACATAGACAGAAACACGGTGTTAATGCCGTGCTGTTGTTCGTTGTTTCCAGTGGTGTCTGCTAGGCTAATAGTGCTAGGCTAATGCTGCTGAATGCCGGTTTGTTTTGGTCCTTTCTGCTGGCGTCAGAGCCTGCGCAATTTGATGACATAATGACCTATCGCAATATGCCGGTATAACAAAAATCTCTACCGTGGGCCAAATTTATATCGCATACCGCTTATACTGTTTATATCGCCCAGCCCTACTGTCAACTATACTGATGATTAAAGAGTCGTTTCTGTTAATAGCCGCTCACTTCTGTCAATAGAAGCAGCGTGAGCGGGAGAAAAGTCTTGGGAGTTAGTGCGCGGACGTAGCGCTCCATGTATTATTATGCCTAACAATATAGTTCCCCTTTTTATCCGCTGAGAAAATCGACATGTTACATTTCTGTGTTACTATAGTATAATTTGTAGTGTAACAATTCACGTAACTGTATTTAAATAGGGAACACATGGAAGAGTTTGGTAGCTTCTAAAGGGGGGCTGATTTGGTACTATACAGTATGTGGAAGAGGCTGCGTTTGTGCTCCGTTTGCATGACAGAGCGCACGGACAAAGACAAAGAAAGGTACATATCAACTAGTCTAAGGTAAGGTAAGAACATATGTCAGTATGTAAAAACGGTGGCCTATTCCTTTTAAGTTTATGCCGTCTGCAATAAGTGTGAATTTAACAAACATGTCCGCTCCATTGAAAGTGCATGAAATAAGGGCCTGGTCTCAATTCAATCGACTTGCCTCATCTATGAACCAATAGAAGCCAGTGGAGACGCCTTTATATCTGAGCTGATGCTATTGCCAGCTGCAGCGTTGAGCAATCATTGGACAAGTGAACAGAAAGGCAAGCTGTGAGTGTGAGAGCATTGTGGGGAGTTACCTGTCGGGGCTGTGGAGTGGGGTTCATTGGAGGAGGAGGGGTGGCAAACACGACAGAGGTGGGCTGCCCAGAGGGAAAGGAGGGCTGCAACAGATGGGACAGAGATCAGAAAAGAGCAGGGAGATAGTGGGCCAGGAGTGAAAAGCAACAGTGCCATGTGGAAAGTTTTTTAAATGAACAACAATATTGGAATTGCTTTACAGGATACACGTTTTCCTTCTCATCATAACTATGGAAAATCAATTTATTGGTGAAAAAACAGTCTCAGCACCAAGAATTTCAAAAAATGTTCCCAATTATAACACTCTGCAACACTGCATTGACAATGCAGTTGGTGCCCTAAAACTGCACTTTTAGTTGTGAAATCCTCTTATTTACAGGAGGTTTGGATAAAACACATTAAGGACAGAATTACTAATCAACTACTTCAACAGAAGTATTGATTGTGTGGCTCTGTACCAACATGTTGTTCTCCCAACCCGGGAAAAAACATAAGCAATAGGTGAGTTGTTAAACAAATGGTTCTTTTTCAAAACCCAGACCTTTATATTTGTTTCGATCAATTCTTGTGAAGATTGTTTTTTGTTTATCTTTTTTAATCTTAACTGTTTTAAGGATTTCATCATCTGTTCTAATGATTTTATAACCTGCTATTGCGAGATCTACAATTGTAGGTTTTTCATGGCTTGATCACTTTTATTTTGCATTTGGTAATCTAAAAAAGTAAAAACCTGATACAGATATATGCATTTCATCTGGTATTTATCCATGTCCAAATGTAAGAACCTGTTTTTAGTCAGTGGATCAATCAAGCTACTGTCCATGGTACGAATTGGTCACAGCGTCTTACCTGCGAGAGGCCAGGGGAGGGGGCAGGGTGGGGGGTGGGGGGTCCAGTTATAGGCTGTGGTGCTTTATTCATTTCATTGAGATCTGCATGTGGAGGCAGACGTGGACCGTATACAGATCTGGAAATGCACAAAACAAATGAGTCACACCTATGCTCCAGGCATTAACTGAATTCGTGAAGTGTAAAATACTCACAATTATGACTTTTTAGGTCCAATGCTTTTTTATGCTGAGCAGTAGTTTTCCTAAAGACAAAGAAATACAATTAAACATATTGCCAAACATAATTAATACACAATTTGCCCATACTTTATTAAGGTTACTTTTACAGAAAACACAACTAATTTGTGCTGATATTATTTTTCAGAAACGCTTGCAACTGCTGTCTAGATGCGCGTCAGCCGCGGCCTGTCTGCATCGGTTGGAGCGCACAGGGAAGCACATGTGGCGCGCAAATTCAGATTTTTAAATGCTATCCATCCATCCATTTTCTACCCCTTAATCCATTTCTGGGTCGGGGGGGTGGCCATCAGAGATGCCACCCAAGTCACATAGCACCAGCCCCTCACTGATCCTCTGCGTCCACAGGAGGACGGCTGCTCAGTAAGTGTGAGCATAGCCTTGATCTTTAAGCAGGGGCTTCAGGCAAAGTAGGGTAAAGTGTCTTGCCTAAGGACACAACGACAGCAGACCATTTGGTCTGATTTTTACATGGTGGGGCAATAAACAGCAACCGGTAGAGCGCGATTGATGTATTCTTGTGAAGATAATCATTTGGTCTAGAAGTGTCGCGGCAAGACTTTCCTAATCTGCTATTTGCAATGTGAAACAGTCCAAGCATTCAGGGCAGATAATGTCCATTATACTAACTCTATACAATTATATTGTGAACGAATCAACGTATAACAAGCTTTGCAAATTTATCTGAGGCATTGCCATAGCTGGGGTTCTTCAACATAAAGGTTTGGCATACCATAAGGAGATTGGCATGCACTAAACCTTCATATGACTAAAGGTATACAGATGAGGTTGGATGACAATGGAGAGAGAGTTCTTTATTGTACTAGAAAGTCAGGGATGTGTAAATGAACATGTTTTGAGATTAAAAGTAAGACTGAAGGTTGGCCTATATTAGTAAGATATATATTATATATAGAGTTGATGTCACAGTTAGGTTTAATAATACATGAATTACAAGTATCTCAAAAAGAATATTCAGACAATATTCTTGCAAATCCACTAGCCTGGCTACTACCAGACTAAATATCACAAGTGGATGGGAACTGTCTGTAAAATGTTCTTGTAGGATAGCTGTGTTTTACAATTAGTAATAGGGGTGGGAACCTAAGGGTACCTCACGATACGATACGATACACAATACAACGCTCACAATAACGATATTATCACGATAGCGATATTATCAAGATAACGATACTATCACGATATGACGATTATCGATATATTGGTCAGAAATACACGATATGCCAATTTATGGCATAAATAAAAGAAAAAATACACTTTATTTCATGATAAATGGAATGAAGATGCGTAATGTAGCTATAAATTGATTATACTTGATAAGTATTGATACCAGTATTGATACCAATTTAAAAAAATAATTTGTAAAAAAAAAAAAAAAAAAAAACTATTTTTTTCAATATCGATATTGATACTTGGCAAATGCATATCGATAATCGAATCGCGGGCGAAAGTATCGCGATACTCCTAATACCCCTAATTAGTAATTGAGTATTTTTTATTTATATAGCGCATTTTACAGACCAAGGTCACCCAAAGCGCTTTACAATGTTCAGAGTTCAGATATTGTTCCAATCATTCCACACACAGTGATGACGGAAGGGAGTCACCGAACACACTGGCCCATCAGCCCCCAATCAACACCATCCATTCACTCTCTCATTTACATTCATACCTATTGTGCATGTTTTTAGTGGTAGGGGAAACCGGAGCACCCGGAGGAAACCTACGAAGACACGGGAAGAACATGCAAACTCCACTCAGAAAGGCCCTGTTCTGACCGGGATTTGAACCCAGGACCTTCTTGCTGAGAAGCAAGTGTGCTATCCACTCAGCCCAATTGTCCACGGGCGTTTGTCTCTTATTGGTAATGATCTGAATTAATTTCCTGGCAACACTAACATAAAGTCACACAACATCTAAATATTTAACTGCTACCAATTTTCTCTAGATTCACCCTACAGTGTGATGCTGACATACTTCAGAAGAGACTGGTCTCAAGCCCCACTCTAGTTTCTCACTGATCCTGCTACAATAGTGAGTGACACACTTAACATTTATATCAATAGATCAGACATCGTCCTGATCCTGTCTTTTCCTTGTGACCCAGAGAGCATCCGCAGCACAGTCAGAAAAGCACTGAGTCATGATGAATCAGGAAGTAATCTAATTTAAAAAGAAAATGAACAAGGGCTTTGGCTATAACAGATTCTAAAGAGACTAAACTGGAACACACAATGTATTATGAGGGTTCATATAGGAGCATATTTCATATATTGACCAATGACCAATTTCAAAACATGAGATGTGCTATTAAATGATTTGATTGATGTCATAATTTCAAGACATTGTGATGTCTAGGAGACACTTCTCATAATAAGTGAAAAATCAATTGTTTTTAACCATTGTACGTTACATCCAGCATTCCTATCAATAAAGGTCAAAGTCTCCACAATACAAAACACTAAATAACGACAGCATAAAAAAATTGCACGTGAGAATCACTACTTAGTGTACACACAGAATGCCATTTAGATAGATATACATACATTATTGATCCCTGTAGGAGAAATTCAGGTGTCCAGTATAAGCAAAAATAAAATTGATCATTCTAAAAAGACAACAATAGTAATAATCAGCAACCGCCCTTCAGGTCACAGCAGCAGAGATTTTACTAAAAGAACACACATCCAAAGCATTATTGCAAAACGTAGCAAGTGATAACATTACCAATATGATTTAACAATGGGGATAGTTTTCTTTAAAATACTATCAAAACGGTTTTCATTCTCCGCGTCACGAAGCTTTAAAGACAGCAGTAACATGACAGGCCATGGAGCAGAGCACAAGCTCATGATCCATTGACAGAAGCCACTGTACTGCAGAAGTGCTGAGTGCACAAGCTCAGAGCTAAAAGAGGGTCCTGGCCTCACACTCTGCACTACCTCCAATGACATGCACCAGACAGACACCATTAAAATGTGTTTTGGGATAGTGCTGTGAATATGTGTGGACTTTTAAAGCTTTGGTTCAGAGGGATAAATCTGGCTATCAGTACAAATCAGACATGCTTCTGAAGAGTTTGCAAAGTAACACTGCAGGGGGCCCCAAGTTTTCCTGTGTGTTGAGTTACAAAGGGGAAGGAAAAGCGGCAGAGTGAGCTAACCCAATAATCACACACAGACCATTCATTCAAGCCCGAGACATGTTGCAAGGGGGAGACCAGACACTCATGCAGATCCTGTGTGCTCCAAATGAGAGGTGAGAACATTTGCAAGCCTGCAGAATCGCTAGCTATCAGGTCACATCTTTGAGGCACAGGGAGCCTCAATGTTTACATAAATGATCTTCACTGTACTTATATTGTATGACATCTTACAGGACAACACTGTACCTCAAAGAAAACCAATCATGCATCAATAAACATATGACAATCAATAGACAGTCTTAACTTATGATCTGTGTTTAATTGGTTGAGGAAAAACATTCTAGTTTGCTTCAGTATTAATTGAGTTGTTATTTAATTTGCGTTTGCATTATTCTAGAAAATTCACTTTACCTCAAGAGGAAAGTGAATAGGAGGCAAAGCATTTGTGAAGCAAATTAAGGGTTAACCCGTTAAAAACATAAATGGTCCGTTGATCATGTGAATTAGTTATGATTAACCACATATTATATAATCAACAACTATGAATTTGTTACAGTCCCTATTCACTTTCTTTAAACATCAGTTGATAAAAGGTATATAAACAGTAGCACTTACTGTAAATGTGCAGCAACATTAAACTCCAGATCAACCTGTTCTGTTTCACACCAGCTGAAACTGAGCCCCCAGTGCTACATCACACATTTGTAGAGACTAAAGAAGACCCCCGCCCCCCCATTCATTGTGTTTACATATGTTTAGTTGCTTTGACACAAATAATGGGGGTGGTGACATGGCTAAACTGAATTAATTTTGAATACGTTGTTTTATGACAGACATCATCTCGTCATCTGTCTGACACTTGTAATGATCAATCATCATGCATTCTTCACAATCGATTTAACCTCAAAGTGGTTCTAAAACTAATCAACAATTATAACAATAACGTAATGTGGCATGTTATTCATCTCAGAATCAGAATCATTTTTATTAGTCTGAGGAGTAAACGATGCAATGGGATAAAATATCATCTTTACCATGTTGAAGATTAGATATATTTGTAAGAAATACAGCCCCCATTTTGCGTCCTTTCTGTGTCACCAGTCCTCCAGCCATAGAAAGGTGCTAAAAGTGACTGATGGACTCCTCAAATACACACAAGACACTGACATCATGTGCTACGCAAAGTGCAAGATTCAATCAAAGTCTATGATTGAACATTTTCAAAAGCACCTCTGAGATAATACATCAATAAATCAGGCATGGCACCGGTATTACGCACGCCTGAAGTGGGGGTCATCACTTGGGGTGTGTCTGACTGCGCACGACCACATTCTTCAGGGACAATTACCACCACCTCATGCAGTGTATAAACAAGTTCCAGTACATTTCACTCACTTGACTTGGTGAAAATTGCTGCGTGTTCAAGCTGTGCGTAATAATGCATCCATGGTAAGGATGCAGTGCTGTTAGCCGCGCTGCTAACTTTGCTAGGCCCAATCTGGAGCAACCACGTGGTTTGTACAGCTCTTGGCGCGAGGTGCTGCTTTGCTACCGGCTTCGTGCTACCACACCTCACGATTAACAAACGTGACAGCCACACACATCTCACACATATGCAAAACGAAACTGGCACAGTCAACAAAAAAATGATGCATTAATGAAGGTCTTCAATGACGATACTGCGAAGCTGAGTATTTGCCTTAAGCAGCTTGAACAACGCAGCACCCCGATGTAATAATATCAGCAGTTCTCCTTGCTATAACACTGGTAGAAAGGGAAATACAAATTGCATATCTAATCATACAGGTGTATCGTAATAACGCACCAGTATATGATTGTAACCTGTAATAAACACATAGTATGGATTACTACTAATCCACCACTCGTGCCAGCATAGTGACAGCTAGTTAAGAAATTACCCAAACAGTAGTGCACATAACCTATTTGTCCAGGGCATTGGTCAGATCTAATGTAACTGCAGAGACTAGACATATACTGTATTTACAAGAGAGACACAGATAGTTATTGGAAATTCGTTGTGTAAAACAGGAAAGAGTTGACTAAATAAGAGTTGAGACTTGCTGTAATGGGTGTTAGGTGTTAGATTTGAGTGGCATACTTCATTCAATCACCACTTACTTTACATGTGTCTGATCGAATCTTCTTCAATGGGAGAGCTTAGCAGTCACCTTTAACTTTACCCACCACTACACCAGAGGTTTCACATTGCTTAGCCAACGCTATCACATGCTCTTAGGTGTCAGATGAGCAGTATGAAGTAATTTGCCATAACATGGGCTGACAGAACGTTGTTCATAAACAATAGTTGTATAAAGCAATGCTAATGCCCTTCGACCTTGCTAGTTACACGAGACACAGCCCGAGTGGACGACAATGCAGCGAGTAGTGACCAATGGAGCCGTGCTAGCAACACATATGTTTTACGAGACGTCAACTACTCACTCTTGTCAAACTCCATGTTGATGGCGCTTTGTTGGAAAAATCAATGGTAATCAGTTACAACTAGCGTCATCCTGTATCGTTTTACACTGCGTTAGTAGTGGTAGTAGCCAAGGAAGCCATCTAAAGCAAAGCAAGAACACCCACGTCTGTATCTGCTCTCTGATCTGCGGCGCTGCCCAATTTGCCTCAAATATTGTTCTACGCTTGCGCAAGCCGGTCTGTCACAAATATTTGTTCATAACTTAATCTCACAAACAACACTGACAGTCTGTGGTTGAGACATCTGTGGTAACTAGACCAGGGGCTCAGCGATTCCTGAGGACAGATCTTGTTTCAACATCGATGCAAATAAAAGTGGCTTTGGCTTATCTAGCGGGACACAAAACAAGTCGTGCTATCATTGTTTCAACACTTGTACATGTAAATAAACAAAGGGGTGCTCTACATACCATTTACAAACTAACACTATGTCAAACTTAAAATATATGTAGATATGTTTTTGTCAAAGAAAAAATAATGTGTGACTCAAATCGGGCAGTGACAGATGTAGCTTGGAGTGCTAACAAGCGGCTAGCGGCTAATCCCTGAAAACACAACAGGAACCACTCCGCAGGAAAGTCCATATATTTGCCGTTATCTGTCATCCAAACATGACACAACCTCCCAGTCTGAAATCTAGAGCCTTTACACTATAACAACCTCATACATAAACGTCAGCAAATGTGTATTTTTAAAGAATTTAGTTGAGGATCGTGGCATTACCTTTCTCTCCTTGAGTCCGCAGAGCCGGACGGACGGAAAATCTTCCCGGAAGCCGGTAACGTGGTGATTCCGGCAAAATTCCATCACGTGAAACTGCTCCAGAGACCAAAGACCGAACGAGGACGCATATTTTGTTTATATTCAAATTAAATAATTAAAATTTCAAAAAGTATTCTAAACGTCAACTATATATATATAGCTAGTTATCCCACCTTCACATCGGTTAATGAGGCCATATTCCACACTGACTCTAGATTTCAGTAACTGGAAACCACTGTAAATACATAGTACGAATAGTTAGCTCAATATTACATTGTTTATTTTCAAAATGTTATTCTTTGTATTTATTTTGTTTTAATTCCACAAGATTCAGATTCAACTACTCAGTAAATAAATAGCAAATTTTTTTCATTGAGGCTTGCATTGCATACATGGCTCCCCCCTGTGAGCGCAAAGAAAACAGCTTTACAACAAATGGAAACAAGTTGTTTATTTTATCTTTTACAGTACTATAACAAAAACAAAACGGAACAACTGATGAATACATACTTTATTTTTAATTACAAAATATGACCAAAGATGCAAATGTTTGGGCAGAGCAGAAGAACAATTGTGAAAGTGTGACTAGAGCAGAGAAGGGGGTTTCCCAATTCCATTCCAATTCATTCATTGTAGAGACATGGAACAAATTAATTGCAGAGGGAAATGAGGTCAGTGTGCTTTTAGGGTATCATGTCCAATTGGAATCGTTCTAAGTATTTTCTTGTATATGTTTTTGACTGTTGGGAGTTGAATGAGGACTTTTGTTTTCAACCATGAAATAAAACATAGTATAACATCTGTGCCTTTAAAACGCACTGTCAGAAAAGTGAGAGAAAAGGGACAAGAGATCCTGGGTGTAGACTAGGTTTCGTAGTTGGGATTCTTGCGGAGGATGACAAATCCCTCCAGGATTGGGGTGACAGGGAGGTACTCTTCTGTGGCGAGTTCAGCCCGCTCTCCGTGAGCCAGCAACACTGGCGTGGTGTGCGTCTGGAAACCTGTGATCGCCTTGGGTTTGCCGGCCTGGCCCACCACATCTACAGCCTGAAAAAGAGAATAAAAATCTTAGTGCAGTTGTTCAGGTTAAGATAAAAGGGTTATGTAGTCATTATTCATGACATGCCATAGAATAGCTCATAATACTGTACACTTTGATCAATATACTTTATCCATCTATTGTAAAAAAAAATAAAAAATAAAAAAATAAAATAAAAGTACAATACATTTTTTCACAGGCATCACAGGAACATGACAGCTCATCAGTTATTAAGGGCCCGAAACACCTGTGTTACAATATCAGGTGCTTTACAACTGTACTAATTTTAACTTTTCAATAAAATATTCTTGCCTGAATGGCTATACCAAATTTGGAAAGGATAAATGACAATTGAGAACAAGTGACCTGGTTCTAAGCTTTTAAAATTTGTTTTTGCTGCATGTGTATTTTATGTATAAAATTGAAGGAATTCATAAATAGCCACAATGATAAAAATGAGTAAAGAAAATGCGCAGGTTTTACCTGTCCAACTCTGACGGATACAGGAAGCGGCCTCAGCTCCTCATCAAACGTGACCAGCATTCGTGGCTGCATTGCGGCTACCAGCCCATAGAGGATGTAGTGAGATTTCCCCAAGATTACTGCAATGGACACACACAAAATCTTTGTTGAGATTCACGAGTCATTCCAGAAGTTTTTTTGATGATAAATATGCAATTGCTCAAGAAAAGACCAATAATATTTCATATTTAGCATTATCAGGTTCTCAATAAATATGAATCAAACACCCTCTGCATCTTATTGAGCGTTTCTTTCCCCCTAACAGAAAGGAACATTAATTCCTGTGAGCATTGGTTAACCAGTTTGTTGCTAATATTGACTTCTAATCTACATAGCAAATCTATCAAAGTCTTTCCAGATGACTGCCGTTCTTGATTTAAATAGCAAGCACATTGTAACACATTGGCCCATGTCCAGTGGCGTGATGCAAGATAGAGCAAAGATATCTTGAAGCCAATAGCCTGTGCTCAATAGTGCATACTTGCACACTGGACGTTCCAAACATTAGCGGAAGTGATGCATTGTGGTCAGCACTGGATCTTGCGCAGCAGGTGCGCTGTGGTTCTACTTACGCAGGACCAGAGTAATACAGGAGCGTTCTGACCAATAATCGCGCCGCAGATCAGAGCAGAGCTAGATCATAGTTTGTTGAACTAAAGTGTAGATTTATAGTAAATAAATGGATGGAGAAAAAAAAAGTTCAGGGTGACAAAGTACACTAAAATACCAACACAATCTGACCTTTGAGAAAGCTGTAGGTTCCCGGTCAGATGAGGACGAGCAGTTTTAGTTATACGGAGGTCTATGGGATAATCTCCTGTACAACCATGTCCATGCTGGAGACAGGTTTAGGCAGCAATACCATATCCAGATAATAGAATACATCATGTTTCGACCATTGTGATTGGGGGAAAAAGCAGGATGACTGAAAATCTGGATCTAGTATCTTTGAAAGCTGCATTGACAGACAGAAGATGTGAAATCACTCACTGTTTTTGACGTCAAGGAAAGACACGAGAACGGTGAGGAGTCCGGCCACAGCCACTTGGCTCATGAGCTGCCTGTCGCTGTGATACGGACACAGTGTGAGCGTGCCTTTGCCTAGGTGTGTCAGGCCCTGCACACAAGAAATTAACTCAGCTCTCAATCTCACATTGAGCCATAATTGTTCACCAGATGATTGCAGTTATTTATAAAGACAAAACGCTTCAGTGCTCTCGCCCACCTGTGCCAAGCGGACCATGAACAGATTGTTGGGGTCCTTTGCGTGATATTGAGCCAGTTGTCTCAGCATGGCGGCAAGTCGGGCATTATTTGTGCCTATAAGAGAAAATATTAAAATCAATTTCAGGAGAATGATGAAAAATTATTTAATTTAGCTACAGAAAATGGCATGCTGATAAAATTATGTAAATTCTAATTCAGTTTTTGCATCATTCAGGACAACCAAGGACACTTTATATGGAATTGATGGAAAAGCAATAGACAAGATTAAGAAAAAGTAGTGTGCTGGAGTATTTTATGAATATTTTCAAACATTGACTTTATGAATAACCATTACACACAATGTGGGTTTGTGTCTGAAATGTGTTAGCTGATTGCCCCATATATTGAAATGTCTTGCATTTAAAATCACAGGAAGTGCAGTGTACAGTCGAAAATCTTGCAGTTAAGTACATTATGTAGAAAAGTTAGAAATTATGTAGAAAAGTTAAATCGGTAATAAAACATCTGAAACAATTGGGGTCATTTTTAGAACATGATCCGCTTTGGAGCCGCACTCACCGCTGCCCACCATGCCCATGGCGAAGATAGAGTTATGAGAGACCTCTGCATCAGCGTCGTGGGAAAACTTGCTCAGTGTGTCCAGGATGTTGAGCCGAGGATTGGAGACAGAGATAAGAGCCAGCGCTAAGGGGACCGCTCGCCTGAGAGTGGGCTCGCCATAACGGAGCTGGCACACACATGGAGACAAGATTAGAGCAGACGCAGAGCCGCCAAGGCCACTTCAGTCTCGTGACTTAGGGAATGAAAGGTTGCAGAAAGCCTTTTTAACTTTCTCCCCAATTGAAAGATGTATTAAGGTTTTCTTATATTTTTTATTCATGTTAACAGAGCCAGAGTGTCACCTTTGAATGTTCACAATACCATTTTTAGTTCATTGCATTCTTTTGCTTCATTTTTGTACATCTATGGTGGATTGTTATGGCAGTTTTTAATGACACTTTATCACTGCTTGCCCTGGGAACTGAGGCCAAGAAGCATGTAGGAGATGTGTCAAAACTCTCATGATATTGTGCAGATGCAATTACACAATTTTTCAAGAAGTTTAGTTTTAAGAGTCATTTTCAAAGCCCCACAACATATAAATACAAGATAGTGAATGTTTACGGTTCCTTTGCAACAAGAAGCTCAAAACAAACAACTAAAATACAGATCTCTTTTGTGGAATAAAGCTTATAATGCTACTAACCAGATGTCCAAACGTCCGCAGGGCCATTTCTGAACCGATTTCTTCTCCCATTGCAATGAGTGCAATCCCAAGAACAGCCGCGCCCTATGAATAAACACAACAAACAAATAGGATCTAAGAACAACACGGGAAAACACACTGCAGAGAATTGCCTTTATAGTTTTTCCACAAACCTGATGTGAACCCATATCTGCTGGGGTCTCCTTTTTGTCTTTGTCCTTCTTGTCTTTCTTGTCCTTGTCGTCCTCCTTGTCTTTCTCTTTAGCTTCATAATGTTCGCTGCAGATGTGAAGCAGCTGTTGTACTTTCAGGACATTACCCGAGCCTAAAGAAAAATATTTGTTTAGAAGTTTTGAATATTGACAATATTCAACACGGATGATGGGAAGAGCTCAAAACTGACCTGCATATGCACAGATATCCACTAATGTGTTGGCAAAGCTGCGGAAAGGTTCAGGAACGACTTGTAAAGCTGCTAGAGTTGTCTCAATTGCCTCTCCTTTACCTGAAAAACAATTATGAATACTATGGGTTGAACTGAACAGTGACTTATTCATGCTGAAGCGGTTTAATGGACACATTGTTACAAATATATCAATAGTTAATGTGTATAGCTGCGTTGTATATGTATTGAACCAGCCCAAAACGACCACATTAACCTTAATATTTACCCAGGTGTTTAACATAGAGACCAGAGCAGAGTCTGCTTACCGAGGTGGTTGAGTCCCAGGCCTAATGGGAGCCATCTTGCGTAGGTGTCCTTCAGCTCAGTCTCATTCTTTTCCATAATGGTCTGAACAATGGTGGAGGTCACATCGCCATTACAGGAGCCAACAGCAATCATGCCACACGCAATCGCAGTTACTCCCACGACCTGTAAAGCAACAAAAAATTCATTACGGTGTGTTTAGTGTGTAAGCATGACAATATATGCCAAAATGTATATTCAGGTTAAACTTGTTGATGGGGAATTAAGAAAAAAAAATTTGTGTTTGTGGTGATTTACTATAAAATCATTGACATTTACCTCCATGCTCGATTTGGAGTCTCCCATGACAGGAAGAAGCAGAGACAGAACATCTTCCCTGTTGGATCCAGCATAGGCTAAACCCAGACTAAAGTCAAAACAAATATATCGTGGTTAATATTTTATGTATAATCTTCAAACCAGTAGTGGTGACATGAATTGCAGTTGAATCTTACCCAAAGATGGCACCTATCCTCATCGTGTTGCTATTGTGGAGGACATAGTCTGAAAGCAGGGCAAGTGCAGGGTCGCATTCATTCCTTACACCCGAGTTTACAATACCACAGGCCAAGAGGGCGCCAGACTACAGGAAACAAAATCATTAATATCATAAAAACACAAAGCATTATATAAGATTATATTTTGATTATCACCTTAATGTAGTCTTCAGAAGAATACAGATACTTGTCGATTTGAGTCAGACCACCATCCACATCCCAGAGAAGGATCATTCCCAGAGAAGCGGCAGCACTCAACATGCCTGGAGACAGTGAAAAACGCATTAAATGATGTGTGACTCGTACTTTATCAATCAAAGCCCAATTATGTGGGCTTTGACTATACCATGATCTTTGTTCTTGTAAAGCCATTTGTTTCCATCATCTGTGAGCAGCTTGTCTTGACCAAAAGCAGCGTTAACAAAGCCGTTGACGAATGAGGAGGCTAAATTCATGCGAGCAGAGTCCACCTGGGAGCCACTGCCTCCAAATCCTAACAAATAGAAGAAATGCGATTACACCAGGGCAAAAAAAATCTATCTTACAAATAGTAAGTACACAGAAGGACACCTATATATTTAATAGTGTCAAATATATGTAAGAATTGAAAGAAACTCACTGTTGTTTTCCAAATGAGTCTTGTAAATGTCATCAGGGACTTTGGGTTCCATAATGTCCAACTATAATAAAAGAAAAAATGTGTTGTTTATAGATGGTGACATTAATTATAAGAAATAAATAACACTCAATTTCTCACCTCTCGGGCTAAAGCCAGAAAGTTGCTGTTTAGTTGTACATTAGACATGATTTCTGTGAGGTCTTCATAGTCTTCCACATCCTCATTCAACTCCAGGAACATGCCATGACGACCAAGCATGAAGGCAAGCTGCTTTTGAATGACACTACAAAACAAATGGAAAGTTTATTTTTCCGTCAAGTCAATTCAAGAACACAAACAATCACAAAATAATGTGAAAAGTCACTTCTTACATGTCTTTGCAGGATGTGAAAATATTTTCTACAAGCTCTACATCGTTGAGCATAAGTGCAAGCCGGAGCGCCTCGGGATAACGGTTGAACTTTCTGAAGATGGTCAAGGCTGATCTCAGCAGAGCAGAGTTCTCTGGTTCAGGGACATAACTCACACAGCTGAGGGAACAATGAAGAATTACCATAAGATTATACAAAACTCAATATCAAGAAAGAAATTCTAAGTAACATACCTGGTCAGATAGAGACAGACTTTGCCATATGCGTTCTCGTCAATGTAGTCCTCCAGCATCTCCAGCTTCTCGATCTCCATGAGCAGATCACAGGCCTCGTGCTCAGCGTTGTGGGCCATATTGTAAGGAACAATCTCCTTCACCAGTTTGAGCAGAGTCTCCTGTTGAGTCTTGTCACTTTCCTCCACCTCCTGCCACTCCTTAGCAACTTCCCCAGCAAGGTGCCTAAAAGTGCAGTATATACGTTTTATGCAACATAAATACAATTAAAATAAAGTTGTAAACTAATTTATGGAACTCAAATAAAATAGTAAAAAAAACAGCTGTGTTATGTCTTACCTGACGTATTCATGTCCCCATGATGCCAACTCTTCTTGAGAGCCCAACAGACGGTACTTAAGACACTCTCGCTCACCACTCATGGTCATGGCCAATACGGACGCAACATCAGCACAGAACCTCTGAAAGATTATCATTTTTATAGATGGATTCATACATTGTCAAAAGCAAAAACAGCCAATGTTTTGGTGAAGCAAAAACATAGCAGCATCACCTTGTTCTCTCCAGCAGGCATGCCTTCATATATTTCTTTGAGTTTTCCATAGTGTGGGCGAAGGAACTTCAGGGGCTTGGGCACTGAGGTCATGGAGGTGGTTGATGAGCGAATTAGTCTGCGAAGCTCCTCCAATGCAGGCTTATGCAGGGCTGTGTTCTTTTCCTGAATAATAATAATAATAATAATAAAACTAAAAAAGGGACAAAGAAAATAAAACAATACTATGTCAAACTTTATACTTACACCCAATCTCTCTACCATCATTTCCAGATCTTCTTGTAACTGCTTGTCTTCTTCTGACTGAAAAAGAACGGCCATTTGTTTTTATTTTTCAAATATATAATATTAAATCTATGTAACCTAATCCCGTTGTCTGCTCATTATGAACATAAATCCCTATTACTATTGCATGTTGACAGATTGCAGTAGTTTATGGCAGGGTGACGGGCATAATAATGTGTCATGGACGAGTTCAACCAACATTTAATCTCATGAAATGAATATCTATTTCCATCTTTAAAACCAAGGGTTAGAGCTTTGCCGTTGTATCATACTCTAAAGAATGCGACTATGCTAACAACGCTACCGCTTTCCCTTTAGGGCAACGATGACAACAAGTAGCATGCTAACGTTAGCACAGCGGGTCTGCTAGCCTCGTCTAAACTTACAACAGAAGCGCTCATTAAACACATTATAAATTCAACATAGAAAAAACAAAAAGTGGCCATTAAAGGTGACTTAAATCACTCCATGAAAGTATATACGTTGGTCACAAAAGACAAATTAAGCAAGGTAAAGCTAAAGTGATGGCAAAGCCGCAGTGACTAAGGCAAATATGACAACAGGCTTCGGTCAGTGCGAGTTCGAATGGGGGAAAAACACTTTACCAGCTCCTGCTCCTCTTTCTTGTCCTTATCCTTCCCAGAAGCCTGCTGCTTCTTATCTTTATCTTTGTCCTTTTCATCGGTCTTTTCTGCGGGCTTATTTTCTTTGTTTTTTGCATCCTCCATAGCTGCAGATGTGTGAAGTAAGCGGACGAACTGTCTGTGCAGAGCGGAAGCTGCTCTCGATCACTGAAACAATCCAGCGACATGTGTTATTTAGCGCCCCTAGCGGTGGTGCGTTCAAACTCTGTACATTTTTAGTATACCTGCGATCTTTGACTAGGCTTTGACACGATCTGTTAAGCATCTACATCTATTACACAGAGTAACATGTCGCTATTGTGATATATGCTTGCTAGCGTAATTCTATGTGTGTGTTGTAATATAAAGTGCAGCTGCTTGCTGTCTTCACCTTGTGTGTGGAAATATTGTTTAGAACGATTTGAGTTCAACAATTTCATATAAAGATGAAAAAATAAACATGTATAATTACATTTTGATTTAAAAAATGTGCATTTTCTGTTTTTATAAACACGCTAATAATGGTTACCTCAAGGAGTTTAGAATAACCATCTGTATTTAAAAGCAGCTCTGGTGAATTTGTCATATGACCAAATCACATGCTCCTATTTCAGTTCCTTATTATCAGTCCATGACTCAAACATGGCTTTGGACCAGAGATGTGTTCGTGCTTTTGGTAAAATATGGCTTGTGTTGTGTGTCTTGACCTTAGCAAATGGACAGAAAGGGTTTAGAAAGTTTGTGCAAAGAGCCCACAGACCTACAGCTGAGGAACAGTGGTTTATTCAGAAACTGGATCACTTCAATGGCCAGGACAGCACAGTCTGGAAACAAGTAAGTAGCAAGGTTTCAGGTCATAGACAAACATTCAGGTGTGAGTAGTTGTTTAAAAAATATTCAAGTTAATACTCTACAATGCATCTTTGCCCCTTTTATTGTTTTTATATGGTCAATTCAATTCAACCCTAGGCACAATTTCTCCATGAGCTTTCTATACAGCGACCTGGCTTCCCACACACGTTCCCTTGTCCTTTTCTTTTTATTATTTTTATTTTTTTGTCTCTGTTTTTGATTATCGTAGTCCTCTTCTATCTCTTAATAGGCCCGAGCCCCAACCGGGGTAAGGGCCTATTGCGAAGCCCAGGCGAAGCCCAGGCGAAGCCCAGGCGAAGCCCAGGCGAAGCCCAGGCGAAGCCCAGGCGAAGCCCAGGCGAAGCCCAGGCGAAGCCCAGGCGAAGCCCAGGCGAAGCCCAGGCGAAGCCCAGGCGAAGCCCAGGCGAAGCCAGGCGAAGCCCAGGCGAAGCCCAGGCGAAGCCCAGGCGAAGCCCAGGCGAAGCCCAGGCGAAGCCCAGGCGAAGCCCAGGCGAAGCCCAGGCGAAGCCCAGGCGAATTACTCGTTGTAACTGTCATAAGTCACGCGACGGCACGTGCCCAAGCACTGATAAATCCGTGCCGGAGGCACGGAATGGCTTTGCTCCTGCTGTAGTACACAGTGAAATGATTGAGGTCCTATTAAAGGGGGGTTCTTTCAACTGTCTTACCGACGAATGTCCGGGCGATTCGTCCCCCAAGCCCGACAGCGCGTGCCCAGACACTGACAAAACAGTGCCGGAGGCACTGAATGGCTTTGCTCCTGCTGTAGTACACAGTGTAATGAATGGGGTCCTATGGGGAGGAGGGGGGGGGGGGGGGGGGGGGGGGACCTCATGACGGTGAGGTGGTTCGCTTTAAAACGACCTATCATTTGTATTATAGGTTACTATGGAAACCTATATTGTTTTTGCTCAAAGATTTACAAAAAAAAAATCCTTGGTTTGGTTTATTTATTTATTATTTCTTTCTTTTTTCTTCTGCACTTTGAACCTTAATTTGACCCCCTGAACATTGATGAAAAGTTGTGAAATTTTGCCCAAAATTCAGAACCCGCGAAAAATTATTATAGTTTAGTTTTATGGGAGTGAAAAAAAATGACAGAACAGCGCCCCCTACAAAAGTCAGTTTACATTGCGCCTATGGGAGGGGGTCGAAGGTCAAGTTTGTCGTAGAGCCACGAAACTCATGTACATGTACACATGTTCCTCAAGTCAAGTCAAGACATGAAAAAAAAGTTATTATGGCTCCGCCCCCTGACAAACAGGGAGCTCATTATTTTCAATGGGAAATGCCATCCATCCATCCATCCATCTTCTTCCCCTTAATCCATTTCTGGGTTGGGGGGGTGGCAGTCAGAGCTGCACCCAGTACACCAGCCCCTCACTGATCCTCCTGTAGGTGGTGAGTCCACAGGAGCTGAGATCTTTCAGTTGGGGCTTTTGGGCAAAGTAGGGTTAAGTGTCTTGCCCAAGGACACAACGACAGCACTCATCAGTGGGAGTTGTGAAGTAGGTCTTACGGTGGGCTCGAACCCACGACCTTCAGGCTCAAAGGCCAATGCTCTACCAACTGAGCTACTGTCGCCCTTCAATGGGAAATGGAAAAATGAAAATAGATCTTTTTCACACATGTTGGTTGGAAATGATCTCCTCCTCGGCCGTTTCACCGATTTGTCTCAAAATCGCTCCACATGGTCTAAACCCATGTCCCATCAATTATTGAATATAGAATTTGGATCAGTTAAACGTTGTCCGAGCAGCGGAGCGGCAAAATGTGACATTTTTTTTCCAATTTTTGACAAAAGTAAATTTGCTCCCGTTTGCTCAAACAAAGCCGGATTTGCACAAAATTTTAATCCATTGTTCAGCTCCAGGGTCTATGTCATTTGAAAGTGGAAATATTGAAATTGCCTCATTAGCGCCCCCTACAGACTATGTAAAAGTTTTACATGGGCCTAATAAAATGTAGTTTTTTCAAATTGTTTGAAATTTTGCACATAATTCTGTTTTGTCCTCTGGATTCAAAAAGTCAAAGACAACATATGGTTATTTTTTACCCTGTTGCCGTGGCAACGACCAACACTCCCCTGTCTGTGTCTATGGGAAAATCATTATATCTCTGAAAAGTACACCTCGCTCAAACATCAAACCGGCCGCGGCCGTTTCACTAATTTGGCTGAAAATCTCTCCACATGGTCTCAACACATGGACCATCAATAGTTGAATATAGAATTTGAATTAGTCAAACGGTCTGCGCGTGACAGACTCCCAAAGTGTGGTTATTTTCAGTGAGAGGTGTGACGTTCCCATGTTATTCAATGGAGACAGTATGGACACACTCACAGATTGTATATGCAAACAGGAGCACATTTACAAACTCTGATTGTGCTAAACAAGACTCGGTTGTTCAACTCCTGGGCCTAGGTCACATGACAGTGTGAACAATGACATTGGCCCATTAATATTTGACCCACTGAACATGCACGAAAACTCACTAAACTTTGCCACAACTTTTTTTCAGGCATAAAGTGTATTATTTTGGTGTTCTTTGGTATAAGACTAAAAAATTAAAATTGTAGGGGGCGCTGTTGTACAACATTAACTCATTGAATGCCAGCCTATTTCAGAACAGGTACTCCCATAGTGCCAGCCATTTCTGATGATTTTTACTGATTTTTCAAGACCCACAGAATATTGTGTACTATGACTATCTGAAATCCGACACCAGATTCTAAAAGAATGGACTGTCTACTTTCCTCAGCAAAAAGAATTTTGTTTATAGCTTTTTTCGTTCCCCTGTAATCCTCCGTTGAGTAGAGGGAAGTTTTACTGAAATCACCAGAAATCACCAGAAAGTTGAGAAAAAAGAGGCACAACATGTGCACCTACATGTTTTCAAACCATTCAGAGAGCAATGCTGCCACCTGCTGGCTCGATAAAATATGGTCTCAAGTCATCCCCATACATATTAGATACAATAGACATCTGGGAACGTGAAAATAGCGAAAAAAGCAATTGACGTATTAATGCGTCAATGGGACACAATGAGTTAAATGCCACCATTTGCATATACAAAGTCCAATTTGCACAAAATTTGAATTGATTGTTCAACTCCCGGGTTTGGGTAAACTGAAAGTGTTAAAGACGAAATTGCAGCAATAGCACCCCCTACAGACTGAGTCAAATATTACATGGGGAGAATGAGGTTTACCTTTTCAAAGACACACATAATCACTGATCATAGGCATTCAAAATGCACAGTGTCGCTCCCATCAGGGCGGTAGGAAAATGGTGCGTCAGCGCCACCTCGGTTGCGTTGTGCGGCGAGGGCCGTTCGACGCCGCTTGCGGCTTTAATTCAGTTTTGTAGCTCCTCTTGTTAAATAAAAATTTGAATGTGGATTAAAGTTGACCCCTGGTGTGATTTCAAACTTTCTGTTGCTTTCTGTTTTCTCTAGAGGTTTTTTGTGAATGACAAATATGCCCAGCCCGGTGGTCCAGTGTTCTTAATGATCGGAGGCGAGGGTCCAGCCAGCCCTGCGTGGATGGAGCAGGGCACTTGGTTCACCTATGCAGAGAAACTGGGAGCTCTCTGCTTTATGTTGGAGCATCGCTTTTATGGGAAAAGTCACCCAACACCGTAAGTGTCTTTATGGTTCAGCAGTGTCAATGATGCTGGTCGCTGCCCACTAAGTAAATAATTGAGTGGCCAATATGCGATTTCATGTTTTTTCTTACTTAATAAGAAATGTGAAAATTGTAAAATGTATTTATACCTCAACCTAGAAGACGCAGCAAAAAAGGTTTCATTCAAGTCAATATATTTTTGTAAAGCCTAAAATCACAACAGTAGTCTCCTTCTTTTGTCATTGTGATTAACATTCACATTGAAGAATTATGATTTAAAAGGCTGAAAATCAGAATTGTCGATTTGCCAAAGCGGATTGGAAAATCAAACAATTAGAACTACTGAATAAGAAATACAACAATGGTCCATAGGATAATGGGTTAACCAATGGCCATGATCCTTCATGAATGTTGGAAGGAAAATCTCATAAACTCAAAGGGAATTGACATGATCCTGTGAACTAAAGCTGATCATCAAATGACTGAAGATTGAAATATAATTTACCTGTAAAGCAACAAACGAGCCACTAGATGGAGACATTATTTCAAATTGATTATTTCAATGCTGACACTGATGACATTATGACTTTATATTTAGAAACTGGCCATATTTCATATTTCTCACATTATTTGAGTTTGAAGCATGTTTGCAATAAATGTAAAATGTCTTGATGAATGTTCTGATGTGCCTTCGACGTATTCATCAAATATGGCTCTAGCTATAATGTTGTATGTAAAAGTAAAACACGTGGGCCTGTCACAATAATACATTTTGATGAAAGATTTATTGCTTCTGGGAAAAAACTGTGATAAATGATATGATTGAAACCACCATCATTTACAATACAGCCACGTAACATTAGTAAAGTATTTTTTATGATTTATTATTATCCTTCCGGTGAAAAATCGGAATTCAGTATATTAGTGACATATTGCATCTATGTTTTTAACCCAAAAATGTATTGTTCCTTCCATCAATATTTGAACAATAAATTGCTATAGTAATTATTGTGACCTCCTCCTTGTGTGTTTGCAGCGACCTGAGCACAGAACATCTGCGTTTCCTGAGCAGTAGACAAGCACTTGCAGACCTGGCTCACTTCAGGACAGTGATGGCTGAAACGCTGGGGCTGAGTGAGCGGAAGTGGGTGGCGTTTGGAGGCTCGTACCCCGGATCCTTGGCGGCCTGGTTCAGACTGAAGTATCCGCATCTCGTCTACGCCTCTGTGGCCACCAGCGCACCCGTCCACGCCCAGGTCAACTTCCCAGGTATCATTTAATATCATTTATCAACATTTATGGACATTGCATTTCTTGTGTTTGAACGGTTTGATTCTCTAATCTGTGTTGCCAAATCCTCCACGATAACTACTGTTAATGTGTTTTAGGGCTATACAAGAATAATTTGAATTAATACTTGCCACTGCAATTAAATTCTGTAAAACTTTTAAAATCCATTGTGGTTGTGTATAGAATCAAGAATAAGAGAATTTGGTCAATGTCTCAATATTGATGGACCATACTGTATTACAGAACTAATAGTTTGTAACATTAAAGCTAATATTGTTGAACAACCGGGTTCAATGTTTATATTTTGATATTTTGATGTGGGAACTTGGCAAAGTAGATTCCATAGATCACACAGCTTCAGTGCAAAAAACAAACCATTGAAGCTGGCGTATCCAACTTTTTTATAAAAATAATAATGCATCGGTTTTATATAGCGCTTTTTTGGACACTCAAAGACGCTTTACATGTCATTATTCATTCACTCCATACACAGTGGTGATGAACTACTGCTGTAGCCACAGCTGCCCTGGGGCACACTGACAGAAGCGAGGCAACCAGTATGTGCCATCGGCCCCTCAGACCACCACCACCATTCACACACACACCAGACTCATTCTAGGCAATGGGGGTGAAGTGTCTTGCCTAAGGACACAACGGCAGTTTGGCACTTTACAGCCGCAGCCGCCCCACTGTGGCTGGTGTTCCCAGAGGTTAAGTGTCTTGCCAAGGACACAACGTCAGCAGACAGTGGGAGGTGGGCTCGAACCCTCTATTAAAGTAAAATGTTGTGAACAAATCAGACCACAATATGCGGTCTTTATTTTGATAGATTACATGTTATCTTGTACGTACTTCTCAGAAAGTCACTATTTGCCTTTTTGGCTCAGAGCCGATTGGCTGAGTGCAGGTGGAGCCTCTCTTTGTCACTTTTCCGCCTGAAAAAAGCAGATCCAAAGATGTGACAGAGGCCATGAATGCATTAATATGAAAACTCGAGTCGGGAACTAGTCGGATGGGTAGATATTTGTTTATGGTTTGGAAGTTTGGGCAGGTGCCTCAATAACACACAAAAATAGTTAATAGATTTAATTTAATACACAATCACTGGTAACCTTGTTCACAGGCTTTGAAAACAGTGTGTCACAGGTATTGCACAAGGCCGCTTTTACTGTCAATAATATGAATTGTCCGTGATTTTGCAAAAGGGAATTTTTCTTCCCTCGGACTTTCACTGACTCATTCAGTGACAAACTGGTGTTTTACTTGCTTTTGTTTGTTTAAATTCCTTTGACATTTAGGGCTGTGGGTTTCATATTGTGTAATTTGTAATTCCTTGGCTAACCATTGTTTTGAATCTACAATACTTTCACTTTTATAAAATACTATTCTTTTTATACACTTGATGAATATAGACTGTTATTTTTACAGAGTATCTGGAGGTTGTGAGAAGATCCTTGGCCTCAGAGAACACAAACTGCCCCCTGTTGGTGAAGAAGGCCTCGGACACTCTGGTGGAGCTCCTCAAAGACCCCACAACCTACAACAACATCACCAAAGACTTTAAGTATGGTTCACTCCATTCAAACACCTTGAGTTAGTTTTTTTTCCTCAGCCTTGAATAACTATGTTTACTAATTGTCTAGACCACAAGGACCTTCAGTCTGTTCATTTTATATGCTAAATATAACATGGAAGTCCTTTTTTGTACCACCAGTATTCAGTGTTTGAGCTGTGCCAGAAAATGTGTAATGAAATAATATGTGCCAGATAAAGTATGTGCCTTTTAGAAACATATTTGACATAACATGTTTATTTGCACTTTTACCAACTCTTTTGAAAAGCCAGATCTTAGTACCATACAAATACAGTTTCACCCATTGTTGAGCAAATCCTTCCAAATGTACTGCAAATAACCACACATTTTCATAATTGTAACGAGAGGAATACAACAAGCAGCATTGTGATCTTATATCATGTTGTTAATTGAAATAATACTAATAATACTAATGCTACTATAAACTACTAATGTAGCCACAGCTGCCCTGGGGCACACTGACAGAAGCGAGGCAACCAGTATGTGCCATCGGACCCTCTGACCACCACTAACCATTCACACACACACCAGACTCATTCTAGGAATAGTTACATACTGACATACATCGTCTGTGAAATTTCATATTCCATGTTTCCCTTTTTTGTTACTATTTTGAACAGTTTGCAGGAGTCAGTTATTGTTCGGCTCCAGCCTCTTTTCCCGGACAAAACAGTATTCCACACCCAAAGCTCCTGTGTTTTTAACCACTTGACACTGTTGCATTGTATTTTCTAAAAACCTTTTCTCACTAATCTGTGTCATTGACACTTAAAATACACAAGCTGACTTTCCCAAAGACACAACAATAGTCTGCACTGCCACATACAGTCCTGTGTCTGGCCTCAACAGTCTTATCATATATTTGAGAACATATTTATAGAGTTATATCAATTATACCTTGATCTATTTTAATCATTTTCATAAAATTTACCATAGAAAAACCCTAAAATCCATATTAATTGGAGCATACAATTAAAATGGTCATTTAATGTAATATCTGGTGTTGCTGAGTTGTGTGCAGTCAAAGCCACAAAAGAGAAATAAAGTTACTGCCTGGTGCAGACATGTCCTCACTCAAAAACCACACTGCTCTGAGAAAAACACAACTGTGTTTTAAATGTACGCTTAAGTAATTTTTTTATATCCAGAGAAAAACATCTGTCATGATTTTACATGAGTTCAAAAGTCCAGCATGACAAGTCTCTGAGACTGGTCACTTTGAGAGGGCTCAAAGGAAGGACAACTCCCATAAGAACTAGACTTGGCCTTGGTTTGAACCATTGTTTTTTATTTTTTTTATTTGACAGTTTAATCAACTGTAGAGCTCCAGTCCTAATAGTTCCATTGTTCAGGACTATTACAAACTCTATTCCAGGAGTAATAAAGAATGTGGTACTCTGTAAATAATCCTGATCAGGGTTATTTACAAATGTATTCAATCATAATACAACATCATAATTATCTTGTGGGTCCATGTTTTAATGTTTTTTAAATAGATCAAAATGATTGAAATTTTGAAATTCTTTGAGCAGTTTTTGTCCCGTTGTTTCTAGTTTCGATAATAGTTTTAATATTTATTTAATTTAATCTGATTCCTTATACTTTTGACATTCCTATACAAGATTCTGTAGGGTTAGGGTTAACCCCCTCTCTGTAGATACATCAACAGATCAGTTATGGACAGAGGGATAGACTGGGAAAACTATATTTACAAATATTATCATATATGATCATATATTATCATAGCACATACACTCATTCACATCTTCATATTTCCTTCCCTTTAGCTTGTGCTCCAAACTGCAGATCCAGACAAAAAGTGACTCTGCCTACTTCCTGGAAACACTGGCGGGTAACTTCATGGATGTGGTCCAGTACAATCAGGACAACCGAGAGTTTGAGGTAGGGACAATGGTGTTATTTCAGAATGAACTAACTCATTAACAAGTGAGTTAGAAAAAAAGTTTTGTAGCTTCTGTATCCATTATTTTCACATTGCTGGAATCTTGTTCTGTAAATATACTGGGTGTCACCAATTGAGTGATTGATAAACAACGAGAAGCTTAAAAGTTGTGATTTATTTTAAATTGTATAGCTATATAGATGTATTTCATTTGTTTGTATATCAATGTTTTTGTAAGAGTCATGCATACAAGATTTATTGGCCACCTTATGTTACGCAATAGTTTTCACCGTCTCATTGAATTCTTAGAACTTGTTAAAAAGGGTGTAATTAAGACCAAAACACAGACAAAAACATTAGCATTGATAAAAACAGAAAACAACAGGGGTGACTGGTCATGTGCGGAAAGAACGTCTGAAAAGGTGAGTTTTGAGTCTGGATTTCTGTGTAGTTTATCACATAGTTCCAGTGTTGTGGTATGAAAGTTAGGTACCTCAGCTTTAACGAAAATAATGTCCTCTTTAACTGGTCCATCCTCTGGAGCTTCATGTTTGCGCGGTCAAGACAATTGAAAGTAAAATGCTTGCTCTCTTTGGGGCCCTTTGATGCCTCTGCTTGACCCACACTGCGGTCCTGGTTGAGTGGAACTGAGTTATGAGGTGCGGGAGGGTCACAGTCGGCCCTGGCAGTTAAGTGTAACATAATAAACCCGCCATTATCAAAGTGAGGGGCCCCGGGACACTGTCTGCAAGAGGGAGCCGGCTTCTCCCCTCTGTCCAGTGCTGTATGTGACATTTAAACATGCAGGGCCCTATCTTGTTCCGATAGACACGGCGGTGATGCAAACATGAGCAGGGGAGATGCCACTTGCACAGGGGTCTCCAACCTACAGCTCGCCACCCCCTTCTAAGTAGCTCCCCACGATTGTAAATATTTAAAACTTGTGCCAATGAACTATATGTATTTTTTTTACCCCAACTACTTCTACACATGGCTAATGAAATGAGAAACTAAAATGCTAACATGAATAATCTGAAAATCATGTCCATCATTTTGTTGATTCATAAAGAAATAGCGTTGGCATTTTGATCAGAAAAGGGCAAATATTTTTTAGACTTGTCGACCTGGTGTTTAGGGACATGGATAAATTAAGAGAAAAGTCCCCCACTTTGGGATAAATTAAGGATCTCTTAACCTTGATTGCTGTCAATGCATTTTTTTATGTTTTGTATTGACAAGAAATTATTTTAAGCATTAAATCAAATTTGAAGATAGAATTGACCTATTTTATAACATTTGTTTATATTCACTCTTATCTTGACAATCCTCCCAAACCACTCTTCTTGCCTTTCCCCTCCTGGACAAATGGATGAGTCTGTGTATGGGGATTTAAAAATGTGTCTTTGCCAGGCCATAATTCTTGTAGTTTGCAGAAATAGTTCAATAGAAAGCTTATTTTATAGCTAGAACTAGGCTTGTTTCTTAGTCCACTTCCTTGACAAGCCTCTCTCCTCTCAGCACCTCTCTGTGCCTGCAGGTTACGTGAGTCCGGTTACCAATCAGCTCATGTGAAAAAGTAACAAAAGAGTCTTTGGTCTCTCTGGTTTCCTGTCGCCCAGAGCGAAAAAGACGACTATAAAGAAACCGTCCACTGCTGATACAGGCAACCACTACCTCAACAAACTACTCAAGTTTAGATACAAGCCAGGAGTTTGGGCAGAGAAGAAAAAGTCAATGCGAGATGTAACTCAATGAAAGTGTAAGTGCAATGGCTTCACAGTCGAGAGGTTATCAATAGAGCGCTTTATAAGATACTGAAAAGGACATTATGCAACACAGAAGTTCGAAAACCTGCACCCACACTTTTACCTAGATGGGATAACAGCCTGGGATCACGTTGGATTTGATGAGGACCGTATTCGGGCAGGTCCCAGCCTGAGCATTACAGGGCACTACCAACAGTAAACAGACAAACATAACAGGTGCGAGGAGATAAAGAATGACTCGATCATGTTGGCAGCGAGAGCGGGCTTGTCCCAACGCCGACTTCTTTCTGCTTTCATTTTGTGCATTTTGTATTGGCACAAGAAATCACTGACATTTGGGAACGTTTCTCTTGATTGGCGTATATTGTTAAGATTGATTGAAACAAGTATTTTTTTGTCTTGTTGTCGGGTAGAATAATATTTTCTCATTCCAAATGACAGCTTGCTTTTCTCCTAATTTCATATGAACACAGATTTTTTTTTTTTTTAGCTATATATTGATTTTAAAATATTTTTTTAGCCCACCTATTTTCAGATTTGACACTGTTATTTACATGTAGTAATTATTTAGATATTTTGTCTTTAAACTTAATCTTCAATAAATAAATATATCGTGCTGATTTTATTTTATTTAGAAGTGAGAAGCCACATACTGTATGAAGTAGTCACTTTCTTGCATTGCGTTTCCAACCCTGGAAAAGTTTTAACAAGGATGTATTTCACAGGATTTCTTTATGGAAAAGTTTTATCCGGCTTTTCAAGTAAAATGTATGGTGTCAGACTCTGCCTTTGACATGATTCATCGGTTTATGCTCGTGCATTAACCCTTTGACTATGTATGAATGAGTTTACAATGAGTGGATTGTGGATTACAAATGAGTGACTGAATGATGACACATTAACTATTGCCCTATCATGTATAATTTCATGTTATTCAGATGTGGTTACAAGAGCTGGAACTAATGCATTGTAAAAAAATAAATAAAACAAAATAGTAAATTATGGACTTACCATTGTCTGAATATGACTCCAAAGTAAAGCCTAAATGAAAAAGACATACAGTATATAAGGGAGAAGATCCCATTTCCAAAATTGTGCACACAGGCATATGCAATGGTCTAGTAAGATTTTCCTTTCCATGTTTTTACATATGGATGGGACAAAGGGCTGAGGTGCACACTTGGAGAAGCAAGAGGTGTGAAAGTTATTACAAAGCATATAAATATTGAATGTTCTTGTGGACCCGATTCCTCATTATAGTAGATTAGTCTAGTCTAACGTGGTATGGGGTGCAACAAAAGTATTGATTGGCTGGAACTAGTTGTATTGATTTTAGCTGTTTCAAAGTTAGATACTCCAGTTTTAAGTCTTTGCTTGGAGCCATATTAGTTTACTTTTTTGTAAAAGTCAAATATTGTTTCCATAGAAAAACACCTCTACGTTCACTGTAATCTTTGACACGACAGCCAAATTCAGCCTTTAGTTTATAAGGAGATTTCGGAGCGTGTTTTTTCAGGGGAGTCCTGGCCTCAGAGAGCGGGCGCAGGCATGAGTCAGGGAGGGTGTTGTGGGGGACTATTGTACATGTTTTAAGTGGCAGAGGAAACCTTCGATTACACGGGGAGAACATGCAAACTCCACACAGATAGCCCTGGAGGTGGAATCAAACCAGGACCTTCTTGTCTAACCACTGTCGCTAACCGCACAGACAAATTTAAAACTGTGTCTTTTCACAGGGAGTGATGGGAACCAACATCACAATCAAGGTTCTGTGCGGGGTGATGGCCGACGCTTCTCTGGGGGACCCTTATTCCCGTTACGCTGCTGTGGCTCGATTCATGATGGAGACTTTCTCAATGAAGTGTCTGAACGTGAGCTACAGTGACTACGTCCAGGACATGACCAGCGCCTCCTGGAGCGGCCCGGCTGCAGGCGGAGGTCAGTGTGGAGGAGGCTTGTTCAAGGCTGCTGGTTCACTGTGGCAAGGTTTTAATGTGATATATCGCTTTTGTATTCATCTTTCTATCTGTTATTCTTTTTTGGGGTGGGTCAAATGTTTAAAAATACAAAAATCCCATATAAACATGCACCCAAAAGTCCAAGATTGAAGCTCAATGTGATATACAGTATTTATAACAAATTTGAGCCACTTAGTTCAAATCAATCTGCAACATTTGATACTTTGATTAAATAGCAGATAAATCTTTGTTGAACTTTGTTTAGTTCTATAATACTTCATTTAAGTAACAGGTAAGAATCTTAATATAATAAAATGATGCCAGTTTGTGCGCATATGATCTTTTCACAAAACACAGTCAGGATTATTTATATTTCCCTCCAGTTTGGCCATATTCCTTTCATATACAGTGCCTTGCGAAAGTATTCGGCTTGAACCTTTCAACATTTCGCCACATTTCAGGCTTCAAACATAAAGATATAAAAATTAATTTTTTTGTCAAGAATCAAAAAGTGGGACACAATCGTGAAGTGGAACAAAATGTATTGGATAATTTAAACTTTTTTAACAAATAAAAAACTGAAAAGTAGGGCGTGCAATATTATTCGGCCCCTTGCGCTAATACTTTGTAGCGCCACCTTTTGCTGCAATTACAGCTGCAAGTCGCTTGGGGTATGTCTCTATCAGTTTTGCACATTGAGAGACTGGAATTCTTTCCCATTCTTCCTTGCAAAACAGCTTGAGCTCAGTGAGGTTGGATGGAGAGCGTTTGTGATCAGCAGTCTTCAGCTCTTTCCACAGATTCTCGATTGGATTCAGGTCTGGACTTTGACTTGGCCATTCTAACACCTGGATACGTCTATTTGTGAACCATTCCATTGTAGATTTGGCTTTATGTTTTGGATCATTGTCCTGTTGGAAGACAAATCTCCGTCCCAGTCTCAGGTCTTTTGCAGACTCCAACAGGTTTTCTTCCAGAATGGTCCTGTATTTGGCTCCATCCATCTTCCCATCAATTTTAGCCATCTTCCCTGTCCCTGCTGAAGAAAAGCAGGCCTAAACCATGATGCTGCCACCACCATGTTTGACAGTGGGGATGGTGTGTTCAGGGTGATGAGCTGTGTTGCTTTTACGCCAAACATATCGTTTTGCATTGTGGCCAAAAAGTTTGATTTTGGTTTCATCTGACCAGAGCACCTTCTTCCACATGTTTGGTGTGTCTCCCAGGTGGCTTGTGGCAAACTTTAAACGAGGCTTTTTATGGATATTTTTGAGAAATGGCTTTCTTCTTGCCACTCTTCCATAAAGGCCAGATTTGTGCAGTGCACTGTTGTCCTATGGACAGACTCTCCCACCTCAGCTGTAGTTTTCTGCAGTTCATCCAGAGTGATCATGGGCCTCTTGACTGCATCTCTGATCAGTCTTCTCCTTGTTTGAGATGAAAGTTTGGAGGGACGGCCGGGTCTTGGTAGATTTGCGGTGGTCTGATACTCCTTCCATTTCAATATAATTGCTTGCACAGTGCTCCTTGATGTTTAAAGCTTGGGAAATCTTTTTGTGTCCAAATCCGGCTTTAAACTTCTCCACAACAGTATCTCGGACCTGCCTGGTGTGTTCCTTTGTCTTCATGGTTCTCTCTGCGCTTTAAACAGAACCCTGAGACTATCAAAGAGCAGGTGCATTTATACGGAGACTTGATTACACACAGGTGCATTCTATTTATCATCATCAGTCATTTAGGACAACATTGGATCATTCAAAGATCCTCACTGAACTTCTGGAGTGAGTTTGCTGCACTGAAAGTAAAGGGGCCGAATAATTTTGCACGCCCCACTTTTCAGTTTTTATTTGTTAAAAAAGTTTAAATTATCCAAGAAATTTCGTTCCACTTCACGATTGTGTCCCACTTGTTGCTGATTCATGACAAAAAATTTAATTTTTATATCTTTATGTTTGAAGCCTGAAATGTGGCAAAATACACTGTATAACATCCCTTCCTGTAAATGATGACACAACTTTTTTAAACTACAAAGAAAAATCATGTATGGTCTTTAGCCTGTCACCGTAATATGTCGCAATTAGTTTCACTGTTTACTCACTCTCTCCTATGTTTTGGAGGACTTGAAATTTCTCTGATTATTGGCATCTCAAAATAAAAGAATATAGGAAAGGAAAAACCGCATTACTAGGATACCAGGGATCTTTGTCCATGTCTCTTATATGCATTCAGTCTTTCAGGGTCAAGTTCAACTCAAGTTTAAGCAATTCCACCAGAGAAATCCACCTTTCTTTCTTTAACCAGAAGTTGTGCTCTGTGTTGTGGCCTCTCGTATATCTCCAGTTCCCAGCATCAGTGACTTTGGGGGCGAGTGTGGAGGCAGGAAGTGGCTTTTAAAAACAGTGGGACTCTTCCAAAGAATTTCAGTTTCAAGGGGAGATATATCGGGGATGTTTTGTCTATGATTCATTCCCAATCATGTAATAAGTATGTTTAAGATTTATTATTAACTTATTTTTCAGTTAAATGAGTTGTGCTGAAATTGATGAATGTTAAATGAGTGAGAGGTTGAGGAAGCAAATGAGCATTTTGATTCATCCAACCAGTTTTCAACAACTCTGTATTCCTGTTTATTTTGTTTCTAGTATTTTGTTTATTTCTTGTTTTCTTTTATGTTCTATTTTGTATGAAATGAATATGTCTTGAGGTTCAAAGAAAATGTATAGATAAACTAAATGAACAAGGATGCTGTAGCTATTTCATTTGCAACATTTATTTTAAAAAAGCTGGAAATCTGTTTTTATCACCACCACCACTACCACTACCAGCGCTTTATAGACACTCAAAGACGCTTATTGAAGTGTGATGTGTATAACTGTATATACAAAAACTACTGTACTAACACACAAACCAAAAGGGGTAAAATGCAACTTGTAAATATAGTCGCTGGAGCTATCAAAGGTTGTATTGAGAGTGAGTGATGCCTGAATACTGATGCTCCTCACGTCTGCCGATTCCTTGTTGAAGTAGTGTCCTGTACTTACGCCTGCAGGGAGACAGTGGGTCTACCAGACGTGCACCGAGTTCGGCTTCTATCAAAGCACTGATTCACCCGACCAACCGTTTGCTGGCTTTCCTCTGGAGTGAGTAGACTAAACACACTAATGTCCATTTCCACTAATTACAAACCTGCTTCGCAAAACACCTTACACTTTGTCTGCTTTCCTTCAGAAGACGGCAAAAATGTGACTTATTTTAGCTTATTTGAATTACTTAGGTTTTCCTAGTGATTATGAATAATTTAACATAAGCATTATAACATTGATTATTAATATTACAGTTGTGTATACACGCCCCTTCAACATTTATGACCGCTTGGAGTCTTTTGTAGTTGAGGTTTTTTATCCTATGATGGTAAAAAGCCTGTTTCAGATAATTCCAAGGCTGTCTTGCGTGGACTGTACATTTTGAGATCCCTTAATGATATAATTTAAATATAGAAAACTCTTTTATTTGATGATAAATCGTTTCACACTAACACCAAGTCTAATCAATCCCTAATCACCAAAATATATATAAAACAATGGCCTCTCTGTCTGGGTGTGTAAACTTTCAAGCACAACTGTATGTTTGTCTAATATGTAATTTTTAACATTGAATGAAACTGTGTGTGTGTAGGTACCAGGTGAAGCAGTGTGCAGACTTCTACAACGTCAGCGCAGAGCAGCTGGCTGAAGCCGTGGCTCAAACCAACGAATACTACGGCGGATACAAGATTCGTTCGTCCAGAATCGTCTTTCCCAACGGCTCCATCGATCCCTGGCACGCTCTGGGAATCACCCTGGATATAACGCCTGATCTCCCTGCAGTTTTCATAAAAGGTAAAACAAACAAAGCACTTGATCTACAAAATATGGACGAAAGTATGAGAGCTATGTGAGTATGTTTATCATAGATGCAGTTCTATGCACAACCTCACCCAGCTACTTTCTCTCACCCCCTCACCCACTCACCCACTCGGCCTATTGCTGTTTATGTTGATGTATACAGTATGGTGGGAGGCTGAGGAAAAGTCCATCCATCCATCCATTTTCTTCCCCTGTGCTTTACAGAGCACCAGCCGATCTGGTGATAAAAAGTCGTCAATTCAAATGCTACTTTTGGGAAGGAAGGATACCATAGATCAGACTGGACAATCACATTTTTTTAACCCATTTAGTTACGGAAATTGCCGATTTTTTTACTCCTGAATGAAGCTTTAAATACAGCGACCTGACCTCCTGCAAACGTTTTTTCTAAATGTTTCTTACATATTTTCCGTATTTTTTAAATTATTTTTGTAGTCCTCTATCTCTCTCAGTTTCAGGGATCAATCTTTTATTTGTTTCACATTAAATTTCTGAGGAACTCTGGTACCTAAAGGGTTAGCAACATATGCAAAATGTAAAACTTGACTCAGAGATTTAACTAGAAAACCATAGCCCAGATCTTGACAAGAAGTGCAGTTCTATTGCTTAAAAAGAATCCTGGAGTCACATGGTAAACCCATCACCCTCAAAATGGAATAATTCGTTTTTTGTCCCATTTCTGAGGTTCCATGAAAATGGTGTTCAAATTTTCCCGTAATTTTTTGATTCATCCTTCTAACTAAAACAAACCCTGGTGAAGACATAGCATTTCTTATTCCTTTCTTATTCAGTGACAGTTGAATTTAACGTGTATCAAAGAACTCTGTGGACTCTCTGAAGTAGCAGAAGTAGTGACACATGACTGTTTGTATGCAGCAATATGTCATAGGTGCAGTATACAAGACCAACTCTCCATTATTCCATCATTCTCATCGCCAGCACAATTTTAATAAAGCAAACTCTAAAAGTCTACTATTGTATGTGCTCCAGGTGCGTCCTATAGCTTGGTTTCATTTGGCCCACTTGTGCTCTGTAAACCGACCTCTATAACTATGTGGAAATGTGGAAGACTCATTGCTTAAGTTGATGCCAGGAAAGTGAAACAATGCTTGCCTCTGAGACTGCACTGTTCTTTGTCAACACTGAACTTTATTTGGTGGATAATTGCTCTTGTAACGTGGCATTTTATTTTTCCCTTTTTGGCTATTTATACATCACCCTCTTTCCGATTTTAGGAACAGCCCATTGTGCCAACATGTACCCAGCGCGCTCCCAGGACCTGGTCCAGCTGACGATGGCCCGTGACCACATCTTCTTACTCCTGCAGCAGTGGTTGAAGCAGTGACTGGATTCACTGCGACGTGACTGGAAAGAAAAACTTATTGTGGTCGAATCATGGACACTGGGAGGAACACGAGAGATTGTTTTATGGCTGCTTCACACAAGGCACATGTGCACTGAACATGGACTATTTCAATGAATCTGATTTTTGATGTTTGTCGAGATGAATGTTATTGTCAATTATGAATGAATAAAAGGATTTTTTTATGTTATAATGCAGATCATCATGTGTCTTAAGAGAAAAACTGTATGCTGCATTAAATCGTCTGCTGTTTAGTCACAAAGATCCAATAGTGAAAAGTACTGAAGAAAAGTTTACTTTGTATACTTTCTTTTTTGCTTTGTCATGTAAATTATGTAATAATGAAGAGCAGGTGCTGTAAATACAAAGGATTGTAGCCATGGGTTGATTTTCATTTGTTGTCCCTCTCGCAAACGCAAACCCATCGAAATTTCCCCACTGTGGGACGAATAAAGGAATTCTTATCTTATCTTATTTATTTATTTCTTTCATAAAACAATTGGCTAGAAACTCAAAAAATTAACACTTCATTTCCCCATACACAGTGGTGATAAACTTCTACTGTAGCCACAGCTGCCATGGGGCATACTGACAGAAGTAGGGAAACTAGTCTGTACCATCTGTCTCTCATTCACTAGACTCAAAGGCAATGTGAGTGAAGAGTCTTGCTTTTAGACGCAATCAGATTAGGGACACTTTATGTCTCCCATTACAGTACAAGCCAGGCCTTGACTTCGTAGCTTCGGAAGTCTGCCAGAATCAGCCTTTCACATGACCGCTCACATGAATCCATGCCACTATTAGATCCAAAAATATTTTTTGTGTGGTCAAGTTAGAAAACACAAAGCGGTAACCAGGACATGGCGCAGGTCATGGAGTAGACTGTTCCACAAACAAACTCAGTCCAATCATTTCACATTCTCTAAATCTACAATATTCAAAGAAAAACACAATGATTTAATGGAAAATCAAAATAATAACAACACTATAAAACTCTGTAGTCGTGGTTTTATTTTGAAAGTAAACCGGAAGTGCGGTGTGTCTTGTCTTCGGTAGGCGGAGTTCGCTTGAATAAAATCGCAGTGGGTCAGTGGTGTTTGCAGAAAGCGCAGGCTGCAGAGGAAACAAGGACCAATGACCCGTGGCTTTAAACACACGGACACATTTACTCGGATTACTCTCTGCATCTGACCAGACGCGACGGTGAGTGACACACAGTCCACTTTTACATGAGAAAAAGATGGAAACAAGTCCCCGGCGGCTGCAGTTTTGTGAGCAAACTATGAAGCAAACAAACTTCTGCAAACAGACCAGAGCTACAGTTTACAACACGAGATCTCAAAAGGAGCTTGGTTGTTCTGTTCATTGGAGGTAAAACATTCGATTTAATAAAGAAATACAGCCTAAACATGGCATAGATGGTGTTTAAATCTTTACAGGGTTTGCAGTGTCTTCTTCAGTTTTTAGTCATTTTAAGAATTGTTTTGTAGATTTTTCATGTTTAGGCATGCCTTTATTCTTTTTTTTTTACTTTTTAATTTGTTTGCACCGAGAGCCAAAGCAATTTCCTAGTTTGTGACCTCTTGTTACTCACATTAGCAAGGAAAATTATTTTTAAGATGACAAAAAAACTATAGATAAACAAGTATTTTCTCTATTATATGTTGGTCTATAAAATTACATGTTTATTTGTTTAATCAATCTAATGTCTTCTAACTGAAAGAGTAGGCAAAGTTTTTAAATTTATTTTAGTATTAATTTTATTTAACTTCTGCCTAGTCCTTTTTAGCACCTGAACAAACATTGACGTCTTGTTTTCATTGTATCAACTGCACGTATTTCTCTGAGCTCCAATAAACAATCTGAACCAAACTATTTTCTTTTCTAGTATATTCCAATTTGTCAAAAAGCAAGAACATTCATAATAATTCTACACAAACTGGACTGAAATAGTAGTTAAATATATACAATCTATAAATGTTAGTATATGAGTATTTCATATATATTTATCTATGGTGCTTTCTGTTAAATCATACAGTCTCTGGTTAAATCATGTGAATATGTGTGTATCAGGACGTGACAACATTACTTCAGTAAACAATTGTAATTCTAGGGCATTTTACGATCTATAATTGAAGTTTCTTTCAATTTGATGCATGAGTGTACAATATTTTATTATTATATTATTCTGACGATGATCTTTGTATTGTTGTAGTGTGTGACAACTGTGAGGGATTTTGAGTCATCCACAAGGCTCTGAAAGTAGACAATAGTGAATCACTTTAAATGGCAGAGCTTGAGGCGCCTTATCATGAACCTTGGCGTTTCAGTAATCTGAGACGAATCGCACACCAGGTGTTTTGACTGCGAGGTTTTATTGTCAAACTCTCCTAACAACATACTGAAATGAAAAACACGTATTGTGCTATTGTCAAGTGTTGTTTACATTTGATCATATGAAGTCATCTGCTCACTGTGTTACTTTTCATTAGGTTATTTGTCTCTGGATTAATCTTTAACCCATTCTCTTTGTCTGCAGGCTGAAATGAAGCGTGTGTGTCTATTTTGGCTCTGCTCGGCATTGGCCTCATGTGTCCTCCACTCGGTCCTGGCCCAAGCCTTGACCTACGGAGAGCGCGGCTCAGATTTGGGGATCCAGGTCTTCCAGAAAGTGGCTCTCACCAAGCCCCAGGACAATGTGGTGCTGTCTCCCCATGGCGTGGCCTCCATCCTGGGCATGCTGCTAAGCGGAGCTCATGGGGACACGCGCAAACAGATCATTACTGCGCTGCGCTATAAGAAAAATGGTAAGTGCTGCGTTGGATTCTTTACAGGGCTCTAGACATGGGTGTAGGTTTGAAGTCCATCTGCTGAAAAGACAAAGCAGGAACTTACAAACCATACAATACATCTGTGTGAACAACGGAACGATCAAGTTTGGTAGATCGTCATCCTTATCAAACTTTTTTATTACAGACTCATGGTCCAGGATAAGACATCATATAAAAACACAAAACAACACATATACTGTATATACAGCAATATCATAATCATAATTATTAAGGAATAAAATCAAAAGGCATCAGTCATGTCACGTGGCAGTAACTGTGAGGGACTGCAGAGGAGGCAAACTCGCTAATTTTGATGAAAAACTATAGTTAGAAAGATTAGTTTTCACTTTGCAGCTTTATTTCTTTCTCCTATTTACAGTGTGAATTATAATGATAAAAATAATGATAATGATTATTGTGTTCAATGTAACCTGAAGCCTTCATTTGAAATTACTCAATAATAAAAAAATAAATGGTCTATTCACCTTCTGTTCAAAACTAGAGGACAGTGAGTGTATTTGGGCCCAGAATTTGAAATAAATGCAGAAAAGGATTGGGGATAGGAGTAGGTAAAAACTACTGCACAATTATCTGCAGAACGTTTATGTTCAGGACATGCATGATTACCCAAACATGAATGAATCAGTCAAAAAGCTAATTTCAGTAAACGCATGACAATGAGCGTACGACTATCTACAGCTGTTAACTTACCACTGGACGCATCAGACCACGACATGTGCACTTCATCTCAATTCTTCACATGTTCAGTATAGAGACCTGTGAGTCACTATTTGACACTTACGGTTGAGATCTGAGTGAGGGTGCTTCTTTTTCACCGTACTGTTCAAAAAATCTGATGTAAAGATGTAACTGAGAGGCCATAAATACGGTTTTGAGGCAGAGGAACGAGCTGGAAAGCCTGTACCTTAACCTTTCCTTTTTCTCTTCTAAATTTAGCAGAAAGTAATTGAGTGGATATAATACTAGGAGTATGGAAACCAGGCCACTAGAGATGTTTTTGATTCTTTTCAAGTTTTGGTGGTTTAGGAGTTCATTACCTCAGCTTTAATGCATAAACTTGGCTTTTCTTGAATAGACATTTCATTGGTGTGAATAATATATTTATTGTTTTTTTCTATTTCAGGCCCTTATAAAATGTTAAGAAAGCTCCACAAAACCCTGACAGCGAAGTCGAACCTGGATGCGGTGGTTATCGCCAACGGCATGTTCTCGCAGCAGGGCTTTCCGCTGGAGGAGGAGTTTGTGGAGACGAACAGACTGAACTTCCAGAGTCTGAGCCAGAGCCTGGACTTCAGTGATCCCCAGAGCGCTGCGGCCCACATCAACCAATGGGTCCACAACAACACGCACGGTAAAGGCTGGAATCTACTGTCTATGTATCATTCTGTTTCTAAACAAAAACTTACTCGGAGACCAGAATGGACACACATCAGACAACGTACAATTTCACTATGAATAGAATTGGTTGCGTCATGTGACATCACAACATTTTGAAAGAGTCTGAAAGGGCCACATCTCACTGTCGGACCTTCTTAGTCAGTGTGACGACTATAATTAATGTTCTCACAGAGTTGTCTCGACGTGGTGACAATGTTCAAAAACATGTTTGATGTTGGTCAGTAGAATGTACTTTTAAAAGTAAGAATAAGAATAACATGGTGGTTTTGTGAATCTTATCGCCATCAAAGAATGATCCGGGAAAAATGGCTTCTTTCACCTCAGAGTTTTACTGACACCTTTCCACCAAATTACACTGAATTGGCACCTACCTCTATTCTGTACATGATTAATTGAATTTTTTTTCAGTTATTTTAATAAATATTCTCAATCCGAGCAATTCATAGGCTGAAAGCAGGTTTTCACTGTCTCCAGCTTTGCAGAGATTGGAGACATTATTGCAAAAAGTGAATTGTACTAATTATCAAATTATTGTTACTGGATTGAACTCAACATCTTAATCAGTAAAAGCATGTAGTCAGAAGCAACGGTTGGACATTTGGAGGATTCTTCCTGGCCATTTGGATGTGCTGAATTCAACTGACTGCAAGATTAAAGAAAGAAGAGGGCCAATATTTTGAAAAACAATTACGTAATTTGCGTCCTGTAGTAACACATCAAACCCAACTGCAATATACTAAACAAGCCTGAGAGTGGCGCTGTGAGACAGGAAAATACCAAACAATACTGTTGTTGCAGGGTCGGCACTAGATCATATACGGAATCGGGACAAAACCGGAAGTAACGATCCTACTTTCAAATTAATTTTAGACTAATTCGTCCTTAAGTGGTGACTGGTTAAGTTTTAGGTGTTTAAGTAAGATGGTTAAGGTTAGGGTTAAGGCTGGGTTGGGGTTATTTTATGGGACTGGCTGGTTAAGTTTAGGTATGAATAGGTAGTTTGTTATTTTTACTTCCGCTTCCGTCCCGATTCCGTATATGATCTAGTGCTGACCGTTGTTGCAGCTACACCTGAATTCTTATTGTAATTTACCAAAAAAATTATATATTATATATATATAAAAATGTGATCAAGGATACAAGAAATAACATTGTTTTGAATATTGCCCTCCTGCACCTGAGATTTCTTCATACGATCAAACTGAACAGATTTAAATTAATTATTTTTTTTGTATAGCCCTGTTTTCAGAATTATGTATTTATTTGTTTTGTTTGTCTGGATGGATGTTTCTGCCGCTGGACCCCTGAATTTCTCATAAGGGGATCAGTAAAGTGTCTTTGTGTGTGTGTCTGTAGTTATCTCAGACTTTACTATATTTTCCATTGGCCAACACAGATCAGAAAATCAAACTCGCTAATTATTGAATGTCCTGGATCATGACCACTGAAACTCCTGCATCGACAAGGAAAACTCTAAAAAACCCAGTGTGAGAAAATGAGAAACCTCAGGGAACCTATTCTTCCAGCACTTCCTGAACAATAACAATAGTCTCCTCATCTTTAATGTCTCACAGGCCACATCCCGAGCCTGATCAAAGCCGACATGCTGGACGCCGCTCTGACGCGACTCGTTGTGGTCAACTCCATCTACTTTAAAGGCCTGTGGAAAACGCGCTTCCAGCCCGAAAACACCAAAATGAGGCCTTTCAACGCAGGGAACGGCAACGTCTACAAAGTGCCCATGATGTCCCAGCTCTCCGTCTTCAACATGGGTAAAGAACCGGCGGAATTTAACTTTTGTGCATCAAACCAACTCCATGCTCTAAGGAAAACTGCTAATGCCATTTTGAAGGTTGAGCTGAAAATTGAATTGATCTTGTTCACAGAGACGGGTTGTGGTTATTTTTGTTCATTCAGAAGTATTAGAAAATAAAATCAAAGTTGACCATTGCTGGAAAAACAGATTTAAAGTTTGGTTTTGTTGGATTAAAGTCACTAAATACGTTCTCTGACCCAATCACGTGTACATTTGTCGCTTTATTCTGACAAAGATTAAGATCTCCTTCATTCGTCACATAGTGGGGAAATGTCAGTGTTGCATCGCAGGATACAGAACAGTAGGAATGAGGAGCACACAACACGACACGAGTGAATATTAAGTATTGCAAAACTAAATAATAATAAAATCTCTATCTGTAGCTTACAGGGGGCACAGAAGCATCTTATAAAATATTGTATACTCTAGTAAGAAATGTACACAAAATTACATCCTATGTTGCTATGATTTTATATTTATTGTATTTTGCTAATTTTGTGTGTCATTTTCAAGCACAACAATAGAACCCATGTTGTGGAGACGACACACTACAGCGGTGAACACAGCCGATGTTGTTTGCAGTCATTTCTATTTAGTGTGCGGTTTTTGGAATGAACTCTGAAACTGCACCACCAGTTAATTATAGTTAGTTATAATTAGAAAACTGTTAGATTTTTATTATCAAAGAGGAAATGTGTGTGTTATTTATTCCCTTTTATAAGTTTTGTTTGGACCATTTTACCAAGATCTGAGTCATCTCTCCACAAACCTGCTTTCTTCTATAGTTTACAAATGTATTGAGGATATCTGTTCCACCAAATCATACACGTCCCATCTGAGCCTACCTGCTTGTCCCTGTGCATTTTAGTTGAAAGTGCTAGTGTTGTCAGTCATTTAAAGCTGGGGTACCTAACTTTCAGACCGCTATGACGAATACCGTAACTATAAATCCATCTGACTAGTCCTCGCTCTCAAAACCGTTTTTTTTCTCCATTGCTAGTGTCCTCTGTCACATCTTTAGATCAGCTTTATCAGACAGAAAAGTGAAAAAAGAGAGGACCAATCAGAACTCATCCCAAAGAATCAAATAGTGACTCACGGGGCTCTTTCTTTCAAGTATGCAAAAAGCAACGTTTTCTTATGAGGTGCAGACAGCCATTTTGGTCTAATTTGTTCACACGCTTTTTGCGAGACTCAACCGCGACGTAATATCCATGGAGAAAAGTCAAGTACCTCAGCTTTAATAAGTCTGTTTTCCGGTTAGAAGAACACGTTTATTATGAGACAGTATTGATGTTTTTACTCTCCGTGCAGCCGCCGACAGCACGCCTCAGGGGCTGAAGTACAAGGTGATCGAGTTGCCGTATCACGGATCCTCGGTGAGCATGCTGGTCGTGCTGCCCAGCGAGGAGGACACGGCGCTCTCCCAGATCCTGCCCCACATCAACACCGCCACCGTCCACGGCTGGGGCAAACTCATGCACGCCAGGAAGTTCCGTCTCCTCATCCCCAGGTAAGAAACGCAAGCTGGAAACGACGTGGGCTGCATCTGAATTGGACGGCACGGTGGCGCAGTGGTTGCGTTTGTGCATCACAGCAATGCCTGGGTTTGATTCCACTTCCAGGCATTTCTGTGTGGAGTTTGCAAGTTCTCTCCGTGTCTGCGTAGGTTTTCTCCAGGTGCTCCGGATTCCCCAACTACTAAAAATATGTACAATTGGTCTGGCATGTGTCTCTTGTATGGTGACCTCGCTCCCATCTCTGTGTGGAGCGAGAGGATGAATGCCCACAACAATTGGAAAGCGTTTTCTGACTGGGCTGTGAACGGTGCTATGTAAATAAAGGTTACTTACTTACTTACTTACTTGCTTCATTACATTCACTGAATTCATTATAGATCAAGATTTTTAGAGGTAGTAGAGCTGTAACAAGTTAATTGATTGATCGCAACTCCATGATTACTGAAACGGTCCACTGATATTTAGTGAATCCCAAAACTTGACCCAAAAAGGCTCTTCACATCCCCATCATAATGACTGAAGAAGAACATGATTTTTTTCTTTAACCAGGAAAGTCCCATTGAGATTAAGAACCTTTTTTTTCAAAGGATTCCTGGATTGTAAGTCATCTTTGATTACAGCTTTAAAGTAGATTCTAACTATAGCATAATGAAAGCGGTCAGAGCTTGTGATTCACTGCAAGAAGGTCCTGGGTAAATAAATGTAAGTGAATGTATTTGAAACCAGGCAACAAGAAAAGCAAAAGATAATGGGTGGATGGCGTTGCAAGAGTAGAGTTCCAGAGTCTGTACATGTTCTCGATTGGGCTTTTTTTATCCTATTTTCTCTTCTGCAATCTGCTGTCGAGTGAGTATTTTTAATTTTTTTGTCACCTTCCGCCACAGAAACCAAATCTCTGTCGTGCTTCTCGCCGAGTTCGACCATGACTAGTTACTGCTGCAAGGATTATAGACGTTCTCAAGGGAACACTGAAGGCCCACTCTTGAGGTTTTGTGTGAAAATGGGGATTATGATGGTGATATTGATGTTTTGCAGGTTCACCGCTGATGCCGAAGTGGATCTGGAATCTTCTCTCATAGCTCTCGGAGTCAGAGACATGTTTAGTCAGGAAAAAGCTGACTTCAGACACATAAGTAAGACAAAAGGATACCTGGAAAATATGTACTACTATGTGAAGTCTGTTTAAAGCTGAGGTACCTAACTTTCAAAATGCACAAAAAAGGGTAATCTATATATCCTTCTAACTACTTTATTTTCATCAAAACAGTTCTAGATTTGCTTTTTCAGACCAGAAAAGTGCAGAATGTTGTGGTGTAAATTGTTTACAACATAATAATTTCAAGAATTTAAGATTCTTTAATGTTGTATTTGCTGGGAGATAAGTTGGGCACTTTTAATATCTATACTTATTCAATAGTGCTATGGCGCCATCATGTGGTGGAATTTCATTTAACATATTTAGAAATTCAAAATACTTAATTCAGTTACTCAGCCCAACGATGGATCGTCTTTTTTATATATACTATGTTCAATATTATTCTTGTAGCGCTTATAAATGTAAATATTGTTGATGGCTTGTTCTCCGCAGGTCCTGAAGCGGTGTATGTGTCTAAAGCGCTGCAGAAAGCCAAAGTTATTGTGAATGAAGACGGGACAAAAGCATCGTCAGCTACAAGTGAGTGTGTCCTGCTGATCTGAAATAAAATACGTATAGTTTAAATGATTATCAGCTACAATCTGAAGTGTTTGCTTTTGTGTGATCGTAGCGGCCATACTGCTGGCTCGCTCCTCTCCTCCCTGGGTCACCGTGGACAGACCTTTTCTCTTCCTCATTCGTCACAACCCCACAGGTAATTTTCCAATGTGTTTTAAATAAAATCATACTGCTTAAACAAATAGTTTGAATAAGTGTGTCTGTAAATGCATCAAGCCTCTGTCAAAGTTGATAAAGTTTGTTAAATTTGACCATACTTTTCATTTGTAGGTACAATCCTCTTCATGGGTCAGATCAACCAGCCTTGAGTTCCCTTTTAAACTTTGCTTTCCACACTGCAAGATTTTTTTTATATTTGTTATTTTAAGTTGTATTTTGAGTAAGAAGCCTTTTTGCCAACTAAATGGCCCAGTCTTATTTTTGTAACGAATGTGTATTTCGATAGCTGCAGAAGGATTATCAGTTTATTTATAATTGAGTTTGAGACAAGAGCAAAAAATGTCTTTCTTTATTAAAGCCTTTTTTTCAGTTATAACTTTTTCTAATAAATAGACATTTGTAACTAAACCATTTGAATGAATGTACAAAAAGCCCACTGTTATCAATTGTTTGGTGTTTCCGATAGAGAAATAAAGCAGACACCAGATTTTAAAATGTCCAAGTAGGTATTTAAGTGCATCTTCAATATTGTCTTATTCAACAAAATTACAATGTTCCATGTTAGATCTAAGTTGCCTATTTAACTCCGTCAAAAAACAAATAGGTGCAACTTAAGATTCAAACGTTATTTCTGCATTTCAGCTTAACCAGTATATGACAGACCTATTGTGACATGCCCAGCTTTTTTAGTCTTTATTGTGGCTGTTATCAAAATATACACATTGTGATGTTTTAATTTGGGTTTTTACAAGCTTATTGTAATTATCCACATATACAGTATTGATAATGATCTCTTTGCATGTAATGAGTGAATGAACATTATTTAAATGTCGTTCCAGCTGTAGTATACATTACTCGCCCTAGAGCTCTCAACCTTCAGAACGTCGCTCTGTTCTTGACAAATAGTTCAGTAGGAATTAACAGTATACTGGGCGTTATTACAAACTAAGAAAATATTCCAGTACATAAGTTAAACTATGAACTTGACGTAAACATTAATTGCAATTTCAACCCGAAGAAGAGAGGAAGGACAGGAAGCTCAGGTAATTTTAATCTAATAATTTACATCTTACAAAATGAACTTAACAGGCAGAATGTGCGGCTCACAGGCCACGGCTGATACCATGCACATGGCATTGACTTCATGCTGAGACCGATTACACGGTGATGTCTGATTGTAAAATGCAGAACACATGACGTGGTTGTATTTTGGGTTTGTCCTGGTCAGGTCATTTTGGTCAAGTTTTAGCCCAGGGAGATCTTTGCCAAACCCTTCTACATTCAAACACATGATCAGATGCATTTTAATGAATATTGTAAAATGGTGAGGTTCTGGTCAGGTGTGTGTGTGTATCAGTCAGTGTATGCATTTTGTCTGTTCAATAATAAAAACAAACTAACACGTTCAAGAAGGAAGAGTGCTTCAGTGGGTCAATGTGTCAGGAACAGTAGTGGGAAAAACATCCAAGGATCTTGACTGTAATCAAAAATCCTTTCATAGAAAATACGGACTAGTCACGTCGGGCATAACGAGTAGGCAAGTCTGTTTATTAAAGGAGTTTTATTTACTTTCAGTAGTAAATACCTGGTGTTTTTATTTTTTTTCACAAATATACATAGCCATGTCCTCAGCTCAGTACTTTCACTCATGTCTCGAGGTGTCACCAAAAATCTTCAATCTCATAATTAGCAAAGCTTAAAGTTGAGACTCCTGAAGCTGAACAAGGGATGAGACAGAACTATGATAAAATCCAGTGAATAGTCGCCCGCAAGACTTTATTGCTTTCGTGAAAACATGCCATTTCTTAAAGTCTTACATGTATTTTGTTCTTGTCTCATATCGAGACCTTTACATAATTACAAAGAACTTTACAGGTTACTCCAGCCTCACAATTATCATAGTGCAAAAAGCATTTTCAGCATTCGTCAATGTTACGTTTTAAATAATCACTTCTACTTCTTAAACCGTTGGAAATGTTAATCATAATTTACATTGACTTGAACAATTGTTTTCATGCAGTGGATTTTTACAGAATATTAGAAAAGCTGACCGTGGTTAAAAGAACATTAAGTCAGCGGTCACTTAAATAGTTTATATGTTCATTCATCCCGTGCAGAAGACCACATTATTACATTATCTATAATAGACACTGGTGGCAATACGTTTTCAAAGTGTTTCCAGAGATTTGCAGGGTAAGCAGATCACTTTTTTTGTCAGTGAGCGGAGAAGGACTGTTGAAAACCAGTTGAATAGAAAACCCTGCAGCTCTGCAAAAATCACAGACGGAGATCAGATACAGAACATTCCAGGTCTGAAATGAAAATGTTACACACAGGAACTACAAGGAGAATCAGGAAACTGGGTTATGAGGCAGAATTTTAGATGAAAATGTCGCCCAGTGTCAATGCAGCCCAATGATTATGTACATCAGCAAATAGAAAATACAATGAGTTCCACACAACGAAATGGCATGAAAAATATCAAACGGCTGAAATACTATTATTTGTGGCTCTTTCAAACCTCAAATGTTTTCATTCATTTTCATTTAACAAACGACCATATATTAAAAGCATCATAATTACAAGTCCGTTTGATCCTGGGGTTTTACTGATCGCTCCACTTGTTGGAGAAGTTCTTGTTGGGGGTGCGGCGAGCGGCCCGAGGCCCAGTCCTGGCTCCTGGCTGGGGGAGGCCCACTCCCTCCTGGGCCTGATGGATCCTTAAGGCCTCGCGCAGGTTTTGGATCCGCACCTCTTTGCTCTGGATCTCCTCCACAACGCGACTCGGGAACCAGCCCCTCTCGCTGTCGTGAAGCCGCTCGCCCATCATCCAGCCTGCCAGACAAAACTCAGGGATCAGTGTGGACACAGCAGGAGCACATTCAACTGGGACCATTGTGGATTTACTGCTGTTGCCCTCAAACGGTTTGATTAAGATTAAGAGATCGTTTATTCGTCCAATAGTGGGGAAATTTCAGTTTTGCCACCAGTTACATAACAGTAGGAATGAGGAGCACACAACACAAAATAAATGAGCAATAACTGTATAACAATAAATATCTAACATAAAAAAAGTTATCTGTCTTGGTGTCTCAGTCAAAAGGTGCATTTGTTTAATAATCAACAAATCATTTTAATTCAGATATAGATTGATGTGATAACAGCAGAAAGGAGAAGATTTATGGACAATTGGCAAGAGATTAGAGAGTGGATTAAGATTTTATTAACTGCTTTTGCTGCACCCCTGGCCTTCAGACGACAAAGGCCTGAAGGTCAAGTAAGTAGTAAGTAAGTAGTAAGTATTTATTTATATACCGCCTTTTCACTGCAGAACTGAGTCTCAAAGCGGTTTACAATTGTTAATTTTTGGGCATTTGTCTCTCACTCCACACAGAGATGGGAGCGGGGTCGCCAGTACAGGAGGCACATGCCAGAACTATTGGACATATTTTTAGTGGTAGGGGAAACCGGAGTACCCGGAGGAAACCTACGCAGACACGGGGAGAACATGCAAACTCCACTCAGAAAGGCCCTGGTCCGACCGGGATTCGAACCCAGGACCTTCTTGCTGAGAGGCGAGAGTGCTATCCACTCAGCCACCGTGCCGTCAAGGTACCAATAGCATCACTACAGTAGTCCCAAAAGTGCTTTTCATACGTCAGACAAATCTCACCATCGTCCGTCCGCTCCAGCAGATTCAACACGTCGGCCATTTCTATGGACAGTTCGTCTGGCTCTTGGGAGGAGTACGACTGGATGCACTGGACCTGAGGGGAGTCTGCAACAGCAAACCGCATGGCACCATTCACGTTATACATTCATGAATTTAGCATTTAAGTTACTCTCATTAGCATAAGTATCAAACCTGATTGTTGAGCATTTGTCGACATAAAACGCGTGCGGCGACTAGGGGTCAGAGTGCACGTCCATCGCAGTTTGTCGCTCCTACACACAGACGGGGACAGAGAGTCGTTGGCAAGAGCAGTATGGCATCAACTCAAGTATCCACATCAATATCAGAAACATAGGCTTTTCGTTTCATGTGAATTCTCATTACAAAATGCAAATGTTAGTGCGTCAAGTTTCTCAAAATGTCTCTAAATTAATGTGTTATTATAAAAATTAGATTAATATCTTTAAACAGAGTGGTGTTTATTCTCATACATTTGGAGCAGCCACCATCTGTTGAGGTCATATAATCTGTGATACATAGTGAAGCTGCTGTCATGTCTGCACTTTGTTGTGGGGATGTATACTCACATACTGGTGGTCTTGATCATGTAGTTTGCCGTCCGCTCCTCTTGGTTTTCCAGCAGTTTGAGGTTGAAGACGTTTGCCAAGAGCTGGCCCTGGTCTTCGAGGTCTTCGGTCCTCAACATGGCTCTGGTGCAGGAGTCAAGCACCTGGAACTTGTCTCCACTGAAAACAGAGAAATGTTTTCACTGAAACAAATAATAGATTACAGCTCAGAGGGAGTGGGAAATGTGTATGTGGTCTATGATGGAGTGAATAATCCATTTAACAAGTAGTTCTCAAACTTTTAACCACGCAGTATCATGCACATTGATTTTCTATAATTTCTATACTTCAAGGATATCATATCTATCCCCTAAATGGAAATTTGCCCTCTGGCTTAATAACTTAAAACCACTGTCTTAAATAATGATAAAGTCAAAGGAGGACCAATCACATATAAAAGTATAGTTAGTATAGTTGTACCTGGTATTTTTATTTTGAGGATTTCCGTTCCATCATATGCATATCTGTGTCATAGTAAGGACAGATACTGTTTGTAACTAATGTTTTAATGGCATGATGATTCTCCCCTGAACTCATAATATAGACTCTCCATTTCCCCCAGAGCGGTGTGTAGGTGCAGCTCTCTTACCTGGAGCTGCGTTTGGTGATGAGCAGCAGGTTGTTGAAGAGGAAGAGGTAAACCGGCTGGTAGAGTTTCTTGCCCTTTGTGGTTCTGGTGCTTTTAGGGCCCGACATGAGCTGCACCTCTCCTTTCTTCAGGAGCCAGCGTGAGTGAGAGATGATGGGAATGGACTGGGGAAGAACTAACAGCCATTAGAAATATCAACACAGGTTTTAGTTTTGATACACAACAATAACATATTAAAAGTGTGGCTGAAGGCAAAAAGTTTCCTTTAAAAGAAATGCTTTCACTTACTATAGCTAATCTAAAAATCTAAAACACTTACACGTGTGAAGGATCAGTTTACAGAAGTGTACCTAAACAAATACGAATGATCAGATCTTATAACTGGGTTATCTGGTTTCTCTAGTCATGAGTTTTTTACAAAGCTTTTACAATGGTAACATAATCTTACATACAAAATGTTCAAAATACATGGCACTGCAAAAACATTTAAAACCAAAAATTGAATCATAGGCAAGAAGCGTTGAAATATGAACCAATGTTTAAGTTAGAAATGTAAATAATGAGAAATTGTGGTAAAAAGTGGTAATTGTTAATGGTAATTTGGTAAATTGGTCATTTCCAAACAGAGTGAACCACAACAGCCTAAATAAATCCTGTACCTTTGATTTAAACTCCAGTGTTTTCTCGATGCTGATGAGCTCTTCAGTGCGGCCCATTTTGCGCACGCCTTCATTGCACTCTTTCACAATCTGAAACACATTATTATAGTCAAATATTAGCATAAATAGACACTCGCTGTAATTTACAGTTAAAAGGTTGACTTTCACCTGCTCCAGCCGCTGATGTGCCTTGATAGCGTTGGCCTCTCGCTCGGAGCCTTCCTCCACCTTTTTGAGGATATTCTGTGGGAACAAACATGAGTCAGCGTCACAGTGTGTGGTTCAATGTCCGCCTTAAAGGCTCTGCAAAAGAGATGAGTTTTTAAGCCCAAAAGCAGAGAAAGGACAGGGTATAATAGAAAAGCATACTGGCCACTTGCTGGACTCCAAAATTAAATATTTGAAGGAAAAATTACCTAAACAAGCTTGAGAGAACTGGTTCAATGCATTATAGTTTTATGCGCTGAACCAAAGTAGTGTTGGACTGTAGTCTACAGTATGTATGAATATCAATTAGAACATACATATTTTTAAAGTGCACTATGAAGTGAGAACAATTGATTATTAAATAAAAAAACCCTTGATTACAATTTAATTCATAAAAAAAATCATAATACATCAAAGGTGAGTTCAGACCTGTACGAGGAGCTTGAGTCTGGTGATCCTCTGAAAAGGAAGAATCAAAAATGAAGTGAAGGAGAGGCCTCGCACTCTGGGATGTTTCTCCAAACTCTCCATAACTTCTCGAAACGCCTGGTTGCCCTCTCTGCAGAAGAGCACACAGACAGATTAAATGGACGAATTACTGAGAAATAAATGGTTATCACAAATATCAAAAGAAGAAAGGATTAAAACCATGTAAACATTCATTGCAGCACTGTCCTCAGTGTGAATGTATTCAGACGTAGAGAATCGTAAAAGCAGAATGATTGATCACTCTTTAAGCACAGGTGCTAATCGCAGTCGAATGACAGACAGTGTCTACAGATGTCATGTCACTACAACAGCCATTGTATTCGTATCAAGTGAATATAAATATTTCTCTTATCATCATTGATGCAAATAAACCAGTTTATGATGTTGACAGCAGGAAAATAGAGCCAAGAGAAAGACACTGCAGCTGATTCAAGGCAGGGTGGAGTACTGTACGAACCAAGGACAAGTATGAACTGAATATAAAAAAACTCATTGTATCTGGATTTCCAGATTGGGGAGATTTATGTTATTGCCCTCTGCTGTTTATTCTACTGTTTGTCGCATGGCGCCGTAAAGATGGCGCCGTGGCAAGAGCTCTGGTGTGTGTCGTCTTCTCTGTCTGGTGCACACCGGGGTAGTCTTGCACAGTTTTTCCAATGTGGTTTTACTGCAAATGGCAAATAAATGAAACGTAATCTTTTAAGGTTTGTCCAGATACTTATTTCATATTTAGAATAACTAACATAAAGCACTTTGGACCTTTGTTTTAGTCACGTATAGTCTTCTGTCCCAGGAGCTTGGAAAACCAGTTTAACGCTGCTCTTGAAGACAAATTACTTTTTCAAATGTCAAAGTGACATTTTCGATCCCTTCATACGTGCAGAGCAGAGGGTGGAGAGAAGTCTTGAAAGTCTTGTATTGGGGCCAGGTGGTATGGACAAAAGCGTAACATTTTAAGTAAAATTAATTTAATTTGAAGTCACCAAACCCCACTCAAGGTTTGACCTATTTATATTTCAACCTCAAATCGATCATGAAAGTACAGACACTGACACCTGGTCTGGAGACTCTGTTCTTTGCGGACTACTGTTGTTAGACTCTACTAAAGTACAAAAGCCCTGAGAACACATTATCCTCATCTCCTTCATCACGATTTTGACATTTCACAGGATCAAGAGTCGAGTAGGCCGAGCCTTACTTGATGTAAAAACAAAAATAATAATTTCAGCAAAACCTATGAATCACTTGCATTGGTTTCTATTGACACAAATGTAAAAAAAAAAAAAACGTAGTTTCATGACAAACTGTATAAATATAATTTGTCGAACAGCGGTCGCCACCAGGACAGCTGAGGAATGCACCTTTAAAGTCTGACTTGATGTTGAAACGTCTCTTCAGCTTAACCTATAGTATCTCCGAGCTATTATATTTGCTGTTGCTTTGTTGTTGGAGGAATTATTGTGAGCACAGTCATAATCCAAAAACAACCGTGTGAACATAGCTTTGTCAAAACAGGACCAGCTATAAAACACGAGGAGGTAAACTATATTACTTTGGTTACCCATAACCTTGATCCATTTGAAAACATGATCATTACGTTTAATAGTTGCATCTTATTAGTTATTTCTTATAAAATAAACAGCACTCATTTCTATTAAAACTGCCAGAATTATCGAATGTGATTTTGGTGATCGAGTTTTTCAATAGAACACCTACAGTTATTTTATGGGGTATCAATAGATTGTCTACAGATCATTTTGATTAATTTTGTAAAAAATCTGTTGACTGTTTACCGTCTCTAAACTGTTACAGATGTGTAACTTCAAGTCAGTCATTATATATGCCAGATAGAATACAATTCCTAAACTGGATCACACTATGTGCATGAGCTCAGATGGTGAAGTTACAGCTGAATATTGATCAATCCCAATCCCATGTTAATTTGATAATTTGGTTAAAATGTGTGTTGCTAAATATATACAGGTTGCTAATGGAGTAAAGTACACCATCATTACAACAGAAAGTTTTTTGCACATGACTTGAATCCCAATACTTGTACAATATACACATAAGAATGAAGCCTAGTTGTATAATAAACCCAGCAGTCTGTGCAGTTAGTGAACGCAAGAAAGAATGTGAAACCGGAGCAGCTAATCGTCTTTTCTTTACAATTCTCACAAAGTAATCCTTCTCAGAATGAACTGTTCTCAAAGTCTTTTCATCAACAGGCCACAGTGCTTTGCTCTAAACGTGGCAATGAAACTAACACAATTTGAGCTAATCATTTGATCACTGCCGCTCCAGAAAATGTTTTTCGTTTCTGTGATATTTGTTAAGCTAATATCTTGAATGGATCTGGCAACAAGGCCGGCTACAGATGTAAAGAAGCGCTAAACGGACAGTGCCCACGCAATCAGAAAGGGCAGCACTTATTTAGCAAGTCTGCTTCATAGGACAAAGGTTTTAGACTTTTTACTGCTGATTTAAAGCCAAAGCAAGTTAACAAGGTGAATACATCTCAACCAGAAGTTGTCATTCATTATGAACCTAAGCAGTATGACAATCTGGAGTTTGATTCCATCCCCGGACAGGGCCCGTTTCTGTGTGGGATTTGCATGTTCTCTGCGCGAGTTCACCAGACCATCCATACCTCTAAAAAAAAGTACAATAGTTCAGGACAAATGAGTGTGGGTTTGTGAGTGAGACTTTGGGACAAGGAATGGAAACTAATATGCATTTTCCCAGCCAAATGAACAAAACACCAATAAACAGAAACCTAATAGATTGGATATATGCGTGTGCTACAAATCTACAAGTGCATTAAGGAGGACTTCCATTTAGCGGTGGACCCGGAGTCAAAAATAAACGTATCAATATACTCCTAGATCTTCACGATTTCTTGCGTTTGTCTGTTTAGTGCAAGTGTAAATGCCATTTGGGTGTGAATCGCACAAATGAATAACTTTACAGTAGAAAGATTCAAACTATAGCAGCTTTATCTGTACCCCCGGGAAACATACTTAAAAATAGGGTAAAAAAGCCAATTAAAAAGTCTAATTTGATTGATTTAAACGTCTGTTACATGAATTCAAAACTTGTTCCTATGAAATGTTCTTCTGAATTGAAAGCTCCAGTTTCCCTCCGACCTGTCAGACAGTTTATCCCTCAGTGAAAAGAAGTTATATGAATCTGAAAAGTGCCAACACAATAATGGGGCGTGGTTCAAAACACTAAAGACCAAGTTTAACAGGCTCCAGGCAGAAACGTCTATTGTTTAGCTGTCAATATAAACTCACACAGACACCATTAGGCTGCACAGGTCGTCCTTCTCCTGAACTCCCAGTGCAGAACAGTATAATTTCAGAAGATAATAAAATAAATAGATTTAAACCATTTATACTCTCAAAATTATAATATTCAAGACTATATAAACTTAACTTGAGAGTCCTAAATCACATCCATACATTAAAAGTACAGTAAAGCAAATCATATACAAGTGATGCCACAAGGGCAAGTTATAGTTTTAGTTTTTTATGGAACAATGAAAACAGTTGTAATTGATTAAATGCTTGATATAGTTTAACCCTATAGTTCTCAGAAAGGTGACGGAGTAAATTCAAAGGTGAAATTTGCAACTTTCCATAGTGGGGGTCCATTTGAATGTTTTGGGTCTAAAAACGGATCACTATCAAAGCAGATGGTCCTCAATAAGTTAACGAATGGCGTTAAGAATATGGTGAACCACTTCAATATGAAATTCAAAAAAGTATCTTAAAGGTAATCTGCTAATCTTATCCACTTATCCAGGAACAAAATGGGTTAAACCAAATCTCACGGTCTAAGAATGGACAATGGATTATATTGTGCCTGAAAAAACCATTTACTTGGAGTAATAAAGAATACAGATTATAGTTAGAGAAAAAAAATATCCATTTAATCTCTAGGTCCATCACCCATCCCCGTCCATCACACATAAAATTGAATGGTTTAACAGGCCATGAAAACATTACAGTTCAGACAATTCTCGGCTTAAATCTGATTTCTGATGTAATCGCTGTAGTCCTAGTGTAAACAGTGATATTCCAAATGGCCGCTGCTGTGTGTGGTCTGGTGCATTTCAGGCATGTGTTCACTCTTTATTTAACACTTTGACAGAGATACCAAAACCAACACCGAGCAAATATGAAGACAAATAATACACCTCAGAACTCCGTCTGAAAAGCCTTAGTCAACATTCACAAAGGCCAAATGTAAAAGAGAAGAACAACCTCTCACCAGCTCAACCCTTCAATTTCCAAAGTTTACACATGTACCACATCCTATACATTAAAATGTCCATTCTGAAATGCAGATTTATATAGATTGTCATTTAAAAAAAAAAAAAAACATGACCATATAAATGTCATGGCCGTACATCTGCAAGAGGACCTAGCATTTCCAACTCATTGAGATAAAAATAAAAACCACCAATGAATCAAGTGATGCAACATGTTTTGGGTCATCAAAGTAGTGAATTGTAGCTAATAATCTGAAATAAAATGAAAATGAAGCCAGAATATAATGAAAGTGTATTAAATGTCAAAATAAGTCAAACTCTATATAAAACTATAGTCAAATGTGACATTTCTTCACAGCCTTGGAAATAATCTTGAGCAATAAAGATGACAAAATATTCATGCCCAAAGCCAATGTCAAAAACTAAAAAGTTCTTCCTCAATAAAACCAAGAAAATTTCCTGGAGACTCATCTGTTATTAGGTAACGATTTATTTCTAGCAGTGACACCTAAGAGCTATTACTGCTGCTGTGAGAACAATGGTTATTTTTATGTGAGCAGACAGCCCACGTGCGAATATGACTGGGACAAATTTGAACATGTGAGCAATAATCATCTGCAAATGGACAAACCTTTGCTCTTGCAGTCACAGGAAAATCAAAATAAACATTCGAATTTGTGAACTAATGTTTTATTTAAATTTATTTTCAGGTTAAAAAGGAAGACACCAATGTAATGTAAGGTAGGTGTAATGATTGTTGCAGCATAATTATTTTTGAATGATATTCTAGAAATCTATATTCATTTCACAAAGCCCTTTATTAGAATACAACAGTAGATTGTCCTAGTATTAACTGCAATGTGCTCCAATAGTTTATCTTTGAAACTCTGATGGATATCTCCTGGGAGTCACCTGGGCCAAGTTTTTGACCTAAGTAAGTAAGTAATGTTTATTTATATAGCACCTTTCACAGACCAGAGTCACAAAGCGCTTTACAATTGTGGACCTGTCATCCAGGTGTCATTGCTAAAAAAATTGCAGTTGACTACTTGTGATTGCACTGAGCTTGTATAAAAAGCTTCTCTTAATTACATTTTGCATAATCAGCCAAAATGCAGTGGCAATCCATCATAAAGCATGGCTAATTATAAACTGAAGTACATCCCTTATCCCCACTGCTTTGGCGTTACATAATGTCTTGATCTGCGCTTGGTGCAGAAACATATTCTGTTACTGCAGGGAATTCATCATAAGAAAAGAAAATATAAGAAAAACCTTTATTTGTTACTTATTCAGGCTGAGAGCGATTGTTATGCCCATTGCATATATGTCCTCTGCACTGCCTCCTCTGTAAAGCCGCACACAAGAGTGAATAGCTTATATAATGTAACAAACTGTAAACAATTAAAATCAGAACTGGAGTTTTATACAATTTTAAGATTAGTTTAAACAATAGAAGTTTGTTTTTGTTTACATTGGACCACTATGCAGTCACTTATTATTCAGATTGTATAAACAAACATAGCTGCCCTAAGACAGTGTAAAAATATAAAAAACTACCACTCTCGTCTCTAAATACCACCCATCGACCACAGTTAACAGCTTTTTACATCTCAATAAGCAATAGCAAAGCAGGTATCAAACCACAAACCTCATATTGCTGTAAAGTCCTAATTTTAGTGGCATATTGTAATTTAGATTTTTCTTTTTTTCCTAGATTATTACGATTACTCAAAGCCTAGAAGCATATGTATTACTGCAAATAATTCCTGGATGATTTCATTATATGGCCAAACTTTATTAATCTGACAAAAATAAATGGATAGATAACTTATTGATCCCCGTATGAGGAATTCAGGAAGATGAGTGTCTTAGTTGTCTATCAAATGTTTCTGTGGCTGGGTTTATAGACACTACTCTTAAATTGTAATTGTATAAACCTTTGCAAGTCCTAATGAATTCAAGAAATGGACATGGCTGAAACAAAGACCCAGAAGATGTTATACTGTTAACTATATAATGGACAAAATGCCTTTATTCTTTGTCGGAGAGTTTCGGCAGTGTGCGTGAGAACTACTCTCAGGTATGTGCCGAGCATCAAAAAAGAAACAATATATTCAAAGCAAGACACACCCTGCACATGACTTTTGTCATGGATCGAAGCAAACCTGTTTGTAATTCAACAGCCTCTAATCACAATAGAACCAGGAAGAAAAGTGACAATTGTTGTAAAAGTTTCTCTTCCTGCAATCAGTGCCATTACCAACTCTATGGACATTGTAAATACAGTGACCCGAGATGACTCAATTGACACAATTCTACCCTGCTTACTGCACCCACTACAATTCTGCCCCTGCTTACTGCACCCACTACAATTCTACCCTGCTTACTGCACCCACTCCTCCCCTCTGAGTGGACTGGACACACGCTGGGTTTGCAACTTTGTATAGTCATAGCCTCCAGCTCATGTATCATGGACCCCACCACTTGGCTCCGGGTAAAGCTATAGAGGCTAGAAGCTAAATAGTTTTTTATTTATATTTAGTATTAAGACAATTTATCTGCAGACATTTTAATTTTCCTAGAACAATACTTTTCTAAAATAAAAAGGGGGATAACCTTGCTGTGAGCTGAATTCTTATTTATGATATAACAAAAATCTATCAGCTTCAAGCTTTCTGCTATTGCCCCTCCTCTCTTCGGAATCAACATTCTACAAAATATTGATATGGTAAGTAAGTAAGTAAGTAAGTAATCTTTATTTATATACCGCCTTTCACAGACCAGAGTCACAAAGCGGTTTACAATTGTTATTTTTGGGCACTTGTCCTCTCACTCCACACAGAGATGGGAGCAGGGTCGCCAGTACAGGAGGCGCATATGGCCCTTGCCAGGTCAGGAATGCAATCCTAAAACTTTTTAAATGTTCAATACTAATTGACACATTGAATTACATTGGCTGGCTTGATTTCAAGCAATTACAATTTCTTAGTTGAATGGCCCATTGCAATTTTCAGTGTAGTGACTATAACCTTGACTATCCGGACCCACAGAAACATTTGTTTGACAACAAAGTCGCACGTCTTTGTAAAATTGAAAAAAAAAGGTGCAAAAAGGAGACTTCCGGGACATCAAAATGTTCAATGACAAATTCAAACATTCACATCAAACTCGAGCTCAATAATTATCATTACTTTTTTCACCATTGGCAACTGTCAAAGTTGAGTTCTCATTGTCCCATGCATTGTAATTATTTATTATTATGTAAGGATTTTTAATTTAATGTATTCATGTTGGATAGAGCACAACAATAAACATATTGATACATGACAAAGTCTATCCATTTATTGAGATTAAAGTGAATCCCCTTTTCTCAGTCGTCCACATCCTGTCCATACACTTTTCTACAACATCTCTCACAACATCCCCTTCCAAGTAAGCACCATGTTTACAAGTGTATGTATTTTTCTGAGCACAAATCCAGATGCACTTTGAAAACATAAAAACACTTTGTGATTTGGATATTGAAGTAAAACATTCTCCCACAGATTTTTTGTTACTTCGTATGTAATTTTCCTTTGTTTTGATAATTTGTAAAATGTGAATTTTCCAAGTCTGTCCAAACTATACATATTCCTATGACTAATGGGAATTCTTGTGTTACTGTACTCTAGAGCAATTTTAAGAGCCCATAGCAGTTTATCGTCACAACCGTAACAACAATAGCAAAGCCCTTTCCATTTCTCTGATGATTCAAAGTGTACTGGCACTTTAAGAAACTTATTTAATGATGGCAGGGTGAGCTGGTATTTAAATTAATTGTTCCTGTGTTTACTCACAGTATGCGCCTGTAGTTTTTCTCCTGGTAGTTCTGGTTGATGACGTAGGTGATGAAGACGTTGAAATGCTCCGCGGCGTGAGAATAAACAATGTCACACACGTCTGAGATCAGGAGGTTCTCCTCGATACGGTGCTCCAGGTCCATCAAGAACCTATGCACAAAGAACCAGCAGCTCTACAACTGTGTGTCGTACAGGATCTATCAATACACTTTGTACATGATGCAGAGTATGTTTACATTAAAGAGACACATTACATTCAGAAACAATGAGTACTGCTGCTAATGTACAGATGTAAACATACTGCTGCTAATGTACAGATGTAAACATACTGCTGCTAATGTACAGATGTAAACATACTGCTGCTAATGTACAGATGTAAACATACTGCTGCTAACATGTACAGATGTAAACATATAACTACAAATTGCTTGCACTAGAATACACCGATCTTTATACTTGCCTCTTATTTTGCCAAATGTAAAACTTTTATACTTTTTTATTATTATTACTTTCATGATAGATATTTTATGCTTGTTAGTTGATGCTAGAGTTGAGATTTTGTTGTATTTTAATTAGTATAGCTATTGTTCACTCATCTTGTGCTGCGTGCTCCTCTTTCCTATTGTTCTATAACTTGTGATGCAACACTGAAATTTCCCCACTGTGGGACAAATAAAGGATCTCTTAATCCTAATCTTAAAAATAAGGTCCTAAGCGATGTATTTATCAAGGGTTTGTCAATGTGTAAAGGTGATTAGCACCCCTCAACGATGGAGAAAACTGAATTTATACTGTGCAGATATAGAACTAAAGAAAAAAAAAATCCACCATTTTACTTGTATAATTATCATTCCTAGTTGAGCACTTGGGTTGATAAATATACCCCCATGTGTTTAGATCCTAATCCAACAATGAGTTAAAGAGTTGAATGAAGAATCATTCAATCTTTAGATCTGTGTATTATGGAAACTTTGTATGTGCAGTCTTTATTTAAGTCTATTTTTTGTGCATTTGGCTTTGTGACCCAGTGGCTGTAAGAGCGATTCTAAAAAAAGAATAATATCATAAAAAATGGTCCTTCTATCAAAAATGTGTATACTTTAATATTGAGAATAGAGTAATAACATTGTAATTTGCAATAACGTATAGACACATGAGCGAGCAGTACCGTTCGCTGGCCTTCATGACGCCCTCGATGTTGGAGAACAGGAAGTGCATGTCTGATTGGCTCAGAGTGTTGATGAGGGCGGGTTTTCTCAGGAAGTGAGTTTCTAAAATCTCCAGACTTTTGTAGTACGACGCTTCAGAGGTGACGAGCTCAAACATGGCCTGAAAGCAGTAAATGACGAGAGATTTGTTTTAAGTTTAAAATAGTTTTAAGACAGTAGATTCATGTTTATATTTTTACTTGCTCAAATGAGTATTGAGTTTTTATATCAGTTTTGATTTTTGATACATATTTGTCCCTTTTTGGTTGTTTGGAAAAAGAGGTTAATTATTCCGACCTGTCATAACAAGGAAATGCATAAAACCAGCCCTGCTCAGCTCACCTCCTGCATGATGACTTCTTTCTGGGGCAGTTTGTCGAGGAGGCCGCTGTTCTGCACCACCTCCAGGTTTTGCCACAAACTGAGGGACTGGGTGGTGTTGCGCAGCTGCAGCTGAAGAGCCGGAGGAGGGGTCACCGTGCTGGAGTCGGTCCCCCCACGCCTCACCTCACATGGGGACAGAGACTCGGCCTGGCGCCTCTGCTCGATCTCCTGCTGCTTGGAGCTGTCGCGGTACTCCTGGTACAAGAACGCTGTGGAGGACACATGCCATTGTTACTACAGAGCAGGTGGATTTATTGGAGACTGACAACTTAGAGCCACAGAGTTCATTTAAACATGTCAATTCAATTCATTTTATTCTTTTACAGCCATAAATCACAACAGTAGTTATCTCAGAGGACTTTTAATACATACTTCCACATTCATGTTAAAAGATCATTCAAAACAACAAAATTTCTCCTATCTTTCAGAGCCCAGAGACAACTTTGCATCACAGTAAACACACATGACAAACAGCTGTGTAATGGTTTGAAGACATTTTGAACAAACGTACAAGACACATGAGTCAGGTTTGTGGAGAAAGATGTCTCTTCACAACAACAAAATGTTATCAAAATGTTATCAATATCAATTGCCTAAAATGTTATGTACTGTGGAAGAAAACTCTTTGCGATGGACCAAAACTCCATTCTCCTGCACATGGCTCCTTGTTTTCATAACTGCAGCAGCTCAGATTATTGATGCATTCGTAGGCACAAAAGTTTGTGTTAGAGGGTGGTGCTGGTGGTGGTGGGCTGATAGTTCCCGATTAAGATCTTTTTTTTCTCTTTTTTTTAAAGAAACTGCTTTGAGTGGCGAGGAAGGTGACTTTGAAGAGAGAGAGGCGGTTGCGTAATACACCTCGATCCAACACGAGTGGCAGATTGGTTTGTGGGCGTCTGCTGAAGCACGAGTTACATAAGGAAGACAGGAGCAGCACAGTGTGTCCAAGAAGCGCAGCAATACCCAATATAACAGCATCTGACAGCATCTCACAGCTATCGGCAGGGGCAGAGTCCACAGCGCTGATATAGACCTGGATAACACCTCATTTAGACTGGATATATAGCTGCTTTGAAATTAACATTCTGAAGTTTGAGTTTCTCAGTTTACGTAAGGTGTGCTGAAGTATCAAAAATACTAAATATCAATATTCTGAGACACAATTTTATGCGAAGTTGCATCAATTTAAATCATATTTTTGGGTATATTCACAATAAATGTTGTAGCGTGTTTCAGAGAAAGAACTTTTTTAATGACATAAGTTTTTACTGCCGTTTTGAACTGTGATTTCCAGAACCAACAGGGATAGCCTGTTTTTATGTTAATTCTGTGAGAACAAAGAACTGTTGAGAACTTTTTAACAACCATGGGAATGCATATCGATAGAGGCGGACCACTGGCGCATTTCCTTAAGAGAAATTTTCAAACGACAGCCTGATTTTGCACAATAAGACATGCTTAGTGTGCAAAATTAGTTAATTTTATTCACAACAACAAAAATCATTTCAACAGTTCACAGGTGCAAGGGGTCATCATTACCAGAACATATGAAAGCATCATTAATCAAGGCCATGTTAGGACCTGGAGAGCCCCCTGACTCAAGACCGGCTGCAGATGGTGAGGGGAGCTATGGTATTTGTGTCTTGGTATAAAACCATGTGAACGTTGTGAAAACTCTGGTCATCTTTTATGGTTGGTACACTGCATAAACGACATCTCTTCTGCTGTGACACAATCCCAGACCCCGGAATCTTTTGTCATGTTATTCACTAGTTCCCTTCCCTTTTGACGGCTATATTATTATGACTGTTTTTATTGCTTCATGTTGACCGTGCAACACTTTGTAAACACTGTTTTTGCTTTACAAAAAAATTATATTATTATTACTACCACAAGTTTTACTTTGATTGGATAAGTCTGGTTATAATCTAAATAATTAAAAAGTGCATTTCAAGAACACAATTATCGTATAATTCTATAGAGTTTGCTTAACCCTGGGTTGGACCTGACCTAGTTCAAATTCTTGTTTAGACATGAAGGTTTTGGCAGAGTTTGTGTTTATGCTCATTTTAAGCCTTATTATTCTTCATCTGGTTTGTGTTCTCTTCTCAGGACTAATTAAATATGCAGAGACTTTGGTATCTGAAAAAAAAGAATAGATATACCTACAGTAGTACTATCAAATGTATATACTAGGAGTGCTCGCATTTGTGCATTTACAGATTTCAAATTCCTAACCTGCTACTGAAAATACCACAAACACTATTAGAGGACCATAAAATATGTTCAAAACGAGGCTTATTGCAGACTCAATATGTGCAGCTTTCACTCACCAATGTTTTTGATAATGCTGAGACCCAGTGTGTTGCTCTCGCCATTGCTCTGCAACCTGGAAACAACACAAAACAAACGCAGCCAGAATTAGACATGTCCTGACACTTTGATACCCAATTATTTCATCGTCACTCTCACAGTTTGGAGTCAGAAGCAACACTTCTATGTGACACATTAGTCTTTTTATAACAAAAACAAAATTGCCTTATTGTTTGGTGTTGATCAAATATACTACTTGTTTGGACATGAAGATGTAGAATTGGCTGCAGGATTGAGTGGATAAAGTTTATTGAGAGGCATGAAAGACATAACGCATTCTATGACATTTCAACCATATACATTTCCACCATATTGACAAAAAGATGAATCTGTGCTCTGCCCCTTTATGCAAGATGTGAAAACATTGTTGTAAATGAGCTGTATTCTGTTTTATTCACATCCAACAGGAATGCTGACCAGGACACGAAGAAGCAGGCTTGCTTTTTATTTTAAGAGTCTAGGATGAGATGGACATAGGTCAGATGGACATATATGGTAAAGGTAACTGTTAGTATTTAACCCACTTTAGTTTTCTATTCTGGGTCTTCTGGGGTTGAGCCTGAATCAGAGAGGGACCCAGGCAGAAGAGCTCTTTACCTGAATTGAACTGAATGTATTCTGATTATTATGCCATTAAACTTCTTTTAATCATAACTCAGAGTTCATTCCTTCTCCATCACTATCCATGTGTGCGGGAAACCCTGTCTTTGAGAACAAGGAGACACTACAACATGGTCACCTAAGGGTCACATCAATTGATTATGTAAAGGTCTTTGAAAAAAAATGAGTTACACCTACAGTAGTACTAATAGTCAAAAGTATACTCGTGTTTGTACATGCTTTTACAGATTTAAAATTTCTAAACTGCAGATCAAGTAATCAATGCGCAACAACGCTACAGAATAATCTGCATGTCACTTTCAGAAAAGAAAGAAATTAACACATCAGTGGTGGTGCTCAGAGGTATCATGGAGAGCAATGAGGTCTCAGGTGTAAGAGAAGAGAATATGAATTTCTCAAATACATACATTCCTCTGAACACCACTTTGAGTGTGTATATGACAATCTCTTAAATGTATCAATTACATACTGTGTTACAGCTTCCCCTAAAATGCACACAGGCAAAAACGGAAGATGGGTTCCTATGACACAAAATGAAAAACTTAAAACTGGAAGGTGCATAATAGGGCTGCACAATATATTGAAAAAATATCGTTGCGATATTGGTACGTGCGTGCGGTATCCAAATCAAAAAGATGCACAATAATTTTTTCTTTTCTTTATTAAAGACAACAAAACAGACAGTATATAAACAGTATATAAATATATGCATTTGAATGTCATTAATGTTGTGCTTATTTGTCTCTTGCGTTTCAATGCAGATTGCTATTTTAGGTGAAAGAAAAAAATATCGCAATAATATTGTTATCGGAATACTAAACACTCATATCGAATATCGCTCTAATTTCCAATATCGTGCAGCCCTAGTGCATAATGCAACTCCCAACAGCTTCATCAAGACCACTGTGATGGAAAGTAAAGGCCACTCTCAACCACTGGGTCAAAAAAAATATTTATATATAGTTTTTATCCTTTTTACAAAGTTGGCAAAGCAGTGTGCATGCAGGGCCTTCTCTTACAGTGCATAAGAGAGGTTTTCCCTTTTTACAGTTTTAACTTAAATTTTTTAGTATCTAGATTACAGATTTTACGTTTCTAATATTATGCCACACGGTTCTCTAATCAGAAACAGACCTTGTTTTTTGATAAAACACATGCGAAAATTACAAACACTTCCCTCTGCTTGTGTTACAAATAACCGTATCGTTGTTGGCGAATTGTGAATCCTAAAATGGAGGATTCATCCAGAGACTGATGCTCTACTCAGATTTTAGCACCGCAATCAAAACTGCATTTCACTCACGTGGTTTGAAAGAGTAGGAGGATGCAGGATCCTTAACACAGAACAACAACAGAAGAACGAGCAACGAGCTGTAAACGTTAGGATTATTTGGTGCAGTGTCTTTTATATTTGTATTTAATTGTTGATTTGTTCAAAAGGTCTGGTCTGATACTCTCCCCTGCTCCCTTGATTGCTTTATAGAGTTGCATAATTCTTTCTGCGGTTTAGCACATTCCTTTTAAGCTGCAAAAGCAGATATGAGACTAGTACTAAAATGATTACTCCATCTACAATAGAGATATCTTTGTTATCAGCAAGTGACAGGTTACAAGTGGATGGATCGCAGCTAGCAACCAAAACATCTAGCTCCAAAATGATCCCACTTACATTTTCTCAACAAGTTTTATCATCATACTTTCTTAGTGACAGTGTGACATCTGCAGCATTGCCATGAAAAAAAAGTAATGAAAAAAAAAATATATATATTTTTTGAATTACCAATTGGTTTAAAACAAATATGCATACAATTATACAACACAAGCACCACTCATATTTTAAAGTCTATAATTATCCAGATTCATTTATTTTAGAAGTTGAGAGTGGTCTTAATAACCAAAAAGTCACACCTATAATTACATTTTTTTGCAAATCTTGATAAAAATACATAATTATGAACTAAAGGAGCATGGCACAATTTTTCTTCTACCTTTTTGTTACCATGGAGATTGTATTTCTTTGCATGGAATGTCCCCAGTATGACACAAAACCCGATTTCTGACTTTGACTCAGCTTAACTCCTTGCTAATATGACTCAGACTACTAAAAATTAAATTTAATGCCAAACAGTGGAACAGTCCAAGTTAAACGAGAACAAGAAAAATCAAAACTTTATCTAAGCATCAGCTACTTTTCCAGTGAGCCGTGATCTAGTACTGATTCAAGCAGCGCTGTAACTATTCTGCGTATCTGATGAGTGATGTCATGATGTTGTTGTTGTTGTTGTTGTTGGCAAAAGTAGAAATATTTGTTTTGTTCTAGAAATTAGATCTAGACCATAGGTGTATATACAAATAACCCTAAAACTGGAATAATTAACAGTTAATACTGATTTAAGAGTTTTCTGCACATGTATGATGAGAGACGCTTGAGGCATTCAATTGGCATAGTCAAGAATAAACCATCAGAATATATTACATTATACCATGATATTCATTTTTATATAATTGGATTTTTTGGTGAATCAGAATCAATTTATTGCCATTTGCAGAAAAAAAACTACATTGGAATACAAGCAGGAGACATCGCGGGCACCAACACCACAAAGCACACACACACACACACACAGAAAGAATAAAAATAGCGAGGCAAGACACAGTGAGGCACATATAAAACTCTTAAAAGCATTATTAAGAAGCTACGAAGGAGCTACAAATTCTATTCAATTCACTTAATTCTTGTATAGCCCCGAATCACAACAGCAGGAATCTCTGAGAACTTACAAAGCAAATATACAAAGCAAGTTTACAAGCAACAGAATTTGTTTACACATTATTGGAATTTAAACTATTTATGCATTCAAATAATCTTTCAAAATGATTGAATAATTATTTGGGACACATAATGAGTTGGTTGAGTGCCAATAAGTTACTGAATATTGCTAATATAAAAAGCTAATGTGTTGATTTATGCTCATCTTGGAATGTGTGTGTAATTTGAAGCCAAAGACATTTTAGTCATCAATACGCATGACATTTTATAGACTATAAACTCACTCTATTCCATTAGTTTTGAATTGTGAATAAACTGTCTTTTCTCTCAATAATCACAACTTTAAAATGTTAATTCCTGACGTATAGTCCTGAGTTGCACTGACCTGTTGTTGTTATAGCTGCCTCTCATGTCTTCTCGTCGGTGGGACCCCTGGATGGGGCTGATCGGGTTCAGGGGGGATGTGGGGGTCTCGAGGCTGCTTCTGTGTGGCGTCTCGCTGCTGCTGGTGGGGTTGTTGAAGCAGTGTGTGCGGTAGGCGATGGTCTGCTGATGGTCTGGGCTCTGGAGCGGCTCTTTTCCACCCACTCTGTGTCTGCTGTCACCAGGCAACGGAGGAGGCTGCATGCTGACAACACGGAGGGAAAATATACTTAAGATTCACAGGTCACATTGAAAAGCGGAAATCAGGGCTTAAAACGCAAACCAATCGTGAAATGCAATGGTAGGAAAGGCTCGGGGCTAGAACTGGGGCAGGCAAGGAAAATATTTGAGAAGACGTTGTGCTTTTGTCTGGAGCTATAATCTGACACCTGTAAATAATTTTCATTATTTCAGTAGATTATATTAGAAATATGAAAATCACATGTATGTCATCTTGAGTAAAATCACTCAGTGTGGAAAACAAAAACATTAAAAGATATACAGAATTAAAGAAGATTAAACTGGGATTAATCTACAAGATCTGGGGAAAGCATAATAGTAGCTACCATAGAGACATTCAAGATAAATTCAAACAAAGACCACCTTTATTATACACAACAATATTCAGAAAGCAAATTAGACACCAACAAGAGTGGAGCAAGGGTTTATAATTAATCAATTTAGTATAGTATACACACATGAAAAGATAAAAATGAAATGTACTAAATAAAGAATGGGAACAATAATAATTCATAGAATAATGTATTGTATTTAAATGTCTTGGTAATTTCTTTGTACAAAAACTTCTCTGAGCAGCCATTCAACTTGGAGTTGTTTATCTATTTGCTCAAGTCCAAAGGCTGAGTAATGCTCACTACATGATCTATACGCTCATTAACAGCTAATACTAATCAAGCAAAAACAAGGGCTGATTCCAATTCATTATTTAATTCATTATTTCAACTATAACTAAATTACCTTTCTGCCGGTTTGGTCAATATTCTCTTGTGAAGAGTACAAAAAGTGGAGTGAGCCTCAGAAACGCAGCTGCCTTACGCTTCCCACCAGAATGCCTCACCTTCCTGAAACAGCCCTTATCACATTTGAAGTATAAACAAACTGAAACAAGAATATTCTCTTGTTTAGCGGTTTAAAAAGGTCATTTATAGACCCGCTTTATGTCTCATTGTTTACCTACTGGAAGTTTATTTAATAGCTCATTGTTTTAAATTTCCTATGTAGCCATTTTACGATTACGTTTTGGGTTCAACGTTAAGCTGGAGTACCTATGTGTTGTGTTTCAGTCTTGTTTAAGTGTCAGTGTGTGATCAAATCAGACCACACCATTGTTATCTTTTACATAACAATGGTGTGGTGTGTACTTGACAGAGAGCTGATTGGCTGAGAGTTGGTTGGTACTCTTCTTTTTAAAGTGATAGTCTGTAACTCTAAATGAATTACAAATTTTAGGAAATGTGTTAAATTGACCTCCTGGCCTTAAATGTTGATATAAAATAAGTCATTTTATTAATTCTAATATTACGGGCAAGTCCCGCCTCCCTGCTCTTAGCTGTAGTTTAGAATCCACAATGCCGTCGAGGTTAACCAATCGAGTCATGCCAAGGGCTGTCAATCATCGGCGCTGATGCTCGCAGCTGCGCGCATGCTCAGTTGTTTGTTTTTGCGGAGCTTCCGAATCAAGCCTCTATTAGGCTCTGGAACTACATGAAAACTGAACAAAGAATTCTGAACATCCGCGCTGAGGTACTTATGTACAGTGCCTTGCGAAAGTATTCGGCCCCCTTGAACCTTTCGCCACATTTCAGGCTTCAAACAAAGATATACATTTTTTATTTTTTGTCATGAATCAACAACAAGTGGGACACAATCGTGAAGTGGAACGAAATTTCTTGGATAATTTAAACTTTTAAAAAAAGAAAAAAAAAAACTGAAAAGTGGGGCGTGCAATATTATTCGGCCCCGTTACTTTCAGTGCAGCAAACTCAGTCCAGAAGTTCAGTGAGGATCTTTGAATGATCCAATGTTGTCCTAAATGACTGATGATGATAAATAGAATGCACCTGTGTGTAATCAAGTCTCCGTATAAATGCACCTGCTCTTTGATAGTCTCAGGGTTCTGTTTAAAGCGCAGAGAGAACCATGAAGACAAAGGAACACACAGGCAGGTCCGAGATACTGTTGTGGAGAAGTTTAAAGCCGGATTTGGATACAAAAAGATTTCCCAACCTTTAAACATCTCAAGGAGCACTGTGCAAGCAATTATATTGAAATGGAAGGAGTATCAGACCACTGCAAATCTACCAAGACCCGGCCGTCCCTCCAAACTTTCATCTCAAACAAGGAGAAGACTGATCAGAGATGCAGCCAAGAAGCCCATGATCACTCTGGATGAACTGCAGATAACTACAGCTGAGGTGGGAGAGTCTGTCCATAGAACAACAATCAGTTGTGCACTGCACAAATCTGGCCTTTATGGAAGAGTGGCAAGAAGGAAGCCATTTCTCAAAGATATCCATAAAAAGTCTTGTTTAAAGCTTGCCACAAGCCACCTGGGAGACACACCAAACATGTGGAAGAAGGTGCTCTGGTCAGATGAAACCAAAATCGAAGTTTTTGGCCACAATGCAAAACGATATGTTTGGCGTAAAAGCAACACAGCTCATCACCCTGAACACACCATCCCCACTGTCAAACATGGTGGTGGCAGCATCATGGTTTGGGCCTGCTTTTCTTCAGCAGGGACAGGGAAGATGGCTAGAATTGATGGGAAGATGGATGGAGCCAAATACAGGACCATTCTGGAAGAAAACCTGAGACTGGGACGGAGATTTATCTTCCAACAGGACAATGATCCAAAACATAAAGCCAAATCTACGATGGACGGGTTCACAAATAGACGTATCCAGGTGTTAGAATGGCCCAGTCAAAGTTCAGACCTGAATCCAATCGAGAATCTGTGGAAAGAGCTTGACTGCTGATCACAAACGCTCTCCATCCAACATCACTGCGCTCGAGCTGTTTTGCAAGGAAGAATGGGCAAGAATTCCAGTCTCTCGATGTGCAAAACTGATAGAGACATACCCCAAGCGACTTGCAGCTGTAATTGCAGCAAAAGGTGGCGCTACAAAGTATTAGCGCAAGGGGGCCGAATAATATTGCACGCTCCACTTTTCAGTTTTTTATTTGTTAAAAAAGTTTAAATTATCCAATAAATTTTGTTCCACTTCATGTCCCACTTGTCCCACTTGTTGATTCTTGACAAAAAATTAAATTTTTATATCTTTATGTTTGAAGCCTGAAATGTGGCAAAATGTTGAAAGGTTCAAGGGGGCTGAATACTTTCGCAAGGCACTGTATATACTGAAGCTATATCCATAATCAGATCCTCTGCAGATGTGTCCTATAATGCACAATTCATGATAATAGCACTTCCGGGTTTGCCGCGATCGCTTTTTGTGTGCATAAAAACATTATTTTTTTCATTAAAACGTTCACGAATAATTCTGGAAACCTCTGTGCATGTGTATTAATAATGTATATGTATAATGTGTTCTCTGATTAATATTTAAAAGTGTTACGGAAATGTAGGTGTAGACCAATCAGAAAGGAAGGGGGAGGGAGCTTGCGTCGTTTTTTTCAAATCAAGTACCTCTCTGTCAAACTCCAGACAATCACTGTAACTGAAAAAAGCTGATTTAATTACACATGTGTAAACTAGTGATAGAACCATACAGTTTGAGACAAAACGAACTAGATACATGAATCTTTTAAATTTTATATAACCGTAAACGTTTTGAGAGCTTGCAGCCCTTTTACAGTCTACGACCTTTAGTCCATGTCTTTTGTCATGCAGCCATATCTTTGATCAACTCTATTTTGCTTCACTCTGATACCCATGGATTGACGGTTGTATATACATGTTCAAGAGAGATGAGCGCTACAGTGAGTCAATCTTAGTCAGGTGCTCATCGGGATCAGCAGGGCCAAAACACAGGAAAATGTATCCCCATTCATCCTCTGCATTTGACCCATCCTTGCAATCTGTATTCGACCCATCCAGATGCCACTGGGAGTCTATCAGGCCGTACAGCGCCAGGGGACCCTTCTCCAGATGTTGATGCTCGGCTTGGTCAGGACTACCAGAGCTGGAGGATTTTTACCTTTTGTGCATGCTTTTAGTGGTAGGGGAAACCGGAGCACACTGAGGAAACCTACGCAGACACGGGGATAACATGCAAACTCCACTCAGAAAGACCCTGTTTCAACCCAGAACCTTCTTGCTGAGAAGCAGGAGTGCTATCCATTCAGCCACCGCGCCGATTGAGGAAATCCGAGGCACTCTTGACAGAAAATAAAAATCCTCTAATTAGCAGGGATTTCGGCCTGTGGTATACATTTTATTTGTGAGGATTTGAGAGGAGGCGACAGTGATCTGACTTTTTCTGTGTTTTTGCAGCAGGGCGTTTCGCAGCTGAAGGCACAAAGGTGGAGCCCTGAACACTCCCGTTTCATACAAAGCCTTGTTCCTGATCAGTGTCACTGCGTTCACATGAGCTCTTTGGACGGGCTTGGCAATGTTTTCCATACTTTGCTAATCAGCTGTGGCCATTTTAGAAAATGTAACATCATAAAGTATTGCAGACTCTGCGTATAGCTGCAAAGCAAATCAGCAGAAGATTTCAGCAGACGATTTTAGCAGCTGACACAACATGATACAAGAAATCAGTGTAAGAATTTAAATTGCTAGCTCTGCGTTTGAGATCATGCCTCTATAATTAATGTGGCTCGTAAAATGTCTGGTGAATAGGTTTCCAATATTATGTTCCCACTAACCGCACGTTCAAATATGGCACATGAGACCTTTGAAAACAGTGAATATGAAACTACCATCATTGGATATAATTTTAATCTATGCAGATAAAGTGAACTGTTGAACTTGAAATTTCAAAGTGAGAATTAACATGACATGTAACACATCCACATTTTGTAGAGATCATTATGAATAGACCGCAGTTATTATAAAATGTCCTAGTGATAAGTTTCATTTCTCATTTGTGAGAATTCTTTTTTCCCCCCGAGCCAACCATATTAATGTTATTGGCTTTAGTATATGCCCAGACGCACAGGTAAAACAGGTAAAAAATCTTCAAAACTCATTAAAGTGATTGTCTGGAGTTTGTCAGACAGACAGAGGGGTGCTTGATTTGAAAAAAAAAAACGACGCAAGCTCCTCCCCCTTCTTTTCTGATTGGTCTACACACTTTGAAATGTAAATCAGAGAACACATTATACATATACATTATTAATACACATGCACGGAGGTTTTTAGAATTATTTGTTAAAGTTTTCATGAAAAAAAATGATGTTTTAATGCACAAAAAAACGATCGCGGCAAACCCGGAAGAAGCTATTATCAAATTATAGGACACATCTGCAGAGGATCTGATTATGGATATAGGTTCAGTATATAAATAGGCAACTCAGCGCGGATGTTCAGAATTCTTTGTTCAGTTTTCATGTAGTTCCAGAGCCTAATAGAGGCTTGATTCGGAGGCTCCGTGAAAACAAACAACTGAGCATGCGCGCAGCTGCGAGCATCAGCGCTGATGATTGACAGCCCTTGGCATGACTTGATTGGTTAACGTGGACGGCACCGTGTATTCTGAACTATAGCTCAGAGAAGGGAAGGCGGGACTTAATATTAGAATTAATAAAATGACTTTTTTATATATTTTATATCAACATTTAAGGCCAGGAGGTCAATTTTACACATTTCCTAAAATTTGTAATTCATTTAGAGTTACAGACTATCACTTTAACTCCTGTAATTTAGCTTACACTATGAAAGTGTACTTTTTACAGTGACTGATTACACGCAAAGGGAAATATATCAAGCCTTTATTTGTTATAATGTTGATATTTGTTAAAAAGTGACTTATGCCAAGTCTTTATGTAATGAGTCTATATCATTTATTGATGTCACATTTTAGGTTGAATTACAGAAATAAATGTATTGTAAAAAAAAAACGTTAGTGTAACTTTAGACACTTCCAGAGTAACTCACCGGCGCGGCCGCAGGGGAGACTTTGTGGGTAAACCGTTGCTAGTTGAGGAGCCTGGTCTGCAGGGACTGTGGTCCAATCGCTGGTAAACTGGAAAATACCAAACAAATAAATTGTATCCACAATTTTAAAAAGGTACTGAAACAGAATATAAAATACACCATAAACATGTATTTGGACAGATCTTCACTTTCTTCCCACATTTTTAAAATATATTTTCCTCCATGGATACATTAGTACAATATTGGGTTCTTGTCAGAAAACCTAAAACCTACAGGCATTGCTTTAAAAAAAAACAAAAAGTGTAATATATTAGTAGTGATAAATTGTGTATTCCTATTTCATGCTCTTTATTGCAGAAATACATTTTATAAAAAAATATATATATTGTTTTTATTTTCAAATTTTTTTACTCAAATATGTAGCCATATGATTTTTTATTTTTGTTAAAAATATGTCCATCAATAATGACGTTAAAATTAATGTTAATATATCTCCAAGCTCAACTAAACATTGACCGTGTATAATAAAAGAGCAATGAGGTTACGGTTTCAACCCTCAACAAACTGCCGCACCTTCTTATCCAGGAAATGTAATTGTTTTATTCACAAATCCTGCCTGAATTTACAATCGTTCCCACTGCCATTGCACCATGACTGATACAACCATCATGATATAGAAAGATTACAGAGCTATTCATTGACCAATTGTAACTGAAAAACCTGCACTGCTGTTCAACTTCCCCTTAGAAGATTACATATCTTTATTATTATTGTCTGATCACAAACAAGTGGCAAGTTAAGCAAATAAATCGAACTCCCTGTTGCTATACATTTTGGGTTTGGAAGAAAAATCACATTCAGGATGTGTGCTCCGCTTTTTCAAAAACAAAGTAATATTGTAACAGATTCGGTCTTTATAAATAGAGCACATACAAACACAGTAGTATGAAGGCGCTTATTCAAACTGATTAGATAAGTTCAAAAGAGAAACTGTAGATAGATCATAAGAATGAGGAAAGTACCAATTACACAACAAGCCTTTTATCAGTCTGATAATATAACTTGACCTTTACGGCAAATATACATGAATATTATAATAAAAATAATTAAAAAAACGTGATTTTGACATGCAAGGTTGCCTTAATAGGTATCTTAAGTGCAAAGCCTTATGAAGTGTTTCCCATAAACGTTTCCTCAGTTGTAGTTTCATAAAATTCAAACACAATGCCTGCTTTTCAATCTCCAATTTCAAAGCTCTAGTTCAGCCATTCCCAAAGTCAGTAACACCGGGGCCCCCTTAAAAATCTGACTGGTCTGCGCGGCCCCCCGAAATAATAACCAAGAGGACAACGTTAAAAATAGGCTCTTCTCGTTAGTTTATTTGGGGGATATAGCCTCTGCTACAAACATGTAAAATGACAATCCCCACTTTGTAATACACAAATGATTACAATGTGATGATTCAAGTCAAAAACTGAACACAAATATTGTAATATTACAAACAAAATATTGTTAATTTAACATACAATAATTATATAAAACATTTTTATTTTTTTCATGACCTCTCGCGGCCCCCCTGCAGTACCCCGTGGGCCGCGGACCCCACTTTGGGAGACACTGCTCTAGTTCATGCCAAAAATGACCAGGCATGTTGTTCCAGCTGAAATTTGAACAGCTGAAAAATGTATTTGTCAAGATGAAGTGGCATAACTAATATATAATTAAAAGACAAAAAAACATTTATAACGTCATTTCGTTGGCCCGTGAAGTGAACCACTAGAATTAGCTTCATACCGTCAAGTGTTATTCATCTGACAAACTTTATCACCAGGACAACAAAACACATACTGGTAATCATTATAATGGTTCTCAAAGTGTTCCATAGTCGTCACATCGACACGTCACGCAGAAGACGCCACACTTGCCCTGGCGACAACGTTACTCAAAGTACTGCACAAACTACACAATGCCTCACTGCTCTGTACAAGTACACCAGGCACATGGCTACTGCCTTATGTAAAAGGAGAAAGTTATGTAGATAGCGCTCCACCAAAGGCTAACAAGTGCTGGACCTTAGACTGGGTTTATCTCTACACACATCATAAAAAAAAAAAAACATAAATGTGGAGACAACTGATAAGAGTCAGACCTATTGAATAAATACACAGACATAGATACTAGCTCCACATCTAATGATCTCCCTCCATTATATATACCTTATATGAGTTTGATATAAAATGCAATAGATACATAATGTACCAGAGTCATCAATCATTAGGTGAAGTTGTAACAGAGCGAAGACTTTCGTTTGGCAGCTCTGAGAGAATAAATCTCCAGGGACTAGACTGATCATTCATATTGTATTTTGATGAATGAGTTTTCCTTTTTAAAGTTGTCACCATTTGCATAAGAAATCACAAATTCACAATCCAAACCATTATCGTTTTGTGGTAAGCAGCACTAAAAACTGACTGAAATACTAAACAACTTTGTTTACATAAACCGCCACATTAAAACTGCTCATTGAAATTGAAAAATATATAAAAGGAAAAACCGTTTAACCGTTTTTAAAAGACAACAAAACCTTTGAACTGATTAATTCAACTCCACCAGACATCAATTTTACAAGGAAAACACCAATAGGATAGATGGCGTTAAATTGTACCATAAATAATTTTTAAATAGATCGGTCGATATAAAACATTATAGAATTACTACTATGGGAGAGGTGTAGGGTCAGACACTGTTTGGGCCTGTGTCATGTCTGTGTGAGTGTGCGTATACATGTGTGATTTTGTGTGGTGTCTCAAACCATTCGTGGTCGTGCTTAATGCATCATAATTATGTATTGTACAGAAGGATTACGGTTATGTGATTTGCACTGTATGGTATAGTCTTTGAATGGGTGACAGGGGAACTAAAACTACTGCTACTACATATTTGAAAGTGTGAATTTCCCTGGTCACTCTTTTCCATGTAGCAAGTGTCTTGTTGTTTGTCTGACGTTGAGTGATGCAGTCGGACTCTCGTAATGACGTAAAACTAAACGTCTCTTACTCCTACTCAAACTGAACCAGTCCGTCAGGTTTAAATCAGTGCTCAAACTCCACGCCTTTGTCCTGTGTGCAAGAATAGTACAAAAAAAAAAAAATAGAGCTACATCTGCTTTGTCCATCCAATACTCAGCCATTCATTATAAAAGCATTGAGTATTGTGGCTACTGCTCTGGAAATGCTCAAAATAAAATTAGCTACCAAGGCCGTCCGCAAAACTGTTTTATACTACAAATACATTTTATAATTCTAATGTTTTATGATTTCAGACACATCATAATTTGAGTAGATCGAAATCAATGTATTATCTTTAATCAAAATCTTCAATGAGAAATATTACATATTCTTTAATTTCTTTGTGTTAATGAGATCATGAGCATGTGTACTTTGAGATTTGAAGGCATTTGTTTGTAATAAAGAGGTAGAAAACCGTTCTGTCCTCAATAGTGTATTCAAAGTGTATGTACTGTATATGGACATTGAAAAGGCCCCAAGTTCCTGACATTAACATGGTTCAATGTTTAAATGAGACCAAGTTGCATATATATGACCCTTTCAATGGACACGGTAAAAAAGAAATTCAAAAAAATCTAACCCTCACCCTTACCCTAGCAAAGACTGTGACTGGATCAGGATTTCCCCACAACTCACCACAAAACCATGTGCCATTGTTTGTTTTTGTTTCTTTCACACAGGTTGATGACAATGACAGAAATGGTTTAATGTTAGAGATTTTACTGACTGTTGTATATTGCTTCAAACATATAAACCCTGTTCCGGCTGGATCCTTCTATATAACATGTTTACCTGCTATCAAAGCAAAAGCAAAAAATATCTACAACAACCACAATAATGTCCAAGAAAGTCCAGTATAAAAGTGCTGGGAAATGATTTGTATCTATTAATATATAATGAGCACATTTATTTAGTATGAATGATTATACTGAAGCCAAAATGTCCTCTTCAAAATGTTCAAACTTAGCTCTTTGGCACATTGCTTGCAAACATGTACAGTCAAACCATCATTACCCAGAAAGTGATGATAATTACTATAATAGAAGAAATACATTTCTTTAGTTGTAATGTTATCTCATACTGTTAAAGGCCGGAGTTTTTTTATAGAGAAGATTGTAGTCTGTGGATTCTGTCATTTTCTCTTTCTCAATGCTTCATGTTTAAGCTCTGTTTCTAAAAGTAATGCATTAGACTATTGAAATACTTAAAATGTAATGTGCGGTGGAATTGTACCCAGGACTTTTTGGCTGCACTAACCGCTGCACCATGAGGCTGCTCCATGGTGGCATGTAAACCACAGTAAAAAATGATTGAATCTTGCAAATGAACGATGCAAGTGATATTATTGCATTTACACTCTGTGCATCTGGTTGAATCCTTAAACTATAACAAAAACATTTAAGACACACTGTGCTGTGAGCTTTACGTTGTATTGGCCAATTGCAGTCCTCAGCACACTCCATATGGCCCACACCTACTCAAAAGGTGCCCATTATAATCAGTGACTCAGGTCTTAATAATGGATTTTCACGTACATTCTGAGGGCTGCTGAAGCTCGGACAGCGGCTGCTTCTTCTTCCTAATGGACTTCCGGACCCAGGACTTGCGGAGGTCTGCACCACGGCTGAACTCTATGCGTGGTTCGCTGTCGTCCTCATCGTCATCGTGCAGTGGGGGGACCGGCGGCGGCCTCTTCTCCGGGTGACTGTCCTGGGATCTCAGCCCGCGGAAGAACAGTGTGATCACAGACATCCTCCAAATCCACACTGGGGAGACGAAACGTAAGGGGGGGAAACTGTGGAGGCAAAGCAGTGGTTATCAACATGAAAATAAACTGCCCTCATCACAGATGATACAAATGGTCCGTTTGTACACTGTGTTTTCAATGTAATCTATATACATCTAAAATCTCTATATTTACAGATCACTATTGGATTGACCCAACTACATTTATATAATACAATTAATTTCAGTTCAAAGAAAGACAAAATTGAATTGAAATTTCTGCTAAATTCTAAAACCGGGCCATCTTTCTCACCTCCATTTATAAATCAATCCCTTACAGTCACAGCCTCTTTTATCTCCCCTAAGAATAGTGCACGACACTTATGAATCTATTTACATAAGACAGTTGGTCTTTGCCGATGCAGGAGGCTCTAAGGACATGTTCCGGGACATTTCCGCACATTATAAATAAAAAAAAAAATTGGACACACAGGTTGGAATTGATGTATTTTTGATCATAAAGCATTGATTTAAAACCTACAGCCAGTGTTGCGCATCAAAAAGCATCTGTTGGAGTAATTTTTCAAAAGCGTCAAAAAGGGATTACATCAAACACACAAGGCACGAGTAGTTTAGATCCAACTTTGGACAATACTTTCCAGTGCACAATATGAAAAGTATGTATATATCATATGGAGAGAAGACAACATTACTTTGATTGATGTCTCAAGGATATGACAGAAAGAAACAGTAAATCTATATCAACATTTTACAGCCCTTATATATGACAAGGCAAGGCAAGTTTATTTATATAGCACAATTCATACACAAGGCAACTCAAAGTGCTGAACAAAATAAGAAAGCATTAAAATCATAAATAATCACAGAACATTAAAAAGAAAGATAACAATATAAAATCCCTCAGTTGTATGCACAGCTAAACAGAACTGACTTTAACCTTGTCTTAAACAATGTCAGAGAAGAGGCCTGTCTCACACTTTCAGGAAGACTGTTCCAGATTTTAGCAGCATGAATCTGAAAAGCAGCCTCCCCATGTTTAGTTCTGACTCTGGGCCCTAACAGGAGTCCAGTCCCTGTGCTCCTCAGAGTCCGGCTTGGTTCGCATGGTACTAACATGTCACTAATATATTTTGGTGCGAGGCTATGGAGAGACTTGTACACAAGCAGAGCTGTTTTAAAGTCTATTCTCTGAGCCACAGGAAGCCAGTGCAGAGACCTGAGGACCAGACTAATGTGGTCGTACTTCCTGGTTCTAGTCAGGACTCGAGCTGCTGCATTTTGAATGTACTGCAGCTGTTTTACAGCCTTATGACAAGATAAAATGCACTTGTCTTCCTTGTTCACAGTTGATTTATGAACTTGGATAAACACAAACTGACATTGTGGTGTGATGATTTGATAGAATGACAAATAATGCTCTACGACACATCTTTGGGAATATGATGAATTGTGACTCTTTTGGCTTGCACAGGGTGGAGTCTGTCACTTCAATTTAACCTTGGATTTGTTTTGGTTGTACAAGGCTCAATAAGAAAATTGAAGTTGGGATAAAAATACCAAACTGTATTTAATGGTAAAAGGCTACGTGGCATTTTCAATTCAGTCTAAAATCCCATATGTCATGCTCTCACAAATTATAACAAAATGTGATCCGTTGACAGCTCTAGACTGGGTAGGTAAAAGCACTTTTACTTTAGTCGGTAATGTATTTTTGCCAAATCTGTGTCCAATATTTGGAATTACACATTTATTCCAGATGAGAGCATAATCCATGTTTAAAGCTTTTAGGATTGTCAATGACTCTTCTGACCACCCTGGGAAAGCCATGTTCCAGCTTCTTCCCTCTGGCAGAAGATAGCGCTCTCTGAGATGCAGGACATCTCGTTACGCTAACAGTTTTTATCCACAGGCTGTTATCAGTGTGAACAGAGCACTTTAATGATTTGCACTTGTTTTGAAACTGTTTTAGTCGATCGATTTCACAGTGACATTTGTTTACCGTTTTATTTTATTTTTGTCTTTTAATGTTGTTTTATGTCTGTATTTGTCTGTGCACACTGGTGACTTTTGCTAATGTATTCCAATGTGGTGTTTTTACTGCAAATAAACTGAATCTGATGAGAGCTGCACAGGTACACAATATCTGAGAATAATATGGAGTGGACTGTTCCAAAAGGAATCTTGAGCCAATTACAGATTAATATACAGTGAGCTCCACAAGTATTTGTTCTCCCACTTAGTAATTAGGGAGGGGTCTTAAATGTTCATTATAGATGTATTTCCACTGTTAGAATGTGATTTCCAGATTTTTCTCTATGATATGATTGTCACTATGATTTTTGAATGTTTTATTTGTATGTTACTGGGGTTCATATGTACTTTGAGAGTCATAATTTTGGCTGATTCTCTAAGAGCTGACAGTCCACCCTTTGAGCTCATTAAAGTCACCTGTGCAGCCCACAGTCAGTCCAGGTCCAACTGCTACCATGGGCAAGAACAAAGAGCTGTCAAGAGACCAGAGACAAAATTGAGCTCCACAAAGATGGAAAAGGCTATGGGAGAATCGGGAAGCAGCTTATTAATTGTAGTAATTGTTAGAAAAAGGAAGCGGCTAAACATGGACTGGGGCTCCATGTAAGATCTCCCCGTGGGGCATCACTCATGATAAGAAAAGGAATCAGCCCAGAACTACACGGCAGGAGCTGGTGAATGACCTGAAGAGAGCTGGGACCACTGTTTCTACCATCAGTAGAATACTACGGCGTAGAGGTTTAAAATCATGCATCGCACAGAAGGTTCCCCTGCTTAAGTCAGAGGATAAGAAGATGAAGATTGAGAAGACCCAACCACAAAGTTGTCTTCCAACATGGCAATGACCCAAAGCACACAGGATAACCAAGGAGTGGCTCCCTAAGAAGCATGTCAATGTTCTAGAGTGGCCTAGCCAGTCTGCAGACCTAGAGAAGATTAGTGTGGAAGAGTGGGCCAAAACACCTTTAGCTGTTTGTGCCAACCTGGTGGTGAACTATAGGAAACATTTGACCTCTGTAATTGCAAACAAAGGCTTCTTTAAATGTTAACACTGACGTTCTCTTGTGTGTCTAATTTCCAAGTGGGAGAACACAATTGCAGGGTGTGCAAATACTTGTGGGTCGCACTGTATGGTACATATGGTTTTTGACAGATGGGTAAATTATGTGCAGAGCATTTAGTCCTTTGAGTTGGATGTTTTCCATATTGAATAAATAAAATTAAAATAATGAAAAATCATCCATTACAAATATTCCTTCTTTGTGGCCATACCTGTTGTCTCATACTTTATCTCATCAGATCTCAGAAGCCTTGCACATAAACTGAATTAGATTAGAATTTATAAACAACATACAATTTTGTATTCCTGTTTGTAATATATTTCAACACACTGATGTACTTATATAACCTTTGGGTAACTGTGGGTGTGAGGTGGTTAATATGACTGAAATTACATGCAGTTCTTTAAAGGTTGAGCTAATCTATGTTAAATCCAATCATACTCCAATATCTATTCATGCAAGCAAAAATGTCACTTATGCATGTTGACTGGCGTGCATATTCGAGCTTTGACATACATTACAGAATGGTTAGCTGGTTTTAGATATTTCTTGCAGATGATAATGAGTTTCTTGGTCAATACTGAAAACGGTGTACCCGTGATCACCTCTAAAGCAGGCTACGCTAGTGCATTGTTCCTGATACAAAAGCAGTTCAAAAGGACGATCTGTGGACACACTGTCAAGGCAAAGCAAACAGACACCATCCACCACAACGGTTTTGCACAATAAAAGTTGTTAGAGCCTTTGTGTGGAAAAATAAGCCATTAGCGCACATCAAAACACATTTCTCTTCCACACACATACAGTATTATCATAATGCATCTAAGTAAAAAATGTACACTATTAGAAAATGTCAATATCTTTGGCTAAACTACCATCAAAAACCATACTAAAAATGCAACAAATTTTTTTTTTCTTCTTTAGAATTGAATAAGCTTATGCAAATGAGGGACAATGCCCAGTGTGGCAATGATGACCAGTCTTAGTCACGGTTGCTAATATAATAAACTCCAGGTCTTTGTTAATAACTGGTATCACCATCATTTCTCTAAACGTTGACTCATGTTTCTCATCACCAGTTCCCCGATAATATTTTTATATTTGACAATTAGAAAAAAAACATAAAAACTGCAGTGAACAAGTCAAGAATAAGAATAAGCTGAATGGTTGTAATAGTTTTGTTTTTTGCCTTTACGGACATTGGTCATCCTGCAACACTATGGACCAATGGCTCCTTTGTATTTCTCATTAATGCATTTCCTCTGTTCTAATTGTTTCTCAAATCTGTTGCTGACCCATTGACAGTTTTGTACAATTCTCAGAGACAGCGGCTGTTGTGATCTAGGGCCAATCAAATCAATAATGAATTGAATAATACATATTTTAGCTATTTTGTCTGTATTTCATTACCCCTGACCATAACAGGCCTGGTTTTAGATCCAGAATACCTTATTGATCCAGAGATACAAAAAATTGCTTTGGTCTTCTTCTATATGTCTATAATGGGGGACAATTAGTAGAGTATTTTTGACTCACTGAAGGGCAGATTGTGCAAGTTAGAATTTTCCATCACTTGATTACACCTGTTTTTAGACCAACAACGCAAATAATGTTTCTAAAGAACAATTATCAAATACAAATAAAGTTGTGTTTGCTAAGTAAGATCACTCACCGTTTACTGTATTACTATGAAATATTATCCGCTTTAGCCAGAGTCCAGCAGCAAATCCATTCTCAGAAACGGTCCTCAATATTCAAAATGATAACTGAAAAGTTAGACGCAAAATATATCAATAAAATAATGTTTGCCGCAATCAGAGGCGTTATCCTTTTTGTTGTTAGCGACCAGATAGCGTTTGTAATGGCAGTGTAATAGCAGCAGTGCTAGCAGGAGTGCCTTGTGACTGCCTAAGCCGTAATTATGTTCTGTTTATGACTCTCCCTCTCAGAGCTCACTGCACTTTGGCCCTACCTCCTCGGCACATACCTCAATAGAGCCGGACTTACCAGACCAAAAAAAACTCACCCGGGAGCAGGGCAACCGGAAAGTTCACTTGAGCAGTGGATAAATCTGTGTAGCTATTAGACAAAACAAGGGAAAAACAGTGATATTGAATATATAAGAGTGATACATGCATGGAGCGGGGTATAGAGGGTATAGAGCAGGTGCACAGGTTTGCATTCAAGCTGTTTAATTGGCCTCTCATGATCACAAAAGTGCAATAAATTTCTAGATAATTTATAAACAATAGCATGGAAATATCTTTTTAACATGCACCTATAGTTGCCACTTAAAGTTATTGCATGATCAATAATTTATGATGGTACGTTGAGTTGCTGTCAATTCCTTTTTAGACTTACAATATTTTGGCTCTGGTTTGTAGACTCCCTTTGCAGTGCTAGTTTTTGTAGTTGCTTGGCTTAGTCGTGATTTTGGACAGCCAAAGAGAATATACTGAACTAGTTTTAAGCCTAATTTTAAACATGCTTAAGAATATTCTCTAAATAATTACAGCTAATAGAAATAGAGCTTGCATCATTTTGTTGTTAATTACACTTGGATCTACCTGCCCCTGCTTTTATTAATGTTTATGGATATTTGTGCATGAATCAATGGCTCCTATGCGTTTGTTATTATTGCATTTCCTGGGTTTGAATTACTTCATTCTCCGATTTGTTGTTGGCAAATTCTCCAACACAACTCAAATATAATTGATTTGATTTGAACTGCCGTGTTTTTAAATCATTGGTTCTCATAATAACCAAACATTACTTTCCTATATCTGTGAGTTATGATAACATACTGATCCTTATTCCAAGCTCATACAATGGTAGGTTGTACTTTAGCCCCACATGCTGGCTCCTGTCGGCTGACTCAGGTAAAAGTTAACTTTCTCTGTCCACACTAAAACAAGCCTGGCACAGTACAGACAGTGTGGAGCAATATTTAACTACTACCTTCTTTTACGGTCGCTCATTCGACAGAACCTGTACAAATAACTTTCAACAAGGTTTAAACAGAAATGCCTAAAGTATGGTCCTGAGATAATGCAAGAACATTTATAAAAGAGGACTTAAAATGTAAAAAACAATTCTCCTCCAAGCAATCTTACTGTGTGTTTATAGTTCTATCACTAGTTTTCACATCTGTGTATTTCTGGCCTATGTCACATCTTTATAGTATTTTTGTTCCACACAGAAAAGTTCTCTGAGATGACTACTGTTGTGATTTAGGGCTATACAAGAATAAATTGAACAAAAAGTCACACAAAGATAAAAATAAAAATAAAAATAAAAGAATTGAATTGAATTGATGGAGAGAAGACCATCCCTCACGTCTCAGCCTATCAACTCTCGGCCCAAAAGCCTAAAACAATAAATAAATAAAACGTTACTTTTAGAAAACAGTTGGTTTAGTTGCAAAATAAGATTCAAGATCTCTGTATTTAATTAAATAATAATTATAAAAAAAGTTATTTAACTTCAACAATGGCATAGGGGTGCTTTTGGCGTTTATCCAACCTTTTGAATTGATACATTTCTTTACATGTTATTATTTTTCTGATATTATGTACGTTTCTCCTCCTCATAGCTCATTGATATGAGCTAGATCCTACTTTCCTACAGGCAACTCGTGACATAAAAACATATCTATACAATATAATATAAATTAGAGCAAAACAATAATGCACTTTTAAGAAATAATCCGATACCTACCAGTAACTTTTACCTTTTACAAACATATTCCCCACATGTTCGCCATTTCTTTACTTTTGGCGTCAGACTGTTGCAGCAGGTGGCGCGCGCGTCTTTAATTACAAACCGGAAGTAGCACAAACACACGCACGAGACCATCATGGCGGGCAGCAGGCTGGAGAAAGTCGGGACTGTCTTTACCCGGTGAGAATGCTATTTTTTAAAGCGTAAATGACTCTTTTGCGGCTTTACCTGATTCACAATAGATATAAATGTGCAGAGTCTCCTGTAAGTGGGCGATCGCGTTGTTGACATTGTCTAGTAGCCTATTTCTGACATTAGCATCTTGGCTCAAGGTAGCAGAATAGGGAATGATCAGGGAATAGTAGGTTACGCAATCTTAATTTAGCCACTTGAGATATGCAAAATACTAAAAGCTTGATGTATAATGTTATACTGTCGTTAGAACAATGGGCTCGAGGCTTTTATTTATTGCGTTGTATGTGTTACATGCTGAAGGTCATGTCTGTGGGTTGTTTTGTTTTGGTATTAATAAGCCGGTTAGGGGTTATTGGTATGGAAAGTAAATGCATACTGAAGTTCGATAGTTAAGTAAAAATTGTTGTCATTGCCACCGTGTTCTGTATGAAATCTTCCTTGTCACGGCAGACCCAGAGTCTTTAAATAATGTATTGTATTTGGTGGAACAAAAAGTAAAGCAGTGTCTTGAGAAAAGAATGGAGGACAACTGATGATTTTGTTCATAAAAATGCTAGCATGTCGGTGTTTGTTTGCCTGTGATTGTATTACATATAACGTGAATCAACGTTTTTAATATCGTATTAAAAACGTTGAAGTCTTAAAGGTCTTGAATTCGACTTGACCAAACTTATTCTACAATGTTCTCTTGTTGCAGAGTTCGAGACCTGATGAGGTCAGGGGTAATGAAACCCCATGAGAAGCCTATTTGGTTTGACGTTTACGCAGCATTTCCCCCTAAAAGAGACCCACTGTTTGTGAAAACTTGCGCTCGACCACAATACAAACCGCCAAGACCAGACCCAGTGCCAGAGATTTTCTATCCTGAAGACACAATCAGAGCGTGAGTGAAACTGTTGTACATACTTTGTTATTTAGTTTTTTTTAGTTCACACCAAATTATTTAAATGTTAGTTTTAATCTGCAACGTGTTACAATAATTCTACATTTTGTCCTGTTGTTTTCTCTACATTTCAGAAAGTTTTTTAAGACCTATGGAGCTGGACAGCGGGCACTGGATCTTACCAAGCCTAACTTTGTGTCAGTCTGTCAAAGGTAGGCATTGAGTTGAAATACTTAGAATATAACTTGCACTCCATTTCTTTCAAATAAAGTCAAGTGACCTGCTAGCCGCTTGTTTAGTCTATTCACTAAGTATATCTAGTTCTTGTGAGAGTCCACTCCACATATTTACACAGTATAGAAATTGTCCAATTATCAGTGGCAGCAATGAAAATTTAGTGTTTTATATTTAGTTTTCTTTTTGCTATTGTCTGATATCATTCAATTTAATTAACTAATAAGTAGTAACTATGAAAATGTAGCAATGTCTGATTTCACACTGGAAATTACTGTATATATCTGTTAATGTTAACTATTGCAAAAACAAATCTATACTTTTGGTATTGTTTGTTTATTTCTCTCTTTTTTTTAGGTTTGTAGATCAATATGAGGAGCTGAAGAAGGTCACTGACCTGGATGATGATGCCTTATTTGAAGAAACAGGAAAACGATTACTGGCCCAAGGTGTTGTTTTGAGACGGAGAGGAGCCGCAGCGGTGAGTTATTTTACGTGATATTTACATATTTGTCTTCTTATCCAATGTGGCTGGGGAACATTCCAAAAAGTGCCACAACTCAAGTGTTTATGGATGGATTATTAAAGCTTTGTAAATATTTAACTTGAAGAATTTTCAGAGTCTTTAAATCATTTAAAAGGAATAGCATTTTATGGAGCCAAAGATAAGGCCTTGAAAGAGGAAAGGACAGATCCTTTTTAAATAAGGAATGTACCATCTACTTATTCTAATAAATCATATTCATAGTCAAGGATTATCTGTAATTTGGAATTAATAAAATAGTTTTCCGGTCCGGGAAATGTTTTGTAATTTTAGTTTTGGAAATTTGTGGTCTAAATATTAATAGCCATCTTATCTTTTATATTACATATTAATTATTGCAGAAACATGGGGAATAAAATATAAATTATGCAAAATAAAACTTTTTAATTTCACTGTATTTATGTTTATGACTAGGGGCGATACTTTCTCCCGCGATTCGATTATCGATATGCAGTTGCCAAGTATCAATATCGATTTTGAAGAAAAACAATTTTTTGAATTTTTTTATTATTTTCTTTTTACAATTATTTTAAAAAATTGGTATCAATACTTAATATATGGCTACATTACGCATCTCCATTCTATTTATCATGAAAAAAAAAGAGTAATTTTTCTTTTATTTATGCCATAAATTGGCATATTGTATATTTCTGACCAATATATCAATAATCGTCGTATCGTGATATTATCGTTATCGTGATATTATCGTTATCGTGAGCTTTGTATCGTGTATCGTATCGTACAGTACATCTCTTATCTCATGTGTTGGGTGGTTGTGTCCTGCAGGTGTCGCTAGAGAGCAGAGAGTCCGTGCTGGACCTGAAGTTGTCAGATATGTTGGCCGAGCAGCAGACGCTCACAGCAGAGGAAGAAACTCCGACCAGTTCAACGCCACAAACTACAGTATGATCATAGACTGCAAAGCAAAATAATAGTAAACGTCTTTTTTTGTTTGTTAAAATTGCTTCCAATATTGTGAACTTGAGAAACATATTGGCAAATGCTACGATATTGTCATGGTGTACAGATTATTTATTTCATAAAAAAATAAACCTTTGTGTTCTGTAATTGATGATCCCAGCCTACTTTCTTTTAACATTGATGTGTTAAAGCATAGAAAGGAGTGGACCATATTATTAGGTGCCATATCTGGATTTAGAGAAGCGCTATCAAAATTAATAGACTAGAATCATAGTTTTACTCATTTATTTTAAGACCAAGAGTGTGACTGTGTAAAAAGGTGTTTACTTTACATATGAAAAGCGAATGGAACCCAAAACGTGTAGAAGCAAAACTATTCGTCAAGTTAGCGGTTTAGCACTGTCCATCCCTATATACTGTCTATGCTTCAAACGGACTAGTACCATCTTGTATTGTGAGTCTTCTCAGATGACTCTTGATTATTCAATGTTATCTGTGATCCATGTTCACACGTAGATATTTAGAACATGGCGTAGAAAGAAGCCCAGCCAGAGAGTCATAGCAAAGGAATATATTTCGGGAAGGCAAAAAATAAATCTTGGAAGTGCATGCCTCATTTATACAATCTCCAAATGAACACTGCAAAAAATGATAAAATATGAGGTAGTATTGGCTTGAATTGAATGGTTTTTATCTTTTATTTGTGCACATTTTGTCTCTTAAAAACAAGATTTGCTAATGGGACTAAGCCATTTAGTCTTATTACAAGAACTGTTGCTTTATTTTCTCATTCCAAGGGAGATAATTCTGCTCGTCCAATTGGAAAATCTTGTCAAAATGTGCTGAAATTAAGATAAATTGTTCCAAATTTTTTTATTTTCATCACTTTTTGCAGTGAAAATATTCTGCAGCCCTGAATCTAATTCATTTTTTGCCAATGTTCAAATTGACAGCTGTATCACTCAAATAAACAGGTTATACACGTTTGTCTCAATCAGAGCCATGACTTTTTAGTCCGTCCAGTGCGGGCCATGTTGTTCAGCTTCATTTTGTCCCGTCTCTCTGGGCTTCTTTTGGACGTGCACTCCACGGTCGAGTCGGTCTGGAAGGAGATGGCGGGGGCGTGGCTTAACATGCTCTTATCCGGCACCAGGGCTGGAGCCTGGAGCACCAGCTGGCCCCTTAGAGAATGCTTCATCTGCAACGTTAGCGGATTGTGGCCCGCGTAGAGGTGCAGCTCGTCCCGCTCGTGGCAGCAGCAGGTGGAACAGGCCGAGCACAGGACCCTGAAGATGTAAACCCAGCCTAAATAATGCAACTCCGCCACGTTCAGCACGAAACAACCCAGACTGATGCTGAACATGAAGTTGAGGAAGATGGTTTTCTCCGTGGCACGGGACACGAAGCAGTCTGTGCGGGTCGGGCAGGGGTAAGTCTCGCAGCGGAACAGATGAGGAACCTCAAAACCGAAGAGGAAGTACTGTCCAATCAGGAAGGTGATCTCCATAACTGAGCGCAGCAGGACGTGCAGAATGTAGATGAGCAAAACCTGGAGACATAAATGGAAGTTACAGGGAAGTATAGGTTAATAGAATAATTTACTCTAACAAGACTGCCAATTTTGTTACAGAAACTATATACTGTTTCTATCTTTTTTTGTTTAGCACTTTGCCTTGTCTATGAACTGTACTATACAAATAAACTTGCCTAGCCTATATTTTGCTTATTATAAATCATTAATCCTTCCCATTACGCTACTTTGTTTTATACATTGTGATAAAAACTCCTTTCGGTTAATTGGGCTCTGGTGGGGATGAGATTTCTGCCGTAAAAATGGGGTCTAAGATACAGTTAAAATAGGACTGAAAAAATATATATGTATACAATGGTCCTAAATATTGCTTTATACATATCCTGATTCCTAAAGTGGGTCTTGGTTGTGAATTTTTTATGATAAGTTTAAACCAAAATAGTAATAAATGCATCAGTTACAAAATGCTTTTCTGGACCTTCAAAGATTCTTCATACGGCTTTGTACAATCCCTTTAGCCTAGTCTTCTGACCACCACCAATCATTCACGCACATACTAGACTCCTGCTGGGCAATGTGTTTGTAGTGTTTTGCCCAAGAACATCACAACAGATTGTTTGGCATTACACATTCCCAGAGGTCTCCCATCCATGAACAAACCAGGCCCTGCCCTGCTTAGCTCCCAAGATTTCACACAATCAGGCTGACACGCATGGCCTAAACACTCAACATCAGAGCTAAAGCAATGCAACATGTGACGATGCATAGTAAAGCAAAACAAAACAATCTACATAATTAAAACTGAACCACAAAAGACAAAAAATAAAATAAATTGATCTTAAAATATTTTGGTTCTATCACTATTTTTCACTTTATGTATTTTGTCACATCTGCTTCATGTGAACTGAGAGTACCAGCCCTTATCAGATCTCTTATGTTAACAGTCAAATCTGTTCTAATTATCAAAATATGTTTGCATAAATTTACTTAAAGGTATACAGGAGGATTTTCTACGTCCAAGTGGATCATCATGACTATTGGTCCACCCAAATGTCAATCATTCCATTCTGGTGATACGTGCTCGTCAAATAAGAACAGAGAGTTTTGTTTAAAAAGTGGAGAGGGCGGTTCTTTCCTAAAATTTCGGAAAATCCTTCTTTACCTTTACCTTTAAACTTGTATTGTGGATGAAAAATGTAAATGTGGAAGAATAAGTTATTTACTCCAGCTTTACCTGTCCTTGAAGTTCCCATTTCTTAATCGATCCATTCTTGTCATTTCACAGACAAACTCAACAAATTTTGCACAGTGGAAAAATGACAGACATTCTTTGAACAACACTTATGGACATTGGTCAACTCCCCCCACTAATACCAATGTGTTTTCTTTCTTCTTTCTTGTGTTTTCTATTCTTTGTGTTTAAACAGTTTGATTCTCTGATCTGTGTTGGCGAAGTCCTCTGAGATAACTACGGTTGTGATTTAAGGCTATGCAAGATTGAATTGAATTGCAGCTGGATCTTGGTCTGACCTGGTTGGACTGTTGCGTGGGGTCCTCTCCCAGCTCCCCATAGTCCTCCTCCACAAAACTGCACTCTTCTCTCTCTGATGTCGCCCAGTCTTCACGAAAACTCGGGTAGTACTCTGCCACTCCCACTCTCTCCACCTGCCCACACCCCTGCGCCTCTCTCCTCTCCTCCGTGTCGTGAGTCCGGCGCCCGTTCATCTTCTCATCCTTGGCGATTTTGTGCAACACGTAGACGATGTAGAAAATGGATGGAGTGGATACCAGAACTATTTGGAAAACCCAGAATCGGAGGTGGGAGACGGGGGCAAAGGTGTCGTAGCAGACGTTGTTGCAGCCCGGTTGTTGGGTGTTGCAGGTGAACTTGGACTGCTCGTCGCTGTACACCGCGTCTCCCACCAGTGCCACCAGTAAGATGCGGAATATGAGCAGCATGGTGAGCCAGATTTTACCGATAACCGTGGAGTGGTTCTGCACCTCGGAGAGAAAGCGGCCCAGGATGGACCAGTCGCCCATCGCCTTGCCTGAGAATCGGGTAGATTAACTATTTAGAAGTGCTGTTTGTTGTCATATACAGTAGTTTTGAACCATACCTCAAACAACAACACTCAAAAACACTCAATGCTAATCTAATTTGAAAGTTCATTCAAGTTTTGAAACCATTATGATAGGTGTTTTCTTATAATTTTGAAAAGTATGGCTTACTTTCCGTGACAAATGGCATAAACGTGACAAATCTCAACAGGTAAAATGATCAGATTACTGAAATAATGACAAAAATCTGGACGAAAATTCTCAGATGTTAAATGTTGAACCCCAAAATGTATTATTCCCTCCTTCAATGAATGTGCAATTAGTTGATATGAAATTACTACGACAGCGGCCTATGCATAGACTGTCGATGTTATGTTGTACACTAATAAGCAATGGTGATCTAATAATAATGAATAATGCATTGGTTTTATATAGCTTTTTTGGACACTCAAAAATGCTTCACATGGCATTCATGGTTTATTACATGGTGTAATAAACTACTACTGTAGCCACAGCCGCTTCTGTCAGCAGACTGACAGAAGCCACTGTCAGAAGTTCCTGACTCTCAAAATTGTTGTTCTGTCACCAGTTTTCCCAAGCATATTGTTTTCCTTCATGTGGAGGAGAATATTTATGTGAAAATACTGAGCCTGAAGAATGCAAGACAATAAAGGAGATACTCAAACATGAAAGAATCAGTAGAAATAAAGAGTCAAGTAATATCATGTTTTAAATGGAAAATACAATTGCGTAAAAATTTACATATTTCAGCAAAGAATGTCCCATAAATAATTTAAACTTTTCTATGCAGGGTACAACAATATAGTTCCTACATTATCTGGTCACAAATATAAAAGATGGAGGTGTATTTTTCAAATGAAGAAGTATTTGACGTATGGCGTTCTTTGCGTGTACTCTGCTGAACTTAATAATATCGACCACTAGAGGGAGTTCTAATCATGTTATGTTTCAACTCTTATTTCCAGAGGTGGCAAGTAGAAAAACTTTACTTATCTTTATGACAACTACTTCTACTTCTAGGTTGAAGGCTAAAACTCCTTTAAAATGGATGTTACATGCACTGCAGATGAAGACTTGATTTGAACTTTCTGTAAATAGATGTGGGCTGCACTTCAATAGAAATTGGATTACAATTTCTATTACAATCATAACCACCAGAAGCAGCTCCACTGTTTGAAAAAAAAAAAAAAACTGCTATAGGCTACATCTGTTGATCCCAATAACCATCCTGTTGTAAAAAAAAAGAAAATGTTGTAATTGAAATGTGATTTATAATTCAAATATGTCATCACAGAGAAGCTCTTATTTTGATGTGAATGTAATATTGTGATTTTGTGTAAGACTTACCTTATATTCTGTTGTAGGTCAGAACACAGCCATAACTTTTGCATTGCTGGATTCAACACAAGAAAATTAACTCCCTTTAAACATTACGAAACATTACAAACTAACTAATTAAAGAGTAATATCCAGGAGTGTACGAGGCTGACTGTACACGAATTAAAACAGCCTCTGAACCCACGGCCATAAAGGCAGTGTACAGTGAGAGAGCACATAATACCTCTTCCCTCTTCTGAATGAGCGCGAACAATCGGACAAAAACATTGGAACAAACTGGAAAACAGGGACAATACAGGCCCAGTGTACGCACGCCGCTTCACTGACAGGAGGGTAAGTCAAGCCAGGTTTAATAAGCTTAAACTTAGATTAGAGTTTCAGGTAAATGATCAAACTGATGATATCTATCGATCTTCTACTTTTACACACATCGTCTTATGTGACCCATCACACCAAAGACAGAGACACATATCTCCTCAAATTTCACTTATTTATAAGAGACACATTATGTATTTCAGTGTAGTGTGTGTTAATCAAAGCTGGATCCTGTCTGACAGCTGTAGCTCTGCATGATGGGGCCTGGTTAGTGTAAGGATGGGAGACTTCTGTGGCCAAGTTCAGCTCTCTTGTGTCCTGTCCTGTATTGGTTGTTTTTGAAAACTAGACTTACAGTATTCTATTTTTGCAGGTTTTATGACATTGCTCAAGGTTAGGAAAAAATTGTCAATCTTCCACCTCCATAAACCTGCCTCATTCTTGATGTTAGACGCACAACATTAGGTTTACATGGAAATGTTTCTTTATTTCTATGAATATGTGATTTTTCCTACTTTTAATAATTCTTGTATTGTCCTAATTATTACCGTGTTTGTCACTATACAAGTGTTTGTTTCTTTTGAGGAACATTCTCCAGACTGGCCTTTCTGTGTGGAGTTTGCACGTTCTCCCCGTGTCTGCATTACTGCCGATTGTTCCGGTTTCCACTAAAAAAAATATACATCAGGCATTAATATAATGAGGGTGTGCATGAAAGGTGCTGGTCAATGCTCCAGGTTTTGAGCGTCTCAATTGTAAAGTGCTATGTTTGACCTCAGTCTGTGAAATGTGCTCTATAAATTAAATACTAAAAACTTTTTTACATAGATGCATTTTCCTTTCAGACAAATAGAAAACACAACATTTGTATAGTATGTCATTGATTTGTGTGTATTTGTCAAGTGGAAAAAGAATGCGTGGCTTTTGCTTCCGAGATCAGCCTTATTAAAGTCAGGAGCTGGGGTCACTGGGGTCACAGTCCTGAATCCAGATTTAAGCTGCAGCTCTGCTCCGTGATCCAAGAATGCAGCTCATATGGACGCCGCGTGGACAAGGCTCTCACGCCCACGGTTACACTCACCCTCTGGCTCACACACTATCACAACACACAGCCTCCACAGAGTAGAATGTTAAATTGGTTTTAACTTTTCAAACGATAATAACTAATGACGGTAAATATTGACTCACCTCTGTCTATATACTTACGTCTTGTAAACTCAACATGGACTCAACAAGGTGACAAAGTGTCAACTGAATCATGCAATACAAGATTAATAGTACATGGGAATATTAAAATGTGGAATAATGAGAGATAGTGGGCCAAACCTATAATAACAAAAACTGAAACATGTACAATAGGTGTATCCTCGAGCTCACGTCCTGACCAAGTCCAGGGCCAACATCTGGAGATGGGTCTCATAGGGAGTATCTGGATCACGTTTTGATGTATGTTCCATGGATATTTGGTATACAGTAGTGTAACGTCTTGGTTAAACATATTGATGTCTTTGAAATGGTAACAGACAAAATAAATTCCTTAATTTTGCTGAAAAACAGGAAATGCATTACACTTTCATTATTCGCTTTTATAAAACTTGCAATTACACAACTCTAAAAGTAAAGCTGTCAAAACAAATTGGCTGTCAACCCTTATAATTATAGATATCAAAAGCCTTGGTATTGCTTCGTATAACTATTCAAAAGATGTTAGCCCATAAACACACAGACATAAATGATCACATCAGTCCAGTCCTCAGGTCTCTTGTTTGTCCCATATGAACCAACTCAGACGACTGAGGAGCATAGTCACTGGCCTCCTGTTGGTGCCCAGAGTCAGAACTAAACATGGGGAGGCTGCATTTCAGAGTCATGCTGCTAAAATCTGGAATAATCTTCCTGAAAATGTGAGACAGGCTCCTTCTCTGATAATGTTTAAAATCGGGGTTAAAAACAGTTCTGTTTCGCTTTTGTTTTAATGTACTATGATTATTTACAAGGCATTATTTAATGTCTTGTGCCATTCTTTCTATCTCAGTTGCCTTGTGTATGAACTGCCAAAACGTTCCATGACACTTGTGTAATCTACCACTATCCCTTTCATATCTTTTCAATTAAAATAACTGGCAGAAGTGGACCGTCAGCTCTGATTAACCTAAATGGCTCCATCCAACTTTATTGAGTAGGTGTTGGGCCAGGTCTGTGGTCAGCACGGGCAGCTCTCATCAGCAAATCAATACCACTTTTGTTTTTTTTTGTTTTTGTTTTACTCTCTCACTTTTCCACCAATCAATGAGACACGAGGCAGCACATCAAACCAACTGTTGTATAATGAATCGAGCCACTTCTGGGAATAACAGGGCATTTACCATGTACACATCGGTGGCTGAAATGTGGAGATAGAATTTGGATATGACGTACACACGCAGGGTCAAATATAGAGTGAGTGTGACCATATTCAAAGCAGGCGACTTTATTGCACTCACAACACAAGGAAATTCAACCATGTATACAGCATTATGATCGTGCAAAGAAATTCAACCCAAATAATTCTTAATTTTGAGTTCAAAGAATTCAATGTTGTAACTATACATCACCAGCCTATAGCTATTAGAGTAATCGGACAACTCCATTATTGTTTTTATGATTTTTTATTACACTGTATTTCCCATAATGCCTCAGAGCTCTACAAGAACTTGGCATTTGCGTGAGAGCTGCGCCACGGTAATAACTTCCGCTGTCTTTCCCTAGGCTGTTATTGCATTATGAAAACAGCCTTATGGGGATTTAGCTCTCATATACAGAAGGGTTTTGTACTTTATACTCTTTCTTACTTTACTTTACTTTATACCATGGTGGGCACAGTCTGTACGGGAGTAACATTTTGCAAGTAAACCATAATTTGTTTGCATTTTGAAAATAATATATACGTAAATCACAATGTAGCATCCGTATTTCTCATACTAAATGTATTTCTCATAATTACAGTCCCTCCCTTTGACAATAGTTAGACCAATGGGGAGGGTCTTCAGCCGTCTATCAAGGATTTTAATTAATTGCATGTCCATTTGTGCCAACCTCCCCCATGGCCTCCCTGCTTGTTCAAAGGTAAACACAATTAAATTAAACTAAAAGAAAATACCAAAAATACAATGTCAATGTCAGCTTTATTTGCATTGCACATTTACAACAATTCAATTCAATTTATTCTTGTATTTATCTCGGAGGACAACACCAGCTGCCCAAAGTGGTTCACAGGCACAACAGAAAAAAGAAAGGAAAACAGCATAAAATACACACAATTACGTGCAAAATGTAAAATAGTAAAACTCAGTTGGTGTTAAAAAAGCCAAGGTGTAAAAATGTGTCTTTTGACTATAGATTAAAAAACCTCCAACGGTAAAACTATTTAAATACTGTACAAATGCAATGCAAAAAAACAAAAAGTAACAAATGGGTAAGAAATAAGAGTCAGAATTAAACATGGGGAGGCTGCATTTCAGATTCATGCAGCTCAAATCTGGAACAATCTTCTTGAAAGTGTGAGACAGGCCTCTTCTCTGACAATGTTTTGTTCTGTTTCGCTGTGCATACAACTGAGGGATTCTATATTTTTATCTTTCTCCTTAATGTTCTGTGATTGTTTATTTATTTTAATTCTATCTTATTTTGTTCATCACTTTGTTCTTATATTTCTTGTTCTTGTTCTTATATTTTATTTCGGTCACTTGTGCATTTTAAACATCGCCAGGATAGTAAATTACAGCAGAAACAAAGACCGAAAAGGAGTAGGCTGAAGCTAATGCTTATATTGCCTACCCTTTTTACAGGTGTCATTAGTATAAGTGAATGTAAACAATAGCATTTAAATTAGCAACTATATCAACATCAGAAATCTGAGTTCAGGTAGCCATCCAAAATGATAGTTTTAAACATCCTTCTAAAGTGGTACAGTGAATTGCAGGTTTTAAGTTCGTTTGTGCATCCCTTCCAGAGATCAACCCCTCTAATAAACAAACAGCTTTTCATTACATTAGTTCTACATTTTTGTTTTTTGAACATGTCTGTTCCTCTCAGTTCATAATGTACGGAGCCCCTAAAGTTCCCCTTAAGGATAAAAAAAGAATAAAGTAGTATGGTAATTTTTTTTTTTTTTTTTTTTTTTTTTTGCGGGAATAAAAAAAATATATATATATATTTTTTTGCGGGAATACAAAAAAAAATATATTTTTTTTTGTTTGTTGTTTTTCGGGAATGAATTTTTTTTTTTTTTTTTTTTTTTTTTTTAAACAGCAACACACAACATCCGGTAATAGTTGGCGGTGGTCGTCAGAAGAGCATGTGCGATCGTGTGAGGAAAGCCATTGGAAAAGCGCTTCTCCTATCGAAAACAGATTACACACAAATGCTATGAATCTTGGTAAGACATTCTCCAATATTCCATGTATTCCATTTATGATTGTACTGAATGTTCAGTGGTGTCCATGCTAGTTTAGCAATTTACTTGTGTTCTTTTAATCTGATTTCTATGCTGCTGCCGATGTACACTCAAGATAGCCGTTATTGGTAATCTGCAACCGTTTCTTTTATCAGGGAGACATGGAATCGTCCCTCTTACATTTCCTTCGCCAGCGGAATATTGGTGAAGCTCTAATCTCCGAATTGGAAAAGGACAAAGTAAGTATAGCATGAATAATTTAACTATTACAATAGGGGTTAGATGTATTTGCCATTAGTGACTTGGCACTACTGTACCAATGCTCTTTGATGTACCTTTTTTTTTAATCGTTTTTGGCTATGTACAAGTGAAATATGTTGTTTATTGACACCATGCAATGAAGTACATAGTCTCACATGAAAGAATATAAAAGACTCATTTGATGGGACACCTGTGGTTTTTGCTTTATGAATGTACAATTTCAAGTTTTATCTGTAAAAAGATTTAAGAAATGTTGGCCGTAGGTTATATGAGCTAATCTGACCTCTCTAAATGTCTTTTTCTTGTAGATTGATACTGCTGTGATCCCTCTCATGTCAGACCATGATCTGGAAAAATATGTACCACAATTTGGGGACAGAGTGGCCTTGGTGGCTTTCTGCAGAAGAAATCAACCAGCAAACAACAAAGCAATAGACAGAAAACACCTGCTGGAAAAAGTGAGATCCAAAATTGGTAATCCCCCCAAAAAAAGAAAGGAGAAAGAGGATATATCAGCAAAACTTCAAGGAAATGTTAATGCAAAAAAGAAAGACAGGCGACTTGAACTTGGCTGGATGAACTACGAATTACTTTCTGGTACTTATAAGCCAATCCGTACAGCAAAAGGAGGGGGTACAAGGCATGTAACATTAGAAAGAAACACATGTATGCGAGAAATCCAAATTTTGGCAGAGAACTTGTTTTTCCCTGAAGGCAAATCCAAATATCTGAAACTTGAAGGCCTTAAGCGTGAAATGCGTGATATTCAGGAGAATGTCATTGATGAGGAGTGTACTATAGATTAGTTGTATGAAAAAACAAAGGTTAAGTCACTGCGAGTATACCTATGCACTAGAAAGAAGGGTGAAGACATTCATGACACTGAAAGTAATGCCATCATCTTGCCACCTAAAGAATCACAAACACAAACTATTGGAAACCCACTACAGGAATATATTCAAGTATATGTTTTGGATGAGGAATGGAACAGCATAACCACAGACAAACCAGAGAAAATCGAAACAACTTTTGATTTGGTGGATAGCCCCATTGCTAACCAAGAGGAGGACACATCTGGTGGTGTATTGATTGGTGATATTGTTTCTGAAGAGGAGGAGATTAAAACAAATACTGATTTGGAGAACACACCCATTGCTAACCAACATGAAGACCGCCCTGGTAAGGTGAAACGTTCAACCGTGTCTGCAAATGAAAAGATTCAGACAACTACTGATTTGGAGAATATACCTGCTGCAGACCAACATGAAGACCACTCTGGCGAGGTCATTCCTCTAACTGTCCTTTCAAATGAGATGATTCAGACAACTACAGATTTGGAGAATAGACATGCTGCAAACCAGTATGAAGACAGTTTTGGAGAGGTATTTATTGGTCCTAATGAAAATGAGGTTTTTAATCTTGATGATACTCTCCCACAAGAAGAGAGACTTCCCGTTGTTCTTGAGGTGAGGAGAGGATTCTGTTTAACAGATTTAATGAGTGCATTTGGTGACCCTTCAATTATGAACAAAGATATGACAATCGCAATGAAACTTCCTAATGGATCGTTCGAAAAGGGATCTGGCTCTGGGGTTTTTCGTGACTGCCTATGTGAGTTTTGGAATGAGTTTTACAATCGATGCACAGTAGGGGATACAGTAAAGGTTCCCTTCCTTAGACATGAGTACCAGATTCATGAGTGGCAAGCTATTGGAAGAATTTTGGTAAAGGGGTGGCTCACAGCAGGATATTTTCCTATTCGTATTTCACTGCCCTTCCTCGAGGAAGCCTTGTATTGTAAAACATACAGCAGTATCAAAGAATCTTTCCTGCTATACATATCCAAATCAGACAGGCAAATCATTGAAGGGGCACTTAACAACTTTGGATCAGTTGAACAGGATGCCCTGATAGATGTACTTGATTCACATGAGTGCCATCAGATACCAACTGAGGAAAACATCTGTTCCCTTGTGGCACAACTGGGCCACAAGGCTCTTATTCAAACACCAATGTTTGTGATCGAGTGTTGGAGGCCTGTTTTGAAAACCATTGCTGACACTCTGAACCCACAGCAATTAAAGGAGATTGTACAACAGCAAGTTCCTACTTCAAAGCGCGTTAGGGAACTTCTCAGATTTCCACAGTTGATGAATGCAGCACAAACCAATGTGTCCAAGCATCTCAAGAGGTATGTTGGAGAGCTTGATGAGAAGGGCCTGCAGCTGTTTCTGCGTTTCTGTACTGGAGCTGATGTTCTCTTTGGAAGTCACATCACAGTTCATTTCATTGAAACCAGCGATTTCCGGTGCCGTCCTCAAGCAAGCACCTGTGGTTGTTTTCTCAACTTGCCAATCAACTATCAAAACTACCCTGACCTGCGAAGTGATTTTAATGCTATCCTCAACAGCTCTGTGTGGGTTATGGATATTATTTAAGCAGATGCTGTATATTTACAACCCTTAACTGTTAAGTTTATTTGCATGCAATTGTTTTACTAGGATAACAGCAACATGTTCTCATTGCTAGAAGCAAGACAATGTTCTTGTGTACTAAAACAATATACATTTTATTTTCATACTTAAATTGTTGCAAAATTTGTGCAAATTTCTTATTCCTTTTATAGTTGTTCAAGTGACTTATGCACTTTACTCTGTGAAAAGAAAACTGCTGTTTGATGAAAGCAGTGTTCAATGTCTTCATTTGTTCATATGAATTGTTATGCACTTTTAAGAAGTTTGAAATGTTTATACGCATTCATAAAATGATATAGAAATTTAACAGTTTCATTGTTCTTTCCACAACAAAACATAATTATTAGCTGTTGCCTGTAAACACTGTCAATCATATAGAAAATAGCCCATATCTGTTCATATTCTACCACATTACAAAATGAATGTAATAGTGTACAACAGCATAATTGCATCACAAGTTTGGTCAAAGTGTTTGACATGCATTGCCCGAGTTGAGATCAGATTATTAATTATCGTGTAGCTGTGTTTTAATAGCGTCTCTTAATGTCAAGTACAAATCAATGGCATCCACTGGATTTTCACTTGGAAACTGCAAGCCATGGTCTTCAATATGCATCATGCAAAGATCAAAGACATCTGGATCACAAACAACACTGCTGCGAAACATGCATCGCCCTTTTAATCTGGCCAGTGCATTGCTATCAAGTGTCACGGCACGTTCTTCTGCATCCCATAGCTCAGGTGCCAAGTACATCACATTTGGAATACCAGCTGGCACATTTAGGTTGGTACTGGGCCGGATTCGATGAGCATTCCAAACACTCTTTATCTTTTGAAGCTCTTCCTAAAAAAAAGAGGTGGTTATTAATTATTACAATTTTCTACATTTAATATTTTATAGTTTATTTTTTAAACCTTAATGTTTTATAAAATTATATGCTTAATAGTAATAGTTTGCATGCTTCGTTGTCAATTGGCAAAATAATGAAGTTGCAGCATAGGCCAACATTACCTGGATCATCCCCATTATGCATAGCTGAAGTATTGCCTTGTCCAGGAAGCCACCATCGAACATCCCCTGGTCTCGAACCTCACCAAGAAGCTGGATCCAGTACTCTATACCTTCTTTCCGAAGTATGCCCCACCAACTTTCAATGCGTTGGTTAGCTGTACTAACTCCGGCGATGTAGCTTTGTTCACCAGACAACCTGTCTGTGTGGTTTGCGCGTAAATGCTGCTGTATTGCAGCAAGAACACCGTTTTCTGTGCCACGGTCTGTGCGCACCAACCTTGGGCAGCTTCCGAGTGTCTCCAGAGCCTCTAAAAAGTATCCTGCGATAACTTTTGGGTCGCTGCTAGTTTTGTACGCGTTGACCCAAATCACTTTGCGTGAAAATCCATCAATACAGCCGTTGATGCACACTCCATAAGGTTTTAGCTTGTCATATGAATCAATGTGCCAGATGTGGTTGGGTCCCTTGCAGAAATACTGTCTCCTGTTAAGCCTCCGCTTCTTTCTTAGTGCTGAACCCTCCGGATCCAATTCAGCCAAAATCATTCGGACATCTTCCTTCCTTGCTTTAAGGCCACTTTCCCTACATTTTGTAAACATCCACCTGTAGCCATGCATCTTCCCAGGACCTTGTAACTGTTGTTGGACAAAGTCAAAGATGCTGTCCAAATCAGCAAAATCTCTCCTTCGTCCAAGTCTGTTGTCCTTCAAAATGCGTAGTAAATGTTTTCTACTAATCAGAATGCCATGCCTGCGCAACAACGCTGAAAGTATATCATTATATGACATTCCAAGATTGTAGTATAACTTGATCAGTTGTTCTGCCTCCATTACGCTAGGTCCAGCCATGCAATGTCAGTGCTCTTGTTCTGACGCATGTTGTGTGTCGTGCAAAAAAAAAATAATAATATTATAATTAAAAAAAATATTATTATTCAGTTCAGCGGGCAAAAAAAAAAAAAAGAAACTTTTTTTTCATTCCCGAAAAAAAAAAAAAAAAAAAAAAAAAAAATATTACAAAAATCATTCCCGAAAATTTTTATTTTTATTTTTTTAGCATACTACTTTATTATTATTTTTCTCCCTTTAGGGAACTTTAGGGGCTCCGTAATAATGACTGTCTCTGATTGTGAACAGTTTCTGTAGTGGTTCAGACAGGTCATTTTTTATCTTGAACATTACTATCAAACTATAAAGGTTGACTAAATCATAGAATTTTAATATTTGTAAATGTATAAACAGTGCATTTGTTGGCTCGTTGTAGGCTGATAATGTAATTGCTCTTACTGCCTTTTTTTGCAGTATGAAAATTGGTTCAGTATTACTTTTATAAGTGTTGCCCCATATCTCAATACAATATGTAATATAGGGCATTACTAATGAGTTATATATAATAAGTAGACTCTTTTTATTTAAGATATATCTGTATTTATATATTATTGCTAATACTTTAGACAGTTTACTTCTAATATTATTTATGTGTGACTTCCAACTGAGCACATGGTCTATAGTCACTCCCAGGAACTTGTTCTCATAGACTCGTTCCAGGGGAGTGTTATTTAGATTGATTTCAACGTGGTTTGAAATGTTCCGCTTTGCAAATATTATATATTTAGTTTTCCCAATATTTAGTGATAATTTGTTGATATCAAACCAGAGTTTAATTTTATGCAATTCCACCTCCACCAATTTTATGAGCTGATTTATGTCATCACCTGCACAATGAAGAGTAGTATCATCCGCAAACAGGACATAATCCAGTGCTTTTGAAACTGTAACTAGATCATTAATGTAAATAATAAAAAGTTTTGGCCCAAGCGTTGATCCCTGAGGGATACCACAGGTAATATTTAATAGTTCTGATTTTTTATTATATATCTCAACATATTGCGATCGGTTTTGTAGGTAGCTTTGTATCCATGAATGTGATAGTCCTCGAAGTCCATATTTTTCTAATTTCTGTAATAGAATGTTGTGATCTATAGTATCAAAAGCTTTCTTAAGGTCAATGAAGACACCCACATTGTATTTCTTTGAATCTACTGATTTTGATATATTTTCTACCAGCTCCATAACGGCCATTGAGGTGGAGCGGTTTTTCCTAAAACCATATTGATGATCGCTTAAGAGGTTATATTTGTCTAAGAATGTATCTAGTCTGTGCACAAATATTTTTTCTATTACTTTTGAAAACTGAGAGAGAACTGAAATTGGTCTATAATTTGAGAACAGGGGCCGTATTCCTAAAGATTCTTACTGCTAAAAGTTGCTCCTAGTGGCCAAATTCTAAGAATTTTCTTAGAATCTTGACCAACTCTTAGAATTTCCCCTAAAAGTGAGGAGTAGCTCCTAGTTAAGATAAAAGCTACTCCTAAAAAATCCTAGCTCTTAAGAGTGCTCTTAAGGGGAGATCCCTTAAGAGTTGAGAGGAGGACTTTTAGCGACTTAAAAGTTCCCTAAGAGCACAAAATGGTGGACGGTGGAGACAGGAGAAATATTCTATACACTGGATGACAGTGAATCAGTGAAACGCTACAGATTCAAGCAGGAATCATGTTTGTGGTATATTTAAAAGTCAATCATGTGACCAGCTTCTCATTGGCTGGTCAGCAATAACACCTCATCCATTTTACCTTTGTTACACAAAAGTAAGTAGAAATGGTAAAAGTTGAAAGAGAGGAAAAAGTGGTCCTAAATTGTCACACATTCAGTACGAATTAATGAATACTTTATTTTGAGCCATGGCAAACAAGAAAAAAAAGGACAAAACAAACAAAACAACAACAGAATAGAAGTACAAATATACAGTTTTGTTTTATTAACAACAATCCAGCTCAAAAAGGAGTGGGAGAGGATAAGACTTTTAAGCTCCCTTGTACTTGATTTGTACAGTGTATGTATAATATGTTTATATTAATATTGTTTCCTTAATTCCTTATAAGTCTATACATATCACAGCCTTTACTAATCCTAACGTTATCATTATCATCATTTATCCATATAATATTTATAATAATAATTTTCTTTATCATGTATATTATATATAGAGTAATATTTAAATTATATGTATATATATATATATATATATATATATATATATATATAAAATTATAAGTGCTCATGATATATACGTATTGTGTGTGATAAATTGGTGCTGAGCAAGCTCTGATGATGTGGTGTATAAGTCTAACTTTACTATTCACAGTATTTATGTACCATTGATATATCTGACTTTATAGCTTTTGGTTATTATTTACAATAACACAGTGTTCCTAAGATTAGATTCCATGATTGAGTTTGTCCATTTTAGGGCCCTTATTTTGCCTATTATCATCAAAAATATGTTTGTTCTAACTTTTAGGATCAACCAATCACAGCGTCTGAAATGATGACTCGTACCTAGCAACGGGGTCGGCCACGCCTCCTCACTAAGATAAAAGTTGTTGTCAATTCCTTGCTCAGAGTTCTCTAATGCCTAGCGTACATCGACAGAGAAACTGGGGACAACTAGTTGCAAGGCGGCTTTTGGCAACTGAGAGGAGATGGTGGGAGATGATCAGTTGCCGAAATCGGTCGATGTGCGCGCTCTTACAACTGGAGATGATCAGTCGGTCTCCAGTTCCAGTCAGTTGCCCGTGTTCTACTTTTCGGCAACTAGTTGTCCTCAGTTGCCCCGATGTGCGCGCTCCATGCGCCGCTCCGACAACGTGTGTGTATTGCGAGCCCGCAACAGTTTATGTCAGAAAACACACTGTAGTTGAGGCCAGTTGCTGTCGATGTACGCGCTGTTATTCAAGAGACTGGCCTGCGACTCAGAGTTGCCCGTTTTCGCCAGATTGTCGATGTGTGCGGGGCAGCAACTCAGAGGCGACGGATATAATCAGTTGCCAGTCCGATGTACGCTAGGCTTAAGAGTGTTCTGGAATAACTTTTAAGCTAAGACTCCTAGCTAGGAGTTTTTAGGTTAAGATAAGAGCTCTCTGAGAGGACTCTCAGAATCTTTAGGAATACGGCCCCAGGTGTCTATCACCTTGTTTGTGCACTGGAAAGATCCTTGCTATTTTCATTGAGTCTGGGAATACACCCATTTTGAATGATTGATTACAAATGTGGGTCAACGGTGGAGCTATAAATTTGATTGTGTTCTTAATAAGATTGATATCTATTCCCAAGGAGTCTTTAGATGTTTTTGTTTGAAATTTGTTTACTACTTTCACTATCTCTGTTTCATTTGTAGGATTTAGATAGAAAGTGTTTGGATTTCTGTTTACTGCATCACATGGAGATAGGTTTTTATGCATAACAATATTTGTTGCCAGTTTATTACCGACGTTTACAAAATAATGGTTGAAACCATTGACTATTTCTTTTATTGTTTCAAGTCTGGAGCTATCATGAACAAAGTAGTTTGGGATAGCAGGCATGCTTTCTCTCCTTTTAAGAACATTCTTAATCACTTTCCAAGTACCCCTGATATTATGTTTTTGCTCTTCAAATAAAGTATCAAAGTAGTCCTTTTTGCTCTTTCTTATTATGCTTATCAGCTTGTTTTTGTACTTTTTGTACTTAATTTCAGATTCCATTGTCCTGAGTTGTAAAAACTTTTTATATAATACATTTTTCTTTTTGCATGCGTTTTCTAGCCCTCTAGTTAACCACGGCTTTTTGACAACATTTAGATAAGTCTTTACCTCTTTAAGTGGGCAGTTTTTATTGTATATTGCCAAAAAACTGGACAAGAAGGATTCATATGCATAATTTGGGTTAGTCTGTGAATACACGTTCTCCCAGTTCATTTTGTCCAGATCTTCTCTAATATTATTTAATCTTCCTGGTGTTAAACGACGTATTAGTTTGTATTCTGGCTTGTAAGTTTGACTTTCAAAAGTGTAATTTTGGTAGACTGCGAATACTGGAAGGTGGTCACTTATATCACTTATCAGCAAGCCACCGACTATTTTACCTTCAATCTTACTAGTATATATGTTATCAATCAAGGTAGTGGTGTCTGTCGTTATCCTGCTTGGTTTGTCTATAATTGGTAGGAGGGAATTGCAATATATCATATTAATAAAATCGGAGGTCTTTTCATGAGTTGGTGCATTCAGTAGATTTATATTAAATTCTCCACATATTATTTGGTCTTTAGTAGTAGGCCCATTGGCATTGAGCAAATGATTCACTTTTTCAGTAAATACATCTATGGGGGATCCTGGAGT